AGATGCAAACCCACCCATTACCACTACGCAACAGAATGGAACGATCCACACTGTTCAACCCATCAAAATCGGTGCTGCACTCAGGTGGTTAGGCGTCTACTTCGATAGAAAGCTTAGCTTTAAGGCCCATGTCAAATTCGTCTCAGCTAAAGCTCTACAGGTTGCTAACGGACTCCGGTCGTTAGGAAACACAATCAGAGGGGCCCCAACACGACTACTCCGTCAAGCTGTAATCGCGTGCGTGCTCCCCGTGCAATTCTACGCCTCGGAAGCATGGTGGCCGTCTGCCAGACAGAACAAGAATGGACGCATTATCTCAAACCGGGTCCAATCCCTAGCTGACCAAATGGATCGAACGCAGAATACCGCAATGAGAGCCATGCTCCCTGTATACAGGACCACGCCAATACCGATCCTGCAACGGGAAGCGGCACTACCGCCAGCAGAAATCGCACTCGACGCAAAACTCTATGCGGCTTCTGTTAGATTACACAAACTGGATAGCCGCCATCCCTTACGCAGGAGGCTCAGACATCCTACGGGCCCCGATTCGAGGTTAAGGCGTATGGCGAGCCTAACCCCAGATACTGCAGAATATATAGATCCTCTGCAAATACCGCCCTGGGAGCAGGCTGGCGAATGGTCCATCACCCTCGCCAAGATCGGTTATATCCCAGGACAGTCAAAGGAGGAGGCTGCCCGCTCGTTTCTACAAAGGATAAACGAGTTTTCAAAGCGCGATATAATAATCTATACAGACGGCTCGCTGGCTACCCATAGCGACAGGACCTTAGCTGGAGCAGGCTGGGCTGGTTATCAGGCCGGTAAAAGACTACTCTGCGGGTCCGAATTACTGGGCTCTCAGATAGAGGTATACGATGCGGAAGCCCACGCAGCACTACGGGGGCTTCAGGAGGCTGTAAAGCTTCCGTCCAACAGCCTGGCAGATAACGTCCACATCTGCCTCGATAATCTCGCGGTTGCGGGTAGGCTCATCTGTCCAAGTCCCGGAAGCAGTCAAGCAAAATTCACCGCCTTCCAAGAGCTGTCCAAAACCTGGTCACAGAGAGAGCGAAAACCCTGGACATCCCCGGGACAAGTGTATATCTGGTGGTGCCCAGGACACGTAGGCATCCCCGGAAACGAAGAAGCAGATGTCCAGGCCAAAGCGGCCTGTGAGCAACCACCCAAGACACAACACCCGGCCTCATTCGCACATATAAAGAGAATCGCGAGATTCTACACTTGGAAGAGTTTCAACGATCGATGGGCCACTACCTGCCCTCAACAGTATCGAGATCTAGGGATCGCTATCCACCCGCGACCCCCCGAACTTGGCCTGCCCCGGCAACACCTAGGCAGATTACTCGCAGCGAAGTCGCACCACGGGGATTTCGTGACCTACCACGAGAGACTCCAGCATCGCGACGCACTGCTCAACTGCGGGTGTGGAAAGACAAAGACACCAGTCCACTTCTACTTTTGCAAGCGCGGCCGCAAGGCCACGCCCGGTCATCTAAAAGCGCATATGGCCAAGAATAGTATAGATTCCCTCCTAGGCACGGCCAAGGGAGCTCGTTTGTTTTGTCAATGGGCGGAGGAGACCAATTTCTTTACTGAGATCTGCCCATCGCACTGAACAGGAATGTTAGATGAAGACAGTCCCCTGTAACATAGATTCGACTAGCATAGACCATGCCGGCACTGCGCCCGGCACGTCTCACGTGATGAGACGTTAAATTTCAATCAATCAGTGAAGGAGAGATGGTTATATAAAGGACAGGACTCCCAGGCATTTCATAGATAGACAGTCTCTACTTCAGTGATCAATCTAAGCATCAATCTAACCCATTGGTGAGGCAAACTGCCTTGACGACTCTATTCCCAGTTACCCTACTTGAATACTTCAGTTACCCCAAAGCACTATACTCCATACGTCAGACCCCGATATTATTGCTAAAGGACTCCGCAGCAGGACTTACTTACTAGCACAAACCCTTACAGACTCTTTAGTGGTTTACGCAGCTAGACTATTAGAGGTTTCGTTACACGGTGCTACGTAGGAGGGACGCCCATTACTCCCCATCACTCTGTACTATTGCCTTCGGCCTAGCCGTACCCTGACAGCTGTGACGGCCGGTGTCACGATGCAACGAAACCCACTAGCTGTGGACCCGTAGGAGCACTGGTCATCTGAAGGCGGGATTGAAGATCCTCAGATGTGAGCCAGCCTGTTTTAGTTTCTCTTTCTTTCCTTGGCGAGAATCGTTAAGTCAATACAGTGCATTAGAGTGTTTTGACTCTTCAATTGTGCTCACCGTGACAACAGCGGGCCGCTTTAGCTGAAAAGCTGAGTCGGGAGGGTTTCGCCCCCGATCCGGTAGAATCCCGGAAGCACCTAGTCAGACATCTCGAGGCGCTCGCACCTAACTTAGATTCCTCAAGAATCAGTCTTGCAATATACGCACCCATAACCCTGGCGCATTATAGCCGCTCTTTGCACTACCTGACTATTCCTGTGAGACGTCATATCCCCGTTACAGACTCTCTCACGTAATATCGTATTTGCAGCGTCGGTAACAAATTCTACGCGAACCGTAAGATTAATCCTATCAAGGCGGTCTATATAATTATAGAGGGCCCGTTCTTCGGCTTCAGATAGTAGTTTGTTGAGTCCTCCGTGGTTTTTAGTCTTCCTAGCTTACTTAACGCGGTACCGGAGGGTCTCGCGTTTTACGCCGCTTTCTCGCGCAATCTTAGCAATTTTGGCTCGAGGATACTCTTGCATATAGAGAACGGCTTCCTATATCTGTGAGTCTATTACGATTAGAAAATGCTAATAAATTGATAAAGATAGGATAGGTTGAAGTTGAAAGTGTCGAAAAACTTGGCCAAATTAGTGGTGAGCACTAACTTAGGTTAGTGAGCTCAAGCGAATCAGAAATAAGTGGGGCGTGGCACGGGTACTCAAATCGGCCACCGAGCATGGCCGGCAAACAACACCCGCTTTGAAATAAGGAACTCTCGAAGGCTTGCGACAAAAACAGTTAAATTGATGGTGTAAGTCTCGCGATTATTTAATTAGAGGGGAACGTGGTCATTAGCCAGACCTGAACGATGGAGGCTTGGTCATCCACGAATTGTATCAGTAAAGTCCGGTGCAGTAAATTCGAGCAGTCTAGGCTGAACGACGGCACACAATGCCTTGAATCTTCTCCGTAATTACATCATTTTTTTTCAGGGTAACGTTCTTTTAGGAATACCCATGGAGTAAAACGAGCGCGAACCACTTCGAGAAAGGCGTTGGATTTGCAAACGCAAACTTCCAATTCCTAAACAAGGCCAAAGTATATTTGGGACTTTGTTCTACTTAGATAGAATTTATTCACATTCAGTGCTTCCACGGTTTGGGAGCTGGCTGCAATGTCTCCCGTTGAGACTACCCCTTATCGTTACCTTACCCAAGAAATATAATTGCTGCTAGTTAAACTGGCGTTGGGTTACTAGCAACGATGCACAGATTTAGATATGCAAACTCGAGAGAAAAGGCGACATAGGGGTATCTTAGTGTGTACTTGAGTAGCCGTCTGAATACACATGAGAGGCGACAGTTGTGAGTGAAGTTCAAAAAAGAGTCTGAGATCACAAAAGAAAAGATAAGATAAAACCATTTCTGCTGAATTGGTGGATTAGGGGAGTTTCACGATGCTGATTACAAACGAAGTATGTAGTTTGCCGTACAAAATGCATGAGTATGATTTGAACTGGCAAAGCTCATCACCTGCTCACCGAATCATTCGACAGAATTAGATTGCGGGATGGGCCGCCCAGGCTCTTGTAGTTATTCTAAGCCTCAACCCCTCCGTGGCTAGATGTAGTGAACATCAAACGCTAAGGGGCACCCGTCTAGTCAAGTACCATGTTGCTGCGAGTCAGTTTTGCGTTTATCCAAGACGCCCCATCCATGCAGGCAAACAATTCGGAGCATGTCATGAAAATATGTTCCTGATTAAGGCCGGCATGTACGCTTGCGAGGAACCAACAGACTGGGGGCCCATCAATTCTGGGGTGACACTTGACCAGGCTTGGCCATACAAGAAAGAGGGCCGTACTCCAGATCAAACGCTCATCGCATGTAATGGAGTCCTCCAGAATTTTAACCCTAAAAAAACATTCGTGTCAATACTTCATTGCGCCTACTATAGTATGGCTTGCATCATATGCTGACAATTTAATATACATCACTTCGTCCCATTGGCGGAAGCTGCATAGTCATTCATTCCGCAGATCCCAATACCCCTGAATCCTGTGATTGGCCCCCCACCCTTGCATTTGCATAGGCCATGTCCGAAAATGTTCTTTTCAGCTCCTCCTTCCTAGCTCGTTCAAGCACGTTCCGAGGAATCTGTTTGTTCGGTACCACATAACTGCATATCCTACCGAACTGCAGTCTTGGACCCCAAATGCCCTGGTAGGATTAACTCGTCAGCTTGAATGGGATGGCATACACGTCTTTGTTTCTACGTTTGAAAGGTGGTCGCGGTGGCTTTTAAAGATCCTCTCCAAGGTGCAGATCCGGGCATACTTTACCGGCCTTCCTTTCCTCCACCTCCATCACTATCACCATCTCCGTTCGGCATGAGGTTATGAAAAGTCACTTAAAGATGAAGTTTACCTCAGTCATTACCGCGTGGCTGGCACTGGCCTCTATGGGCACTGCTCTAGAACTCATCGCTACCGACACGACTTCCATCACACAAGTCGCCAGCCAGGTCGCCAATGCGCTCTACATCTACTACAACGCCGACTCAACAGCGGGCGACTTCAACCAGCCCGAGCCCTGGTACTGGTGGCTCTCAGGAAATGCCTGGAATGGCCTCATGGACTACACACTCTACACCAAAGATACAACCTACCAGGCCGACCTCCTAACCGCGCTCGCTGAGAACGTCGGCCCCAATTACGACTTTATCCCCGCCTCGCAGACCCTCTGGGAAGCCAACGACGACCAAGCCTACTGGGTCTACAACTCCCTGACGGCCATGGAACACGGCTTCGAGGCTCTCCCCTGCGAAGGAACCGAAGGCGCCTGCGTCAACTCCTGGCTCGCCATCAGCACCAATGCCTTCGAGCTCTTCGCACAGCGCTGGCAAGCCGACAGCGGAACCTGTAACGGCGGGCTCAAGTGGCAGTACAATCCCTCGTCCATGGGGTACTACTACAAGAACAGTGTCACGAACGGGGGGTTCTTCCAGACGGCTGCCCGTCTCGCGCGCTACACGGGGAACCAGACGTTCGCTGACTGGGCAGGCAGGATCTGGGACTGGTCTACGGGGGTTGGGCTCGTGAGTGCAGGCTTTCATGTATTTGATGGAGCGGGCGATGCGGATACCGCAAATTGCTCGGAAATCAGCCAGGATCAGTGGTCGTACAATGCCGCGACGTACTTGCATGGGGCCGCGAACATGTATGCCTTTTCCAGTGGCGACGAGCAGACGAAGTGGGAGACGCGGGTTCTGGGGCTGCTGGGGGCAGCTAATGCTACATTCTTTAGCCCGGAGGCGGATGCGATCGGAGTGATGTATGAGCAGAATTGCGAGAAGACGGCAACATGCACGACAGATCAGACGAGCTTCAAGTCGAGCTTGGCGCGGTGGTTGGGGAGGACGGCGGTTTTGGTACCGAGTACGAGTCAGACAATCATGGGCCTGCTCCAGACGAGCGCTCAGGCCGCTGCGTCGGGTTGTGATGGGTATGGGAACTCGACCTGTGGGATGAAGTGGTGGGCTAATGGGTTTGATGGACAGTCTGACTTGGGGGTTCAGCTTAGTGCGCTGGAGGTCGTTTTGAGTTTGCTGGTAGCCAGCGCGCCGGGGGTGGCGGTTCCGGTGGCGGCATAGTAGAGCCGGCTTGATGATGCAAAGTCGAAAGGCGCACTATGAAAGGCCGAGGAGGGATGGTCTTGTTCCTTGCAACATGAGATGGCGTTCGGAGTTTGAAGGAGATACATGTGAAAATATACCATTTTTAACTCTAGGCTCTCAGTTTCTATCAAAGGAAACTTCTGAGTTGATTATTTACCCGTTCCTCTTGTCGTGTATAGGTATTAGTTGGGGCGTGTTGTCATTGCCTAAAAAATGGGATATTGGCTGATCGAATTCATGTTGGTTCAGTTCCAGTTGGGATAATACCTTCTATTTTATATTACTGTGCAGACCGTAAGGTTAGAATACTTTGCTATACGTAACAGAGGCCAAAAAAACCAACCAGTGAATTTGGCTTTGATAGACGAAAGTAGCTCTTTGGGTGGCAGTAGAGTTTCAAATTATTCTCTATGAATATCGTGCAGATCAAAATATAATAGCATGTAAGTTTTCATTTGTCCGGCAGTCAGAAACATGCCCCAATTCAGAATTTTCGATCTATGATGTGAGATGGTGAGCATGGTAGTTTTCGTGTCTACCTAGATATCTGCAAAGACCGAGTCTGAGTAGCCCCTGGATTTCTGGGTTTAGATTTGAGCCTCAGTCACAACCGACAAGCCTTTCTCCTTCATACCCTTATTTCCTCATCATCTTTAATAAGAAAGAGGATGAGTTAGGCATGTAGGACCATCGTCAGCTGGTGAAAAGAGGATATGTGAGACCTTTCTATTTTATTTTTCATTTCTTGTGTGGCGAGACATGACCAAACATTGAACAGGGTGAGCTGGAATCCACCACTATTCGATCATATATGAAGACGTAAAGACACTACGTCAGTAGAACCTATGAGGTATCAAGGAGCACAATCTAGCAACGTTAAGTTATCAGTGGCTTCCCAGTATGTTCATCATGGATCGTAATAGGGAATCCGACATGCATGTATGATAGTCTATCGCTTAGTCGCATACAAAGCTGTATCGTATCCTCACCAAACCATCGAGATTCATTTAGGCTGTGATGAACGATCTAACAGCTTCTCTCTGGTGAAGACCTGCTCCAGGATGTATGGGTTCGTTCGGCCCATAGAGAGGAACGTCTCCAATTGTGCTTCTAGATGGCGAAGTATCGACATCTTCACAGTGGAGTTCTGCAGAGAGGAGACTAATTGCTGGAGCGATGAGTTGTCTGCCTTCGCAAGCGCCCTGTGCAATGTAAACGAAGTGTCCTTGCCTTCACAGTCGGACTGCTTACCATGTATGTCGGAAGAGGATGCCGAAACTAAGTTCGTCCACTAGTCTGGACCACTTCCTCCCACGTGCAAGATGTGTATTGACGGACCTACGGCGCTGATCTCTTAATGATTCGTTTGCATCGAGAATCCTCGCCGTGACTGTGATTGTAGCTGTTTTTAAGGACTCCCCTGAGGTCTGCATGTCTAGCTGCACTTGGTCTGCGTGCCATCGGCAAAAGCCTATTGCCGCCAAAGCATAGAGAACAGAGCTCTTCTGCCGGTCTTTCAAGCCTGATTCGACCAGATCCATCCATTCTGAGCCGTCTTAATCTGCACCGATATCCTTTGCTCTTCGCAATTAGATGAATATGTGCTTGTAAGTATCTAGAGAGCTACTAGATACGCCGAAGTCTTTTGTCTGCTCAAGGCTGTCACTGGCAGATTCTTTATCTGACTGGGTGACGAGCGCCCAGTAGGATTCCTGCATAGCGTTACTAATGGTGCTTCCCGGTGTGGCCGCTCTGTCTTGGACGGGACTGCCATGACGGCTGCTGCCAACCAGTGTCGTTACTGTGTACTTGGGAGGGGGAATCCCGGGTTTCTAGCACGGCTGCTACCGATCGCTTTGAAGTGCTCCGAGAGGATACGGCCTCGTTCACGGCGGCTGGTCGATTCGGGATGGAAGCGCTCGGAGACGGCAGCATTGGCCAGGTAAGTCGTGAGATGTCCTGCCCTCGCCTGCCATATCTCTTGTGAAATAAAGCGGATCGACAAATTCTTCGAGAAGTTGATCTGTTTCGACGTCATCACTACGGAACTTCTTCCCAGCCTGTTCTTGTTCCAGTTCCCTGATACCCGTAGGATGGTTACAACCCCACCGGGAGGTCTTTGCAGGTTGCTGGAGTCCATGCTTGGACTGCAACACGACCTCCGTCGTAGTCCCAAGTGGAGGCCTCTAGTCGTCCTCTCGCCCAGGGTCGCCCTTGGGCTCCCACTGCTCTTCAGACGTGGGTGTTGGGATGTTTTCAGGTACATCCTTGGGCTGGATATGTTCCAATTCTTGACTGTGCTCGCGTTCGTCCTCGGACTCAGCTGCGTTCTCGCACGCAGATAGGATCTCGGTAGGCTTTGAGCTTTTGCAAGCCTATCTTTGGTTTTACTTACGGATCCACCATCATTGCAGTCTTCAGGTCGAGTGGGCTTTCCCGCAGGTGCCGGTGTCTGTCTGCCTTCATTCTGATCGATAGGATTGAGTTCCTTGCAGCATTGGACAAGCGTGTTTATTTCTTGAATAGAGAGTATCTGTCTTTTGATTTCTAAGCAATCTGATCGGAAATATTGAACATATATACTTTTCAACCCGGGTCTTGATTTAATGCTTTTGCAGCTGGTAGCTAGACACCTTTAGTTCCTGGTAGACTATGAAATGTTCTTGTGACTGGGAACTAAACGACTTTAGCTACCAGTACGTTACTACATGCTTTTTTAGCTGGTAACTTTAGGCCTTTAGCTACCAGTATTTAATGAATGCCTTTGAGACCTGGTAGCCGGACTCTCCTTGGTACTGGGAACCGGAAACGTCTGGCTACTGGTCGCAAATACATAGAGTAGTGTACCGGTAGCAAAGCCTCCAGATCTCTAACATTTTCTATTTGTTATTTTTCAATTTTAATCCCCCAGAAAAGCCCTCGGCTACCAGTACCCTTCTGAAATGCCTGGCTCCTAGTAGTTCAAATACCTGGTGACTGGTAGCCAGACGCTTCCGAATACGAATACGTTATTGAATTTATCTGTTACTGGTAGCCAAAATCTCTTGGCTACCAGTACGCTATTAAATGTCTTCGCAATTGGTAGCTAAAGGGCTACTAGTAACTAATTAGAACCTATGGCTACCAGTAGATGCAGCTCCCAGCTCATGCCAAGATGTGATACATGATTCTCGCCGTACAAGTGCTGGTTCTAAGAACCGGTCTAATATATAATTCATGATTTTAAGCCAAAGACCACACTTCGATTTATGCAAGCCATATACAATCAAAGACTATTATCCGCGGGCGGATATGTACGCAGCAAGACCTGGCTCTGCTGCATTCATCCGTTCGGCGGTGTGGGTCAATTCTGATGCACTCCAACTTGCAGCCGCTGTAGTGCCGTCCCTAACATCGGCAGAGAGCTGATCCGCGATATGCGAGTTCAAATTCAGATACCCAGCCGCCGTGGTCTCACAGCCGCAACTAGTTGACCCGAGCTTTTAGGTTGCATCCCTTTAGGTCTGCTAGGGCGGACCATGTGAAAAATGTAGTTTAGCAGGTACTTTTGAATACACGTCGAGTTCACTCTCCATTTTGACCTGCTTCCTTGGGTCGTGACACTATATCACAGACAAAGAACAACGACGGGATTTCCTCGTCTAAGCCCTCTTTAATATTAAGTGAACCATCCTCCCCCTGGTAAAAAAAAGAAAAAGAAAAATAACAAGATAGAAAAAAGGATCCTAATGGCTAGCGTACTGGATACATGATACAATGCCTCTGAGTGGTAAAAGTAAGAAATAAAAATAAAACTTTAGAAAAAGATCTTAGCCGAGCATGTGAATCACTATCATAAGAACGGCTACAAGACCTTCCCCTCTGGATGAGCTTGAGACGCTATACTTGCTATATAAGGCCGGCTTGATCAAGGAGGCTCATTCTTTGATTACAGTTCAGGGCATTAGTTCTCAAATATCTCATCAACAACAGATATCTACAATGAAACCTGCTTACAAGAATTACTAGTGCAGATTATAGATCCAGCTTCGCAAAAACGCAGCTATAGATGAAATCCAGGGCAGACAGGACTAACCATAAATTCGAAACCGAAGAGATCAGATTCCCTAGTCAAGTTGCTATTAAATTCAATATACGGTAGCTAGCAAAACTATTACTCGACGGAAAGATTAAGGGATACTTAAATAAGTTCGTAGAGGATTACTTCTCTGAGAGCACCAAAAGGGCGCTTCAGTATTGAAAGTCTTAATTCGGCATAATAAGAATAACGAATTTCGATTATCAGGAAATATAGTAACTAGGATTACAATAGAGTTTAATAGACCCATATTTAGGCTTCTCCTAGAGAAGAGGGGACATCAAGTCACGATCACAGAGGACGTCGTCAAGGCGGTAGCAGAAAATCGGAGAAATAGAACAGACGTAATGGCCCTCCTGTTAGAAAAGAAGGGAGATCAAGTCACGATTACGGAGGACGTGGTCAAGGCGGCAGCAGGGAATTACTATAATAGGAGAGACGTGATGGCGCTCCTTCTGGAAAAGAAAGGAGATCAAGTCACGATCACAGAGGACGTGGTTAAGGCGGCAGCAGGGAATGAGGAAAATAGGAGAGACGTGATGGCGCTCCTTCTGAAAGAGAAGGGAGATCAAGTCACGATCACAGACGACGTGGTCAAGGCGGTAGCGAGGAGCTTTGGTATAATATCGCAAGGCTTTACAATGCCGCGAAGTCTGGAGATGTCCAAACCCTGCGACGACTCTTAATCCAAGAGGTTAGCCCCGAGTTCACGAATATTGAAGGTGAGACACCTTTGTGGATTGCTGCTGCTGAAGGGCATCGGGATATTGTGGAGGTTCTGATATGAAGAAATGATGTTGATATTATGTCGGCCGCCGATATTTTGGCCGTCTGCTTATGGATATAAAAACATAGTGGAGCTCTTCATAAAGGCTGGTGCGGATCTAAACTTTCAGGATGAAAATGGGCAAACTGCTGTTTCGATCGCGAGGGAAAATGGACATGAGGGGGTAGTTCGAATCTTAGAGCAGTCCACTATGAGGTTGGAAGGTACGGCCAAGTACAGGGCTACAAAACCCCGCCCCAAAACCAGAAGTAACCATCATAGAAGAAGAAAAAAAAAATCTTTTTTTTGGCCTTCATATAAATCTCTATGTACACGAGACGTTAGACTGTGATATAACGTATTTCACCCCCATTCCGACACCCCTGTAAACCCCAACAATAACCACACCGCTATTTACATTATCCTTTTATTTCTCAACCACTTTTGCTTCAATTGACTTTATTCCAAGTATTCGATCTGATCTGCTATCAATGCCTTCATATACGGAAGAAGACCTCGCTGCCGCCGTTCTAGACGTCGCAAATGGTAAATCTGTGCTACGCGCTGGCCTGGATTGGGGTATACCAAGGACTACACTTATCGACAGACTTCAAGGCGCTGAATCAAGTCGCGGGTTCGAATCCCGCAGCTGACACACAAGGGGGTTTAGTCAACCCTTACGGCGCGCTGCCCACCTTGTTGACTTCGCCTACCTAGCGATAATAGGGAGATTGGTGCAGTTTAGGATTACGAGCATCCTAGCCAGTCGACCGTCAAGCACTACGTCGGCGGAATATAACTCGACAGCCGGTCCAAAATTCGAATCGTTAATCCGACCCCTTATCGGACCCCCTCTCGCCGCGATTCTTGCGAGCGTCTAGACCACGTTACGGTCTATCCACTTGAGCGTATGGTTGAGATGTATACGCTCGACGAGAACCCCAATTAGCAGATACTACGACTTGTCGCGACAAAAAATAGTCGAGCATCTTCTGCACATCAGCAGCATCCCACCCCTGAGGACGAATTTAAGTGCCACATTACCACACTTATCGGTAGTTCAGGCAGGGGTTGTAGCACAGACTTAGGGAGGGACAGGAGGTTTAGTAGTCGTTTGGCTACAAGTTTACCTGTATAACCGCCCGACGCGGCTTAAGGGCCCGCTATATCATCTATAGCCCCTTAAGGGAGTACTTGTAGAGGTACCGAGGGTTAACACCTACGGCGTATTTAATATTATTTATTTTTTATTATTATTAAATACGCCGTAGGCTCGAAGCCCCCGGTACCTCTACTAGTACTCCCGTATGTCAAACCGTGCCCTAATGGCTGGACTAAATACATACGCTGCGTCGTCGGTTCGCCCTATTGGCGACTGCGTTGCGTTCACTACCATACTACGTTGGTTCTCAACCTACCAACAAAGTCCCCCCTGAGAAGATCGATGCTATCTGGGCCTTGAAGCTGTCCGACCCGTCCCTAGCAGCCACCTTACAATAGTCCCACTAACTACTGGTTCTCCTGTTGCCGTTGCGATGTCTCTGCGAGAGTATAGTGGCCGTGGTGCGATAGCGGCCCGTAATCGTTCCCTCGGTCCTTCCAACAGCCCGCAAAAGAGGATTACGTGCTCTGCCGTCTCAGGGGCGTCGCCACAGCGGCATAGCGGCGAGTACACGCCAAAAGCCCCTGTCTTGAATAAGAAGGCTGCTAGTCCTATTTTTTCCGTCCTGATCTGGCACAGAGTAGACGCTTCCAGTCGGTTCAGGCCGAAATACTTGCCCCCTTTCGGTATCTGCATCGAAGGGCCCTCCGGTTCCTCAGCGATGGCGCGTCGCTGGCGATCGTGATGCTCTGCTCCGGTGAGCCATCTCTTCCTCCAGTGGCCGAGGAGGGCAGCCGGGACCTCCTTTTCCTCACTCATCCACTCGGAGCCCCGGACCTCCTTCTCCATAGTGTACCCTGCCGGTCGGAGTAGCTGCGACGCCTGCTTCCTCTTCGCCGGTCTATCCTGCCGGAGTATATGTGACGCTTTAGCGCTCGCGCTGCGAAGCAGATTTCTCTTCCCGCTAAGCCGTAGCCGTTCTTCAAACTTAGCAGCCCGGGCACTAAGATAGAGGTCTAGTGGCGGGATTGCTGCTTCTGCTTCCAGGTGGCGAACCGGCGTCGCTTTGTGGGCGCCACAGACTACCCGGAGGCACTCGTTCTGTATCCCCATCAGGCTCTTAGCTGGCCCTGCCGGTTCCTCACTTATAGTATGCCACGCAGTCGCCCCGAAGGCGATCGCGCTACGGATAACCACCGTATATAACAGCCTCGCCCGTATAAGATCGCAGCCCCACGACATATTGACTAGCTTTGTCAGGGCTAGCTTTTGAGTTGCCATTTTTGTTTTAACACGCTCAACATGGGCGTGCCACGTCAGTTTGCGGTCGAACCAGACTCCTAGGAACCTCGCTGAGACTACCGGCGACACTGTGGCGTCCCCAAGGCGAATACTTTGCGGCAAGGGCTCTCGGGCCCTAGTAAAGTGCATTAGCTCACTCTTGTCAGGAGCGAACTCCATCCCGTGCCTCACTGCCCACCGCTGACACGTAGCCCATGCGCTCTCCAACCGGCGGCAGGTCGTGTCTGGATCGGTGCCGACGCTTAGCAGGTTCGTGTCGTCCGCGAACTCGACTACCAAAAGTAGTGGGTGCTGCTCCGCTAGCTCCTCGTACAGCGTTGAAATGTATAATATAAACAGTATCGGGGATAGCGGTGACCCCTGGGGGACGCCAGCTCGTAGGGGGATTGGCTCTGACTCCTTGCCATCGAACCGGAGGCGTACCGTCCTATCCTCCACGAAGCTGCGTACCCACTCCTGAACCCACTCCGGGTAGCCTTTCCGGGCTAATATTGAAATCAGCCGTCTGTAATTGACCGTATCGAATGCCCCTTGATGTCTAGCTGTAGAAGCGAGGCGATGCCCCCGCGTCTCCACGCCGTATAGACCACGTCCTCAACTATACGTATTGCCAGTTCGGTGGACCTCCCAGCGCGGTTACCCATTTGGCCGTTTGGTAGTAGGCCGGCGGCCTCAGCTACTTTGGTGATACGCTGGCTCATCGCCGTCTCTATTACCTTCCCTACCGTGCTAAGCAGGGCAATGGGGCGCCAGCCGCCAGGGGTCTGCTTCTGAGCTGTCGTTTTATTAGGCTTAGGGATAACAACCACCCTCGCTGAGCGGAAGCGCTCCGGGTAGTACCCCAGCCTAAAGCTAGCTGTTGCCAGATCCGCTAGGATCTCCCATAGGGGTTCACCGCAGGCCTTTAGCAGGCCAGTGGGGATCAGGTCGTCGCCGGGAGCCTTCCGAGCAGCCGTTCCTTTGATGATAGACTCTGCTTCAAAATTACATATTCCTGCAATTCAAGCGATTAAGCCGCAATGCAGGTATAATATGGATGAGCATGGCCTTATGGAGGGTCAAGGGGGCTCTGGGATAGTTGTCGGGAGCGCTACCTTACGCGCAATACACCAGAAACAGCCTGGTTCGAGGGCGTGGACGTCAATTTTGGAATGTGTGGATGCCCTCGGCAATACCTTACCCCCCTAGTTATTTTCAAGGGCAAGGACGTCCAAGAGCAGTGGTTCCCTGATAAAAATCTTCAGGACTTCAAGGACTGGCGCTTCAAGGCATCCCCCAAGGGCTGGACGGACTATACGATAGCTATCAAATGGCTTGAAGACGTTTTTATACCCCTTACGCTTCCTCAGGACCCTTCAGACACTCGTTTACTTATTTTGGATGGTCACGGTAGTCACACAACTAATACTTTAATGTCTCTTTGCTATCAAAACAACATATACTTATTATTTTTACCCCCACACTCATCTCATGTCCTTCAGCCCCTCGATGTTGGGGTGTTCACAGCTATGAAAACGGCATATCGCAAGGAGGTCGGGTTTTTAACCCTATTAACTGATTCAGCACCTATTGGCAAGCGGAATTTTATGCGCTGTTACGCCAGAGCACGCCAGAGGGCCCTAACGGCTCAAAATATCAAGTCTGGTTGGCGTACAAGTGGTCTATGGCCCCTAAATGTCGCTAGGCCCCTTACTAGCCCTCTTCTGTTTGAAAATAGCAACCGTACACGTCACCAAGGTCCAGACATTCTTATTACAACCCAGCAAGTCCAGAAAACGCTCCAGACGCCTTCAGAGGGCAATGTTGTATGGTCAACGCCAAAGAAGAGCGTAGATATAGAGCGCCAGTTTAGGGAGTTCAATCGACTCCAACAAACTAACATGACTACACAACGCCAGCTATTTAGAAAGATGAAAAAAGGGTTTGATGAGAAGGATTATCTATTAGTAAGCGCAGAATTACAAATTGAGGGCTTGAAACAGCGATTGGAGCTTATGAAGCCACGGAAAAAAAATAAGGTGCAAATAAGTCCAAACGCGAAATTCGCAAGGATTGAGGACGTACGGCGGATGAGGGAAGTATCTAATGAAGCTCTTGTTGATGATTCGGGTTCAGAAATATCTAATGTATCTACTGTCGAAAGCGACTGTATAGTTGTTCAGAATTGAATTTGTGGTGGTTGTTTGAAACTGCAGTGTTATTCGTGGTGTTTTGTTGTATAGGGTGTCGGAATGGGGGTGACATACGTTAATGGAAAAAGACTTGGATTTCGTAACGACTACCCAGGTCAGGAGCTTTTTGAATACCCAGTCCATTCAAGTGTTAGTGGGTGATATCAGCTAGATTTTTTTTAATATGCTACGACGGCGAAGAAAACCGTAGGTGCTAGAAATACTAATCAGGTGAGATGGTTATCGCGCGTCCAGCATGATGCTCCCCATCGTGAATCCATACGCAAAAGATGTGCCACCTATTCTGAAAGCGGCCCTGGAGGTTCATCATTACTTCCCAGAAGTGGGTTATATTATTATAGTCTGGGCACCGCGGATTACCCTCTCCGGATCAGTGATATGCCCTAGCAACGATCTACTTCCATTGGCTAAAATATGGCTAGGTAGATCATTCCCTGGTGGTGCGAAGGATGCATAACACTGCAATAAAGATGCAGTTCTAAGAATTACCTAATGCCATCCCCATCACAACCGAATTTGGTTCAGTCATCCTATAGATAGAAAATTATTGGTTACCGGGATGCGCCTCGAAAAACGAGGATAATCTGGTTATACACGCAACTTTTATCTGTATAGGCTGAATCAAAGCCGCAAAGTTCGCCTGATGAAAGAATCGGACAGGACTTAGCTTAACGATTTAAGCCTTGGAGTAGATACATTTGATAGCTAAATTTAATAGGGACAAATATAAATCAAGTTATACAACGCATTATATTATCTTCTGATTAGTTGCTTCCTTTTCTGAATATGGCGAGACTTTCTTTTGCCACTAAATAACTCTGGTTGCTAAGTTATGATAAATAGAGAACCTTACATGGACCTACTGCTTTGGGAAAGCACTGCATTGCTTAAGACGGCTGGAGGTTTCAGGCCTTCCGTTGTTTGATATATTCGTGCGGCAAGGAGTCGAGATGATGAGCCTTGGCTAACATTAAGTTCCCCAGTAACTTGTGTTTTGGGTCTCTGGCTGATATTGAGCTATGATGGGCTTAGAGATATTACTATTGTAGATGAAGGGCGACTCTTTGGCTTCACCACCTCAAAAGTAGAAAATATTCGAGGATCTATGTATTATGAGTAAGTTGGGCATTCGGTCAGCCATTAGTCTTCTAGGTGCTTCCTCCTCGTCCCTCGCTGGCCACGACTGAGGAAATCCCGCGCTTCTCGTATCCTACATCCCATAGTCTTATGTCCTTGAAAGTCACGCATATACCGAGATGCTTTTCTCATCCAGGCCCCTCGAATCATGCAGCCCAAATCACGTCCAAGATGTAATACGATCAATTAAACGGATGGTTCCATCGGTTCCTGATGCAGTCTGTGCGTGGAACGAGCCTCGACGGGAAATCTGCCCTGTTACCATGCGGTCAAGGGTGATAGGGGCTGTTAGGGGCCCATTTGTATTCATTGGCCAGGGCGTAGGACAAGATTCTGAAAAATTCAATATCGCAAGGATGATTGGTTCGTAGCATTGCTTGTGATGCCCCTGATACCTAGCTAGTCTTTGCTTTTCGTATCATCAACTCACAGCGATGCACATATGGATTGGTGGCGATGACATGTGAAGCAGGATCGCTCACTTGCTTTGATGTTTAGGTCGCTTAGAAGTAAAGTCCGGTCTGCCTTTTTGGGTGACAAATTTAGGGAGATGAAATATCCATATCATGTCGGCAAGTAGTGTATATGGCTAGGAAGTATTAAGGCTACGGTTAAAGCAAAACGTCGGAGTGTGCTCCGATGGCCGTTTGAGTGCGTTCCAACTCCGCAGCCCATGTGGATGCTGAAATTCCATGCTCAAGAGCCGAGCGTCGGCCCTTCCAAAACCGTCCAACGCTGCCACCAGGATCCTGGAACCACATGTCGCAGTTACTGTACTGTTTCGGAGCAGATGAAAAGAGGAAGACGCTCGTGTCCATGTATTTCGGTTTAATTAATAGGCCCTTCTGTATTAGTTCTTGGTTTTTTTGGGTTGTCACACCATTATCTGACCAGGGTGTCAATCTCAATATACTCCCTACGTAGGTATAGTTCATCGGCCTACACGTCTGTATTTATGCTATTACCCAACTCAGCTATCTAACGTGGCTTAGTCTAAATCATGACTATTTCTCTAAGACTACCGAATGTTGTTAACACTTCGAGCGTATCCATATTCCGAAGTAATATTTGGTTCCTCTGATATTACTTGATCGTGATATGGCTTCTACTAAGCTTTGGTACGCGTGTTTAATCCCTACTTGTGATCAGCCTTACAGAGGTGGGGTGCGTTGTGTTGAAGGAAAACCCTGGGCTAACCCAGGCCCATCGGACGAAGACGATTAACGTCAGGCTCCTTCCACCATGTTGCATGATGATGATTTACGCGCTGCGTGAGAATCGGCAGCTTGTGATGCTACGTCCATATCGAAAGTTTGGCTACAGGTGCCGATCGAGACGTGTCGCTTGAAGATATGCTCCAGGTGTCAGTGCCACTAGGAAGCCTTGTGGTTCTTGTGAGATGATCAAGTCAGTTGGCAACGACCCAAGCTTCCAGAGCCAAATTAACTACGCTTCTGTCTCATCTGAACCACCAGTTGACTGAAGCATTGAGGCCTCCATCCTCAGACCCACTGCGCACACTGTGCCACCATCCGTTGGGGATGAACAAGCAGTCCGAAGGCCCCAGAACCGCCTCTTGAATGTCATCCGGTGCTTGGGGGCCCCAAACTGCTTTGTGCAACGCGTCTCGTTCGTTACCAGACATCATCTCTTCTCCTCTGATGTTGGGATTGCCGCCGCCTCCAATCTCGTTACGAACCCGCGTGTATAGATCCTTGCCTCGTGCTGGGGGCAATAGTCTGACTCTCTTGGTGCTGGCCATTTGCACGAACAAATTTGGGTTCGGGTCGCGATGTAAAGGTGTGAACGTCGGCTCAAGACCCAGCCAGATGCTCGTGTTATATATGTCTCCTTTACCAGCGCGCTTGACGATTTCCGGCGTGATTAGATCCTTTTTAAGGAACAGCGGGAGATCCTCCAGCGGAAACTGTGCTATGTAGAGTTCTTTGATCCGCAGGTCGCTATTTTCTTGATACCTGTTGTACTCCGCAGCCTTCAACAAGAGACCAAGTTGAGCATAAAAGGTAGCAAACTCTGAATAACATAACGGTGGCTTAGTTAAGAGGCACAACTGTTCGTAAGCATTCGCGAACGGTGCGCCCTCGTTGGAAAATAGCCAAATGTCAGGATCCTTGTGCGGAGTATATAGCCATCTCTGGAACTCGTCCAGGGATTTCCGGTTTGAGGGGTTCATGACGATCTCGTAGCGAATTTTCTCCAATTTGAAATTGTATAGATAGTCAGTAAACGAAGTCTGCATGCCATTTTCGTGTTTGAGGAACCAGCACTTTATGGCTGGGAGCTGCCCTGCCCCAGCAAGTACTAAAGGTGTCTCGGGAGTGAAAGCGAGGCGGCGAAAGGCATTGACATCAATGTTATTCGGGGCAATCTGGACTTTCTTGACATTTGATCCAGCAGACAGAGCTTTGCGGTAGCTTGGTGTGGTGTTGAAGGCTCTCCAGGGGGCAGCAGAAAGGAGCTGTGGTGCTCTGCGGAGTGGCCGCAATCTCATATTTCCCTGTTTTCTCCGCAAGCTCGACAGCTGAGAGAAGGGTTGGTGGTCGAAGAACAGAGTGAATAAAAGCCAGCCGAATCATTTAAATTTCTTGCTCAAGATTCTGTCGGGGGGGAATTTTGGTGGATTTGGAGGTCTAAGTGACTTCCGTGACTTAGCTTTGGAAGGGAAAGCGACGTCGATCATGTTGCGTCTCCATCAAGGCCGGCTACTAGGTAACCAACCTGGTCACCGCACAGTTGTGATGCACGGACCATCACCCAGAGCCACAGCACTGGGCTGGGCGAATTTGATTGCCCCAGATTGAAATTGCAAGGCTCTTGCGCCAACTCGCAGTCAACACCACCCAACATCCACCACCAGGCATCAATAGTATCTGTCTGCACTCTACAGCGACTCTGCAAATCCCGACCACTCTCCCTCTGGCTTCTCGCTCTCGTGCCAGGCAGATATCGCGTCATGCGGACGCCCTAGGATCCTTCCCCCCCCCTTTTCCATCGCAAACGAGCAGGCGCGGGGTTCTTGGATTGCACGACCTTCGCAAACTCCCCCGCCGATATCAGGACCCCTCCAGTGAAGCCGGCGAAAGCATTATATCGATATCAAGCCTTGGTCGCACAACCACTGACATCATGTCTACGTCTTCTGGCACCCCCGAGTCCTGGATCTCCTCCTTCTGTTCCCTCTTGGGCCACGAATACTTTGCTGAGGTATCGGAGGAATTTATTGAAGATGACTTCAACCTAACAGGCCTGCAGTCGCAGGTGGCCATGTACAAGGAGGCTCTTGAGGTGAGGCTACGCGTTTTTTAATGTCCCTGCGAGCATCATTGCACATGCTAACGGATCGTAGATGATACTCGATGTCGAACCCGAGGACGACGAGGATGAAGAAGAGGAGGAAGACGAGGAAGAGGATGAGTCGATCGAAGGCGCCGATAGGATGCGGCAGTCCGAACGACGAAACCACAGCCGCGTCGCGAGCGACCTCTCCGTCATCGAATCCTCGGCCGAGATGCTTTACGGCCTCATCCACCAACGATTCATATGCTCTCGCGCTGGCATTCAACAGATGTCAGAGAAGTATGAACTGGGACACTTTGGCGTATGCCCCCGTAGTTACTGCGAACAGGCGCGAACGCTGCCCGTCGGTCTATCGGACATTCCGGGAGAGGACACAGTGAAGCTGTTCTGCCCCTCCTGTCTTGACGTCTACGTCCCGCCCAACAGCCGCTTCCAAACCGTCGATGGTGCTTTCTTTGGTCGCACCTTCGGCGCATTATTCCTCTTGACCTTCCCCGAATACGACCTGACTAAGCGAGGCGCCGACGTGCTAGCAGGTGCACGAGTGACCGAAGACGAAAAGGAACAAATGTTGAACGGCATGTACGTGTGCAACATTGCCCCTGGCTTAGGCGGCACTAAGATTTACCACCCGCGCATCTACGGCTTCCGCGTATCCGAAGTGGCTCGTTCCGGTCCGCGCATGAAATGGTTGAGGGGCAAGCCGGACGACATGTCGGAACTGGACGAGGCGCGTCGTTTTGCCGAGGACAACCCGGACAGCGAGGACGAGGACGAAGCGAGCATGAACTTGAACGGACGGCCTATGCATCGGCTACGACCCCGAAGACGACAGGGTCAGGGTGGGAGTCCGATGGCAGTAGAGATGAATGGTGCCGAATCAGGACTCTAAGATAAGAAAGAGAAAGCACGTCAGTTGTTCCAAGATCAGATTGCCCGTCATCTTGGCCGGGACTTCGGACCTGCTACAGACAAAAAGAATAGCAACAACAACAACAACAACAACGATGTCACAGAAGACGGTCCCGGAGCCCCTATCGACCCTATATCGAGCCTTTCAACGAGCACCTGGCTCATAATCGAATTTGAGATGAATAGAGCATTGGGCTTAGGGGCTACAGTGACGAACCACGCGACGTTGTGCAAGGGTTTAAATCACATGGACGGCGTTGTAGAGGTTGCGGGTACCGTTACATGCGAGGGCGTTGATTCACTCAGGTTGGCATAGGAAGGAAAGAGAACGGCCCAGGGAAGCAGTACATGCATGTTATGCGGTTCCTGTTGAATAGGACGCGGGTGCTCGGTATAATTGCACTCAGGGGACTTATAGACAGCGTTCGTTCGCAATAATCAATGCCCTTCGAACTTGGTAATAAATGTAGACGTGTGCGAAATGATCATGACACCTACTCGTAGCTATGAGTTTGGGTGTTTGCAAACTCACTTCCTTGCCAACCACGGCGATACCAAATCATGTGCTTACTTGGGTAACCTAGAGTTTGGAAACCATTCGTTGTTACTTCAGTTGTGGACGGATTGAACCGTCCACAACTGAACAGCGGAAGACAGTAAGCCAATCGGATCAACACCATTGACTACAATGCCGTTTGGTTGAGTGCATCAAACTCTACAGGCTTCCAGACCACTAGATTCGGGCAGATACACAAGGCTCTCTGTCCATCACTGATTCATGCCCAGCCGAGCAATCACGAAGCCAATCAATACAAGAGCTTGAAGCTTCCAATTACCAACATCCTGGACGTGCACGGAGATCCGAGCAACTCTCCAATATTCTTAATCGACGGAAAAAGATTGCACCATGAACTCAAACCGCAACAAACTGATCGGCAAGAGCTTTAAAATAGATCGTCATTTTGGCGGCTCGATGCAGAAGCTCACGGGAAGCGGAAACAAGGCCAGTCCGTCCGTTATCTCCATCCAATCTTTGAATCTCCGCCGCCTTACCGGCGGCTTTTTATTTTTTGTGTCGCGGCCGATCGCGCCTCTCTTTCGCGGAGTACTCTTTGCTTTCTCGGGTTGATTATGCCACAGACAAAGAAATGGTGAACTATGACTCGGGGTTGTGCCTTCGGCATGCGGAACTAATGCGTAGCCTAATTTAAAGAAATATACGAATCATTGCTTGTCAAGGTGCAGCTTGACCGGCTTGAGTCAGGATGCTTTAAAGCACGTGTTCCTGGAACACCGCAGCTGAGTAGAACGGCCTACCCGTGCCACACCCCACTTATTTCGGATTCGCTTGAGCTCACCAACTTGGCCAGTTTTTCGACACTTTCAACTTCAACCTATCCTATCTTCGTCAATTCATTAGCTTTTTCCAATCGCAATGGACTCATAGCTACAGGAAGCCGTCCTCTGCATGCGAGAGCATCCTCAAGCCAAAATTGCCAAGATTGCGCGAGAAAGCGGCGTAAAACGCGAGACCCTCCGATACCGCGTCAAGCAAGCTGGGAAGACTAAGAACCACGGAGGACTCAACAAACTACTATCTGAAGCCGAAGAAAAGGCCCTCTGTAATTACATCGACCGCCTTGATAGGATCAATCTTGCGGTTCGCGTAGAATTTGTTACCGACGCTGCAAATACGATATTACGTGAGAGAGTCAAGGTTCTACCAAATCAGCCACCACCAACAGTCGGATCAAACTGGACTACACGTTTCCTCAAGCGCCATAGCTACTTCCACGCTTCCCAGCGGAAGCTCCATTCAAACCGCCAGACTGCTGAAAACCTCGACACTATACGAGAGTATTTTACACGGCTTGAGAGAGTCCTCCGGGAAGAAGGAATCGATCCCTCTGATCTCTGGAATATGGACGAGACTGGCTTCCGGATTGGTGTTGGTAAGGATCAACTTATCATTACTAAGCGCAAGAGGGCCCATTACTTCGGCCTACCAGAAAATAGAGAGACAGCGACAGCTATTGAAGCTATCTCTGCTGCTGGCGACGTAATACCAGCTTTCCTCATACTCACGGGGACTATCCACTCGGCTCAGTGGTACGCGCAAGACCTTCATCCAGATACGAAGCTACGGCCGGTCGATACAGGCTATTCGAATGACGAGATCTCTCTCGAGTGACTTATGCACTTCGAACAACACTCTAAGAAAACGCAGAAAGGTCGAAAGCGACTATTGATCTTAGACGGCCACGGCAGCCACCATACGAAGCAGTTTATCCAGTACTGCAACGACCACGATATCATACCCTTCGGCTTGCCCCCCCCATCTTACTCATCTCTTACAGCCACTAGATGTGGTTGTTTTTCAGCCATATAAGCACTGGCATGCGAAGTCCCTCGATCAGCTAGTACGGGATGGATGTACCAATATAACCAAGCTAGAGTTCCTCTCAATTATCGAAGATGTACGCAAAAAGACCTTCAAAGCGAGTACTATCCAGTCAGCCTTCAAGAAAACCGGTATATATCCATTTTACCCTCATCCAATACTACAAGAGATTGAAGAACGTATACCAAAGACGCCATCACCACCACCAGCCCCTTCATCTTCGTCATATGAAGGCACACCTACTACTTTTTGACAAATTAATAAAGTAGCTAGCAAGATTACGAACTGTCTTACTGATCCAGAGCTTGGTATTAGTCCAGATCTAGCCTATCGACTTAGTCGCTTTGTTAAAGGGTCCCTCGTTGTAACGAAACCTCTAATAGTCTAGCTGCGTAAACCACTAAAGAGTCTGTAAGGGTTTGTGCTAGTAAGTAAGTCCTGCTGCGGAGTCCTTTAGCAATAATATCGGGGTCTGACGTATGGAGTATAGGGCTCTGGGTAACCGAAGTATTCAAGTAGGGTAACTGGGAATAGAGTCGTCAAGGCGGTTTGCCTCACCAATGGGTTAGATTGATGCTTAGATTGATCACTGAAGTAGAGACTGTCTATCTATGAAATGCCTGGGAGTCCTGTCCCTTATATAGCCGTCTCTCCTTCACTGATCCCCACTTGGATATGTTCTCTGCCAACATATCCTGTTGGTTGGATATGTAGTTGACCAACATATCCACCCCTGTAGGTCACGTGATCTGTCGGTCTTTTCCTTTCTCCGATGCGGGGTCCCGTGATCCTAGCGTCTGTATCCACCTGGCCTGCCAACGGGCCTGTAATGTTGGTCTAGGGCCAACGGTTCGTAACACTCGTTAATGCGACCGAGCTTATACAGACTAAGCGCGATCTTAGCCGTACAAAGTACGCCGAACGTATATCAAAACAACGGCGCGCTACGAAGAACTATCATCTTCAATCTGGTGGAGTTTTATCCGTTGCAGAAGGTAGAGAGATGGTGAAGAGGAAGGTTGAAGATGAGGTAGCTAAAGCACAGAGAGTTCTCGCCAAGTATCATGAAGGACTACGTAGAGTAGCCAAAAAGAGCTTTTCTGATGCCGCAAAAGAAGCTAGAAGATGTCGATTGACAGGCCAATTACAGCCTACAGATGTCTTCGAGACAGGCCTTGGTTGGCGGTTATTACGCAGATTCTAATTGAAGGTTGAAATCCGTCGAAAAACTGGCCAAGTTGGTGGTGAGCGAATCCGAAATAAGTGGGGTGTGGCACGGTACTATGTACTTGTCGACTTGCCAAGGCATCGTTGGTTGGCACAAGCATGGCTTTCGGTGTGCCGGCCGCGGGGGCCAAGATGGGAGTCACCGCGGGTAGCACAGACGGGAGGAGCCATGCGAGTTGTTCCGACTTCCAACGACTTGCACAGCATTAGCCAACCATTCAGGGACACTGCATAACTCAATAACGTTCACCGAGTAACCTGCCAGCGCCTACCTGCATTCGCATTCCTCTTTGTATAGTCCAACTGACCTACTTGCTTCATGTTGTTATACTCGCTGCGTTAAATGATGGGATGCTGCTAGCATTGGTCAATACTCCCGCATGAAGCGGTTGCAAATACTGGCATAATCCCACGGCAACTCGCGGGAGCTTATGTATCTTAGTACGGGCCACCATATCGGCGTATTTCGCGGGTACCTTCCTTTGCCAAACGCATTTGTTACGTTTACAAATCGTCCAGCTGCTGGATTCTGGGTTGTCAGCCTCGCTACATCAATCCTACTCCATTGGCAATGCTTCCAAGGTCCACACATGTTGGTGCCATTTGTAAGCTACTACGGGCCTGGCTGCTCAGACCTTTATCGTTATCATCTGGCAGCTCGGCTACAAGCCCTCAACTCCGGGTTTGAAATTAGTCAGGCTCCAGCCCCACACGTCTGAAATTTGTCTATGCCAACCCTTACTATACAGTATTAGAAAGTCGAGTGAATTGGAGTCGGCCTTGGAGTTGGAGACAAACCTGTGGATATCCCACCGTTTGCCTCAACGAAGTCATTCTGATTCATCATGACGCGTGCACCCTCTGAGGGTCAATTGCTGAGGCTTCTAGTGCTGACGTTGGCGTAGAACGACGTTGGAAGCTTGCAGAAACAGACCGCAAGACACGGTTTCACAACCGTTCCTTAGCGGGACTGAACTACTGACATATCAGTATCATTAGTAATCGTCAAGACGAGGGATCCCTGAACCGTCAGCTCGGCCATGGTCGTCAATGAACCATCAGCATTGGCCGGATGAGTGCGGACATGCTCAGATTTGCACATCTTGTCACTTTGTCGCGTTACGGCACTCTGTGATGCAGAAATCGAGCCGATCAGTTGGGTTGGGAGTTCCTGCGAAATGGCGACACTGAACCGCCATTCTGGTTAGTTGCTCGGGCGCATCCCAACAAGTGTTGACTTGGCTGATGTGTGCCCAAGGCTACGTGTTTGAACAGAGTTCACACGGTACTTAAATCCATCCGAAGCACCGCATGCCGCGTTTTGCCATCCCTTTAGAGCTGCCGGTGTTCGCCCGGCAGCCAGTGGCTTGCCATGAATGACCCCAAGCACGCCAAGTGGAGCCGGCGAAGTGTCATTTCACTTCCCGGAAAACGGGCACTCTAGCCTAGCTGTTCGAGGTAGGTACACTACCACGGCCAAGATGGCTGATATAGTGGGGTTAGTCGACGATCTCATTCGTAAATATAAAAGTCCCCGAAGGTCGACAGGGGAAAGATATTAGATTAGTCAGATACTGCCAAGCCATCAATACCAAGACGGTAAGAGAAAGGAAGGCACGGGGTTGACTGCGCCTGGCAAAAGCCGATGACGCTCTTCCTGTGCTTCTTTAAGGTGCTGTTCTCTTTTGCCCTTCCTCCGTGCCGCCTCTTAGATTGATCATTGCTTTTCTTCATTCCTTGACCTCCACCAGGCTCCGTTTTCGAGAGTGGCTTTGGCAAGCTCCTCGCCTGTCAGTCGCCAACACAAGGATCCTTCCCTTTCCTCCGACCTGTAACAGTCGTAGCTTGATATTGATTTCGCCGACTTACACGCAGAGACTATCCCTCCTCAACCACCTCTCGATCTGTGTCGCACCACGCCTCTCGCAATGGCAGAGGAAGACGTGGAAAAGGACGCCATGGCGGTTCCGGCTAGCGGCACAAATATCGCTTCCGACAGGGTGGTAGCGCCATCGCCCAGTGGTACCAGATCATCATCGACGTCGTCGACATCCTCCTCAGAAGACCTAGAAGAAGCGCGTCAGCGGGTGCGCCAAAACAACCCCAATGGCATGTCCAGGGTCAACACGGGTGTGTCGGTCGAACAAGCTGAAGCAGACTTCGTCGGCTTGCAGCGCGAACTATCGATGGCTAGTCGAAGGAGCAGCCGGGCCAGTTACGCTGGGCGCCCAGATGCCGATGTCGAGAAGATGGCAGAAGGGACTCCCGACTCTGTCTCTACCGAAGAGCTATTCGACTTGGAGTCGGTACTTCGTAGTGGGCTGGATGCGGAAAGAGAGGCCGGCATCCGGCCGAAGCACATCGGGGTCTACTGGAATGATCTCACAGTGAAGGGGATGGGGGGCACGGCTAATTTCGTCGCGACCTTCCCTGATGCTTTCATCGACTTCGTAGACTGGTGGCATCCATTGATGTCACTCATCGGCAAGGGTGCCAAGGGCACCGAAGTCACAATATTGGACAATTTCAAAGGCGTGGTGAAGCCCGGCGAGATGGTATTGGTTCTGGGGCAGCCAGGGTCCGGCTGTACCACCTTCCTGAAGTCAATTGCAAACCAACGCTACGGCTACACCGATGTGTCTGGCGAGGTCTTGTATGGTCCCTTCACGGCCAAGGAATTTGATCAATATCGAGGCGAGGCAACCTACAACCAAGAAGATGATATCCACCACGCAACACTCACCGTGGAGCAGACGCTCGGCTTCGCGCTCGACACCAAAATGCCTCAGAAGTTACCAGCAGGGACGACCAAGAGCAAGTTCAAGGAAGACGTCATCACTATGTTGCTTAAAATGTTCAACATCGAACACACTCGCAACACCGTGGTTGGTAATGCTGTGGTCCGCGGTGTATCTGGAGGCGAACGGAAGCGGGTTTCAATCGCAGAGATGATGATCACCAATGCCTGCATCCTGTCCTGGGATAACAGTACTCGTGGTCTCGACGCCAGTACCGCCCTCGACTTCGTCAAGTCCTTGCGGGTCCAAACAAACCTGTACCAGACGGCGACATTTGTCTCCCTATACCAGGCCTCGGAGAACATCTACCGACAATTTGACAAAGTCATGGTTCTCGATTCCGGCAAGCAGGTGTATTTCGGTCCTGTAGGTGAGGCACGCAGCTATTTCGAAAACTTGGGTTTCGCGCCGAGACCACGACAGACTACTCCTGACTACTTAACCGGATGCACGGATGAGTTCGAGCGAGAGTACTCTGAGGGCTACTCGCCTGAAAATGCACCGCACGACTCCCACACGCTCTTGGAGGCTTTCAAGACGTCAGCCTACAGCCAGCGCCTGGATGCGGAGATGGCAGAGTACAAGGCCAACTTGCATTTGGAAACGGCTAAGCATGATGACTTCCGTGTTGCCGTTGAAGAAAGCAAGCGGAGCGGAGCGAAACGCTCCGTCTACAATGTCGGCTTCCATTTACAGGTTTGGGCATTGATGAAACGTCAATTCGCCCTCAAATTGCAAGATCGACTTGGTCTGATCCTTTCATGGGTACGCAGTATCGTCATTGCTATCGTCCTCGGCACACTTTATTTCAATCTCGGTCAAACGTCAGCAAGCGCGTTCAGCAAAGGTGGTCTGCTCTTCATCGCGTTACTGTTCAATGCGTTCGAGGCCTTTTCCGAACTAGCCAGTACCATGATGGGTCGAGCTATAGTGAACAAACACAAAGCTTACGCCTTCCATCGCCCTTCCGCCTTGTGGATAGCGCAGATTTTCGTCGACACGGCCTTCTCGGCGGCCCGAATCATGGTGTTCTCCATCATCGTATACTTCATGACCAATCTGACCAGATCAGCTGGCGCGTTCTTCACATTTTACCTGTTGATCATGGCCGGCAACATCGCCATGACGCTATTCTTCCGTATCGTTGGGTGTGTCAGTCCCGACTTCGATTACGCCATCAAATTCGCCGTCATGATCATTACCTTGTTCATCTTGACATCTGGATATTTGATTCAGTATCAGTCACAACAAGTGTGGCTGCGCTGGATCTTCTGGGTGAATGCGCTGGGCTTGGCCTTTTCCAGTCTTATGGCGAATGAGTTCGGCTCCAACCGGCTAACGTGCACGGCGGATTCTCTGGTCCCCTCGGGGCCTGGATATGACGATGTCAATCATCAAGTTTGTACCTTGCCAGGTTCAACTCCTGGTACTACTGATGTGATCGGTGGTGCGTACATTACCCAGGGCTTCTCGTATGCGCCTTCGGATCTGTGGAGAAACTTTGGCATCATCATGGCGCTCATTGTTTTCTTCTTGATTATGAACGTGGTGCTCGGGGAGTTTGTCAACTTTGGCATGGGTGGCAATACGGCAAGGGTCTTCCAGAAGCCCAATGAAGAACGAAAACGCCTGAATGAAGCTCTAGCCAACAAGCGACTCCAGCGCCAGGCGTCCAGAAAAGAGGAAGATTCTACGACTCTCACCATCAAATCCAAGAGTGTTTTGACCTGGGAGAATCTTAACTACGACGTACCGGTACCTGGTGGCACGCGCCGTCTGCTCGATAATGTCTTTGGATACTGCCAGCCTGGCCAGCTCACTGCTCTCATGGGCGCATCCGGCGCTGGCAAAACGACTCTCTTGGATGTGCTTGCTGCGCGCAAGAACATTGGTGTCATCAACGGTGACATTCTGGTCGATGGTGTCAAGCCCGGAAAAGAGTTTCAGCGATCTACTTCCTACGCTGAACAGCTTGATATGCACGACCCTTCGCAAACAGTTCGAGAGGCTCTCCGATTCTCCGCCGACTTGCGCCAGCCCTTCACAACGCCGCAGGAAGAGAAGTACGCCTACGTCGAGGAGATCATCGCACTTCTGGAGATGGAACACATCGCCGATTGCATTATCGGCTCCCCCGAGGCCGGCCTGACTGTCGAGCAGCGGAAGCGGATCACCATCGGTGTGGAACTGGCAGCCAAGCCTCAACTTCTATTGTTCTTAGACGAGCCAACTTCCGGACTGGACAGCCAGAGTGCCTTCAACATTGTGCGATTCCTGAAGAAACTCGCTGCTGCTGGCCAGGCTATTCTTTGTACGATACATCAACCTAACGCCGCTCTGTTCGAGAATTTTGACCGGCTCTTGCTTCTGCAGCGAGGTGGCCAATGTGTGTACTTTGGGGACATTGGCAAGGACGCGGCCATCCTGCGGGATTATCTGAAGCGGCACGGTGCTGTTGCCGGGGAGTCGGACAATGTCGCTGAATTCATGCTCGAGGCCATCGGCGCGGGAAGTGCACCTCGCATGGGCAACAGGGATTGGGCCGAGATTTGGAAGGACAGCCCTGAACTTGCTAATGTCAAGGATACCATTTCTCAGCTCAAGGAAGCCCGCAAGGGCAAGGAGATAGATCCGACCTTGCAACGCGAATACGCCTCGCCTCTTATGCATCAACTCAATGTGGTCATCAAACGTACCAACCTGTCATTCTGGCGATCGCCCAACTACCTGTTCACACGTCTCTTCAACCACATTGTGATTGCCATCCTTACCGGTCTCACCTTCCTCCAACTGGACGACTCGCGCGCCTCGCTACAATACAAGGTCTTCGTAACCTTCCAGGTCACCGTACTACCCGCCCTCGTCATCTCGCAGGTCGAAGTTATGTATCATATCAAGCGCATCATCTTCTTCCGGGAGCAATCCTCCAAAATGTACAACTCTTTCACCTTCGCCACCTCCATGGTCCTGGCCGAGCTGCCCTACTCCATCATGTGTGCCATCGTCTTCTTCATTCCTCTCTACTACATTCCCGGCTTCCAGTTCGAGAGTAGTCGCGCCGGATACCAGTTCTTCATGGTCCTCATTACGGAGCTCTTCTCCGTCTCGCTGGGCCAACTCCTCGCGGCTCTCACGCCCTCGGCCTTCATTTCTAGCCAGTTCGACCCCTTCATCATCATCACCTTCGCGCTTTTCTGCGGCGTCACCATCCCCGCCCCGCAGATGCCCGGGTTCTGGCGCGCCTGGCTATATCAGCTCGATCCGTTCACTCGTCTTATCGGTGGTATGGTCACGACGGCGCTTCATGAACTCCCTGTCCGTTGCCAGAACAACGAGCTGAACCCGTTTCCCGCCCCCGACGGCCAGAATTGTGGCGAGTACATGCAGGACTTCTTTAACAATGGCGGCGTTGGCTACATTGTCGACAATGTTACCAGTGCGTGCGAGTACTGCGCATACAAAGTTGGCGACCAGTTCTACGAGCCGCTGGGTTTTAGCTTCGACGACCGGTGGAGGGATTTGGGAATTTTCCTTGCTTTTGTGGGGAGTAACTTGGTTATCCTATTCTTAGGAGTAAGTGGACCATTTCTAGTCTCTACATCTGATTGTGGTGGAGCTTCCTATACTAACTCTCAACGCAGAGCCGATTCCTTAACTTCAACCGCCGATGAGCGAGGGTTAGCCAATGTTCCGATAATACTTAGTAAGAGATTTCACCAAATCTCGGGTTTAAAGATTTCGGTTTTAAAGAAGCGTATTCCGGGTAGATTGGCCTCAATCCCACAAGCAAACAGACAGTCGAGTGTTTCAGTATTTCAGCAATTTAATTACAGCGGTTGGGTCGATTAGCAGCGAATACGGGATAGAAATAGACTGAAGAGGTAGCCGAACTCGGAGAGAAGTCCACGATCGCCCCAACAGTGTAGAAGAGGCGAGAAGAATAGTGGTACAATGAATCCTGATATATTCTCTGGACTTGAATGATTCACATGGTGCTATGAAGAACAACATCAAAGCCGAGATGCCATTTACTTCTGGACGTCTTAGTGTTACTATTGGATTGTGGGCAAATGGTCTTGTATTGAAAGTGTCATGATCTCTGGAGAGTCCTGAGAGAAGTGAAGGGCGGCCATAGGGGCCTTATATAGGTAGAAATGACTGATGCCTGCCCCACAGCCAGGACTTGTGTGGTTCAATAAGTAGAGGTCATATTGACCCATACTTCGTACGGTTTGCGGCTTTACGTTTCTCCTTTGACTTAGCAGTCTTGACGGAGTAGCCTTGAAGGTCCGACAGTTACTTGGTCAAGAGCCTACGGTTCAAGAAAGGTGACAAACGAGCCAGTCAACATCGGTTACAAGCTCTTGTGTAGTTTTGACTAAGTGAGGAAAACATGTTCCCGGTAGCCCTGCAAGCCATCATCATCGTCAAGGAGTCATAGCTTTGGTTCGGGGCGGCGGGGTGTGTCGTCAGCTCCATCACCAAGAGCGAGCTCCCTCATCATCAAAGGCTTTTGCAATAGAAGCAGAGTAGGATGAAATGAGATCTAATTGTCCGCAACGGAATGCCCTGTCCAACATTTGAGACTTGTGGGTTGGGAAAGGAGGATTGGATCTATCTGCCTCTGTCTCTGTCTGCAAAGTAACAAGGTTGAACAGGGTTTGGAGGTCGTTGCAGTCCCTCAAACTCAGGAGTGATGAGCCCTTGGCTAGCGCTACCATGGCTATATGCATGACTAGTTAACAGGTGGTGACGACAGGTAACAGTGGGCCATACCACCAAAATCTATTTATAGACGCCTAGATCTCGACATTGACGACAGAGCTACTGGCCCTTCCAAGTGACTTTTGGATCTGTCGGGGTTGCGAAACATTGTGATTACAAGTGACTTATAGGCGGTTGACAAATGCGAAGCCCATGGTGGGGATGATGACAAATGCAATTGGCAATGCACGTTACTGGTTACGCCGTCTCCGCTATATTGATCCTCCTACGTAATCATCAATCGTGCTTAACGGTCGCGGCTTACTTCAACTGCATTAAGTCCTGTCACGAATACTGAACTGACTCAAACACGTGCTCGTTCAGGTGCCTTCTATCTCATGGCTGACCCGTCACAATACAAGTACCCGTCGCCTCTCGAGGGCTACGAAAATGCCCCGCCTCTGTCCGACGACAAGGCCGAGGACGGAAAGAGCTTCGTGAACCCCAAGAACGAGAAACTGAGCAAGGCATACGATGAATTCCCAGACCCGCTGAACAAGGGACTACAAGGCGGCTTGTGAGTCACGTGTCCTGGGTCGAATCACTCTGGTACGATAGACTCGCTAATGGTGGGAATCGTTCAGCGACGTGCATATTTACTACCTCCAACAAAACAAAGAGCAAACCCAGTACGCAAGGGATCTGTGGGAGCGCATCAGGCGAGAGTGTACGGAGATCCCGAGCCCCCTGCTTTCTACTAACACATCCGACCTGCGCAACCGCCACTCCCGTCTCACCGTGTACTGATGCAAGGCCCAGTTCCCGAATTACGGATCTACCGCGTCTGGGACAAGCCCATAGGACCTCACCCGGTGGCCATGTTCGAGGTGAACCTCTTTACCCCGGCGCAATTCGGGGCTTTCATTCCGTGGCTGGCTATCTGGAGGGGCCCGCTGTCGGCCCTGGTGCATCCTAATACTGTCGAGGACGGGGATCACAGGGCAATCGAGAAGCGGAATCATTCGCAGAGGGCGATTTGGATGGGGGAGAGGTTCCCGCTGGATTTGGGGGTATTTAAGTAAATGTGCCGAGGTGTACGAACTGGATGGTATTTCTCAGTCATGCTTCATCCGAGTGCGTAGATAACTTGACAGGAAGTCTACCAATGACGGACACTATGATTGCGCTGTATACTGTGGTACGGTTTCGAACTTTCACCTCGCTTGTTTAATATATATTCCTACTTTCGTGCGTTGAGATTCGGGATCTTGGACACACCTGCGTGCCTTGATTCCAGATGTCTCATTTCAAAACCTAGAGATCTTATGCTGTGTCAATGGATAAACTAAACTAAACGCATACGACTGTACTGTCGTACATGTTGGCTCCAGCACTGTTGATCCACCGGGGTGAGTGTATCCTCTCACCATGTGAAGCAGAATTGTTCTTAAGGCCAATGGCATTTGTCTTGTAGAAAGGAAATGCACGGTTCCTGATTGTGCCTGTGGAGGGCGAAAACGCTGATCCTGTGTTGATGATATTCACATTTCAAGTGTAATGAAACTGCATAAAGCCCTCTTCCGTTACGGACTTTTGATAGTCCTCGTCTGCTCAAAACACATCCGTCTTGGTTCAGGTGCACGTGCTAAAATGATCCTACCGTCACAGCCAAACCTGTCACATATCCGTTGAGGGACACTACTCCACTACTCTAGAGCGGCCCCCTCTTGCCCTAGGTAAGGATTTCGATGGTCAACTGGGAAAGTTGGCTAACTGAGCGGACCAGCGCTAGGGCCTGTGGGTGCTGGGACCGCACAGAACTCATGCTAGACATTGCTAACAACCGTGCATATCACTGTTTCTATAAGCGTGGAATAGTTCCTGGAGTATGGCAACAGGTCACTCCGCTCAATCTCAACGTCAGTGGATGCTAGAGCTCCTTCTCGCTGTTTGTCTACTACATCACATGCGGACGTATCGGTGGATTCGATGTCTAGAACCTCAGGAGTTACGCCAACTGTTCTGTCTGATTATGTCTTCCAACCATCCCGAGATTTCGAGTCTGGCGTAACGTCTTGACTGTACTGCTTCTCAACTTTCCTTCCATGGCAGACCCGATGAAGTCGCACTCAATGCTTGTGATCACCCCCAGCTAATCCTGCAGGCTGTACGGACAGACATTGGAACAAAGCTGGGATGGGAATGCCGCTTAGCCTCCAGAGGTTGTCAAGTTGAGCCCATCACGCGTGTTGCGGCATACTGGCCTGAGTTATGTTGCTATGCCTTCCCAGCCCTATATGGGGATCTGCCTGCGAAGCCTCCAAAGTTCCGACTTTGGGAAAACGACGAGACGAGAGGACATGGAGGTGATCAAAGCCTTGTGGAGCGGTTCGGTCTATTGTGGCATTCGACTGCTGGTCCTGGTGATCCCTAGCGTATCTACGAATAGTCACCTTTGCCCCCTGGATAAAAGCAACTTTTCCTTCGACTGTCGTGTAACCTAGATTTGGTGTTCAAGCGTTGGCAGAAGCTGAATGGCTGCAGCACCGCTATCCTCAGTTGAACAGCCGGCTCCTGAAACGACAACCACATGTTCTGAGTGGTCCCGGGGGCAGGATATGTGAGATCGACTAGGCGAGTCCCTCGACCAACGTGACTCCGAGCACACCCATCTCAGACCAACCTGGGCATGCTGGTGGCGGTGTTCATCGCAGTATGTCAACACCAAGAAGCCCAGCGGTGGATGGATAACTTTTGACAGGATTGATACCAACTCCTACGAAATTCGACGCAAAGAAAGCGAAGTACACCGGTGCCGAACAAGCAGCGAATGGTACAAGGGGCCGAATCCACACCGCTGGGGACATGACACGAACCGAGTGCTTGTGCCGTTAAGCCTGTGGAAGAACAATATGAGTTGGAGTGGTCAGTGGATTGCAGAGACTTTGCGCCTCTACTATGCATTGCTGACAGAGACATTGGAAGAGGACGACTCCACTAGGCAGCAATCCGAGAAAGGGTTGAGACGGAGATGAAGAGACGTAAGAGATGAGAGCTGTGGATATGGCCCGTGAACCGCCGGTCTTTCCGAGTGTCAGTTTCGACAAATCATAACAACATCGTCTGCATGAAGCACGTCAAGACGTGAGTCTCGACGTCGCGAGTCTCAACGTCGCCACACACGTAATGCAGGTGGCTTCGGGGCACCGATGGCGTGGAGTTTCGGTCTGCAGAGGGCATCCAAACGCCACAAAGGTGACGCATCAAGATGGACGACAATTTCGAGGCTTGTCCGGGCAGGCTCAGCCCGCTAGATGAAAATTGTCGTCGGCCGGCATCTGGGATATGACTCGTGTACGGGGCAGAACCGAAGGATCCGCCACCACAGCCGAATAGTAAGTGTTGGTGCAGGTGTACGGAAGCTCAAGCATAGCTCTGTGGATTCGTGTTGCCGAATAACAAATACCGAGATGCTAGACTTGACAATATCCATTCTATCCATACCGCGTAGTAGACCGTTCAAGCCGACATGGAATAACTTTTGCCTAGGCAGAAGCATGAGCAAGTTCTTTCGTGTCCTCCACAAAGTCTCGAGTCATTATTCCTCGGAATACCTCGGTCACGCCTCGCCGTGGTCTTCTAATCGGAATCTCGAGGCCGATGAATAACGGAGCTGCGGGGCTGGGGTGAGGCTCAGGATGAAGGCCGAAAAATCCGGTCGTGGCGTCCGTGGTACACGGGAGGATATATGTTCTTCGGAAACATCAGGACTACGGAATCATAGACGGAACTGCCAAATTATTTGAGGCCGCAGGAGACCGCAGGACTCCGGAAAGCAGCCCGCAGGCGCGACTCCTTGACAGACTTGTGCGAGGTCCATCATTTAAGTGTCGGAGTGGGCTTGCAGAATCAGGCCATGGTGGTGTGATTTTGGGGGAACAAAGTAAGCCCGCCAAGGGAAAACTCGGACGGGACATTTCGGGACCCAAGGAGACCCTACAAAGACCGGGGAATTGGATTCTGCGGTGTCCGTGGGCGTCAGGGACCTGCCAGAACCTTGCCAGAGCCATTAAGATGCCTGGTACTAGCGATCGCGGATGAGCAGCAATGACAGGGTACTTGTCCAGGGTTGTCCAGGGTTGTCCAACGGGAACCAACGGGCCCAACGTTGTGGAAAGGGAGTCTCTACTGCGGGAGCTTGGGGAGTTGACCGAAGGCCAAAAAGGCGTTCTGGCAATATTGGCCGAACCGCGAGAGCTTCGCTCAAGGGCCTGGGGCGCCTTCTAAAGTAGAAGCGGCATGGGTAAAGGTAGTGAGCAGCGACCAGCGAGGCAAAGAAGGGTCCAACGGGATGATCTATCACATGCCAACATGCTTTCCCAAGCAGAGAGATATGGCAGATGTCAGCAAATGCCATGTTGGGATAATGCGAATGCGTGCGGGTTCGAATGAATGCTGACATCCACCAAATGCCCAGTTGGGATAGTGTGAATGTGGGTTCGGTTGAGTGCCCAGGACTTCCAGAACCCAGATCCTCATAGTTGTGAAGACAGATCCGACTCGCCACACCTTCAAACCCCAATGGAAGTTTGGCGCTGAGGGTTCGGAGCTGGCCGCCTCACATGAATCCATGTACTGCACCATGGATCTTCATGGTGAAAAGCCGGAGTCTCTTTCCGACGATGACGCCACTCAACATCCAAAAGAGTGGAATAAGCTTATTGGTGTCAACGCGCATGACACTGAAATTGGATGGGATACCCAGGCATGAAACAGCTTCAATCATTGTATTCTTGCTCAAGTGTTCCATCTGAAGCGAGGGAGATCGACGTGCTAGGGCTGCAGCGCCGTGGGTGCGTATGTAGCTGGGTGTGGGGAGGGCACATGGGAACCAGTGGGTAGAATTAGGCATGGCTCCGCTAATCAGTTCATATTTTTGGAAGGTAGCCAATCAAATTACGGATATTGTTCCGTACCCCGGCTTCTCAGGTCATTTTTGCAGGCGGGCTTGGACCATCAGGCCACTCAACGGGCGGGTCTGGACCCTTCGGACCCTCCAAAGTACCTAGCGAGGAGCAAAAGTCAGGTCATCTTCTTCTTTCTGACACAGCACAAACAACAGTTTTGGTCCATAATTCATTGACCCTATGTCAATGCAGTCATTTGTGATGCTCGCTGACTGGGTCATATCGCGTTTGGTTGCGTGTGGATAATTTGCCTGAGTTGCTGGGTTGGCAGGGCATTAATTTTCCCGTTAAAGGCGTCAAAATACTTTTGGCATGTCATCCAGAGTTCCCACACTGCATTAAAGTAGTACCTGTAGATCCGCCCCAACCAGCCAGCCAGCTTCGACCTCGAGAAGTGAAAGCACAAAAAACACTTCGACACATTTCACAACGTCCCTGCCCGTCACAAGCGTACCGCATTGGCGCCGTTGTCTTACCCAAAATATTGGACCCTAGATTGCAAATTGAGATCCCCAACGAGCCGCGGGCATTCTCGTTACTGCGGTGTTACGGCAGAGTCAGGCCATTTCTCCCACCGCCGCGTCTACATCGGGCGGCCTCGGCCTCGATTCATCGGAACGTCTTCCTACGGCTGGCGAAGTCCAAACCCACTTTCTAATCAACGCCCCGTAGCCTATTGAGTTTCTTCGCAATACCACCCCTGTCTTGCTTGTCAAGCCTGTGATCTCAAAAGACATCTTATATCATTGGCCCCTCTGCTCGTCACCAACGTTTCCCTTCCTCAGCAACCAAAGCAACGCACATCTATCAAGACAACGATACAGTAACCCACGGGTTCCAACAAACAACACGCACAAGCCAACACCATACGCACGCAACTCGCCATCAACACAACTCGTCTTGACCCAATCGTCGACAGTATCCAGCACGCCACATTAGATCCGGCATATCGACGGGACTATTAGCACACCTTTGCCACTCTCACGCTTGGTTTTTCAGTGGAACTCGGAATCTCAGGATTTCTGCCAACCCAACAACTTGCCAAGCACAGCGTATGCAAGTCGTGGCCTAGCCCACTTCGGTCCATACCCACACACCAGTACGTACCCATTCCAACATTCATATAGTCAGTCGTAAGACGCAACAAAGAAAAAAAAGAAGCTGAGTGTTGTCATCCAGAATCACTCAAGCATTATATCTTCTACAACAATTCCCTTCGTCATGGACGGGGATGTACTGCAGAGCATCGAACTCTTCCCGGCCGCCAACAGCAAGGTATGATTGACGAACGCTGCATTGGCAGAACCTACACCACCCCAGTGGGTGACAAAACGGGATGCACAATCCAACGACCTCGATAAACACTCGTACTTGGGCAAGTCATTCCACCAGGCACACAGAAGGGACCAACACCATGTGGATTCTTTCCATATCGACCCTCCTAGTGGGATAGTGGGATAGCAAGCTCAAAGACATGTCTGGAAAGGTCGTTCAGGAGGGGCATTCCGCACTTCACACGTGGTCCACCTGTCATCCTAGTCGTACTCGGCTTACTGACTCGCCTTCAAGGCCTTCGATTCCATCATCGACAGCTCCTCGAATTGTCTTCCTCAGCTGTCCTCTATTTCCTTCTGGGACAACTTTGACAACCGCGTCGAGGCCAGTGTCGCCAGCGCCCCGACAGTAAGAGCAACCCAAGCCCATAAAGCCGCCTCGCCCACCGGATCTGCCCAGGTCAAGGAGTCTTGCCTCGGATCACCCAAGCCGGTCAAGGTGACCAAGGTACCATCCAAGAGGCAACGTACCCCTGAGAGGAAAAGGGCACGAACCAGCCAGGACACCTCGGCCCTCGACTGTTCCGACTACTGGCTTCGCTTCGACAGTGACGACGACAGTGTCGAGAGACTGGGCGACTTTGACCGAAGAGACTCAACGACATCCTCACGCCGGTAGGTGTGCGCCAGCACTCCCCTAGCCCGCCAAGTCAGGCTTGAACCAACCGCTGAACACCCCCATTGCAGGCCCTCGGGATTGATCCAACCCCGCCCGAGACTACGGCGTGTCGGGACATCCGACAGCAACAGCTTCAAGCTGGCGTTCCCCTCACCAGTCGAGGACTTTATTGACGACAGTGCCCTCGACCACGCTCTGTCCGACGGTGATGATTTCATGGCTTTCGACGACAGCCTCATGAAGAGGGACCCGACGCAGCCCCGTGACGTGGCCCCCGAGAGACTCTACTCCACCCCCCTTAGCTGGGAAGCCCCACAGCCCGGCGTTCACATGGACTCTTACTTGAACCTGAACCCCACCTTCAACGACCCTGAGCGACAACGGCTGCTGGCCATTGCTCTGGGCACCGGCATGGCACCCACGGCCACAAACACCCCCGGGTCTCGCCCCAGCACATCCACCGAATTCACCTTTGAGATGCACCACAGCCCGGCTAGCAGTGATAGCACGAGCAACGACTTTGAGCCCAGACGAAAGACGCCACCTAAGTCTTCACGCCCTAGTCAAGCATCATTCGCTACAGAGACCAAGGAGAAGCCCAAGACGAAGAACAGCGAGCGGGCAGCCCACAACGACATTGAGCGCAAATACCGCACAAACTTGAAGGACAGAATTTCCGATCTGCGCGAGGCCGTACCCTCGCTACGATCAATCCCTGAGGACTCGCACGACGATGGTGACTCCCCAGTCATGGCATCTCGAGCCCCAAAAGTGAGCAAGGTGAGTCACACTGACTTTACCCCTATTTTTACTCGGAACCACAGCTAACCATGCATCTCAGGGCACCGTTCTCACAAAAGCTACCGAGTACATCCGACAGCTCGAACGACGAAATCGCAACATGTCACAAAAGAACGAGGAATTGACACGACGGCTACAAGCGTTTGAGCAGCTGCTTGCTGCTGCAAGTCCAAGTCCGAGCTGGCAGCCTCAGGGTTACGGCGCTCCCGTCTTTAACCCGAGGGCATATCCCTCATGATCTTCGAGTATTTACATAACGATTCAGCAAACTCCACTCCGATGAGCGCAACAATGCACTTTTCGACGAAAATGGCGGGTACGAATGGGCAAGGGCGGCTGGGCCCATTGGCGCTGGGGAATGACTTTTTGTTTCCACCAGGGGTGTGCGTCTCGCTACTAATCGACGGGCTAGAGACGATTCGCCTCAGCCGAATGGCCAGCTATTCTGATGGCATGGGGGCGCATGGGAGTACGAAAAAAAAGAGACGAGCATTCGGGTCTAGAATATAGAACCCTGGCTGCATTTGCATCTTGCATGCCACGGCGTTGGCACACACAAGATGTGGTACGATGGTTGCAGGGCCCTAGGGTGGGGGACCTGCGGGTATGAACAGCACCCATGAGATCCATATCAATGAGGGGACACACATAATAAGTAGACGACTGCATAGATAGCAGGCTGCATACACCTGAGACATATACCCCTTCAGCGTTTATGGCTGTCAAAACACACCCATCATTACTATGATTTTCTATAACTTTTGATTGTCTTGGCTTGCCGATGTGATACATTCGTTTACCAGTTCCAGATGCTTATGCTTTTGTCGTCCACTTACGGTTAACTCTCACGCGTACCGTGTCGCATATAAAGCGCTTACAGAAAAGAGGGGATCTTGAAACACTCTAGACCATGTGACAAATCCTGGATGCAGTTCTTCAAAGTTCATTGGAGACTGCCGTGTAAGTCTTCTTCGAATGTCTCAAACCGGGCTTGGGCTTTGAGCGTAAACCATTTCCAGGCCCCGAGTCTTATTACAGCCAGGCTCGAAACATTCCTAAACCCTAACCAGACACTTGAATTGCCTTCCCCCTTATTGTACCATGCCACCGCCCATGCCACGGAGCCAAAAAGACGTATGTTGCTGCCACTACCAACCAGGAACAATCCATATTAGTAATCGACCCATGGCCCCTTTTAAAATTGGAGTCAAGGAACAACTCCCAAGTCTAGAAAGGGCAAGGCGAAGCCAAACAATATTGTGACATACTAAAAGGAGCCCCCGAACAACCTGCCGAGAGAGACAAGAGATCCACGACATTAGTCATGATACGGAAGCACGGAGAGAGAGAGCATATTTTAGATGGTAAGCTAATATGCTATGCTGGAATACACACATGCTCAAAACATCTTACTCGCATTAGCCTCGTATTCTCGGGTATTAGGCACCTATCTAGTCGGTGGGGACATGATAAAACGAAGGTCCCAGGGGTAGGTAGGTGGAGGTCTCTCGACGTGCTGGACCCTCGTCCTTTCAACGGCCGGGGAGACAGGCAGACAGACTGGGAGCGGGAGGTGCCATCCGAATATTGACGGGAGCTGGACTAATGCGGGTTAATGACTCATGAGGGATGGTTGACTTGTTTGTATGGAGTGGTGACTGGCGGTATAGAAACAATGGAAAGCGATGTAGTGCTTGCAGCGGGTATGCTCGAATATAGGACGGGCCGGTGGGGTGGTCAGCTGTAAAGTTGATGTAGAATACGTGTTGGCGTTGCGTTTGTTTCTGCTGAGAGGGATAATTAAGCTGGCTTTCGAGGTGGACGTGATGACTTGAGTTAGCGAAGAATCAAGTGAGTTAGTTGTTGGTTGTCCGTCAACAGAGATCAACTCAAAGAGAAGACAGCATGGGCCGGTAGATGGAAATTTCGGTGATGGTGATGAATATGATGAAGATAATGAAGTGACATTGCAGATGCATGTCAAGATGCTATCCATTTCATCGTGGATACTGATGGAATCGTGGCGGTGTCATAGAGGAGTGTGTAAGCGAGATGCAGAGGAGAGGGGCTCTTTGGGAACATACAATAGAACGATAAGGGTGCTGCTGTTTACACGCCGATGAACATGTTGGTCACATCCCCAGCTGCGTGGGTAAGGAAGCTTGTTTTGCATGCTTGAGCCGATATCGTCACAAGCGCATGGCGAATCGATTTGTGTCTGGACTGCAGATTGAAGATGTCGGTGTTCGGGTGGACTTTGCCTTCTGGGAATGTCGGTAGGATGTTGGATGCCAATGTGGTGAGATGGATGACTTCTGTCGAGGAGCCAGGGAGCCAGGGAGCAAGGGCCGGTTGGTAGGGCATTGCTTGAACGATGATGGACATTTTCATGTCATAAGCTTGGAAAGAAGGAGTCATTGTTGTCAGAGCCCGGACAACTGCACGAGAGTGTCATAAAGCTATTTACTACCATGACTTGACCAGAGTTGCTGCGTTCTAGTAGTCAATTCCATCGTCTACGGGTTGTACACCGCTGGTACATCATATTATAATCCATGGTTAGAGTCAAGTATTCCAAGCAAGTAGAAGAGAGCAAAGGCCAAGTAATAAGGGGCCGTGAGAAGTGTCCCCTTAACCATGTTCATAACGAACAATGTCAAGTCGATTAGGTCACACACACAGCATGAGAAAATCGGCGCAATCGACATCAAACTCATAACAAGTGCAGTCCAGAGTGGATCAGCTGAAGATTGCCGCGATATTTTCGACCGCTATATGTGAATGTTCTTTTACTCCCTATGCACCGGGTTTCATCGTCCAAGTTGAGCCAACCTGAGAAGCCCAGTGCATGAGCTGTGACGAATGGTCACTAGACTAAATCTGAGTCTTACCTACGTTGACGCAACTACCACGGTGAGGTAGAGGTGGATGTTTCTGATGGGTGCCTGATGTGATAACATAGATTGAACCGAAGGCACTCCAGTGGAAGAAAATACATAAGCGGCATACCCAGGGTGGATTGATTTGAGATAGCCTAACAGTACAGTATTGTAAATAAACACAACTTAGTTATTTCACCTGGGCGCGTCATGTATCTTTCAATCTCTTGATGTTTACCTGAGTATGTAATATCATTCTCGGCGTTGGGAAACTTGGTGAGATTGGGGGCAAGACGATGTCCAAGATGCGATAAGAAGTACGCCGAACGTCAGTAAAGGACTCCTTGTTTATTGATAACCCAACGGCCACGTATGTTGGCCTGGAAGTCGCTTTCCCGGAGCCAGGACAAGGAGGCACCGCTCTGCTTGAACTATATGGGCTAATTAGCGAGCGCCGCCTTACAAGTTCTGGAATGAACTGATTGTCCTAGACCATACCTACTCCTAGGCGTATACACTCATGTATTTCAAAGGGAAGCGATGGAATGCTTCCGTGAGTGACGTTCTGCATTATCAAGTCGTAGTTACGATACCCGTTTCTCTGCCGTTGGCATAACCCTGACATGTACCAGGACGGCTCGCCTTTATTGTGAGGCAGCGTACTATTATTCGACAGGTGACAGGGAATATGAGATGCCACAGGTTATAATGAATTGATTCTATTTACAACATCCCGTGGAGCTACTGGTTCGACAAGCCACCGACGACGAATAGCTCGGTATATTACTCTCTCTGAGCTTTGACGTCGCCATATTTTAATCCACATCTACCTGATAGCTATGCCAATGCCAGTGCTGATGCTGTACAGCTCTCATATGCCACATCGAGTCACAACTTCCCGTGGCTTTTAACACACGTCCGCCCGTTCTCAGTCCCTCAAGGCTTCGATGTCAACAACCTCCTTCACAGCTTCGGTCGTCAAAGTAAACGGATTATCATCACCCACGGCAATACTATCCTCAATGCGAACACCCAGCCCTCTGAAGTGCTTTGGAAACCTCTCATCATCGGGCACGTAAATCCCCGGCTCGACCGTAACACAATGGCCCTCCCGCAGCGTGATCCCCCGCGAGTAACCTGGCACATCATGCACGTCGAGTCCGATGTAGTGTCCCACGTGATGCGGGAAAAGCAGATCCATAGCATTGCCACCGACCTCGAAGCCGAGTCTCTGCAGCTGGTCCCGGAGCGTGGTTTCGGTGATGCTGTGGAGCTTGTCGAGGGTGACGTTGGCACTCGCACGGCAGAGCGACACACTGGAGCGTTGCGCTTTAAGCACCGCTTCGTAGAGGTCCCTTTGCGCTGGGGAGAACTTGCCACTTGCTGGCCAGGTTCGCGTGATATCCGTGATGTACGTGCCGTATTCGCCGCCTGCATCGACTAATATCAACTCGTCGTCCCGTAGCGAGCCATTATTCAGCGTGTAATGAATGAGCGACGCTTTCGGCCCGCCCGCAATGACTGGGATATAAGCCGGCCCGTCGAGTCCGGCCTGGTGGTACTCGTAGTCCAGGAAAGCAGCGATATCCTTTTCGTACTTCCAGCCCCGACGCATAGCGTTGGTTAATGCGCGGCCCGAAGCCTGGCCAGCTTTGCGCATACACGCTATCTCAGCCGGCGATTTAAGGGCCCGGATGGTATTCAGAACTGGTCTGAGGGGCGCTATGCTGATGCCTGGCGCGACTTGCCTCAGCATGTTGCCGATCTTAGTCGGCACACCGTACTTGGACAACTCGCCGTCCGTGTAGATCTTGCTCACGCCCTTTAAAGCTTCGACCAAGCCTTGTTCAACCCGCGCGAAGTCCAATGCCTCGTCTGCATTCCACACATCCCGCGCGGCATCGATGCCGCTCCACGGGCCATGCCATTGCTCGGCTTTGGGGTCCTTCGGCCGGCACCATAGGTAAAATGTGAAGTCGCCTTCTTCGGGGCCCGTCTTGACCAACAGGGCTAGGGACTCGGGCTCACTGAAGCCCGTCAGGTAGAGGAAGCCTGTTTCCTGTCGGAAGGCGTGGAAGACGGCACCGGAGCGGTATTGGACGGAGGCGGAGGGAAGTAAAACGGCCGAATTTGGGGGCAGCGAGGAGAGGAGACGGGAACGGCGGTCGTGGTACTCTTGCGCCGTTATACCTGGGGTGAGTTCGCCGGCTTGGAGGAGGTGAGGGTGTGTTTCGTGAACAGGTTGACCGAAGAGGAGTTGTGATGCGGGAACGGACGAGTAGGAGCGGATCGAGGGGAGGGACGGCTGGGTCCGGGCTACAGCGGGCGATGGACATCGATATAAAGTTGACGTTGGAGGCTGTGGTCGTGCGGATCTGGGGCAGGGAGACGGGAGGCTTGAAGCTTGTCGTTTCACCTGTTGCTCGAGCGGCCGCCATGAGGGCAACTTTCGGGGTTTCATTCTGTTTGCTGGCTGCGCGTTCTCTGGCTTTCACAAAGGTATTGTGCGCATTGCTCGACGAATTTGAGTGTGTTTACAGATTGCTATTGTACAGACATTGCGGAGAGAGTAGAGCTCAAAGACTCAACCGAGTATATCGAGTATATGGAGTTGCATCAGTCCCAACTGACCCCCAATGCATCATACGAAGACAACGAACTTCACCAAAATCTCCGAGGCCGACATGCCGCTTTGGGCAAAAGCGTGATTACATAGCCGTTGCTGTGCTGTTGGCTGTGGAACCAGTTCGGTGGGGTGTATCCAGCTCTGGCTGCTAGCTGGTCTGTGCTGCATTATTATTGTTGATTCGTTTAATTGTTAGTGCAGTTTCGTCTGGCCAAGGAGCGAAGAGCTCTGGCAATTTTGTAGCCTTTTTTGCTGCTGCTCCCACCACCAAACCAAGCACAGCATCGTCAGACTGTTTTTGCCAGTCGCCCACTCTTCTTCACGTCCCAGTCGTGGCTGTTTCTCGTGTCTTTCGAGCCATTAAGCCTCTCGACCTTGTCAACCTGCTCCCGCAACGCCCCAATGCCCTTCTAAATCCTAATACCTACCCGTGTTGTGTCCGCCCAATAGCAGCGTGTTGTGTCACGTCGTCGCGTGCCAGCCAGAGTTCGTACCTGCACCCCGACGAGCCCACCCCACCGCAGATAAACTTCTCGACTCACAAACCACCACAACCACGACCGTCCAGTTTGGAAGTCGCCATTGGTTGCTCACAACCTCAACTCGGAGCCCAACATTTTTTATCTCGACTTCAGAGTTTCTTGTTGACGGAACTCTGTCGTCGAGTCTCTGCTGACGCTGAAGCTTGGCCTTTGCGTCCCTCGGTAACACGACCCATAACCCGGAAATTCTCCTGGAAGTCTCTGTTACCCACCGGCAGAGTTGGACAACTGTTGGTCTCGACGCTCGCAGTCTGAGAACCAACGTCGAGTTCGGCTCAAGGCAGACCCGAGCGCACCCAGGCCCACTGGATTCCTCAACCCCGCATACCATGGTAAGATAGGACATATATATGGCAGCAGTATCTCTATCTCCGACGCCCATCCTCCTCTCGACCATGTCTGGTACCACTAGACGAATCCCTCTCTCCTCCAACCAGAATGTCGCCAATTCTCCCCTGCGCGGCTCGGCAGCAGCCAATGCCGCAGCTAAGCAGAAACGGTCTTATGCAAATCTCCAGCGAGAAGAACCCTATGGCCAGCCTCCTCCGGCCAAGAAGCAGATCCTCGAGAGCGGGATCCCACGCGCCGTCTCCACGAAATCACCTGTCCAGCACCAAGTGACCAAAAGCCAAGTGACGCTCCAGACCCGCCGCAATGCTAGCAGCTACGAGGTCAAGCTGGCGAGGGAACGGTCGGGATACCAACAGCAACACCAGCAGGCCGTATCAAACACTGGGACCAAGTACACCGAAAAGGACCTGGAGCAGATCCGGGAGTGGAAGAACCACCACAAGGCCCGCTTCCCAAAGATGGTCTTCTACTTTGAGACCATTCCCACCGAGACTCGTGCCAAGTTGGCAAAGCAGATCGCCTCGCTTGGAGCTGTCAGTCCACGTCTTCCGCCCCCCTGTTCGGGATGTATGAACTAACATGCATGCCATGGTACAGCGCGAAGAAAAGTTCTTTTCGAACCAGATCACCCACATCGTCACCACCCGGTCCATCCCTCCCGAAAGAGCCGCCCGTCCGCGCCACGAAGACACTAATGGGGAAAACGATGGCCAGGAGCAGGAGCAAGTCAAAACCATCAACCCTTCGCTGCTGAACCGCTTGTCCGACAAGCCAGTAAAGAGGCAGCTATTTCCGCCGTCATCGACAACCAAGGTCCCATCACGGAGTCCTCTGACCCAGATTACGCAGATCCCCACGGCGCAACCCAAACGGAACATGGACGTGCTTCACCGCGCCAGGGACATGGGCAAGAAGATTTGGTCGCTGGACAAGCTGCAAAGGATGTTGTCAATGCTACTGGAGCAGGACCTTCACATCAGCGCTGCGATTGCCTACGGCTCAAAGCGGGGGGCCGATCATGCAAATTTGGCCAACACAAAAGCGGAGGAATCCAACCTTCTGCAGCTCTTGCAGCACGAACGTGTCAATGGGCCTTCCGACCGGGACCACACGGTGGCTACACAAGAGATGGTCTACTTCAAAGGCCCGTACATCTACGTGTATGACTTTGAGGAGAAACAGAAGCCCATCATGGTCAGGGAATACAACAAGGTTGTAGATAAGGCGGACGGAGAGTGGCCGCAGTTTCGAAGCGCTGCTTTGGGTCGGTGCCCCTTCGTGGAGGACTACGATAGGGAGGTGATCAAGGCGAAGCCCAAACCGAAGCTGCAAGCCGTGAAGCCTGCTGTCGAGGCCAAACCCGTCGTGCAGCAGCCGGCCGAGGCACCGATGTCGAGACCGGCCACTACTAAGCGATCGCTGAGCGAGATGGAGAGTGCTCACAATCGAGGTTCTAGCGTAGCCTCGACCGAGTTTATTGCCCCGAAGCCTGTAGTTGGGAAGACGTTCGAATTCGGACGGCCGAATGCATTTACCAGCCGCGCTGCCTCCGGGAAGCTGTTTGGGGGTGAGCCCGTCGCGTCTGGTGTTCAGCCGTCGAATGTGACCTCGGCTATCCGATCGCAGATGATTTCGTCCACGGCGGCCACACCAGGCGCCATTGGTATTTTGAGCAAAGAGGTTCATGGCCTTCAGCGCAAGGTTCTCCAGCGAAACAGCTCTCATGACCTCAGCTCTCGCCGGGCTGGAAGTGCGGAAACTAGCTTCCGTGACGATGGCTCGGTCAAGCGCTCTCTCACATTGGGACGCACATCGAGTCGTAAGCTTGGGTTGATTGACGAGACGGGGGCGACAAATGAAGAAGCGGGCGATGCCCCTGTGCAAGTCCAGGAAGAGAAGCGCTCCGTGGAGAAAAAGAAGAAACGCGACCTCAAGCCGGGCTATTGCGAGAACTGCCAGGATAAGTTCGCCGATTTCGAAGAGGTTAGTCTCGCGTCATGAGATTTCGTAAAGTGATATATGTTGACGAAGCTCCCTTAGCACATCGAATCCAAGAAGCACCGCAGGTTTGCTGATAACCTGGCCAACTGGGCCGACTTGGATGATCTCTTGTCCCAACTTGAACGCGTGCCCAAGTCCAATTATTACTCTACTTGGGCCCCCTCTCTGCCTGAACTCGGTGCCTACTGAGCGTCCCAGCTCGCAGAGCCACTAAGGAACCCCACAGCTGGGACACTTTCGCTGTTCGTTCGACTCTGCTCTTGCTACCCCAGATCCGAATGCGGAATCTCGAAGCCCAACCGACCTCACCGACGACACCGTACATATCACATCACCCCATCGACTGGAATTCCTTCTTTTGCTTTCCATGTTCACTGCATGGCGGGTGCGATGATACCCCTTTTTATTTCTACATTTTTCTTCCCTGCCTCCGCCCGGAACCGTTATTGCGACAAGCTCGAAACGCATTGAAAATAATCAGGGACTCTCGAGTTCAGCACAGCACATTTACACTGCATGGCATGGCGTGGCGTTATCTTGTTTGTTAATATTCAGAATTCTCTTGAAAGCATATGGCGGCGAACGTGGTTTTGAGGCTTTATCATCTTTCGTTTCGTACATCCCACTAACTTTGTGGCATGGCGGTTGGTTGGTTGGTCGGTCGGTATTTGCATGGTCAGCAAGGTGGAAGAATTCCAGCTCGCGGTTTCACTAGCTCTTGGCTGTCGGTCTAAATGGTATGGCATGGTACGGCGATGCTTGGGAAGCACGAATATGACAACTGGGCGAAGGGGGCAGTCGGCATGTATATGCTCATTAGGTTGAACATGTATAGTGTTGTATTTTACGCGCGAAGGAAATGAACATGATGAAAATACAAATACTTCCGCATCTTGAATTTGGTTTACTTAAGCTATGACGGTCCCTTGAGCTGAGTGATATCAGGTCCTTCCACTGGTGACCGAAGATGCTGTCGAGTACCTGTTGGCACCACACAACGTTTTCGTCGCACAGGTAAGACCACCCTGTCAACACTGAGATCTTCCATCTGCAGTCAACTAATCACATTTTTCCAGATTCTCTCCTAGTGTAGTAACTGCTAAGCCATCACGTTCCCATTCCTCGAGGTTCCGACTTCGTGTTGGGGTCGCTGTAGATCGTGTATACCAATTCTGTGGCCTTGATGGTAACTTGAGAGGCGAAAGAATTTCTTGGGAGCAAAGATAAGAATCTAATTTGGTCTTGAGTCAGTAATTGAGTGCAGCGACGTGGAGTATATGACATGCCGTAGGTGAGTACGTTTGATGAGGACTGGATCTCATCTGATTCCTAAGGAGTGAAGGCGTGTTTCTTCACTCGGCAAAGAAGGATGCGAGCAGTGCGGTCTGGCGGTAAGTGCTCAACTGGACTGACAGAGAGCTGCATGCTACATTTATTTTGTGTATAAGGCTGACGTAAGAATGGCCAGCAGTTTCAGAACTATCCAGTGGTTAGGAGTACGGCTGTAAGATGGGAAGAGGGAAGATGCGACTTACTTAACGAGTGAACGAGTACAGATGAAACATAAAATACCGAAGGAGAGCACTATGCGATACATGCCGTTCGATACGTTTCATGCGACGTGAAGTGTCGGCGGATGCCATGCGAAGGAAAATACTGAGCGACACACGAACCTCGATGCGTATCGCATGTTTTGGAGTGTCGTTGAATGCCATGACGTGAGGGAGTTCTTGCTGGGGTATCCCAAAGGGGGTGAAAGGGCAACCACGACTTGGCTACAGATTGTCAAGATTAGACATCCTCCTCGTCATCGTCAGGACTCGCGCCCGACGAGTAGGCGGGACCAGCACCATAAAGGTAATCCTCATCGCTTGCACGTCTCGTCTCTTCGACAGGCGGAGTTCCAACCGTAGCGTTCAACATCTCTGCCGTTCTAGGGTCTGCCTCCGAAGAGCGTGGGTGCGACGTAATGTTGTCCGCGGAACCACCCTCCCCATTCTCCGATTTCTCGCCAGGGACTTCCCTAGAGAATCGTTCAGGGACTTCCTCAGCGGGCTTCTCGGCGATCTCTTCGCGCGTGACGGGCGCATTGGGTGGGTTGGATCTGGACGCGACACCGAATGCTCCAATATGCGCGCTGGGCCTGTTGGCGTAGGCTTGCTCGAAGGCTCGCTCGAAGACGTTGATCTCCTTGTCAAGTGTCATTGGGCTGGGGACGGGAAGTCTGGCGTCGTCGACGGCAGTCAGCGATACGCGCAGATTGCTGGGCTGCGACGATCTTGGCTGCGTGGGTCTAGGCTTCTTGGGGCTTGACATGGGCTGCGTCAGCTGGATGATACGAGGCGAGACAGGGACAGGTTGGGGGGCGTTGGGGTTGGGGTTGGGGTTGGGGTTGGCACCGTTGCCGCCTGGGGCAGGCTGGTTGGTGGGATAGGACATGGTAATGGATGAGGTTCTGGCGGTAGTTGGAGATGCCAGTGAGGGTCGAAACGGAGTCAAACGAAGAATAAATCGAGGTTATGGACCATAGATTGGATTATTCTTCAAGCCTGACAGACGCTTTTGAGAGAGAAGTATCTCTTTAGATGGAGTGGATTGTGGTGGTGAACTGCTGATGACAAGGGTTACATTCGTGGGTCGTGTGGCTGCGTGTTATGAGTGAATTGAGCTTGCGGTGATGAACCAGAAAGTTCAAAGGAGTTGTTCGTGGGTCGCGTTGTTGCGTGAGATGTAGGTGGACGGAGATTGTGATTGCAGTTGCAGGCCTCGTTGCTGCGAGGTGTAGATGGACTGTGCTAGTGTACGGGAGAAGACGAGGGTTGCTGGCGGCATTGCTTTGAGGTGTACGTGAATTGTGGTGATCATTATAAAATAGAACTGGGCGTTTTCATGGGTTATGCTACCATAAGGTGAAGGAGTGTAACAAGAGAAGCCCAACAAGTGCTTCACGACGACATTGTATCCTTTCAGCTGATGTAGGCTGCTCTAGTACCTTGGTACTACAACCACCCAGGGATGCTGCCATTTCCACACTACATCTGTCCAGCTGATATCCACTAGATATTCACGATGTGTTTGGCCAGTGGGCTACTACTTTCCGTGGTTTGTGCAACCATTAGGTCACCAAATTCGGGTGTTGTTGCAATATGATCCATAATATTAAAGCCGCGGATGCCACACCGGTAGGGCTTGTGCCATTCATGGCTATACACCCAAATATTTGAACCTTCTCCTCCACATTTCTCCCTGGTTATCAGGACGGCATCGTCAAGTTCCTTCCATGGAACTGGATCATCCATGCCGTGCATTGGTTTGCAGTTACAGACATACCACATAACATCGCCGTGGGATTCCCCATGGGATTCCCCATGGGCCAGCTCAGTTGATCCAAAACTCCTTGTCTAGAAGTATGTAGATTCACCTTGAATTGAGGTTTTAGCTTAGCATCATGCTACTATGGAGCAGCCTCGAACAGGTGTGGTCAATAATCTCTATTTTCAAACGAAAGTGGGTGCCTGTCGACTGTACAATACACCGCGGTCTTCCCAAGCAATCATCTTTTCTTTGCATACAGGGCATGTTTGGAATGGAGTTGATTCCCATGAAATCCTGCTTCGGCTCTCGGAATGACAGATTGGTGTTGAATTCAACTTAGATAGTAGCCGTCTGGTTTTATGCTAGGGGAGACCCTTGTGCCGCGATGGTGGCCAGCATAGGAAAGACAATGAAAATTGTGAAGCACATGTCAATATATGGGGGAAAGTGTTCTGTGAATCTGGCCATGTTGATATATGCTGAGTGGGGGAAGGAAACCAGGGGAGAACTGGGTGGGATGCCACTACTTGTAGGTATGGATGATCCCACTCTTCACTTTTACGAAAGCACCTTGATCTCCGGAAGGAATAAACATTCCCAACCTCCCTAGGATTGGAAAAATACAACCCGGATTCTATATCGTAGAATTTGTGTTACCAGGGGTTAGCCATACTCTTCCTGTCTTGTCAAGGACTAGCCTACTGGATCTCAACTTCATCTGTTGGGACAACAGTCTCTTCGGGTTACAGTCGCCATATGACCCTGGCAGAACTACATATAAGCTTTCCTACATTACATAATTATTCCTTACTTGCTGGGTTCTCTTTAATATTATCTGAAATGGGCAACATCGTAATAGTTCTGCTTGCAAAGGAGCGCCACTTTACAAGGGCTCCTTGGTTGCATGTCTGTTTTTGTTGCCCTAGACATTTGCACTTGAAGTTTGCTGCACTTTTTTCTAATATTCCAGAGTATAAATTAGCTATTCTTAGTCTAACCAGCGTGGCACATCTACCATGCAACAAGGCTGGCTTGAACGTTGCTCAAGTGCTTATACTTCGTCGCTCGGCTTAGTGCATAAATACCCACTTTGTGAGCATGGTGCGCTCTAAAAGCAGCTTAACCCTTGTAGACAGCTTTGCTGCGGCATTGTGATATGCAACGATTGAGCTGAGAGCATCCAGATCATTGAAGCCATTGAACCAGCACGCGATTAGCTATAACAGAGACACCGCAGACACATAAACAACGTAATGGCGAGCAAGAATAGGCCATTGGCAAGATTGATCGCCTCAGCTTGTCGTACGAACCACTTGAGTCAAGCACGCAAGTTTTCGACAAGTCAGACGCGATGCCTCCACACGACTCCATGTCTTCGCACCGACGGCGTGTTTCGCCTCTTGACCGATAGCAGAACGCCCATGCCATGGATCGATGCTTGGAGGCTTCAGCAGGAGGGCCAGGGAACGGCATCGTCAGAAGCCCAGCCACAGGAGCGGGACCTGAGTCCCAAGAAAATGAGCGATAGCTACCACCGCGTCGTCCTGCCGTTGGGCCAAGATCCATGGTTATCCGACACCTATATCAATGCGTCTGGTCATATACGGTACTGTCCCTTGAGTTAAAGCTGTGTCTACTCTTCGAATGCACCCTCTGATATCTATACTCACAGACTGGGGACCGTGTTCATGGACTTAGATGCGCTGTCGGGCATTATCGTGTACAAGCATACGGGCCCCGGAGTCACGACCGTCACGGCAGCATTGGATCGTATCACTATAGCCCATCCCCTTACAGAGATCTGCGATCTTGAATACAGTGGACAGGTTACATATGCATCTGGACGAAGCAGCGTGGAGATCACCTGCAAGGTCGCAAGAGCAAGGCCAGAGGGCGAACCAAGCAAGCCTGATGACGTCTTGCTGACCTGCACCTTCACCATGGTTGCTCTCGATTCGGAGACCAAAAGGCCCACCAAAATCCCAGCACTTATATGCGAGACACCCGAGGAAGAGAAGATCTACAAAGCAGGAGAAGCCAAGTCGCTTGCAAAGAAGGAAATGCTCAAGACGTCTCTCCTAGAAACGGAGCCAAACGACCCAGAATCATCGCTCATCCACAAGATCTGGCTTCGACAAGTTCACTATCATAACCCAAACAACGATCTCCGTCAACCGGAGAATGTGGTGCCTATGGCCAAGACGAAACTCGCCACGGCGTCCATCATGCAGCCACAATATCGCAACAGGCATCAAACCATGATATTTGGAGGCTTCCACTTGAAGCAAACGTTTGAACTGGCCTTCTGTTGCGCTGCGAGTTTTGCCCATGCGCGACCAAGCTTCATTAGCGCCGACCCGTGCACCTTCCGCAATCCCGTCCCGGTAGGAAGTGTTCTCTACCTGACGGCAACAGTGGCGTACACCGACCCACCACTGTTGGAGGAGGATGGCAGTGAGCCACAACAGAAAGACGCCGAGAAGCCTGTGACCCGTGTGCATGTTCGTGTCGACTCGAAGGTGAGAGATGTGGAGCACGGCAATGCGAAGTCAACTGGACAGTTCAACTACACATTCTCTGTGCCCCGGGATGTCAAAGTACTGCCCCATACGTATCAAGAGTACATGATGTACATCGATGCGAGAAGGAGAGTCAAGTTGGGAGATACCCAACAAAGCCAAGACCAGTCAGGGTCTCAGAAGGAGCGGCTGCAACTTGGTAGAGAGGCGAATTTGACTGAGTGAGGGACAAGTGACATAGCCCAGCAAGCTCAGCAGGACCTTTTGACTTAGACCATGGGAGGCAGTGAAGAGCAAGCAGGGGAAACGAGCAGCTCAGGCGACATTCGGATGACATGGAGCTGAAGAAATACATGGCGTTAGTCAGGGTCAAATTTGGTGAATTGCGTCGGATTCCGAGTATTTGGGGCGGCTGTATTGGTACTGGGAAGACGCGTAGGGAAGAGCTACTCAATCGGCCCCGGGGGGGGGGGGGGGGGGGTTCCTAAATACACTAGTGCGTGCCTGGGTGCATTGTACCCCTCTATACCTGAGGCCACACTTGCCCACAAATTGTTCATTGTTCATATTTACGAAGTCGCCTACGAATTGCTTCGTGCAAGTGACAGCAGATGATTTTGACGTGGCCAAAGGCCGCTCTGAATTGAACCGTTTAGTTGCACATCAACCTGTTCAAGTTTATTGCTCATGCAAGAAATGAAGTTTTGACTGCAGCCACAAGGGACTCCCCACATGGCCGCTGACCCTTGCTTCGCTTGCCAAATCGCTGCCTTCAATCCCCATCAACCCCAAACTCGACGCAAGCATCGTGTTCCTAAATCATCGTCTTCGACGCGCTATACTTCTGAAAACGAGGTGCATGAGCGCAGTCTCTCATAACCGTACTAACCGGCAAATCTACTGTTCTTGCAGTCAAAATGGAGCATGCAGACGTCCCCGAGCGATCTTCAGCTTCGCCGTCGCCTCCACCATCCCCTATCCTCGACCGTCCCGCATCACCAGAGCTACCCTTGACCATGACAGCCTCGGCCGTTCTCACAGGCCTGCCGCATGACGCAAGCTCTGCTCTTGCCAGCGCTGGCGAATTCGACCAAGCAAAGGTCGTCGTCCGCTTCAAGGCCGTCGGTTCTGCGCCCCAGCTTCAGAGCGCCGTTCGCAAGATCAGTGCGGCTCAGAAATTCGAGGCTGTCGTGGTATTCCTGCGCAAGGCATTGCGAGTTCCTGCCAATGAGGGCCTGTTTCTCTACGTAAATAGTGCATTCGCCCCTGCACTGGATGAAGTCGTGGGGAACCTGCACCGGGTACGTCATGGTCATGTTGAATTCACATCATAAGCGGTCGGTCTACTTGCTGATAATTGATCACAGTGCTTTAAGGATTCTAATGATCAGTTGATCGTGGCGTATTCTATCACACCTGCGTTTGGCTAAAACACAACCTCTATCTCGTCTCTCATCAAAGACATGTAGCAATGGTATCCCACAACGCCCCATAATGTTAATGCTAAATCATTCATGTCAACCGATCGTCATACTACGCATAGAAGGAAACAAGTGCTTATTCTGAACCGAAGGGCGACTGCCTTGCACTTGTCTTCTCCGCGACAGCAGCGGCGAACGCATGGGCCGCGTCTTGGGAAATCGGGTATGTGTGCTCGGGTGCTGGGTATTGGCGAGCCTTCACCTCTTGCCGATACGACTTGATGGCATGGAAGTTGTCCCCCCATACGTTGCCGTATTGCTTGACAAATTTGGGAAGGAACCGGCCAGGAGGGAAGTTGCCAGTCATGTCGGTTTGAACCAAAACCTGACCAGAACAACCGTTGCCTGCACCTATACCAATGGTGGGGATGGATAACTCCTTAGTTATGAGGCTGGCGACTTCCGCTGGAACGGCTTCCACGACAACGGCGAAGCTCCCGGCCTCTTGTATGGCAAGAGCATCCTCAAGGACTCTCATGGCGCTGTCCGATGTCTTGCCCTGAACTCGGAATCCACCAAGAGCATTTTGACGTTGGGGAGTAAGGCCGATGTGCGCCAGAACGGGTATGCCAGCACGGGTGATCTTCTCGATGGTGGCGGCCATTTCTTTGCCACCTTCGAGTTTGACGCCTTGGACCCGCCCTTCCTTGACAAACCTGATGGCCGTCTCGAGTGCCTGCATTGGTGAGATCTCGTAAGACCCCATGGGCAGGTCACCAACCTGTGTGCGTCAGCACTTGTTCGTTCCATGGTCGGATTCGCTCTTACGGTGAAGGCTGCCGTGGTTGCACGTGCAACAGACTTGCAGTGCAGCAACATCTCCTCGACAAGAACCTCGCTCGTATCTTCCATCCCGAGGGCCACCATGGCGAGGCTGTCGCCGACAAGCACAATATCCATACCGGCCACATCCGCGACATGTGCACTGGGGAAATCATGCGCGGTGAGCACGGCGATGGGCTCATTCTTCTTGTACATGGACCGAAGCGTGCCCAGCGTCACCTTTTTCCTCGATGTGCCTGAAGGGCTGCCCATGGGTGAGTGTGAGCTCCATCGTTGTTGCGACAACGAAGACAGTAAGGGCTTAGCAGCAGCGCTCAGGGGCGCGATCACCCGCGTGCCCCGATAAAACGATGAGGCGCATGGCTTGAATAGGGGCAATGACATTAGAGGCAATAATTGTCAAAGCAAATGCGAGAAATTTGAGAGGTGGGATCAAACTGAAATAGTAGTAGTCGCTCGAGAGTTGCAAGAGGGAAAATTTGCATTGCGGTCAAAATTGGGGCGACTGGCGTTTTTATTATTTGGTCGTGATGGGTTTTGCCGCGTACAATTGAGTCTCACCGGATTTTTTTGGTGTTTTTGTCAGAATGGCAGGTACGTACCCCGTTTTGCCGCCCCTGACCGGATTCTAGCCATGACTTGGGGCAAAAAGAGACTTCCCGACTGGATGGGAGCCGAGGTAAGTCGGTCAAACAAGTTTTCAGCGCCGACAGTTTGGTTCGTGACGCCGCGCTTGAACTTATCAGAGCGGCTGACATCATCTTTTGGGTTGATGCTTGATATCTTAATTGACTCGTTGAAATTGGGTCCTACCGCTATGCAGCTAGGGACGTGTCCCTTATTTGTAATTAAAGAAAGATAACCAACTTGCCTGCATGCGTATAGACTTAACCAATTGATTAATGCCAGAAAGATTCCAAAAAGATGGTTAAATCGATTACCTACCAAATTTGGTGGTTGATATCTTTGCACTAGCCGCGAATCGAACGCGGGGCCCATCGATGGCAACGATGGATTTTACCACTAAACCACTAGTGCTTAAGCTGTTGCTTGATGTTCAGATGATCTAGTCTGTTTTAATTGCTGTATATAATCCCAACTGAGAGTGCTTTCTAGTGCTTTCCCGTTCCTGCCGCTGGGGTAATAGCTAGGTCGGCCACGACTTAGACTGGGAATGGGACAGCTTCTGTTTGCTGGAAACTGGGATTTTACAAGTCGGCTAACATGATTTTAGCTTGCGACATTCCGCAGCATCAGTGTAAGGGGAACCGAACCCCCTTACTAATAGACAACCTTAGGTCATCAGGTGAATGGGATCATCTATATGATTCAGTTGTAGATCTTGAGGTTGGTTTCACATCTTTAGAATGGTGATCAAGAACAATTGGTCTGTTCAAGTGGAGGACGAAAATATCTACACAATAGTGATAATCAACTCGAATCTTCAAGGAGATTTCTTTCGATAATAGTAGAAGTCATGATAGAATCGGCGTCTTGCTCCATTGGCTTGAGCTAGTGTCAATGCGCTGTACCAATGGCAGAAGTTTGAGATACCACTGAACACTGAAAGAGCCCCAGACACCACACACAACAAGAGAATCTCGAGCGGCATAAAGCCTAGAGAGTCGTGAACACCGGTATCAAAGTTAGGCGGAGCAGATTCAGCAAGGTTTAGGACAAGCTGAACTCGCGAAGGCTTGTCATACTCTAGAAAAGGGTCGCCAGGTTGAAGTTGCTCAAGTTGTCGCCCAAGAAGCGCTGGGGACCATCCTGGACAAGGAGCGCAATGCTCTGGAGCTGGGACGCTTAAGGTACAACCGGGGTCACAACGAATAGTCGTATATTGACGAAGGGATATGTAGCGGCTTCGATTAGAAGAAGAGCTTGTCTTTCGAGAAGTCAACCAGATGTGGATTCCGGGCTGCTGCCCAAGTCGGAATCAAGGCACGAATCAGATCTTTAATTAGAACAATGTTTCGTAAATGTGCCACGATTTGAAGTTCGGGCGGTTGTGAAGGCTTAAAATTATGAAAAGTGGTGGTATACAAACTGGTTGTGTCTAAGAGAGACTTATGGAACACTGTCGGAGCATTGCTGTATCCAAGTTTGATCTCGCCATAAAAAAATCCATCATACTTAACTATTAATGATGCTGTATTTTGTCAGCTCGTCGTGAGTAATTGTATAAAAGTTAATTAACCACACATCCCTCAGCTAAATATGAAGTCTTCTTACTAGAAACTAAGCTAAGGGCTAATTATTGGTATTTATTATCTAGGCAGCTATCTAATATACGTAAAATAATATATATATTGACGACGGGCAGTGAAACCACCCGCAGGTTCAAGGTGTGATGATGATGGCAACGGACAACAAGATCCTCAACAAGACCTTACTATCCGGGAGGTGGAAAGAAAATAACAAGATCAAGAGCTCTTTGCCCTGATCGGAACGACAAGTACCTCAACAGGTACTAACAACTGGGGAAGAAAAGGAACCTCAACAGGCCCTTGAACAATCACCTCAACAGGCACAATCAGATCTATAGGGGAACAAAAAGTACCTCAACAGGTACGCCAGACATTGAATGCCTGTCCAAGTAAAGAGAAATTGGTTCAGATTACTGTGGAAAAGGCTGCTTGGTTTCTATCTTTTTCTCAAGAGAGTGACTACGTACATAAGGTCTTAAATACCCCTCAAGAACGCGCTTACATAATTCGTCTGAATCCGGAAAAAACGAAAACGAGCATCCAAAAACCCTAACCCCACGTCAATATATAGATTTAATTATTTAAATAGGGGTGTTTTTATATGTACATTGATTTCTTGACATTTTGGGGTTGACTCTTACAAAAGGGGGTCAATGCGGTTTGACTGGCTATAGAGAGCTTCCTTGCTCCTGATAGAAGACAATAAATTCAGCAAAAGAATTCAGTCTCTAGCTTGGTCCTTATGGAATTTAATGCATCAAACCAGCCTCTTTGTCTTTGAATCAACCCTATCTTATAGGTCTTTCGCGGCCTTGTTCTAGGACTTAGTATAAGCAATAACAAGGCATGTAATTGAAAGTATCTCTGATTACCCCCAAGTCCTAAGGAGTGGAGGTGGCCGTAAGGGCCTTAAATATAGAAAAGTGTGCCTCTTAGCTAGCTGGACACTTAAGTTAGTTGCTGATACACCGGAGGGTTCGATCCTAAAGTTCTAACAGTTAGCCGTTACTAAGGGTTTACTATAGCCACCTGAATGAGCATCATGAAGCCGCATGACGCAGATACGGTACGGCTTCAGAAGATGTGAAGAGGAATAGTAGAGCTAGGATAATATTAGCAAGCATGCTAGATATTCCTCATTCAATGAACCAACCTTTCTCCACCTCGGACTTGCAAGTATAAGAAGGCAATCAAGAGTAAACCGAATCCGATCAGGCAGCCGAACACATTTGCGTCAGACCATGGGTAGACGATACCACCCCACTGTAGAACCAGGTTCAAACACGATGTTGCACCGAGAAGTAGAGTTGCCCCTGGAATATCGAGTTGACGCATCTTTTGGATCCATGGTAGTCCTCCTTTTACTGCGGGTGGAGGTTTCCTTAAGGCGAACCAAATCAGAACCAGTCCAACAGCCCCGAAAGCTGGAAACCGTTAGTTAATGATAATTAGGAAGCCGAGGGACATCTTCATCGACAGAAACTTACGGAGATTAATCCAGAATACAAACCGCCAAGTAAGCACCTTGTTGTCGGTTATAGAACCACCCACGAGTGGCCCTACGGCAGATCCAATACTATATATACCAAAGACAAAAGGCGACAGTATCGCCTGCTTTTTCAAAGCGACGCAATATGGCATAACAGTTGTTGTTCCACTCACTAAACCAGCAGCGCCTAGGCCAGAAACTGCTCTCCATATTATAAGCGCTATCGAATTTGGTGCGACTGCTGAGACAACAGAGCCGAGTTCGAAGACGACTAGCGAAATGCAATATACCCACTTGATGTTGTAAAATGCATGGAAGCGGCCGCAGGTCGGCAGAAGTGACATTTGCGCGATCAAGTAGGAAGAGCCATACCAACCGATATCGTTAAGACTTCGGAAGTCGCTGGTAATCTGGGGTATCGCGGTCGCTTATTATGAATATTAAGTATACTGCTCATTTCTGCAGGCCAGGGAAAACCACAAACCTAGAATAGTATTGTCAAGTGCCAGCGCGAAGCAAATGGACATGAAAGCTAAGGTTAAAGAAGCGAGAGCCCATCCTTCCATGTATCCAGTTGCGTGCTGCTCTTCACTCTGCTGGTTGTCGATTACGTCTGCAGTCACTCCAACAGGACGAGAAGTCTCGGCTGCAATGCTCGTCATGCTGGTTGGTAGTCTTTGCGATAGGAAATGCTGTTGAAACCGAACGTGATGATGGTTTTCGCAACGTATCCAAGGTTAGGGAGCCTGCAATAGGGGTTGGGGTTTCCCCAATAGATGCAAAATTGTTGGAGAGGGGGGAGTGGACCTTACCACTACAAGAAGCTGATTTCCTTGCAGGATACAAACCAACGACCCAGGGTTTCATACTCGCCACTACCAACACTAACAGGCGAATGCTGTGCCCTCAATTATGACATTAGGCTGTTACAGTGCAGCTGAACCTGATTATATTATTGGACTACGCTTGCAGGAACTACCGTGTATAGAGCGTGCGCTTTTTGCGAGCCCAAGTGGACAGAACCAACCGACCCTAAGTAACTCGCTAATAACGGTGTGACCACTGGAGTCATTAGAATCTACCGGCTGCATAGTTTTTCGTATCGCAGGCACCAAGGGGCCCTAGGGAACCCCCCTGCTAGTTCGATACCTCCGAAGCAAGGGACAATAAGAAAATTATGACTGTGAAGAAATTATACCGTAAATCCATTCTATTCATGTAAGAGTGCCCTTTTGTGCAAATAATTGCGAAGATTCTATGAACAAATTTGCGACCTCGTTATGTACCGCCAAGACATCTAAACCGAAGAACTTGCGGTAGGCAGAACGCGTGGTGGGCACGCTGTGGGAGTTTACAAGTATGATTGGACTGCATACACACGTAAGCTGTCAGATGTGGTGTTGTGCTTGTATTCAGCCTATTCTATTCACCTGGAATAACTCCACTACTTATCTTGGCCAAACTCCCGCCAAATCGTAATACGGCTGACGAAGGCACCTGGATCCAGAGGACGCCCACCAAATACGGCGCAGGTGAAGCGTCTGAGTACCTTATGGAGGATCAGATGGGTCCCTGGAAATAGCATGGCTTCGAGAGTTGTTTCCCAGACATTCCGTATCTGCAGCTGGATACGACGGAGTCTCTCGGCCCATGGGATTCGTTATGGAACATGTCTGAAGCTGAAGTGTGTCCAACAAGCACGCTCGATGATAATCAGCAGATTCAACAAGGTAATCCAGGCGAAATGGGAGTTGCCACATACCCCAACCCCCTCTTTGCTACTTCCAAGACGAAGAGGATAGGGTTGGTCAATTGAAACTACATGGAGCATCTTGCGTACTTCCAAGTAAAGAAAGCTCGCAGGATGAATTGTGCGGCGCACCTGGGACCTGGTCAGCTTGAGAAAGAGGCTGCCCACCTGCTGGAAAGCTCCTCGGAGTTCCTTGAGCTCATCCAGATGCTCGCAAGCGTTGCACACAAGTGCAAAGTATCACAGCAGTCGTCGCCTATCAACACGGCCGTCTTCTCACAGCTTACCTCGATGTCGATACGCCTGACGAGTTCAAGAGACTACTTCTTAACGCTTTTACCGGCGTGGCTGGGCCTAGCCTTCTAGAACACCACATGGCTGTGCAGGTATTCATGTCGCAGAAGCTGTTTGTGAAGCAATCTACTTCTCGGCTCACCTATCAGAGCCCCAATACACTTGGGTAAGCCTTTTTTACGCACTCATATTTCGTTTGGCGTATGTATGCTATTAAGCTGAAAATAGGAGATGAAGGAGTCGTCCCAGCTGACGAGAGGAAACAACTATGCACTTACAGGATTGACTATAAGACTGTGCAATGGTACAGTAACAGAAGCATATCGGCTACCAAGACTCTTACAACATGTGCAAAGTCCCGTTCCGCTACGGGCTGGAGGTGGGTTCGTTAACGTACGATAATCTGACACTCTCCACAGCAGGGGCATATAGAGTATAAATGTCAATATAAGTCTTCGTCGTTTCAATCAACACACCTAAACGCCGAAACGAGCATACGGGGCCCAGTGCAGTGGTAGATCATCCACTGACTGGCAGCGCTGGCGTTCGTTTCTGATAACGTACCTGGTGGCTGGATGGCACCCTACTAGAATACATAGCGACCCTAGTGGAGCATCACTCCATGAGCCCTCATCGAGGCACTAGCGCTCCTTTCATTCTTTCTTGCAGCCGCTTTGGAGAACTGAGTGGTGTCGTACGCAGGTGTATGCAGTAACAGCAACGTTCCTCAGCAGCCCAATGGCATTCAGTCGCATCCACCCGGAACCATTATGGGACATGGCCGATCTCCCACTGCATTCCCGCAATGCTGGCCGCCTGAACTGTTGAGTTAAGCAGATATGATGGCTTCGGAAAGGTCGATTTCCGTTGGCACTTTTTGGACCGAGGTCGCGGTCGTTGTCTCTCATTCAGGCTTTCAGAGCTAAGTGCGAGGCTGTCTCAAGAGAATTATCTGGCTTTGTGGTCACTTGCAATCAAGATCAATTTCGTTCTGACGTGGGCGCGGTGGTTCGGGCTTAAACGGTGATTGTGTCGCAAACCGGGCACAATGTCAACCAAGTCAGTCTTCCATACATAGCCTTTGCCCTACTCGAAACTGCTTGCTGGAATAGACAACTTGCATAATGGCTGCGCGAACGGCATGTTATTGGTGGACTGCATGGTCTTGTACTGGACACTAGCTCTTATGTCAGCTGGGCTTGCGCTGAGCTCGTGGAAACTGGGCGACGCGCCACATGGGTGTTGCCTATCACGTTGAATGCAACACCACCCGCAGATGCTCTGGAACTGTCATACATGCAAAGAGAGTCTCATGATCTGCGAAGCCAAATGCACACTGCAAGACGACGTGGTAGGTGCAGGACGGAACGGCAGGGTCTCGGGGTGCCAACACCACAGCAAAGGAGCGCAATATTACTGTAAGTATAAGGATATAATGTCTGCTGTGCTATAAAGATATCGAGACTAACAATATCTATGTTATTTCTATACTACTGTCCACGACAAAGTTGGTGAGCACAAAGTATAGGGATTCATACAGCGGCAAATTCTCAATTAATATACGTACCGATGTTTTGGTTTCACAGATCAGGTAGATGCCATCTGCAGTTTGAAGATAAAGAACAGAGGATATTTCTATCGGAATAAGACTTCATCGACTTCAAAGTCTCGGAATTGGATGCAGAGGTAGAGATACAAACGGACGGTAGACATGGAGGATCTAGAGCATGCCATTGGACAATTTCAAGAGGCGCTCGATCTCACACCAAAGGATCATCCCAACCAAGGGTCGGATAAACCTAACCAATCCACTATATCTCCAAAGCTGGTTGCTTGTTTTTGATCGATGCCGAATGCAACTTTGACCGACGACATCCTTAACTAACGTTTTGTCGAGTTTGACGATTCAATTCATAACCCTGCAACTTTGCATGCAAATATAAACGTTTGCAGCTTGAGCATATCGGTGCCTAAATCTAGATACAGATAGGATTCACAGGTATCGTATCGAACATTAACCTCTATATGAGCATGTTATGTAGCTAATTGCTCTTGTCCTTAGTACCACCCAGTGTTGACTGCACAGTACCTCCGATACTACCATCGGCCGTAAATTGCTTCCCAACGGCGCCATCTGCAGCTAAAGGACCTCCAACAGCTTGTCCTATTCCTCCAATGGCTCCACTTTCTATATTTCCATATGGTTAGCCGCGTTATCACGTCGAAAGTATTCAGCAATAATATGGTAGGCCGACAATACTGTGGAAGTCTACTGGGAGCGGCTAACCTGTAAATTGCTTTCCAATGGCACCCTGCGCATCGAATGCCTTAGGTTTCTCATCGCCAACGCCAGCATTCGCGGGTGTTGTTGTGGCTGAGGCCATGCCGGTACTAGCCTTGGAACCTGTGTTTGAGCTGCCGTGGGAAGACATGATGATTTCGATTGGTAAATCCACAATTATTAATTCAAATTCACAAAATTATGTGATATCCGTAAGGCTGATGGAAATGACCATCTACATAAGTTGGGACGTGAGGTTCAATATGTAGTCGCCGAACAAAGGGTGAATGTAGTGGGACCCCGAAACATAGCTGCAGTTAATGAGGTCATAATGCGCACATTGGGCCCCAAGAGTGTCATCATCACACCGGAAGTGCGCCTGTAGCTCTGGTACTATAAATTAAGCCGCAAAATCAGGCACGTCACTTTTACCCACTACATTCTCGCTAGCCCCAAGCCCATAATCTGCGTGTAGTGGTCTTAGACTGCCCTACCGCCCTTCTACCAAGGGGGCACGTGTTACATCAGAATACACGAACAAGCCACATGCATATGACAAGCGATACGAAGTCCAGGAAAGCTGGGCATGGCTTTAAGTGGCATCATGAATGTTTTCTGCTAATACCGCAAGCGCAAGAAGTAAGCACACCTCACGAACGGATGTAAGTTCATCCCTGTGAGCCAGTATCTGTGGACGTGCTGATCAGTAGACCTATGACAATACAGATACGATTCTGAGTCTAGGCAAAGACATCTTGTAGTTCACGACTTGAGATACGTGATGAGAGAGGCGTGTGTGCCAGACGACATAACTCTCGGTTCCAACAGAAAGAAAAACAAAAAGATTCACCCGGAGAGCGGAGTGTGAGTGTTCTACACCGTTGCAGCCATCGGGAACCCCCTCACTCAGCCTCAAAAGCTATTTCAGCACTTATGCTCTAATTACTTAACGCTTTCTCGTTGAGACTCGGCATCAAGTCCACAGCCTTCTTGAACTCGTTCGTAGGATCATACTTCAGCTTCAACTCTCTCAGTCTTTCGATGTTGGACCCGAAGACTCTGTCAGCTTTGACGAAAACTCGATCTTCATCCACGGCGGGGTCTGTCAGCGTAGCAGGTCAGCAGATATGCTCCTTCGTGTACGGTGAATAATGACTTCGACGCACTCAAGTAGTTGTAATATGTCCCGCCTCGATCCCCAGACTCATCGCCTTGCCAGCCCTTTGCTTTCAGAAATCCGGATACCCTCGAACAAATCTCTTTTGCTTCGTCGTCTTTCTTCTCGTTGTCCCACGAGATCACAATGACAATGTTGAATACGTTATTGTTTCGGCCCGCAAATGCGGTCTCGGTCGTAGGAACGGACTTGAGCTTCGCGTCAGGCGCAAGCTCGAACCCCACCATGCACCTAGCCTTCATTTCTTCATTCCCAGGTAGCATAATTGCCCCGTGAAAGATGTCTGAGGCCTCCTGCATGACTTTCGTGTCCAAAGGACACACGAAATTTGCTCCGCTGAACATATACCGCTTTTGGGGAGGCACCTTCAGATTCGGGAAGGTGTTGGCCGTCGGGTACGGGATGACGTCCGTGGTGGCCATGAGCCTCTCTTTCAGGCCTATCAGCGGTCCATAGAACTTTTCTGCCTCATCTTTGTCCCCGTTGAAGAACATTGATGCTGCGATGCACGGCTCCCCCGTCACGGGATGGCACACGAGCATCGGCATCATAAACTGATCCCCATCCGTCTTGGACACGAACTCATTCATGAAGGCCACTACGTCGGAAAGCTTCGACATGGGCCACGCCATCAAACCTCCCCAGACGTCTCCCTGCGGAAAGCAGCGCGAGGTAAATGAAATCACAACGCCGAAACTCTGGCCGGCGCCCCGGAGCGCCCAGAACAAGTCTGCATTTTCCGTCTTGTTGGCCGTGACGGCATTACCATTCGCAAGAACGACCTCGCAGCTTAGGAGAACGTCGATGCACAATCCATGGCGTCCGGTCAGCATACCGAAGCCACCACCCAGAATCAGCCCTCCCACGCCAGTATGGCTTACGGTTCCCCCTGGGGTCGCGAGACGATGTTTCCATAATTCCGAATCTACATCTTCCCAAATACATCCACCGCCAAACGTGACAGTCTGATTAGTCGTATCAACAGAGACTGAGCGCATACGGCTCAAGTCGATTACCATACCTCCATTGGACGAGGATGTGCCACTTGGACTGTGGCCACCTCCGCGGACGGTAAAAGGAATGAAGTGCTTTCGTGCAAATTGTACTGCGGCGCTTGTTTCGCTGGCAGTTGTGGGTCGGACGACCACAGCCTTGGTGGGTTGAGTCAGCCCTGTGCATCATGTAGACTGAGATACAGGACAAAAGGAGAACGGATACAGTACAGCTGGTTTGATGCAGGTCTCGCTCCAGCGCTGAAGACTCTCTTCGTAGCCTGAGTTTCCTGGCACGAGTACATCTCCGCTCGTGATAGCTGCTCGAAGCTCGGCGAATATGGGTGCCATAGTCGGTCAAGTTCGGTCTTTTACCGTCTATTGTCCAGTTGGGTTTGGCAGGGAAGATCAAGAACCAAAAGATAAGATGTGTGGCAGGTGAAATGCAGCACCATTAAGCTGACGTATGCTTCGTTTCCATATGCCTAACCTGAAAACGAAGAGCATTACTCCTCGATAGATTGTTAATTCCTCGCTTCTTATATCAGCTGTAACACCCGTCAATACGTTTGCTTCTCAGCCGATTCTAGCCAACAGCCACGCACGCGTTTCCTCCTGTTGAGGGACACACAATAGAAATGAAGTGTATGATGGTGAGGAAAGAAAGCTAGGCTAGTCCAACACTAGCCTAAGTAGTGGTGGTGGCTGCGCAGGTACCACCTCTGACACCCCCTCACCTTCAGCGACAGTAGGACCAATCTGGATCTTCAAGTACAACGCCCCCGAATATTCTCCATCAAAACGCGGCAAGATGAAATGTGCATACGATGCAAGTGCTCACCAAACGTGATACAAACAAACAATATCCTGCGCCATCTCAGATAGTGGCACGTCACCGATTCAATCGAGCAGAAGTTAGTGTTTTGGTGGCACGATCTGGACCACGTTCAGCTGTAACGAAAATCCCACACCGCTACGCGGCACAGCGGTGAGGGGAGATCTCCATGTTGACAATCTCTCTGATTCAGAAGATAAATTACCAGAGCCGGAGCTGTATTGTAGATAATCAGGACATAAAGAGGATCTCGTCTAGCTTGCCTCTATCTTGTTGAGCCTCCTTCCCTTCATTCTTCATCCCGTCAACTTACCCAGAGCATTATGTTCTGGCAGACTGGATGTAAATGGCGCATATGCGGAGCAGCCATTGTAGATACCGTCAGAAAGGCTGTCTATGTAAGTCATACCAAGACGTTTTACCCATTCGAATGAATACATGCGTTGTATACTCACATGTCTTCATAGCTTATCCACATCGGATCCGTGCATGATGCAAAGTTGCTGGGGCTCCAGTATATCTCCTTTGACCCTTTGCTCCAAGATATGATTGACACTCCGCTTTGAATTGCTCGGCATGATGGAAGCCTGGCAGGTAAATGTGCGGCTCTCTTGACATGGACGGCAAGACGCCCCTTAGAGATGTCAACATAATGATAAGACAGGCGTGAGGTCTCTTTGTCTGACCTCTCAATAATCTCTATGCCTTGATTTGTACAACTTGATTGTGAAGAGCCTCACGAATGTGCCTAGCATCTTCCCCAACCATTACATGCACCTTAGCAGTTAGAACAGCCCAGCCGGAATAAATCTTAATTTCTCTCACACCAACTAACATCAAAGGACTCAAAAACTCAGTCTGACTAATCAGCCATTACTTCTCGGCAAACCCTCAAGTCACCTACAACACCTGAAAGTCAGAAACAATGCCTTTTAATAACACAAATAACTGTTGAGACTTGAGATTGCTATGGGTTTTCTCTTCAGAACTAAAGACGGGTGGTACATTACAGACATAAGTGTAGTGCCAATGAAAACCCTCTTTACCCAAATGCGCTGCTTACGAAGCAAATAACCCCTTAAATCACACAATGCACTCTCATCCTGTGGCAACATCGGGCATTTATTCTACCAAATCCGCTAAATACATGCCCTTCCCCCCTTTCCCACCCAGTCATCCTACTCAACCGCCCTCCAGCTCTTGTCTAACACCCCCACCATCCCAACTGCCTCCTTCGCCCCCGCAACCCCCGCCGCCCTGCAAAAATCCCTATTCGCAAACCCGTACCCGACCCCTATCCGACCCCGGGTGCACCATACGTATATGCCGCTGGTGTTCTATACACAAGCTGCTGCATCTTCCTGCTGACATTATAATGCGAGCTCATAGTATTCAACACCTTCTGCTGTTTGAGCGCCTGCTGCTGCTGAAGCAGCATCATGCGGATCTGCGGCATGGTCTTGAAATAGACCTGTCGCCGGCGCAGTGAGTTTTGTAGCAGGACCTCGGGGTTGGAGGAGCATTCCTGGTAGAGTTTGCGCATGCGTGGGCTATAGAGTTCGCACACGACTGAGTCGTTGGTTAGGGGATTGTTGCGGTGCGTCATTTGCGATGAGAGGGTTGAGTTCTGTGGGAGGGCGAAGTCGTGATGGCATTATGGACAGATGGTGCACTCGCGCCAGCCGTACCAGCGCACGCTCTTAGCGGCGGTGTCATGGGGGCAGGGCGGGATGGCGGCGTATGTCGAGGCGTACTTTTCAAAGGATGTCGGGTCTCGGGTGAAATACATCTCCAACAGCTTGGGCATGTAGCTCTTCAGTCTCGGATGCAAGAGGTTGAAACAGCAGAGCAGGGTCGTATTGGGTGGTATGCCTAGCTTCGGCACGAAGAAGCCCGCGACGTTGAGTGATCCGGCGATGGCGATGTAACAGGCTTTGCAAATACCGAACTCGGCCGGGTTGGAAGGAAATGTGTACCATTCTCCATTGAGGATCCCCGTATCATCGCACATCTTCTCCTTAACTACTTTATTGACAACCGCCCAGAAGACGGAGTAGTCTTTAGTGTCAGTCCTTCGTGCCATCGTGATCTTGATATTAAACTGCCCCATTGCGCAGCGAACATGGTTGGAGAAGAGCTTGGTAAGCTCGACTGCTTCCCTCCAGTTGGATTCTTGACCGGTGTGGACCACTTGATCGCAGTAGCACGCATGACAGAATACGATGCCCTGCGGTCCTTCCTTGGGGACGAACCACCTCTTCCCATGTGTCAAGGCTTTGCCGCGGCCTGGACAAGGTGGAATAATCAGACGCCCTCTTGCCTCAATCGCAAATTGGGGCCAGGCATTGATATAAGTCTTGCCCTTCTCCTCGTACTCCTTCTGTATATACGGTACAGCCATGGCGCAAGCCCACAAACTGGCACTAGGCTGGGATGGCGAGGGTTCGAAGAAGGCGTTAAGCTCATTTGTAAGAATGCGATCCTCATAACAAGCACGGCAAACCACGAATCCCGGTATGTCATCGGGATACCGCGGCTTATACAACCTGACATTTGCATCCCCTTCGACCCCAGCTTCACCCTTACAGTCTGGTATGGTGGCACGTCTACGCATCCAGCCCAAGGCTTGCTCAAGAGACATTGATTCAATAGAGGATATGAAGAGATGATCCCTCATCTGTGGACGACTGAATCGGCAAACTCGCGGCTTTCCATCGATAGGACATGATGACGAAAACTCGGAGCGAAAGGGACTACACCAAATGTAGTCGGCATAGCAGCGGGAGCATATGAGAAAACCAGGGGCTGCGGAGTGCCAGTACCAGGTCGTCGCGAAGGTCACAACGGTATCAATACACGAAGTCACGGCCGACGGTGGCGTTCCGGGAGTAGCAGGAGGAAATGATACTAACCCTTCTGGTACTGGAAGCTTTGGAGGACGATGCGGAGTTGACGCTGGGGCTGAGACTCTCGAAGGGGCAATGTCCATTCCGGTTAAATACGAAGCTCCATCTGACCATTGCTCGACAGCAAGAGACGAAAATTCAACCCTTTTTGTTTCGGATTTAAGATGCATTGCCTGAAACATCTCGTCGATCTCGGCTTCTGGCGGTGGCGGTGGGAAGAAAGAGAGCTCATTTTGCGATGCAGGATTTGAGACTTGGCCATTTGAAGGTATTGAGCAGACTATTGAACTTGGCGAAGACAAAATTGATGCCCAGCGTGATGCCCCTTGGTGAGTCTCTGCGACTGACCCGCTCCCAGCAGGGGGAGACGCTGCCGGAGGAGGTGAAGGTAGCGGCGACGTGTGCCTCGAGGCTGTGGCCAGCGGGCTGGATGCTTGACCCTTTTCCGACAATGTGGATACAAACGCAGCAGGCGAAGGGGAGTGTGAGTTTAGAGACTCCCGGAGAGGCTTGTAAGCCGGGGGTGGGGAGCTTGGGATTTCCGGGTCTGTTTTCGGGTCTGGCGTGTAAGATGCTCTTGGCTTGTATGATAGCCCAGCGGGGATGGGACAGGCAGTTGGGCGTGAGGGGGGACCTGGGTGGCTATTATATGCGCTTGTGCGAGAAGGCACACGACTACCGGGTGCTGGCGGTCCAGGAGGAGAAGGAGGAGGAGGAGGAAAGGACGTTAGTTTGTATGGACTCTGGGCCCCTGGACTCAAGGGAGGCGGCGTGGGATAATTACCCTGAGGCGACTTAACACCAGATAAGCCGAGATAGGCGTTGGGCCTCGGTGGTAAAGGAAATCTCTGGGAATCAGGAGTCCCGGAGCCAGATTGATTTGGAGATGGCGGCGGCGGTGGGAAACTCACGTAGGATATTCCGCTCAAGTTTGGCGGGGCGAGGCCCGATGATGAGCTGACTGCAGGTACACCGGATCCGGGCGATTTCCGGTGATCCCCATGGAGCCCATGTTGTCTTGTAGGAACCAGCGGAACTACATCGCTCACTATTGGGATAATGTCGGGACTTCGAGGGGCAGGATACGATGCGGGAGGCATCCCTTGGTGAGCATGAGGTCCTGACGGCGGCGACGGAAAGTAGGAAAGTTGGCTGGAATTCTCAGCAGGAGAAATCGACGTATCCCGTGGAGGTGTAGGGCTCCATGGGGGTAGAGGTGGCTTGAATCTGGAGCCGTTGTGTGCCATTTTTTTGATTTCTAATTTCTAGAACACCAAAGGCGTCAAATAGACGACAACAATGCCCTCGGTGGGATAACTACGCTTTGTCAATCTAGAAGTATCACACTGGAATATCGAAGATAACCCACATTGCTGCGCTTCGTTACGTCATTCATTGTGCTGTACTCTTTGGTGTGTTCCGGCTCGCTCACCAGAGCCAAATGAGGCTCATTCTCAAACTGACCAGACTTCACAGCTCCACAATATTACAACTGCGCCCCCAAAACTGAAATGATTCCCAATTTGAGTAAGACTGCGCCGTAGTCGTTAATGTCTGTTATCGTAGACGAAAAAGGTAATATTGGGAGCGTTACTGTCGAAGATAGGAAAAGGAAGGGTCCACGACACACTTGCGGCCCAAACAATAGACTTCGGGCTTGGCACGGAGGGTCCATCGCGACACTTGATAGGATCATCGCTTCAGCTCAGTTTGTCCCCTTAAGGTTGAGAGTTGCGGGCCGTTGGAACCGAGGGGTGAATAGAGTTCGAGACTTGAGTATTGATGTACCCGTGGATGCAGCTCAGGCGTTGCGCCACGCAGCGTCTTGCCCTGCGGGCGATTTATGGTACTGAACATATGTAAGTTACGTTAGTGCTATTTGGTAATGTTCTGGGAAAGGGCTATTGTGTTCCAATGAGGCCATCCGACTGATTTTCGACTGATCTTGAAATGCACTAGTCAGCAGGCGGCTGGTTGGAGGGAGCTGCACGTGGACAGTGATCGGAGAAAATGGGGTTGGGCAACTCCTGGGAGCGCGCGGATAATGTTTAGGGCTCTTTAAATCCAGACGTGATATCCGGCAGCTTTGCCGCGCTCAATATTCGACCCATGGATGGTGAACAGCTCATGACATTGGACGGCTGCATTGGCGGCGATGCATTATTTAGCATTTGTTGGTTGGGCGTCTTGGACGAATGATACATTGCGCAGTAGAGGTGTGAAAGGCAATCAATCCAGTTCCGTTCCACAGGGCAAAATTCGAACAGCAGCTTCTCATCCAGCCCCCGAGGGTGTGCTACTGGTTGCCAGAAGTTGCAAACTGGCCAACATAAACAGCATCCTGCTAGCCTACAAGTATAACCAACTCTCGTTAAGCGCATGCATATATATAAGCTAGCACTTCACAGCAGGTGTCCATCAATGCCAATATGCAAGATTGCTGCTTGATAGGCGAGACAATACTCAAGCCGTGACCAAAATGGGAGATGCCGCATTCTTGAGTCACATTTCAACTTTCGAGGGCGCATCCTCCGATCATGTTTGATAGCTGTATGTGACTTCAATGGTGCTGGTAGGCCTACCTGATCAACGCTGTGCACACTGGAATCTGCGATGTGGCGGAAGGACGGACCCCTCACCTCGAGGGCAGTCCAGTAGGCAATTTTGCATTTGAAAGGTTAATGTAGCAGTGCCATTCCCGAGAATTTGGCACATCTTGGCCTCGTCTGACCCGACCATCAGACTCAAGATCTAGCTCTGAGTGACTCGTGGGCCACAACAGGCAACCATGCGCGCCAATTGTTGCGACCAAGGAGGAAAACTTTAACAGAAAAATTCCATCAGATGTCGCCCCCAAGCGCTCGTGAGAGACCCACAGCGCTTGTCCCCATCAGGATTAACGCGGGGATGGAAGAAAGAGACATGGCGATGCCTGCGATAGAGACGGCCCCAGCTGGGAAGAAGCACACGTGAGTGGCTGGCAACCGAGTTTAGCGAGGGGTTCTCAGAGGCTTCGCAATGACGCCAGGCGCTCACTGGCGCTGTGATGGAAGATGTGATGCCTGTGCTTCGACCGATCTGCCGCCAACGGCAAACGTAAAGCGCGCCCAGCAACTGCTGGTGGATACTCTGTAAAATACGGCGGCAGTGTCATTCAGCAGACGTCAATGTGTCACTTTTTGGGATTGCTCTAGATTAGGATCCAGCATTCATCGAGAGCAGTTGGAACTGTGCGCTTACGCTATGCTTCTCACCGGCTCCTGCCAGGCGCAAGGAGACGTTGTGGTTCTGGAAGGAGCCCAAATGGGCACGCACAGCACGCAGCTATCCCAACCGCATCTTGACTAACGACGACATGGCCTTGACAACGGTGAGCTTCCAATCAAGTGCACTTCCCGATTTTCTGGTTCTGGAGTTGGTTGATGTTCATATTCCACAACCATCCATGTGCTTGTTTGTCTGCCCTATTGGCTACCAGAGAGTCCATCCGGAGTTATAGGAACTCCACAGGTTGGCAACCGTGGACGGCAAGTGCAACACCCAGAAAAGGAAGTGACATCCGCCGCCGCCTTGCGCCGCTTCCTCTTCGTGCCGCGCATCAGCGTTCTTCGAAAATGAAATGTTATGTCACACCAGCTGCTGGCGCGAATGAGGTGATGATCGTGCTTGCCTGCTGCCAGTGAGCCAACACAATCTCCTCTCACGCTTAACATCCAGACACCAGGCAGCTTTGCAAGAGCCATCCCCAAGATCCCCTCTTTCCGTATCCATGTGGCTTTAAGTAGCTATTGATCCCAACCCGTGACATATCAAATGTGCAGGTAGCCAGCAAATCCATTCAAGAGGTCACGAAAATTCCAATCTCATCTCATTATCTCACCCATCAATTCCATTTCATTACCTAGCTGACTACGCAAGCCGCGCAGCGCATGCACTGCGTTTGCTTTTCCTGTCGTTGCTCGACTACGAATCCATGTTCACTAGGCGGTGTTTGTTTTGCTGATATACCACTTGTCATTTATTCGTGTTTTTGAATGCGGCACCACCGGGTGGTCTCTGCTCAACGCACCCGCTTGTACCTAGGTAGCATTCACCTGATCCAGGCAGCCTGCACTTCCAGTTCTTTTCTAGTCTCACAGTGGCCACTTGGCCCAGCGGCGACTTTAAAGTTCGACACTCCCTGGCAACGCGTTCGGGCGGCGATACCCACGATTGCAGCAAAAAGCGACCTTCCCCGCTGCCTCCGAGGGGAAGGCTAGATTGTGTACTTATACATACTTCTTTGTCACTGCGCTGCTCTATCGATTTCATCGACTCAACGGGTCAACACGTCAAAGGAGCCAGCAGCCCGTCTTCCCAGATTTCTTGTGTTCTGACCGACGGCTGGCTGATTTTTGCGTGGGGCGGCTAGTCATTCCTACGCCGTGCAGCGGAATCTGGTCCTCGGGTCCACTTCGTCTTTGTCTCCGGTACTAAAGTACCAAACCACTTCGACATTCAAATCCTCCCTGTAATCACATAACCTGACCATCCCCCACCACCACCACCACCGTGTTCTGAACACCCGTCACATATGTACAGAAACGTATAGCCTCGTCAGCTTCTATGTTCTATAGAAGGTAAAATGAGAGGAACACCGACCAGGCTTGCGGCCACCGACGTGGACCGGATGGAACAGTCACCATTAACTACCCAAGCAAGTCGACGCCCTCGCTCCAGCCAGACCACCGTGTCGTTGAACTGGGACGAGGCCGATGCCCTCTCACCGCATCCTCGACTGAAGTTCGAGGTCGCCGAGTGCATCGAGACAAAGACCATCACCACTACGACTACGACCAAGAGGTCCTATCCGCCCTTGTTTGTGCGAGAACCGCGACCATTAATGTCCCTCGACTCGAAGGAATACCCCCTCGCGCAGAAACGTACCCCCCCCGAGTTATCCAGGTTCTCGTTTGATGTCGATCAATATGGCTCCTTTTCCGACGATGAAACAGACTGTCCAGACGTATGTTCATCCATCCGGCCTCCTGTCTCTTCTTTCGGGTTGCCCACTGACCACGCCACATTCCAGTCCTTCCAGACAGCGTCTAGTGAAGACTCAAGTCGGGATATCAAGACCGAACCCGGCATCGACACGCTTCCTGTTATCCCCCGCCGACACCCAGACACGATCACGCGCAGGACTCACAAGATGGGAACCCGTGCCGGGTCGCCTATGGTGGCCGGGGCTGTGAAGAAGAACTCTAGTTCGGCCAACAAGTTGAGGTCACACGGGCCTAGTCTGCCCCATCAAGTCTCTGACAAGCTCCGTCGTGCCATTGGTAAAGGTCCGGCTTCTCGTAAGGAGAACGTCAGAGAAGGTAGCACAAGGACATCGAGCGAATTTCCTATCACCCCCGATACATCAGAGCTTGCTGGAAGCAGCAGCACCGCGCAACCCCAGCCCCTGAAACTCAAACGAACGAACCTGGACTCCTTCGAGACTCCCGATTCGGATCCCACCCAACAGCACGACAACTACTTCAACATCTCGAGTCCGTCTGGCAGTGATTCTCACACCGTCTTTAGCAACGTGGCTACTCCACCCATTACCGACGCAGATGCGGAGCCCTTCACAGATGCCGACGAGTCTCTCCAGCAGTCGATCCGCGGAGCCCTGCATCACCCCCGCCCCATTAACACTGTGGCCCAACAAGATGCGAGCCTGCCGAGCCCGCGACTATCCCCTACTCTTCAAGCCGTTCAGCTACCCACCGACAGAGAAGATGGAGAGGACGATGATATGTCTGTCATCTTGCACGATGGCAGTCAAAATACAATGGACGATGAATCACTAGAATCAACAACGCTCACACAAGGGTCTCTGAGGCACAAGAAGCGTCTTGAGGGGCCCAGTGTCATGGACAGCCGATCGATGCTCGAGTCGTTTGATGCTATGCCTGCGGAGATGAAGTCATTCATGATGTACCAGTTTCTGCGTCGGTGTTCGCGCAAAACTCTACACGTTGTTGCGAATGTGGTCAACCCTGCATTGAACTGCGATATTCTCAAGGATCTACCTACTGAGTTGACTCTGCATGTCCTTTCGTATCTCGACCACCGAGATCTTTGCCGGGCTGCACAGGTATCCAAAACGTGGCGCAACATCATTGACTACAACGAGACGGGCTGGAAGGAGTTGTTCGACCGAGATGGTTTTGAGCTGCCACCCGGCGAGCTTGACAGGGCCATCAAGGAAGGATGGGGATGGCAGGATCCAGTCGGGCCCGAAGGCTGTGAACGTGATTTTAGTCTACAAAACCGATTGACTTCGACCGAAGCCGACCTTCTCCGATCCTCATCCGCAAAACCCGACCCGCCGGCATCTAAGTTACGAAGTTCCAAGCGTAAGAGAGCCTTGAATAACTTCAGCTCTGATCGCAACAAGAGACGGGCTAGTGCTCAGGATAGTGTCATTAAGGACAAGGAGGAGAAGACGCAGTCACCTGCACGACTACACAAGTCGGAAGGACCTATCTCAGCGGCTAGTGCCGCGGCGCTCGCAGTACCTGATCCTCACATCGGTCTCCCGAGTCTTCGAAAACTTCACCTGTTCAAGTCTCTATACCGAAGGCACTACATGATCCGTAAGAGCTGGACTAGTGGCAAGGTCAAGCCAAGTCATGTTGCGTTCGCGGCCCATCCCCGCCACGTCATCACCTGCCTTCAGTTTGATGAGGACAAGATAATTACCGGAAGCGACGATATGCTCATTCACGTCTACGATACCAAAACGGGCAAGCTGCGCAAGCGTCTAGAAGGGCACGAAGGCGGAGTCTGGGCTTTGCAGTACGAGGGCAACTATTTAGTGTCTGGGTCTACAGATCGCTCAGTTCGTGTTTGGGATATTGAGAAAGGCCTCTGCACGCAGGTGTTCTACGGTCACACTAGCACTGTCCGGTGTCTGCAGATCTTGATGCCCACAGAGACCGGGAAAATCGAGGACGGGCAAGCCATCATGATGCCCCCCAAGCCGTTGATTATTACAGGATCCCGCGACAGCCAGCTTCGTGTCTGGCGGTTACCTGAGGCTGGCTCCCGCAGATACATTCAAACGGGGCCGCCTGCCAACGATGCGGATTGTCCTTACTTCATTCGCACCCTGCAGGGCCACAACCATTCGGTTCGTGCCATCGCCGCACACACCGATACTCTAGTCAGTGGCAGCTACGACAACACGGTGCGTGTATGGAAGATCAGCACGGGTGAAACTGTGCACGTCTTGCAGGGTCACACACAAAAGGTATACAGTGTTGTTCTTGATGTTTCTCGAAACCGATGTATCTCTGGAAGCATGGATACCTTTGTCAAGATCTGGGACCTGACGACTGGTTCTTGCATCCACACACTTGAAGGACATTCTTTACTCGTCGGCTTACTCGATCTACGAGACGAGCGACTCGTATCGGCGGCCGCCGATTCCACACTGCGCATTTGGGATCCCGAGTCAGGGAGGTGCCAGTCAACACTGACGGCACACACTGGCGCCATTACATGCTTTCAGCATGACGGGCGTAAAGTCATCAGCGGAAGCGATCGCACCCTGAAGATGTGGGATATTCGTACCGGCGAATGTATTCAGGACCTGCTCACAGATCTTAGTGGGGTGTGGCAGGTTCGATTTGATGAACGCAGGTGTGTGGCTGCTGTACAGAGAGACAATCTCACTTATGTTGAGGTAAGTTGCCGTCGCTGTAATCAGAATATGAATGGATGAAACTAACTGTCTCTTGTTACAGATTTTAGATTTCGGTGCTGTCCGCGATGGCAAACACCCCGAGGAGCTTGGCAAACGCATATTGCTAAATGCTCCCGAAGTCCGCGCTCTTGAAGCGGCCGCGGCGGCCGAGGACAACTAGTCAGACCCGACACCCCCAACATGAAGAACATTTGACTATCTGGGAAATACTATGGCGAGGCATTGCCCCAACTCCAGGGCAATCTATTGCACGACTCTCGCCCATGACACATACGATGTGAGGAACACAAGAGCCCTCTGCAGAAATGACAACATACCTTTAGACTACACATGACGAGAACGGATAAAAGTCGAGGCTGAATAGCGCATCTTTACACTAACACATGATGTTGCATTTGATTTCAGGGGTCGGATTGGCACATGGCACTCAGCAGCATACATATACCTACTCTGTTTTGTTTTTTTCTTTCTCTTCGACGGAGTCTGCATCTTTTGTGTTGTTTTCTCATATCGGCGGCGTTGAGGTAATGGATGGAGGAATGTACGTAAGGTGGGGGTTGGGCGGGGGCAGAGAAGCATTATGCTCGTGGGTCATCAGCATTGTCGTATGGCGCCTTCCCCAGGGTCCTGGCGATGGTCGCGGGAAGAGCCCTCTAGTGGGAATATGATAATGAGAGCTTTATTACGTACTGCTATCTGCATGAATGACCGTGAGGGGATTACACGTGATGGCTCATAGATCGTAGGGTTGATGGATGGATTTGCCGTTTTGGTGTTTACATATGACCCAAGGAGACTGACAAGGCAGAGCAAGTGACGGCGAACTATACAGCCGATGCGTATCCTGAGTTACCCATGGACGTCATTTGAATTGCTGTTAGGATGTAAATCACCGACAATCTGGCTTAAACAAAACTGGCAAGTAACACCGAAGTCCACGTCCAAGCTGGGCTGTCATATGAAGCATACGAATCTAGGCCCCTGACCAAATATCACTAAGACTTACGCAAACACTGTCCCAGTATGCTAATGATCGGCGTCAGCACAGAACCGCATAATAGAGTTGTTTTGAACCACGGCGACCACCTTCTCTACCAAACGGACCAGCCATGCTAACTTTGATTTGCTATAGGTGCTAGCTTTGCCCACCGAAATGCAACCTTGTGGCTTTGGGGGCTACAAAGGGAGAAACTACAGAAGACTCGACTCATGGGATCTTTACGCCGAGGAGCACAGTGGTGGCACTAATGAGAATCGCTGAAAAGCGGTTGTGGTGGCCAACGTCGTGGGATTAGGGGTGATAAGGGATCTTGCAGGAGAAAGTGGAAGGATTCTCATCGAACTGGAATGGACATGGGAGATGTGTCAAGTCGACCACCAGCCCGTTTTGTTGTAGGAGCGCATTAGTTCCTCAGGGTCTTTATTATTATCACGAATTATTGATTCTTTTTCTTTATCAGGATTAAGATAAACTTGAATTAATTGTAGATACCTAAATCAGCGATACGTCGTTAGCGGCCTGCGTACAATATGTCACGCAGATTTGGTAGGAGTGTGTTGATGGACACTTTGGCCCCTATTTTGGAGTGTATTGTTTTCATAGATGCAGCAGTTGGGAGTAGCCAATTCCGGGAATTATCTTGAAAAGAGTAAGTGATCAAATGCATGTTTTGACAAGTTGGAGCAGCGAGTGGGAAGAGCCATTTGCCTTGGCCCAGTCCAGAGTCAGAGCGCCGGGATTGGGGGCTGGCACTTCAAGAACCACAACGTGTGGGTGAGCGATGTAATCAATGGAAGACGATGTGGATTTTCTGTGGGCTTAACGCTAGTTTCGAATTGTTTGACACCTCTGCTAAGCTACATGAGGGATGTCAATGTATGGGTGGCCTTGAAGGTCGATTAACGCTGATGACTTGAACGTCTACTGGGTTTCCAGTGCTGAACTCGTTCCATAATCTCCATACATCCATGCCAGTCTTCTTGTTTATTTCCCTCTGTACCTCGCGCTGTCTTTCTTTCGGTATGTCATCCCTTCCAGCTGATCCAGTTTGTGTAGACGCAAAAGTCTCTTTAGTGCCACGGTAAGTTCAACCGCCACTAGGCCGGCTATGGTGTGGGGTTGTTGTGACGGTAAATGGCGTAGTGGATGACCTGTACAATGACAGTCAAGATGAAGGGAAACAGCGCGAAAATTACCACAACAAAAACATAAAAGAAGGCTTCAAAGAGCTCTTTGCAAACGCTCACGAGCATCCTGCCGCATGTATTCTCAGCATGCCATTGCGGCAGGTGTTCAAATAATCGTTGGGAGCGGTTGGGTGGTCGAGATGAGTTGGACTCAGGGTCGGCATTTCCTTGGGAGTGAGCGGATGGCCCGTTGGTATGGCCGGGTCCTGGTCTGGGTGAGAAACGTGGAGGTCGAGGTCCCACCTCAGCATACGTTGGTGGAAGCACAAGTTCCTCCTCACGATACAATGGTGGAGCGTCGCGAAGGCAGAGGCTCCCATCCTCTCTCATACCGTCACAAGCATTTTCAACAACGTTGCTTTTGCCACACTCTGGGCAACTCCACATCGGGCCAGCTGGGACTTCGGCCATGCCTGTGCTTGGATTGGTACTTGCGGACGATTCGATTCGGCGGCTGGGATATGGATATCGGTTGGCAAAAGCTTAGCTTGCAAATAGCGAGTTGATGATGCCAAAACACAGAGCTATACTTCAAGCGAATAAATTTTGCCAAAGTGGGTTGAAGTGATATGACTTTGATGTTATGCTCTGGTGATGAGAAATGCTCTCAAGTCGGGGGAGCTAAGACATGCTGGCCAGGTCAAGATGAAATCTTGAAAGGTAAGTGGGGGCATTTCTTGAGTGTTCCTTCCTAGAAGTCACACATATAGGTCTTGTGGAGGTTCGAAGTCAGTAAAGAACAGTTGCACGTATGAAGGCCGCTATGAGCAAGTGCAACTTGCATGTCTTCAATTTGATCCGCTCATGCAGGTCCAGCGTGCCTTCCTAGTGCGTAGTAAGCCTAACTTGAGTAATATAGCATGAGATGATAGGCATAGTCTTTCATACTGTCCTCAGCGCATATCTGTACGGGGTGATCCAGTATTTGTGCAAGTCAACGCAGCTCTGTCGGACACTATTCGACTATTAGAACATAGTGCGGTGCGATGTTAACGCTGATAGTATTACAAATTGCAGAGATGTACGTTATAACAGTTCTAACAAATGTTTACTATTTTATACCACTACCTCCGGCCAATACCATTGCATTAAAAGTATAGAAGAAAATAAAGATATTGCAGTATTCATAGTATAATACATAGGACAACGCCTAGAGCAGGCATAGCGATCAATCTGACATCCTTCCAGAGTCATGAACAGAGAATTGATTCTCTCAATTAATGCGATATCACAGACTTAATCGTATTCTGAGAGATTCACTCCTCTGTTGATGACTCTATGTGGATCTCACATCCATTGCTGGGTTGGTTGCTAGAAGCGCTGTTTCTATGTAGAAGGTGTGAAGGTCAACCCTCGCAGACTCACTACAACCAGGTGACTTACAGCTGGAACACCTGCCGTGGCAGTGCCAGATGGGAAGCCAATCATAACCCCTGTAGGAGCCCCGCCAAGCGTGGACGACTTAGTCGCGCTCCCTCAAACCTAAGTTTGTAATCTTCTTTCCTTCGCTCCTTAGAGTAGAATCTTCGTCGATAGCACCTAATCGAGGTCTCTACCAATGCGATGCAACCCAGGTCGTGACAGAAGGAAGGTCGGACCCACTAGCTATACTTGCCGCTACACCACCTTCGGCCTAGAGCATAACTGTGGCGCTTAATCCCACAGTAGTAATACAGTTATAATTGTGAGATGTTTCTATTACATATGATAGTAAAGTACCAATAGAGTAGAAAGGAGTTAGCACCCCTTAAGGTACTATTTCGGCAGCAAGACCAGACGAAGGTCGAAGTCCCTAGATCCCTCTGGGTGCAATCAGGATGCGGTATCTCTCTTTACTGCGAGGATCAAGTATCGAGCAGGTTCCCAAATACCTTGAAGCTATTCCAGACTGGAGGACGGTGTATCGTTTATGAATTCAAGTTGATGTCCGCGTAATCTACGACGCCTTTACCAACTTGAACCACCGCGTTGCTATCAATTCAAGTGAAGCTTCTGTTCGATAGAGACTAATCACCTGTAGGCACGTTAATCCATAGCCTGTACGAGTAAATCAACAACCTTGCGAACAACGCAGAGGCTACCTATACAACATTAAGGCATGCTTATGCTCCAGCATATTTCAACGCTGAAGTAGTGGTATGGACTTAAGTCAACAGGAGTATCAATGACTGGATAAATATCAAATGCTCTGAAAAGTGTTTGCGGCGACCTGCAAACCTTCCTTGCTTGCTTGCTTACTTTAAGCTAGGGTGACGTTATTGACGAATACTGGTAGCTCTACTGACCCTCCGACATAATCTCGGGTGGACGACAGAGGGACTTAACCACGTCGTCTATGCAATCTTGTCGGTACAACTTGAATCCCGCGTCGATTTGTCACATTGGCTGAACCCCGCATTGATTTGTAACATCGGATGAGCCTGCCTGTCTAACCAATGCTCTCGTAATGAAGAACCTTGGTAAAAGCACCAATACTGCGATCGCCAGGACTAAGCATGACGTTCACCCGTGTTACTTGTGACACATGCGACGGACATCTAGTGTGAAGGCGGCAGCCAATCGATATAAAACCCGCCCACATTCAGAGAAGCTTTTATCGAGATCCTAGGCACGTAGGCCTTACCATTCGAATTCTTCGAACAGCTTCTGTTCACAATACATCATGACAGCCCTTGCACCATACGCCAATGATCACAAGGATCCCAACGGGGAAGGGGATGCGCGCCCGACAGCACTCAAGATTATCCGTGACCAAGGCCTCGATGGCAAGCTCCGCGGTAAAGTGTTTCTGATCACGGGCTGCAGCGCCGGCATCGGGGTCGAGACGGCGAGGGCTATTCATGCCACGGGTGCAGATGTCTATATGACTGGTCGTAACCAAGAAAAAGGGCAGCAAGTGGCCGACAAGATCGCAAGAGATGGCCAACCAGGCAAAGTGGTCTTTTTGGAACTGCAGCTCGACTCTATTGCCAAAGTTCGAGAAGCGGCGGCCAACTTTCGGAAGCTGAGCGATGTTCTGAACGTCCTAATCTGCAACGCTGGTATGTGTTTCTTCGTGGGAACAAATTCATAGTGGCTTATTCATCGTCATATCAGGTGTCTCGTTTCAACCCAAAACTACTACTAAGGACGGCCTAGAGCTCAACTTCGGTGTCAACCACATTGGGAATTTCGTCCTTTTCCAAGCGCTAAAGGACCTTCTTCTAGCCTCTGCCACCCCAGAATTTTGCTCTCGCGTCGTCATGGTCTCGTCCAGGACCCACCGGATTGCGACAATGGACTTGGATGACTATAACTTGGAGAAAAGAGGTTACGCGAACGTGCTAGCATATTGCGCCTCCAAGACGGCCAACATCTGGATGGCGAACGAGATAGAGCGACGCTATGCCTCGAGAGGTTTACATGCGCTTTCAGTCCACCCGGGGATGATCTTCACAGAAATAAATCGCGATGCTGATGAAACTGTGGAGCAGATGCAATTAGACAGACCGGAGATACTTCGTCATTTTAAGAGTACGGCGCAGGGGGCTGCCACCACGGTTTGGGCTGCGGTGGGGAAGGAGTGGGAGGGGCGCCCTGGGCGGTACTTGGAAGATTGTCAAGAGTCGCAACCGGTCGGTGAAGACGGCGAGGACTCATTGGAGTCGGGATTATTGGAGTCGGGGTACTTTCCGCACGCATACGATAAGGAAGGAGCAGAGCGGCTGTGGAAGTTGAGTCTAGAACTCATTCATGAATCCGATGATGGAGACGATTGAAATGGTGATCACACACATTGAATTGAGCTGAATGCACACTTCTTTTCAACCTAAGGGGACACAGCGCAACAGGATCTAAACACTTTCTTTATCCTCCGACGTGCCAATTCCCGCATCGATACCCATAATGATCGCCTCATGCTGCGCAATCTTCTCCTCCGCATCCCTCCTAGCCTTGAGGCCCCAGACACTGCCATTGAAAATGAAATCCATATGTTCCATCGAAACGCCCTTAGTCTCCGGCACGAAGAGATAAACGAACATCACTGCGAAGGTGGTGCAGCTACCGTAGAAAAAGAACATACCAAACTGGATACGAGCAATCATATAGGGGGCTGAATACACTACTATAAATTGTGCGATCCACGAGGCACTCATGGATACCGCGAAACCCAGACTGCGGACTCTGTTAGGGAAGATCTCGGACGCGAAGACGCGCGGAGGACTCAACCAGGATACCGCGAAGGAGATGGCGAATAGGAAGGTCATGACGACTGCTACGTAGCCGCCGGTATCTGGCTCGTTCATGCTGCTGTTGAATGAGTTGCTAATCTTGCTGTATGTGCCGAGGTAGAACCTGTGCGCTTGTGAGTGGTACGTAAAAATGATAGTGGAAAAGTAAAACGTACATTGGGATGAGGCATCCGACGGAGCCGAAAATCAAGAGTGGTCGTCGCCCGAGCGAGTCGATGGCAAACACAATAGCTGCGAGTGCGGAGAAGAATTTGACTTGGCCGTAAAACCCAGTAACCAAGAGTTGTGTTGATGTACCCCTGAGTCCGATCGACTGGAATACGCGGGGGCTGTAGTAGTTGATAGCCTGTACCCTGGACAACATTTCGTCAGCCGTGTCAACATGGAAAACACTGTCAAAACACACCCGGTAAAACTCATCAGCACCTTCAGGCAAACTGCCAGAATAATGCGGTTGCGGATCCCAGCCTTGGCAGCTTCTTTCCATGTGCTTTTCCAGAAACTTCTACCGAACATTTGAGCTTCTCTATCAATATGAGCCTGCATCTCTCCAATCTCCATCTGGACATACGGATGGTCTTCTGGCAAATGGTAAACATAAGACAAAACCTTCCTGGCTTCTTCAACGCGTCCCTGCCTCGCCAACCACCTGGGCGACTCTTTCATAAATGGCATCGACACCAACAGAAGGCCTGCAGGGATCAGTTGAACCGCAAACGGGACCTGGCACTGTTTCCTCGATGGTGGTATAGTCCTTTCGACGCCGTAGTTAATCCAGAACCCAATACAAGCAAACATCTCCAGACATATATCGAATATCCCAACAAGTCGACCGCGTATTGGCGGCGGAGAAGACTCAGCGATGTAGATCGGGGCGCACATAGCAGATGCGCCGACCCCTAACCCAGTCGCAACACGGCCGATATACAAGAGACTCAGTTTCCCGCCATTCAATACCTGCATCGTGGCACCCACAGCAAACACCATCCCCGACCCAATAAGCTGCTTCTTTCTACCGTATACTTCGGAGAAGTAGTACCCTATCAGTCCGCCAAAGAAACAGCCTCCTACGAAAATGGATATGAGGTTGGACGAAAACGAGGTGTAGGCTTCGGTGCCTTGCTTAAAGCCGTACTCCTGCTGGAACGAGGGCAGGGCCAGGGTGCCGCCGATGAAGGCCACGTCGTAGCCGTTCATGGCGGCTGACTGGGATTAAAACTTATTAGCACCTGATTATGAGAGTAAAAGAGTGGAGGAACTCGCCCACGAAGCCGAGATGGCAAGAGTGTAGATACGCCATCCGTATGCAGCTTTGGGGACAGGCCGGATGGGGTCTTCTACGATTAAGAAAGGGTTCTTCATCTTCAGTCAGTGAGGAGTGAACAGGTTTGCGAGTTAGTATTCGGGCACACATCTTTATTGCAATTCCGTGTCATGAGCGATTATATGTACGCCTTCGTCTCATAATTTTCAGGTCGCTTTCAATGCCTGAACAGTATTAGACTGTTAGGATCCCGTGTATCTGTGCATCTCATTCGCACTATTAACTTTGAAGCTTAATGCTGTAACTGTCCAGTAAGACTCCACCGATTCATCGGAAAACCCTACGTACTGTAAACCATAATCACTAGCGTCGGTTTTCTCGGGCACATACCCGTCTATTCCGGCGAGACTTGATTCATGCTGCTTGCGTTCCAACAAGAGATAGTGGCAATATGGACCATACAAGTCGCCGATGGTAATTAGGGAATCTGTACCTTAACATCCCCTCACATGTACAGACGATCAAAGTGCTAACACATGCTCACAGAGACACATGTACACACGGGGTTAAAAGGTTCTCAATAGACACACCTGTTACCACCCTTTCTAGAACACCTATTCATTAGCTGATGACTGGTTTATAGACCTATTGTCAAGCCCTTGTATGCCTACTCGATAGGCGCTGATTATCGGGGGAGTAGCCCGATTGATAATAAATAAATCACATTGAAAAGGCAAGTACTATTGTAGATTCCAATATGCTGAACAGGCTAGAATTCATAGTGGAGTATTGGCAATCGTTCGACTTGTATCTGAAATCGCAAAGCTTTGATGGACGGACGAGGGGTGGCGGCAAGCCACTTGGCGTATTTTGCCACGTGCAACTCTGACGAGAAGGAATCTTTGGCATACGAAGAACGTAAACAAGATGCTCGAAGGAATCGTGTAAGGCGGAATAGTAAATCCAAGAATGGATATGCGAGCAAGTAATGCTTAGCTGAAGACTTAAGTCAAGTTGAGTGTCTGGTCCAAGTTCGTCCCCTGAAACATACACCTGGAGGTTTTTATAATGGCTAAAAAAAGGATGTTTTTTCTTCTTCTTCTATGATGGTTACTTCTGGTTCGAGGCGGGGTTTTGTAGCCCTGTACTAGCCGTACCTTCCCACCTCCTGGTATCTAACCATACCCTTGGAACTATGCGGATACCACCAATATTCGAGCCGCGTATTGATACGAGGCTATGTTTCAGCGTCTACCACGTACACAATTCAGCTCTCATACCCTGTTATAATGTGCAGTTATGTCCACTATAAGCGATGTTACAATCAAGCCGCTTTTAAGTTCTACTAAGCGCAACAATGCAGTAGACCCTCTTTGGATATATCGTACTGCGCTCGGGAAAATACGTCCTCGATTTTCGTAGACTACCCGATCATTCCCCTGAGGCTGTAAGTGGTCTAACATCGGAAACGAAAGCCACCCATCGAAGACTGTCCCAGACTCGCAGTGACTGGCAGCTCTATCTAGTTCGCTGGCTTCACGGGAGACCGGAATAAGGCCCTCCATATCCATGGGAGATTGTGGCGGCCATTGAAGAGTTCGCAAACACCCAGGGGCTCCCCATTATCTTCCGCGGGGCCAAGATGGACTTAGTCTGCAAGGAGCTCCGCAACAGGGAGCCCAGACCCAAGCCCAAGTTCATCGTCCAATTCTGTACTTTCGTCGACTGCTCCGCCCTGGCCTGAGGTGCCATGCTGCGCGATTTTTAGGGAGCGGATTCAAAGGACGTGCATATCTACACGTTCGAATTAGATTCGCCGACGGCGCAAATTGCTCGGAATTTCCTCAAAGTAGGTGTTATTGACGACGTCGTCTCCGTGGTCGATCGCGGTGGCAGATAACACGGATATGCTCGTGCGCCGGACTACGTGGCTTATGTGAAGAATCGATGGAGTGGAGAGAGTGGTGCAGTTCGTCATGCTCGCATTAAGCGGCCATTGAGTGTCGTGGTACAAGAAGTCCCAAGTCACCCCCTTTTCTTGGTCTCGGAGCAACAATGGTCTATGAATAGAAGTCGTAGAAGTGAGCACCGTGATGAATTTATGTTTATGTTCCGCGTGATATAACGGACTATTTTACCAATTTTTGACGGTCTAGGGAAACTTCCGTTGTTGATCCGCACCTCGGACTTTGACTTCAGTGGCTGGCTGCACCTAAGGTTCTGCCCACACACTTCCGGTAAATAACGAAGGAAGGCCGGTAAATCGTTTGAGTCCAAATACGACTGGTCTTAGCTGAACTATATCGCTTGTCGCATTTCCAGCTGAGTTGCTTCGCAATGTCATCAGCGATTGCGTGCCCCATGGCTTCGAAAGTCTTATGCTAAGCTGCCAGGCGGTTAATAGTTTAGTCTCGTATTACTTTGGCATTTGGTGCTGGCAGAGTAATGTTTAGTCCTCTGCATGAGCAGTATACATCGTAACATAGTACATAGGGGCAAGAACCTCATATTGCACATGTAAGGCGCCACCTGTACAATCGAGCACGTAGTAGTGTAGAAGCTATTGCTGTAGCTACTAGACTGATAATAGATCTTTTGATATTCTAATTTGTCTAAACGTCTAAGGCGTATATCGGCCAACATCACCACCGCTACCCGTCCACGACCCCGTAAAGCTACTATTCGTAAAAATAGCTGTCCCATCCGCCAACCGCAACGTGACATACGTATCCTTGGAACACAGCCCAAAAGCCTGCAAATTTGACGGCGTCTCGGCGATCCAGTGCATATAATCTATTTTTCGCAGCCTGTTAGCTCGGTTCCCAATACTCAAAATCACTCATCTTAACTCACCCTGACACTGGAACGTCCCAGCACAAGCTTGATAACCCGGCCCACTAAAGAAAGCCCACGAAGCCGACGCATAGGTATAGATATCCGCCCCGCCCTGTATATAATTCGCAAACCCCATCCTACACCGCGCATCCTCGTCCTCACACCAGCTAAAATCCGGATCCCCCCAACCCTGCACATCAGGCGTCCATGGTGCCGGTGGGATCTGCTCCACGTTATCTCCCTGATCGTAGTTCGTCTCCGTCTGCAACATAGAAACCAACACATTTCTCGCTTGGCGCAGGTTCAGCTGGTATAGCCACCAGTGCTCCGACCCCAAAGCATGGAGCCAGGTCCCCCTTGTGCTCTCGACTAGCGCCCCGCCTTTGGCGGCGATGCTGGACCCGCCCTCGAAAGACTCTGTCGTGTGGTCTGCGACCCAGTTCCAGACGTTTTCGACGTACGCTGATGATGTGGACGAGAAGTGTAGTCCTAGAAAGGCCGCTTGACACTCGTCGGACGGGTCGGTGCAAGTATCAGTCAGAGCCGAGGCGCCGCGGGTACCGCCCACCGTGATTAATGAGTTCCAGAGGGCGACGGAACCAGGGGTGGGACCGGCCATGTTAAATTGCACGATTATGGCGCCTGGCAGGACGTCTGAGACGGTGAAGCGCATGTCCTGGATTTGGGCGATGCCGATGTCTCCGGGGTTGCCAACAGACACAACGGGCTTCGGGTTGCTGGAGTCCTTGAATGCGGCGCCGTTGCCGGTGATGGTCGCCCAGGCCTCGCCAACGATACGGGATCCAGTGGGGATAAGCAAAGTGTCATCGACGCGGTACTTGCCGAAGGGGAAATAGGCGATTTTGTTGCTCGCTGCGGCGAATTGCAAGATGGCGTTGAGGGCAATGGACTCGTCCTTGGTGTTGTCCCCTAGGATGATATGGCCGCCGTTTTGGGACGGGTCTTTGATGTTGATGAAGTCCGAGACGGGGTTGTTGGCGTAGTTGGGCGCCGGGAGAACGGGATAGTTGCCATTAGGTGCCAGGGCTGCCGGGCGGGTATTTTGCGTAGTAGTGGGGCCGTATATGGGATCACGACCGACTGTGTTGGCGTAGGTGAAAGTGTCAACATGGCTTGCAGGTCCTAGTTCAGTTTCTCCTCGTACTTGGGCGATGTCCGATTCGGTGTCCTTAGTCAAATTCTCTATGAGAAACGATGGGTAGCTGGTCGTCACAAAGGTCACGCCAGAGTTGATGGACTTGGCATCGATGATACCTATCCAGGGGTCACCATTTGTGTTGCTTACTGCGGTTCCGCAAGTGTCGAAAGTGGGTGCTATGATGCTGATGGTGGCTCCCCCACTGATGAGCATGCCGATAGTGTTCTGGTAGAAGTAGATGCTCTTGTAGAGAGCTTGTTGATGTCCATCGTGCCAGATACCGTTCTATGGAGGGTTTGTCAGAGAACTAAGGGGCTACCAAATGTTTGGAGACGCACCTGTCCGCGCTCAATGCGCACGTCGGCGAGACCAAGAGTGGAACCCCTGCCGAGACGGATCCCTGTATGGCCAGTGCCGTTACCTGGATATGCCATCTGGATCTTAATGTTCTGCAGATGAGCCACCTGGGCAACACCCCACCAAAGTGCAGTGAAGGCATTGCCTTGGAAATGTTAGCGTACAGGCAGAGACGAGTTGACAAGTTCGGGTTCTTCTAACCCCCAGCAATGTTTGTTGTGTCCAGAACCAGGTTCTTCAAACCGACAGCGAAAGAGAGTTCTCCTGATATTCCTGTCGTGGGGTCTTGACCTAATCACATTCGTTAGCAACACGTCAAGCATTATATTGGGGATACGATTAGTATGTTGCGATGGCGTACCTGAAAGCAGGATTTGATCCCCAGAGAAGCCAGCAGCAGCTTTGATTATAGGAGGCTAGTCTCAAGTTAGATCAGTCGGCATACCGAGACATAGTCACTCCACACTTACATCGGTCGCATCACCCATGAGAATGGTATCTGTGTTCATATAGATCGTATGGTTGAGTACATACGTTCCTGGGGGGATGTACACAACCTATTTATTTTATCAGCAGCATATCAGCAGCATAAATAAACTCAGTTCAATTACTCCAAAACATACCCTCGGTTGTGACGCCAACCATTGACCATTCCGATCACGACCGTCAATATCATCCAAGATAGCACGCTGGATGTCGTCCGCGCTCGCCCCGGGGCTCACACTCTTATAAACTGAGTAAGAACCGTTTGTATCAAGATCCGGCGCATACCCTCGATAGTCCCCGGCATGATCTATGTCGGCATACCAAAAGCCCGTTGCCCGTTTCTCAGAGGCGCCATTGTTTCCCAGGGTTGGCGACGTGGAAACGCCCGCGAGGAGAATAGCTAGCGTGGTTGTTACGGAGAACCTCATCGTCTTGGTCTGATAACATCGGCCAGGGGGGTCAGACCTTCAGTACAACTGGACGCGTAAGGGCATAGTCAAGTTTATATAGCTTGGAAACGAATCGGCGCAAATTTCATCCTTAGCTCTATCCCGGAGATTTGCTGAAGATCATCGAATTCCGAGGTCCCGACATACAAGCGTAAAAAGACAGCAAAAAGTGCACATTCTCGAGCCTGAAAGCTTGGCTTTTGAGCTTCTTTAGTGACCAATTTAATCACCCCACTTATCATCGCCGTCCTAGAAGAATTGGAGACTGTTCATGTACCCCTGTTCACGGTAAGCTCGTTGAAGGTTCCCGCAAGGAGCGCGAAGTGGGTTTCCACTTACCTGGATGGGGTATGCACTGTAGGCATGGCTGCTATTTTTAGACTCTTATACGTGACTACGTTAGTAGCAGGAATAAATGGGGATATGGCACTATACCATGATTCGTTACTAAATTTAGTGGAAATTAACAGTCCAATTTCTCGCAGACCAAAGTTGCCAAGATACCGACCTGCCAAGTCGAGCTCACAGTTAATCGGATGGATTGGTCAGTACCAGGGCGGAACGGTATACAGTCACACAGACTGAACCAACCCACAGGCGTTGGAAAAGTCACAAGATAAATGACATCGTGAGACTGGACGCTTTTCTAGCTTTGTTTCCAGTAAATAGTATTGTGATGATGGGCTTGTTCGGCTTGAAGTCTACCAATTATACAGTGACTGTCCATGTCGTCATAGTACAACCGGACTGTTTATTCTGGTGGTATGGCATAAACCCGGCATGATGACTTTATTTAGGGACACTGGTGGTAAGCTGAGCATCGAAATTGCAGTCAAGAGAATCCTAAGGCAGCCACCAGGATATTCGGTATATTTTGGGTGAAACCAATATCTCTCTTGGTCATGTTCGAAAAGCGCCTCAAAACATCCTGTTTGAGCCGTTAGTTTGAACGTGGGCCTTGTTCACGTTTTTCTACGAAACAGAAAAGCCAATTACTAAAATCAACAAGAAATGGGGCGTTAACAAGATATGGCTTGCATCTCGACATTGCGGCTTGAACATGGTAGCATCCTCTAACAAGTCTGTATTGAGATTTCATTGTCAAGAGGTTGCCTAAATCCGGGAGAGTCCCGGCGAAGGCGGCAATGCCACGATGGCCTCCACTAGCAGCAAAAATGCTTCAACTGAGAGGGTAAAGTCAAGTCGGATAAAACAATCAAAAAAATAATGCAGCCACATAAATCCAGTAGCACTAACATCTAGGAATATATACATAGATAGGTCCAAAGGCGCTCTCTAATAGCAACCTCTGTAACTTGCAATGTACTTATACTGGGGCTTAAAACTTGCCCAGATCCTCTCCGAATTTATAAGTCATAGCCTTACGCATCACGTAAGCCCATGCAATCTTCATCCAATCTCCATGCCCATCTATCCCCCTACGTATCATTTTCAACATCCTCGTCCCCCTCGAGCCATATTTCATGCCCATTCCCATCACGCACAAAGTTACTAGCCACAATAGTCACAACCGCCATGAGCGCCAAACCCCAGAAAGCCGTTCCCACGACCCCATGATCGAGCCCAGCCCCTAGCAACCAACCACCCAACGCCGGTCCAATGGTGCGAGCCGCACTGCTCGCACTCTGTCCCATACCATGAATAGTCCCCAAAACACTAGGGTGTGGCGAGCAGTTGTTTATGAGTATGGCCATTGCGGGTGTCGAAAAAGTCCCCGCCAAGGTTCTGATGAATATAACAGCCGTCAGTGCCGCCCAGACCAAGGGGCCGGTTTTGGGCTCCGGTGGTGGCGAGCGCGAGGGAATCAAGGCAAGGAAGGGCGTGGCTGCGTACACGACGGGGAAGAGATACAAGAATATCCTCCAGGCGCGGACGGTGCCCAGGCGGGTGCTGATGGTAGGGTATAAGCAGATTTGAAGCACGATGCCTATGACGCCGAGGATGGCCATGGAAAAGCCAACTTTGACCGGGGTGAGCCCCAAGCCGCCGGTGAAGAAGATGGGCGGTTGTGAAGGGTGGTTTGTTGGATCCAAGACAGGAGTCGACAGGAAGATGAAGAAGATGTTTTGGTAAGTGCCTTGAGAAAAGGCGAGGAGAGAGTGGGCGATGAGAGTGCAGATCACGTTGTAGGTGAAAATGCGTCGGAAGGGTAGCTTTTTGTTGTACCGAGGCGTGTTCCGCTTTGTTGGTCGGCTGGACTCAGGGTCGTTCAGACCATCTCGTGATTCGCCGTCACTCAGACGTGTATCTGCTGGTTCTTGTTTCTTGCCGAGCAGGTTTCGAACAAAGCCAACTATCCTTCGACCGCATCTTCGCCCAGTGTCGTCGTCTTGGCCATGTAACTCGTGTGTCTGGGATCATTAGCTGCGATAACCTTATCCATGGGAAATGATATTACCTCGTCCAGTGCGAAGAACACAGCGCATGCTGCCATTCCCAGGAAACACGCGTTGAGCAAGTTGGGCGGCGCATAGGGGAACTTCATCAACCACGGGATGCCGCCAAACCATTGTGGGTAACTCTCAGCCGGATTGGCCAGCAGGCCTCCGAGTACAGGTCCGATTATGATGCCAGCATTGGCACACATTGGCAAGAGAAGGAAGGCCCTGGACTGGTATCTGAAGATTCATCAGCAGCTGTCACTGAGAAAACCCTCCGACTACTCACTTTTTATCCTGCACAATCTCGCTGATCATGGTTCGCATCACTCCGACATTTCCATTCAATGCACCACCCATGATACGAAATGCCATGGCCTGCGAAAAGGTGGTAGAGAAGCCAAACCCAAGAACAGATATCGTGGTGCCAAAGAGTCCAATGAGAAGCACCCTTTTCCGTCCTCCTTGGTCAGAAAACCGGCCCCAGAGCATCGCAGTACATAGTTGAGCCGCCGCAAAGGCACTTTGCATGATACCCGCCTGTGAGGCAATAGCAGAATCAGGCAGATTAGGGTCGAATGACTTGAGTTGATAGAAGAGATAAGACTGATATTGGTCAACACATCTTTCCAAAATTCAAAGACGGATAGAAACATACTCTCAGTGAAGTCTGTACCAACGGTTCTGACAGCCTCGCACACGCCAAGACAATCAACTGGCCCTTGCGCGGGATGCTCATCCAAGTGACGGGTTCATCCTTCTCTTCTGCGGCTGGAGCCTGCGGTCTGTCCAATAATGAAGTAGCTTCATCTTCCTCCAATAGCCCGGAACCCGTCTGAGAAGTACTACTTCCGTGCCTCGTCTTGCGTCGCGTCGCGCCCATACGAGAGCTTTCTAAACCGACATTGTCGTCGGTGTTATCTACACCGCCATACCCAATAGCCTGCGAAGTCATCACTTACAGTGCCGCCAGCCAGCCCTTATCTATTGAGTCTTTCCCTTAGTCGTCACGTCTTGCAGACCTTCAAACTTACTACATAAGCTGTGAGAACTCCAAGACTGGCAAGTTGTGAACACTTTCCCATAGAGCCTCGGCTTACGAGGCGTTTTTTGTTATCTCCGAGCGTCGTACTTCAGATGGCACCGTGGCCCCACAAAACACCACTAAGCCTCTAGCTTAACCTGCAGGGACTATGTTACTCCATTATCACTTTCCTCTAGCACGATCATGTGTAGCTTCTCGATAATATATACACAGCGGAGTAGAGGGATTATTCAGAATTCATGTGCGTGGCAAGCCCAGCTTGAACACTCGTGTGAGCTGCAAAGTGGCTGCTTATAAACGTTTAGATGAATAAGTCGAGGATTTGTAGCCAAACATATCTAAAAAGCTTAAAGGCCTTCCTTGGTTCCATTTGTGAAAGGCGGTAGAGATACATAGCGCGATAGGGACGAAGAGTTGGCAGCTGGGTCCACCCGGGAAGTCGCAACTATTGCAATACGTAGTTCAGAGAATCCCGAATCCCCATTTCTCTGGCCATGGAACGAAACGCAGATTGGACTTAAGTCAAAATGGGACGCAGCGACTGAGAAGTAGGAGACAGGCAGAACTTACCCATATTGAACGAGAATTCCGGCGGTAAAAACAGAGAGAATAAGGGAATGAACTTCGTTTTGGTGGATGATATGGTCATTAAAGTTTTGTGTGTATGGCTCTGCTTGACGGTCGATATGTCAAGATGTGTTCAGATGTGCCAAAATAATAAATATTAAAGGCTTAATATCCTATTGAGATATATATGTTGATAGCCCGCTATCCAGTCGCAGCGTAGTGCTGAGGCCTAGAATATGTACTGTTATGTTTGAATATACATATACGAGGTCACTTTGGACGAACTTTCAAGCGATGAAAGAACTTAAACCATGCCTTTACATCCTAGTGTGGGCTGCGAAATCGATCGTGATAGGTTGGTGGCTAATGGGTTTGTAGTTTTGTGCCACCACGGAAGGCTCTTCATTGACGAGCCACTTGCGAACACTTTCCATTTTTGGAAAAATTCCCTTTCTAGGAATTTCCTAAGGAGAATGAGCCTATATTATTGGGAATTAAGCTGAAATTCAATCTCTGGAATATTACAGGCACCTTTCTCATATCCCCAAACCGTTACCTCTGTTCATGGACATCTGCTTGGTTGGCTCAGGTATAATTCAGGCGAACTCAACCTGCTTAATGTGGAGCCAGATTAAAGCATCATGTTTCTCGGGCCCTAATCTGGAAACGGTTCTCAGCAAATCAATGTTGACGGGGCATAGTGGCCGCATGATGACCTGCTCTCTTACCTCTTCTAGAAGCCGCGGTGGCGACCAAACTTGGAAGACTTGATTCGGATGTCTCGCCGGTATGTACTATCATTATGGTCTTCTCAATATCAGGCAGCATAAATATAATGGGCCGTCGACTAGGAAATCAGAAACGTCCCTTCAAACTACATCAATATCCATTAAATTACAACATTTTCCCTACAAATCCTACCACAGAAGGCTACAGTCTTTCAACCATCGAACTTTCCATCCCAACATGCCCTTTTTATTGATTATTCTTAGTTTTACTCTCGCAATAACAAGATCGCCCGTTAGTTCCAATCTGGCAGTTATCAACGTTTTGTCAGACCCTTATGCCAGCCGGAAGTTGAATGAGGCCCCACTCGGAAACTTGGGTTCATATTAAGGTATATACAATCCAACACGTCTTCTACAAGACGAACGTATTTGGCTCACTAAAAACTCGTTGATCGTGAATTTCGTTATGCTAATCAATAGCCCGCACAATGGCAGTTCGATAATTGCATATCTGGCCGTTGACCTTGACATGCCCACGTGAGCGGGAAGCAATTGCATATATGACCGTTTACCCTGACACATCCACGTGAGCGGGAAGCAATTGCATATATGGCCATTGACCCTGACATACCCACGTGAGCGGGAAGACTATACCTACTTGGGTAGGCACTCAAGCATCAATATATTGCAGTCAAAACAAGTTGGCGCAGCAAATTACGAAGCTTGAGTCCTCTGCCTAGGTACCAATTCTCGAGGCGACCTCTGTTCAGACTTCGTTTAGCTGGAGGGGCCTTGTGGTACACTTGGTTATGGTCTGAAGATATTCACACCCGAAAAGCAATGGACGAGTACGACTCGGGAGACGATCTATTTGCAGACGTCAACACTGACGCGCTTGTGCACTCTAATAAGAGACCCGGCTCTACGGACGCAAAATGCAGTGGCGAAGAGGCGAATTCTAGCAAACGGGTCAAGATTGAGCACGCGATAAATGACGCCAATCTTGCAGCCATTGCACGGAAAATCCTACGTGACAGGTTCGGGCTTGACGCCTTTCGCCATGAACAGGAGAAGGCCATCCAATCCATACTGAGAGGTCAGAATACTCTTGTCATTTTCCCCACTGGAGCCGGCAAGTCGCTTTGCTACCAGGTATGTCCCGCCTCATTAACCAGTGCGCCAAAGTCGTATAACTGACGTCATCAAGATTCCTGCATTGGCATTCGAACATATCGACGAGGACAATCTAATCATGAGACCAGAAGGACCTGGTATCACCCTCGTGGTTTCACCCCTGATTGCCTTGATGAAGGACCAGACAGATGCGCTAAAGCGGAGAGGAATTCCTGCTGAATGTTCAGACTCGACGAAAACCTACGAGCAGCAGCAACAAATCAGCGGAGACATCCGAGCAGGTCGACTGAGACTTCTTTATTGCTCACCAGAGAAGCTCAACAACGAAGGCTTCGTCGAGAGCATGAAATATGTGCCTGGAGGGGTAAGACTCCTCGCCATAGACGAGGCTCACTGTATTTCCGAATGGGGTCACTCCTTTCGACCTGACTACCTAATGGTGGCCAGATTCGCCGAGGAGATCAAGGCAGAGAAGGTCATCTGCCTGACTGCTACTGCCACGCCGAGGGTTGCAGATGATGTTTGCAAAGCATTCAAGGTGGATGAGTCGAATGTGTTCCGTACTTCGCCTTATAGACCCAACCTCCTTCTGGAGGCGCAGGCAACGAAAACGAAACAGGACAAATACCCACTGCTGTTCAAATTCTTGGAAGAAAACCCTGGGTCTACCCTTGTCTACGTTACGCTCCAGAAGCAGGTCAGCATTTATCCTCTTCTGGACAAGGAATCTCGTCTTGAATCCAATTAAAATGTGGTCACAGCTAACCCGTCGTGTGGAATAGGCGGAAGCGCTTGCTCAAGACTTGAAGGAACAAGGCTTCGATGCAACACATTTCCATGCGGGTATGAAAGTTGCTGAAAAAATGGCTATTCAAGACCGATTCATGTCATCTAAGGTGCGTATTGTCGTCGCTACGATAGCATTCGGAATGGGGATCGACAAGTCGGATATTCGAAATATTGTTCATTGGGATTTATCAAGTACCGTGGAAGAGTACAGCCAGCAGATTGGACGTGCTGGGCGAGATGGACTCCCTAGCCACTGCATGCTATACATGTGCCACGAGGACTTCTACATCCGGGAGAATTTCGCACGTGGCGACCTGCCGTCGCGGCAGTCTCTACGGGGACTACTTCGCGACATCTTCCGACGGAAGGTCATCTCAGCAGCAGAAGGCAACATTTTGAAGCTTAGTCACTATGGACTTTCTGATACTTATGACATCAGGGCCGCCCCCCTAACCATAATCCTCGCCACCTTGGAATTGAGATATGGCCTCATGCGGGCAATCGCCCCCGAGTACAGCAAATACGAGTTTGAGGATATGGGGGGTTATAGCACGGTTGCGCGACGCGATCGCTCTCGGGAAGCCCAGGCGATTTTCAAGCATGCCAATAAGATCAATAAGTGGTACCGTGTCGACGTTATAGCGATGCTGGCTGAGACTGGTCTACTGCGTGCGGATGTGATCAGGTTGCTCCACAAATGGAATGACACCGGCATTATCTTGCTTAAAACGGCTGGTGTCGAACACAGATACAGGATTCTCCGACCACTGCCGAGAACTGATGCGCAGATTGAGAGAATCGTGGAAAGCCTCCACGCTGATATGGAGGCCCGCGAAGAAGACGCCCTGGCCCGTACACAGCATGTTGCACACTTGATTACCGCCAGCAAGTGTTACTCCTTGGCTTTGGCAGAACATTTCGGCATGGGACTCCCAGATGGCAAGCGGGCCTGTGGTCATTGCACATACTGTCTTACCAAGCAACCGGTGGTCCTGCCTCCCAACCCCCCTGTGGCCGTCGACCTTGCTGGCATCAAGAACGTCCTGCAATCTTGCCGTGTGCGCGACGATCCGAGGTTCCTCGCTAGAGTTGCCTTCGGAATCAAAAGCCCCAGAATTATTCAACTCAAGCTGGACAAATACCCCGTATTCGGCTCCCTGGCAGACCACGAGTTCAAGGTGAGAATCCACGTTGTATATCACTGATCTGACTAACACGTCCTAGTCTCTCCTGGAAGCGTTCAGCCACGCATGCAAGTCGTTCAAGTACGAATCAACACGGAGGAAAAGGAACTTTCGCTAATAGCCCACGATCTCACCTGGAGACGAGCTGCTGCTATTTGGATTATTGGATTGTGTTGCTTGCATTTGTGTCAACTGGATCCCCATCGGACCGCCATTTATGAAGTTTGTGCCGTGTGAATATACTGTTATAAGAATGAAGTATCGGTGCTGGAAACCATACGCAACACCATTGGAGCGCTTTGCCTTGTTAGCATGAGTGCACTGCTCGTAAACAAAGTAGCTGCGAGTTGTCCCTGCATTCACCGTTCGATACTCGGCGAATACCAGTGACGGAAGTCTACAGCCTAGATCTGTTAACTCCTGAGGATTCTTACTGTTTACCAATCGCCTCGTTCGAAGAGCTGGATCACCTGTTCTCGTTGTCGATACCCCGGCGCCTCGAGGCTGCTGATGTCGAACATGCGAAACCTCTATCTTGGACTCAAGATACTTTCTGGTACAAGTCATGAGTACCAAATCGTGCGTTATCTCCACTGGTATAAAACGACAAGGTACTCTGGGAGGGAACCTCGCCATTATTTGACTGGTTATCAATTGATCAAAGCGATTAAATGTCGGTGCATATGCATCAGAAATAGCTGACGTTCTGATTCGGCCGAGGCCGGCGCTCAAACTGCATCCCCATACGTGTTTGTCTGGATTTTCTTGGCCGAGACCGGCTATTAGCTCTGTAAGGTAGCAAGCGGCTAATTCAATTGTCAATTTTCCCATTGCAATATTTGCTGAATTAATACCGTCAGTGATATATATGCGCAGCCATCTCGTCCATCTTGCATCAGCAAAAACAGCCATTCGACACTACGGCTCACCGATAAAGCTCTCCATCATGTTGATCCTAGGCGATCGAGAGATCGTGTCCATATTAGCAGGCCTCCAAAGTTCAAGTTGTCATCAGCTTCTCGAGTCACTTTCCAAGGCTCTGTTGGAATACTCGGCCTCTCGAAATGCGACGGAGAAGGTAATACATCAGCCGCCCCGGGAAGTGGTCACTACCGCTCCAGGTCACACGACACTGTTCATGCCGGCATCCAATACGGCTACTACTGGAATCAAGATCGTCACTTTACCCGGGAATGGAGAGGGCCCTCGAGGTTCCATCAACATCTACACACCTGAAGGCAGTCTCATTGGCCTGCTGAACGCAGAGGAGATCACGGCGTTCAGGACAGGCCTCGCGTCCATGATCGCCTTTCTGAAATGCCCGTTTCCTAAATCACGAATCGTTGTTTTTGGTGCGGGAAAGCAGGCTGAGTGGCACGTCAGATTGGCTTTGCTATTGGCAGGAGACTCAGTTCAGAGCATAACGGTGATCAACCGACGATCAAGTGGCGTGGAGAGGTTACGCAAAAGGTGGGGAAACACTGAGCACAAGTATCCCAAAGTGGAAATACGTTTCATCGCAAAGGATGAGGCGTCAGATTACGACTCGGAGCTCAAAGGTGCGCTTGCAGCTAGCGATGCCATTATGGGCTGTACCCCATCAACCGAGCCCTTGTTCCCTGCATCGTATCTTTCACCGGGAGACGGTCAGCGCAAGCAAAGATTCATATCGCTTATCGGCTCGTACAAGCCCCATATGCAAGAGGTCGATGCCGAGACGTTGTTGTCTGGGACAAAAATTTACGTCGATTCGAAGGAGGCTTGCTTAGAGGAGGCCGGTGAGATCATTAAGGCGAATGTAGCCGAAAGCCAGCTTGTGGAACTTGGGGAGATGCTGGCGCAGCCCAATATTGGGCCGTTGGAGGGTAATATGGTTTATAAGTGCGTTGGAATGGGGATCATGGATGTGATCGTTGCCTCCGAACTGTTGAAGATAGCGAAGAACATGAACATTGGTCGGATATTAGAGGACTTCTAGACCGGAAGGAGCGGTTTGAATTACCTTGCTTCAAATACCCCGTCCTCTGATTCACTAAGATCAATTATTGACTGACATCAAGCCTCTATTTATGCCCTGACGGACATCTTTCTGAATTCGGCTAGCCGAAACTTGGTCTGCAGTATTGACCGTATAAGTCTCGCGTGGATCCAGCTATTGCGAGTATACGAGACCAGATTTATATGAAGGCCAAAAAAGGATGTTTTTTTTCTTCTTTATGATGGTTACTTCTGGTTTGAAGCGGGGTTTTGTAGCCCTACGCTTGGCCGTACCTTCCCATGTACAAGTAGCTCCAGTCCAAATTCAAACACTGAAAAACGCGCACCTGTCACTTTTGTAGTAGCGAGAAACGAACATATTCTTACCAATTGTCCTCATGGTATGCAATAATATTCATGGTGTGCAAGCAGTCTGTCTCTTGTTAAAACCATCCCATGATGTCAACTCCATTATAGATAAGTACTTTCCGAATGCGAATGGCTGTTTTCTTGCCCGTGCATCAACTCAAATTATGGGGTTAATCCTCGCTGTGATCGAGCATTTCAGGCAACTACCAAGGCCGTGCCGTGAAAACCTGAAGTTGCCTAAAATAATGGAGGCTGAACTCTACCTTAGGTGATGCTTTCGGCGGCACCTGTGTGCTCCGCTTGCCCGTGCATCCAACTAAGGTACTCGAAAAGTCTTACGCAGATGCGCCGGCCTGACGCTTTTAATCACCAAAGGACAGGACGCGATCAGTGGGGCTGTCGGCGCAGGTGCGGATAACAGCTAACACATGAACTCACCACTGCGCTTCAGTTAATAATCACAGCACAGTGGTGCCGGGACATGACCAAGGCCTAGACAAGTTTTACAATATCTCAGGAGACTTCAAGAGCATGTTGTAGAACAGAAGGGTCAACTCTTGTCGTATTCTCGTACTTCTACAGCGATATCCGGCCTATATTAAGTGTCGTCCGTTATCAACTCCGCTGAACTGGGAATGATAACTTTGGTTAAATAAGCATTGCTCATACTGATATGTGGCCGTACCCAGAGAAATCCAAAACTCATGGCAGGAATCTACATCTTACGCAACGTCGTAGTATGTAACCGACGTACCAATTAAACGTGCCCTTACACTGATTCGAGATTACTTAAGCAGTGAGTTAGCCAAGAAGGCATCGAGAGAGATAAAAACAGAAATACCGGCCAATATAAAGTTAAATTGATGAACTATACTATCTCACCTTGAGATCAAATAGTTGCAATGGTGTCGTCGATTTCGTTAATCCAACACGCTGAACTCTAGACTGCGCGATTTGAAGAAGCCAACACTATCCGTGGGGGATGGTTTTCCTCTAGTCCGCAAGAACAAATATATTTCTGTTACCGTGTATTGTAACAGGCATAATATTCTCATAAGTCCATATTCCAAGCAGATAGGAACTGGTAGCGTAATCGGTAGAGCTACAAAATCTGTTAGATGAAACATGACGGAGTGAGATTTAACTACCAGCACTACAGATACCAAATAGATGGAAATTGATATGAATTTTGAATACAGTATTCAACTACATTTAATGAAACATGTAGTTAAACCGGGATTCTTAACTTATAGAGGATAGTGGCTGTCGAAATTGCGGACTTTTCGGTGTATGCCACAATTGCCGAAGGGGTCAAATGATGACTTCATTAATTCCACCCCTAAGCCACAACAGCGAAGAGTACCATAACCGTAACATTGCACGCTGGGATAAACATATAAATCAACTATCCTCCAACATAACTATGTCAGTATTGGAGCTTCTTTGTTGCATTCTTATTTCCTGACCCAGATTACCTTATCAAAACACAAATTCTTCTCTGATCCACCACCACCAAGTAGACAATATGTCCTTCACCACGGCAGCAGTCCAAACCCTCAGCGTATCCATTTCCCTAGTTGGTGCCGGTGGCATCGCCACCATCTCCCTCTTCGACATCCCCGAGCTGCAAGCCCAACCCGCCTCGCGCTCTCTCCCTTCAACCCGCTGGCTCTTCAGCCGCGGCTCCCACATCTTCCCCCAAGCCGCCTTCCTCTCCAGCTTCGGCTTCACCTACCTAGCCTACATGGCCCTGTCACCCGCATCCAGAGCTCTGTCACAACTCTTCCGCTTCCAAAGCAACAGTCGCAATGTTACTGCCTACCTCGCCGCGGCTGCGCTGTGCATGAGCATCGGCCCTTTCACGAGCTATGTGATGATTCCGACTAACTTCGCGCTCATAAAGATGAACGAGGAGAAGGGCGGGGCGCGGAGCGCCGAGAGCTCAGGGCAGATGCGACACAGTTTTAAGCCGGGATCCCGTACTGAGCTGGATTCGGTGAATGGCACCGGGGAGGCGGCTGAGTTTACGGATTTGAGTGGACCACAGGAGAGAACACCGTTGGATACGACGGAGGAGGAGAATGGGGAGTCGAGGAAACTGTTGGGGAAGTTCGCGAGGTTGAACGCCGTGAGGGCGGTCTTACTTGGTGCCGGTGGCATTTTGGGGCTTGTCACTGCTTTGGCTCTTTAATGGATTGTGAGTTCAGCATCTGAGTATGGTCTTGTATATTCCCAACCGACATTGCGGTCAACCCATCTGTTGGACCTTCAAGGCTACTACATCAATTGTCCATTTAAATGCCTCGTGGTTCCATCGTGCGAGATCTTACCAACTTTAACGAGTTCCAAAAGAGCGCAGAGCTGTTCTGGTGAATCGACATACCCGCTCACAAGATAGCATTGGGTTTCGGGTTCTGTGGATGGGCTTCACCCTTAAGATCCCAGCTGTACAACACCACGGTGCCGATTTTCAGGATGCGCAAAACCTGGTATTTGCACGGCAACAAGTGGATTTGAGTGTTGACCCTAAAATATTCCCCATGGATACTACTGATATTGAATAACACCTCGCCTACTACAAAAATCAAGACATCCTAGCCAAGAATCTCGGCATCAGGTTCATGCACTATAAAGCGGCGGCCGTCGAATAATTCACATGGGATAGCAACCAGTGGACTTCCTACCGATGAAGGCAGCTTAAATAAAAGGTTGATTAGGCGGATCACACCGGATTCTCAGGCACTCTTATCTGCACATGGGATTTTGGTGAAAAAGTATCATGAGTCCGTAATATTGAAAATGGCTGTCTAATATTGGAGTAACAAATATAATATTTTGATTTCATGGCCTACGCTGCTCTCACGGGCGAGACTATCCTCAACGTCAACATAACGCTAAGCAAGTCGGTTCAAGACGGCCAACTAATGACTGACGACCGAACTCCTTTTTAAGCAAGGCTTGTTAAGCTGAGGAAGACTCGCTCAGTTCATGCGATTCAGGCGACTTTCAAGTGGGCTACGACAAAACTGGCGGAGGTCAACAAGATTTCACGACGACATCAGGATGCGTGCTAACACGCTTTGACATAAGGAGAAGAATACAAGCCCATCTGCTACACCAAGAAGAGCGGGTTGATATAATACCAATGAAGAGAAGGAACAGGTGGCAAAATTTCTGGACGAGACTGCAACGGACAACCTCATGCCAGAGGTTATGATCACCCAGTCTGACTGCAGTGGCACCGCAAGAGAATCGTTCGAGAAGTCCCACTGAACCAGGTGCAAGAAGACATTTGTTGTCCGATGTACATATTTAGCGAGGCTCTTGAGCAGTATTATTAGCCTGATAGAGTGCAAGTTCTGATAATTATCCTGGGTTCATGTCCAAGTGTGCTAATACTAGGACAGTGAAAGTCCGTGTGACAGCGACGAAGGAGCAGCATACAGCCTAAATGTGGGACAACATAGGCTTTGGTACCGTTTTCAAGCACAGCAATCAATATTGCTGTCCCAACGACGGCCGAATAGCTCTTCTAGACTGCCACTGGGCTGGAAAAGTGGACTATGCTGACAACACATGTGGCGGCTCCGAGGTGACACTCTTGACGGATGAACGTGGCAATTCATACGGCGGCTGCATCTGTACGTATTACCATGTCTTGTGGTTTTAGTAATTATTTTCTAACTTTTCCTCAGGGTGCCGACAGAGGACCCTCTGCTGCACGTCGAACACGGAGGCCTACCAGACCGAGAGCTGCGATGTGGACCTGTGCGACCTGAACCAAACGGCCTGTGACAACGACGACGTTGGTGAGATAAAGGCTCACTTGAATCATCTCGAAGTCCGAGCCGCTCTCCCAGGCCAGCCTCGCCCTAAGACCATACAATTGGCTAAGCTACTAGGAACTGCTATCTACAAGGGCAAGGAACTTACCCTGACCAGTCGACCGTACTGGCCTGGTCTGAAGAGTCTGAAGGGTGATGGATCGGAAACACTCGTAATTAAAGGGGGATACAGTTTGCTCAAAGACGCGTGCAGCTCAACGGCGCTCAAGTTTATACCAGCGGCCAGCTTGCCCACCAAGGGATTCCAGATGGAGCACTTACGAGAGATCAACATGATCGAAAAATTCGTCCACAGCCTTCTGACGGGCATAAAGTACTCTGGCGACAGCATGACAAATACGTTCGACCCATTAGCCATTGTTGCCGGCTGGAACAAGGCGTACGACGTAACCCTCCCTCGGATTGGATTCATCGTCAAGGACGCCCCGCTCTTCACCGAGCCCCTGACGCCTAATGACCGCTTCTTCGAGACAATTGGCTCCTACGCCTATCGCGAAGGCGTTTCTTTCCTGCCCGATAGTCTCAACCTCCTCAAGCGCACGCTGATGATGGGCAACTCACCGCTTGGCACCATCAACAATTTCAAGTGCCTGGTGGATCAGGTGGCCAACAAGGGGGATGAGGTGATTATGAAAAAGGTTACGGGTTCAATTCAAGGGGTACATTGTCCTTACGCACACTCCGATCTGCCTGTATTCCTACTCTGAATAACTCCGCTGACTGATGAAACCAAAATCACAGACAATCGGAGTTTTCAACTACCTCAACGACGCAGCTCTACACGTCAGCTTCGTCGCGGCCGGCAAGACGCTAACCAGGGAGATGGGCTACGCCGACAACTACATCCCCGAGCTCAAGGGCATTCTGGCGGCTTGGAAGGAGTGGGAGCCCGATTACTACGCCGAAGTTGTGTCGCGGGCGTCGGGCTGGTTTACCGATCGCACGAGACTTATCATGCAGAGGTTCCCCAATAGCGGGACGCTGAAGAACCCGGCTATCATGAAATTTGTCTATGATACGACCTTGTTAGCGGCGCAGCGTGACAGGATCAAGTCTCCTCTGGCCGACTAGCTAGGAGTACATGCATGCCATTTACAATGGGACGCTGTAGAGTGTGGGGAGGCGTGCTTGAATTCGCTTACTGCAGATATATATGAATATTGTAGACATTCGATAACTTCATTTCGTTTGTCGTCTTACGCAACAGGCGATGGAGGTTCATGTAAAAGCTGAAGTTGTGCCATAATTCTTGGGGGACCGGCCCGAAACCCATTTCATCAAACGCACGATTTATCGATGCCCAACGTGTCCTCATCAGAAGTAGGGCATTGGGAGTCTCCCACTGCGGTTCAGAGTACTTGAAAGTCGCTTCTCTTCACCTAAGCCGAACCACGCGCGTTAATTATCACGCGTAAATCATTGAACAGCCCAACAAGTCGGACTATTCGCCATTAAGCTATCAGTATTACCTCTGCAGGAGCACCAAAGGTCATGAACGGTGTATGTCTCGATTACTTGTCAAAGCCCTATGTGGACTGTGAAGGTATCAAAACCAAGGTGACATGCACCAAGTTCCATGATCTGTAAGGTTTGGATGCAAGGCCCCTTTTAAGGGTCGGACGCATATTAATGATTGACTGGTCAATAGATCTATAATTTAACTGGAGTAAATGCCTCACTGAAGCGTCTGCTGCAAAAACTAGAAGCAGAGTCCGAGGTCTCAGGTTTTACATTCGTGAAGACCACTTGCCTTATCATGATGTACATATAATCGACGACGGGGCGCTTTAATAAGTTCTGCTTTGTATTTGTGCTAGGTGGTGCATTCATTTTATGATCATACCATGCCTGTTGTCAGCGGAGCAACTTCTCATCAAGTCATCAGAGATCACTTCCAAGCCTGGGTTCCAGACACTCGAGGCAAGGCGTCGTCCAGGTTCCACCGCCGAGATTGACGATTCAGATCGGGCAAACACAACCGACATATCTAGACACAAGTACTGCATCTCTGTTAACGACTTTGTCTGGAGTTCATGGACTACCCTGGCGTGAATTCGCTGGTGGCGAAGCTGCTCTGCCGGAAACGGGAACCACTATATGCTCCAGAGGAGGGACATGCTACAGTGACATCTCCGTTCCACTGTGCAGCCACCGAGAACGGCGAGGAATATGTGGGCTGGAGGCACATGCCTGTGGACGACTACATGAACAAACACCATGTTCTGGGGAAGTGCGATTGGGCTGAGCAGTACATGAGACCACCGTATATTAATGGATCCGAGGACAGTGCACTCATGCTCCATTGGAGACGTGGTGCTCTGGACCAAGAGCACGAATCACGTTTGGCCTGGATATGCCTGTTTGTTATTGTTGATTCATTGACTGGGGTGAAGGTGGGCAAGGATGAGCAAAGGGCGAGCAGGGCAGAAGATTCGTCTATCACGGACGGCATGCGTTTATGTGGGGGTCCAACATAGAGGACCGTCAGAAAACATGGTGGATTGGAGAAGTGGTTAAGAGCAGGGAGAATATCAGGAAGGCGTTGAAGCAAATGGGATGCAAGGCGGCTTGACTGTGTGTACTGATTTGTTTCTCAAAATTATCGCTTTACCCATTTAGGCCTAGAAGTTGCCAATTAACTTATCCTAATGCGGAATAGTAGCCATCATCATCAGTATTAGACATATCCAGTTCACAACATTAACTCAAGTAAGTTTGTTAGATAAAGCGACATAAGAACACTCCAACCAGGCCTGTGACGAATATATCGTATCGTGGTTGATTGTAGGTTCTACTCAAGCTCCAACGAGATAGGAAACCCAGAAGCATAGTGATAATTACGTCTTCAGATATAGTGATTCAATGGAAAGCGCACAGAAAAGAATTAGGAAGACACAAGTGATTGATGCATTATGTGGTACGTTGGATTACGCTGGATGAAGTTGGGAAAGTGAAGAAAGATTTAGGTGAAGTTGAAAAGTGCGCCCGTTGAAGACGCGTGGGGGATCAGGGATTGGCGCAGTCTGGGATCTTCCCTCCCCTGAAAGAAGGCGCATCCACAATCCAAATCGCTGGAGCCTCCACGTGTCGCCCCGGCAGATTAGTCAAGTTCCCTGTCAACACCCTGCAATTTGGCGCGATTCGAGTTCTCCCAATCACCATCGAGCGTCAACGTCGCATGAATGGTTGTTAATTACAGCGCGCTGGCTCGTCAGCATGACTGGGTCACGTCGACCCGCATGTTTATCGTGCATGCATCGCCTTTCGTTGCATGCCATCCGCTTCCCAGACTACTTCTGACAATTCACCCCAGTCCAAGATGGATCCCAGAGGGTTCGGCCCCGGCCTCAACCTCGGAGTCAGCATTGCTATGTATACGCGATATTGCAAGGGTCCATCATCAGAAAGAGTCCACAGGAAACCATTCTAGGGACAAAGATAAAAGAATCTCGGCTTGGCCAGCTGCGACTGATTCTCACGATGTCTTCGTCCTTGTGGTCTCGCGGTGTCACTCGGCTTCACTCATTAAACAAATCCCTGTTCTCAAGGACGACCCATCGCGACCATGGGCTCCAGTCAATCCACCACCAACAGTCCTGGCCCGACCATGTACACGGCCACGGCGTCGGCGTCCATCGCGGCGGCGCAAGCCACGGCCTTGACATTGAGTCCTACGAGCAACGTCAAGGGAAAAACTTTCGACCGTTTTGTCCAAATTTATCTTGAGAATCAGGACTTTGACATTGCGGCCGGCGATCGTAAGTCGTCCACCTCCCGCGTCTTCATAGCGATTGTACACTGATAAGGGGCTAGCGAACCTTGCATACCTCGCAACTCTTGGCATCACGCTCAACAACTATTATGCCGTCACGCATCCATCTCAGCCCAACTACGTCGCTGCCGTCGGAGCCAGCACGCATGGCGTTTTCCTCGATACCGCCACCCGTATCGGCTCTGACACTGAAACGATCGTTGACCTTCTCGAAGCGGCGAACGTGAGCTGGAGTGTATACATGGAAGACATGCCCTACTCTGGCTTCGAAGGAGACTACGTGAACCAGGAAAACGGTGCGAATGACTATGTTCGCAAACACAAGTATGCGTGCTATGTCCGTATTTCAGGTCCGAACTAAGCTAACCTAACTGCTGTTCAGTCCCATGATGAGCTACGATTCCGTCACCGAAGATCTGAATCGCCTTGCCAAGTCAAAGAACTTCACTATGTTCTACAAAGACCTCGCCGCAAACACGCTCCCTCAGTGGATGTTTATCACACCGAACATGACGAACGACGGGCACGACTCCTCCGTGACGGTTGCTGGAACCTGGGCGCGTACTTTTCTGGAACCTCTGCTGGACAACCCAAACTTCAACACCGACCGGACGCTAGTCGTCTTGACATTTGACGAGTGCGAGAATTACTTTGCCGAGAACCGTGTCTTTACCGTGTTGCTCGGTGGTGTCGTAGAGGGGAAGGAGGGCACAACGAACTCGACAAAGTTTAACCACTACAGTCTGTCTAAGACGGCAGAAGACAATTGGAATCTGGGTAATCTTGGCGAGAACGATGTGGATGCGACACCTTTGGTCTAGCTAGGGTGCCTCTCTTGTAATGATAATGTCGAAGTAAACATTTATTATACTCCTTGGAAGAAAATAATATCCGAAGGCCATTGCCTAATGTGTGATGTCAGCAACGCAAGCTTTATGATTTCCATGGCCAGCGGAATGTTTTCCAACAGTGGGGAAGGTTTACCCGATTATTCCCACAGTGCAAAACCGAACTCAAATAGTTAGGTAAAGCCTTACGTTCGTTCATTCGCTTTCGACTCCAAGGGCGATTTATTTGCCATGATTGCGCAACTTTGGCGGTATCATGTGCGGCAGTATATTTGAGTTGTCCCTTGCCATGGTTCTCCTATCCGACAACCTCCCATAGAGTTGCAGACCTGTCCATGTGATTAATAACATAGATGATCTGACTCGACGCGTCGCGCATTTGCCGTGCGTGAGATCATATCAAAGTCAGAACTCGTCACTCTGCACCACTTGCTCAAACTCAGTCTTGTTATAATGGCAGGTTACCGTTGATGAGAAGTGATCTTGACGATTAAACTTACAGCAGTTGACGTTAATGATGGCGGGATGATGGTCGTAGTGATGATACTTTGTAGTCGAAGTCTTTACCAGGCCTTAGTTGATCGGGTGGTTCTTAAGTATCAGGGCGAGGGGCTTTCTGGATGGTAAATGCGTGTGTGAGCGTGTTAGACAAAAGCCCGGCCGCGGGGCGTGCCGCACTGTTAGGCTATATGGGATAGAGACCACTGGTAGTATTAGTGTCACTTGCCCGTAAGCTGGGATATGTATATAGCCATGCATTTTTAATTCTTAGATTTCGTTTACTTTAATTATGAGTCTACAGATACAATGATACTATTTTCAGGACATGTATACTCTATGTAATGGGTCAATCGATATTGTAGAACATGCACACATCCTTCATCCGGTTATATCTTACCAGCACCAGAGGTAACGAAATGGTGATGGTTTCTGAAGATAAGTGGAAAGTATCCCAGCTAGTCTATGGAAATCTACACTTTTACAGGAATACCACAACCCCTTTCTCCCCGGGTGTATCGAGCTGACGACGCACACCTGTGGCTGATCTGGACAAGAAAAGACCAACAAAAATACTCAATAGAAAACACAGAACACCCCACCGTAATTAAATACACCTAGTGAATACACAGCAATGTACCCGGTGGGTTTTGCAAAAGAATGCAAATATACAGGTGAAAGGAAACCGAAGTCGCACCGGTCCTGTTGCGGACAGAATTATGCGCTGATGATCGTGTAAACAACTAGAGACCAAGGCGGATCAGCTCGATGCTACAAGTCTTCTGGCTTTACCTCGTCAGCATGAATTGGGATGAAAGGGTTCATTGAAAGTCAAAGTACATGTTCTGTATAGACGGCCAGAGCCGCATCTGTGGCGATGGTTTCATTTACAAGTTTGCCATGCCTCCCCGCCAGCTCATTGTGTCTCTTGCCTCTTCTCCAAAACCCCCACTTCTCATGCCCCTGGAGTCAAATCCTCTGGTTTAACTGGAATATGCCATTATATCTGCGCTTTTTTGTTTCAGAAGAGGTGTTTGGCTTTTGTAGCATGAAACAACTCGGGCGGCGTTATTGGTCATTCTTTGGCTCTCGATAGCACTCGCATTGTAGTCCAATCAGGCGCCAGACGATGTCGTTTCTCGATGCCGAAGTCTTTGACAACTCTTTTGTTCGCCGGCAGACCTCCGTAGTGACAGTCGAACTGTCCCCTATAGTGATCAACCTTGGAACAGTAAGGTGTAATACCTCCAGACACGAGGCGGGAAGTATAAGTGGGCAAGCTCCTTTCCAAAAGTTCCAGCTCGATGTGCTTTTGGAATACGGAATATCGGATTCCTCGCTGAATTCTGTGAAGTCAAGCTGCATAAAGCTGCCAAATGACCGTTGCTCTTCTAGGAGAGGTCGAGATGCCTTCCTAACATATGACCGGAACGTGGTCTGTTTGGACTTTAGGAACAAGGTGAAGGGCCAGAAACCCATTGAAGCCATGGTATTGATAAAAAACGACGCCGAGTTTTGTCCAGATACGGTAGATCTCGATATTGTTCCGCTTCACGGCCCATCCTTCCATTGTACCCTTCTTCGCCGTCTTCGGAGTGGCGTTCAGATTGGTCTAGAACGTCGTACTCGATGTGTAGAAACATCGTCTCGTATGATTGATAGATATAATCGAAGACGCATTTGATACCATATTTGCCCCAGTATATCTTCTGAACGGCATTGCGACGTCGTTTCTCGCGATAGAGCCCTAAATGGGTGACATAATCCCGTGCAAAGCGCAGTTGTTCTTGGTCAGAGAAAACGGGGTTACCGGGTCGGTAATGAAATGCCTTGGATAGAAACTCGTAGAGCAGGAAAGTCTTGCTCAGTGGGGCGTAGTCGTGGGGGAAGAGAGAATCGAGTGAGATGGTAGGTATCTTCCCAGAACATCGGTGATGCGATTCGTGAGACCATTCTGGCAAATGCCAGAGACAACCCGCCCCAGGGCAAGCACATGCTGCCTTGTACATGTAATCACACCAAAGAGATCCAACTGATTGCGAAGACTGTTGACGCGGAGAAGTTCCTGCATGGATGGGCATTCGATTGTACCAGACAGATATTCCACCAGAAAGTTCCTAGTTTGTGAATATTTTGCTTCAACAGCAAGGCCCTTCGTGCTAGGAAAGCGAACGATTCCAAGCGCAATTTTCCATGCTTAAAATCCAACAGACGGAGGGTTTGCTTCTACATGATGGGATACAACTGAGCGCACGTTTCCCTTATCTTGCATCGTGTACCATATCTCAGGACTGGCCTGGACTAGGCGAACGAGGTCTTTCAGTGAGCTGACTTCCTTGAGTATTTTGCACTGGATCTCTACTGAAAGCAGCCCGAAGAGACATTCGGACGCCATGTCAATCAAACTTGTAAACTCCCAAACAAATAATAACCGGTTTGTCTACAACCCCAGAAGCACGCTTGCGCGCTAGTAGAGTGGTAGGTCGTATTAAAGAGCTTCAGAGCCTATAATTTAGAAATGAAGATTTCCAACTGGGGGATACACCATTTTATTGCACGACTGAGAAAGTTCTTGGGGACTAACCAACTCGTCATTTGCTTTCCACACCTGCATTTAGTAGCTTTCAGATATCGGTTATGGAGTTCGACCGGGCCTTGAAAGCGTCTCTGCAAGCCCTAAGCATCGGGGCAAGTGGATGGTACAGGGTAGCTCCGGCGGCCGCGGAAGCCACCGGCCAATGGTGCACCGACCGCGTTTCGATTGTTTCGTCGGTCTTGCGGGGACAATTTTAAAGCTGTTGCACCCAATTTCATTCAGGTCTCACAAATGACATGGCATTGCTGAGGATTTCCGGCCCATGCGAGTCATCGTAATGCTGTTTTCTAGACACAACCTCAACATAGAATTCAACAGTTACCTGGATTCGCAACTCGCATTTGTCTCTCACATGACTAAACCCGCCATCTAGCCTCACGTGGGTAGTGCCACGGCCTAATCATAGCAGCGTTGATTATCCAGTGTCAACTCATGCAGCCCGATCTTACATTGCAATCGACCAAACCCACGGTAAGGTATAACCCAACCTGCATTAAACAAAACCACAAATGTGCACGGACGGACAGCGGAGCAAGCGTGGCTATAATCCCCAAAAAGGAAAAGAGCACGAAACTTGTGGATATAGTGTGATGTGGGCAATACGAACAAGAGAGCTATATTGGCGATGATAATGGGACTAAGTCTCATAAATCTGAAGCTAAGGAGGGGCTATCCATGGCCTAAGCGCCGCAGCCAGTACACAGCCGGTGTGCTTGGGGCACGCGACATGTGATCTTGCATCAGACCTATGGATTCCAGACTTAGCTCGCATGGTTTCAATACGTTCATCCACGAGAATGCAGCCGTATGTGGCTTTAGAAGTCCCCCAGAACTGGCCAGCTCTCTAGGTAGTCGTATCTTGGGTTCGGTAAGAAACAACAACTGACGTTCAGCTCCAATCGGCATATCTGATTTGCTGTCCTGCAAGAGATGGGCATTTTGTACGCTAAGCCATGAATACAGTCAGTGCCATAGCTGCCACATAATTCGCGATGGTGTGTGAGTTAACTGTAACATTTATTCTATATTTTCAGCTAGGAGAGCATATGATGCCGCTTACCACGATATTGTTTATGCGTGGGAACGCGGGGACACTTTGTCAACCCTGCTGGCTCGTGTAAGTTGGGTGCGCGCGAGGAGGGTGGAGTCGTCGACTAGGGATTGAAGGTTTATAAGGTTGAAAATCTGAGGGTCGTGGATGGGGGTGTATTGCCCATGCTGCCGGCTAGTCATATCATGACTTCTCTGATATCATCCGCGGATTGGCTTAAGAGGTCGGCCTTGCGTGGTTACCATTGGATTAACTGTTCTTGCTTGCGCTCTGCTGTTATTATATTGTTAGAATCAGGAACGAAGTCCGTGTCTTGGACCTTTCCGTCACTATGAAACCGCCGCGTCACGAAGAATTGCTTTGCTGTGAATAGTTCACCTCAATAGAAAGCACGGTACAAACAACGACGGCCACATGAATGCTTATGTCTTCGTACTGATCTCAATCCTACATAACTCTGCAAAAGAACTGAATTCTAGAAGCATCATGCGTCTTCTTATATCTTGTCACTCCCGCACAATCACCCTCTATTCTCTATGAAATCCGACATTTAGCTTCACAGATGTGATGCGAGTACCCTAGACTAAATACAGCCCTGTTTGCGTTCTGATTGAGGTGATTGGGTTTTTAGAGGAACATCCACAGGGCACTCAGTAAACTGCGCTCTAGGATTGTGGTGCCGAGATTCCTCCCCGAGGACCTTTCCAACCCTTCAGGTTCACACTCTTCCCTATAGCCCGTGATCTTGGTTTTGGTCGCTAAGACGGTGTCCCTATCCTGCAACCAAAGTAGCAAAATGCATGATCAGGGAGTACAGTTCGTGGAGGTCCATCATCCGGATCATTTGCAGAGACGTTCAGCTCGATGACATAAAAATACAGAAAGAAGGGCGCAATTTACAGGAAGATTTCGACATGCTTCGCCGATTATATGGCTTCTCTACAATGAGAACGAGGTTCCGCACGTGTTGGACAAAGACAATCCGGATCCTAGAACCAGGACAGGGGAGGTTTCAAAGGCCGGAGGGTTGATCCGAACGGTGCCCCACTGTACGTGAACCGCCTTCTGATAAACTTGTCAACATGTGAGGAGAAGAAAGAACGTGAGATCTTCCCGATTCATGTATTTGATTTAATATCTGGGTTGGATTCGATCTCCATCAAATTTCTCGAAGTATGCTCTGATGCTGGCGGCTCCTTCCGCAAAGTGATCGTTATGGTCATCGACTAAAAGGTTAACTATCGCAAGAATTGATAATGTATATTCTATTCATTCTATGTTTCTCGTGAGGAACTGCTTTGTAAATATGGACGCGGTAAAGATCTTCCAAACGCCCGCAGTTTTCTGTAGAAATAATCACAGTGCCGGATGTATCCCATCGGATTAGGACGACACACTTTGATTTGGACCTGCTCCATCATTTTTTCGAGTTACCAATGCCAACCACTCCTGCACCAAGCCCTTGTAATCAGCAAGTGAGTATGGAGAAAATACGTCCTTCCACCAAGACCCCTTCCGTTTGGCTCTCATCCCCAGATCGCCCAGCACCATGTCCACATACGGCAAGCTATCAAATACCAGATCTGGAAATCGGTTGCCTGTACCTCCCGCTTCCTTTGGACGTCGAAGTTTCTCGTACTCTGAATGTAGAGCCGTATCAAACGCCAAACTATTCTGATCTTCAACGTCAAGAGACAGTTTATCCTGGAAAAAGGCCACGATCCATAGAGCCTGCACTTGGGCCAGCATCACAGCGTGTATTGACAGGTGAGCGCCGATGAAGGCCACGTTGCGTTTCTGAAAGAGCCTTGGCGACGTCGGTACCATGAATCTGCATAAGCGCAAGGATTGAGCCTCGTTTGGCCCCATGGAGGCGTCCTTTCCAGATGGCGTTCCTGGTGGTAGTTTTCGTATGGGCGCAGACTTTAGGACAGGACAGCGCTGTAGGACTTCACTTCGCACATCTTTGGCGACTTCAGAGTCCAAGTTTCCACCGAATATTTCCGAAGCTGCCCATTCAGGCGAGAACTTGATGGCTGGAATAAACTTCCAACCTGTGCAACAGACTAGTGCGTCCACTTCGATACTCGTTCCATCGGACAGCTGGACCAGAGTTTCAGTCAAAGACAGTACTTCGGCCACATGAGGAGTTATCTGCCCGTCTCTGACAAGTTGAAACCAGTCTGTCTCGTAGTTGTGTATACTCAGTGAGTTACCCATCCAGAAAGTCGAGGTCCAGGGCTTCATCATCCTGACTTGGCTATCCACTTCATCATATCCGTTGGTGCGGCAGATGTATTGGTCCAGAAAGCCCCAGAATAACAAGCAGATTTTGCGGCCGAGTGAATTTTGGTGAAGAAGCCACTGCGTGCAGTTTTGTTAGCCATTTTATACTGAGAGATCCCAATATCCAAGTTTGCGAGTGGTTTGATTGTTGAGACAGCCTGACACTTGCTAAGGCAACATAATTCCAGTAGCAAGTATGCACTGGAGAGGCCTCAAAGAAACTGGAAATGAATTGAAATTCCAACCGATGGAATTTGTCGTTTGGTTATTGTTCTACAGCCTCTCCAGTATAATAACCTTGAAGTCCAGAAACTACTCACGCGCGCTGTTTTCCCAGCTGATCCAAATGGATTTGGATCAACCCACGTAAACAACCTTGTCAAGGATAGACGAGAAAGAGATGTTTCAAGCCCCAACACACGTATGGGTCGCCATACATGACTCGGTCCGCCACCCGATGGGCGCATGATTATGTGGACCTTTGCTCCGAAGCGGGCTGCGGCGTAGCATACGTCCCAAGCTGACTTGTTGCCACCGATCACAACGACCTTTTGTGAAGAGGAAATTTGATCTATGCGGTTCTTAAATTGTTTGGAATGGAAGATGTGCCCCTTAAATATCTCCTGGCCTGAAAACACTGGCATGTACGGCTCGGAGGTCAAACCAGTAGCAAGCACTAGCTTCGACGCGACGAGCCGTCCTAATGTCTCACGGCGATCAGGACCGTTGGTCGAAAATTCAATGATCCATGAGCCGTCTTCCTGTAAGTTTGCAGCTTCGACCCTTGTCCGAAGTTGCATTCGAGGGGTCAACCCATAATGCTCGGCAAAGTCCGAAAGGTATCGATGGACGACGGTCCCTGGAATATGCTGATGTGGCTTCAGACAGTATCTTTGCAAGTCCATGGGATAGTCACTAAACTCGTACGAACCAACGATATTGTTGGTCTTGAGGTCCGGATATAGCCTTTCAGTAGCCCAGGTTCCCCCTATAGAACTCGCATAGTCCACAATCAAAATATTGGAGTCTTCGATGGGGCTCGCTTCGAGATATGCCTTGGCCATCGCAAGTCCATGCCAGCCTGAATGGTATGATCAGTTGGTTTCTTGAATTTGGGTTATCGTAGAGAACCTCCACTCGATCGGCTCCAACAAATCTAGCAGCAAAGGATGACACTCGCTACAGCATCGTACAATACACCTACCTGCACCGACGATTAAGAGATCGACGCGATCCATTCCTGACGCCAGTTGTCTTGTTATAGAATCCTGCGATATCCCGGACATTCATGGAGTAGGCAAGTGAACACAATGAACGGAAACCCCACGATTGTGGTCGTGAACCGCAGGTGGTGTCTGGGAATTACCTTTTCAGCTCCGCTGATTCTGGGCAACTGACTTCATTCAACACCTTTTAGTTGGGCATGAGGGACATGTCTGTGACACACCTCGGTTACTCGGTCCCGACAGACAGAAACCTTCAACCATGCCAAAGCGGATAAGCAATGCGGGGTTACTTACGCCTATCCGCATGCCAAGTTGCGTCACGTCCAGACGACATTCACAGAAAATTTGCATCTTGACTGACCTGGAAAGTAGGCAATCTGGCATGTCAAAATACAGATGAAATAGTTTGGACCCCTGAAACTGACCCCTAAGTACGGAAATGGACAAAAGCCCCGCCACACCCGGCGAGGCCGCCGTGCTCGATCTAAGCAAATACCCCGCGGCGGATAAATTCGTAGCAAGATGCTGCGAATTCTTTGAGGAGGTCGAAGATTTGTATGTACGACATCTTCATTGGCACATCTGGGGTTCATAGTAAACTGACAGACACAAGGACACCAGGCAAGGACCTCGAGACTCGTCTAAACAAAGATTACGGCCCAGGCAACCCATACTACGAAGACTTCTGCCGCTATATCAAACAAGGCCTCGATGAAGGCTGGGTCGCCGAAACCGAACTGAAGGGCCGCATGTACCGTCGGGGTAAGATCGCGCTGCCAAGCCCACGGACGCGCTTCTTCAGTATCACGACAGTGTTCATGAATAGCCAGGAGGAGTTCGCGGGGCAATATCACCAGCATCCCTATGGCGAGATCAACTGTGTGGTGCAGATTGACAAGACGGCCGAGTTGGAGGGCATGAATGGCTGGCAGGGCGCTGGATGGACGTCTCCGGGGCCGGGTACCCACCATTACCCCAGAGTTAGGGGAGGCGCGTTGGTGGCGCTGTTTTTCTTGCCTGCTGGGAGGATATCGTATAAGGCTACCCCTGGTCTGCCACAGCCTGCATCTGTATAGATGCATGCTATTCTCACTCTTTGAAAATAAAGATTAATAATTACGCACTTTAATTAGGTTGCTGTTGTGATACTAGAGCAGTCGAGCGGTTTACACCTAGGCATCAGCCAGAATTGCCTCAGTTGCCTTCTCAGCCAATAAATAAACCGGCAATGCAATGAAGAACCCCGGCACAACGGGAAATGCACTCGCATCTACGACCCTTAACCCCCTGGTGCCCCTCACCCTAAATGCAGCATCCAAAACTGCCCCCTCGTCGTTGTCGCCCCCAATTGGCGCTGTGCAACAAGCATGGTGTCCAAAGCTCTGCGTGGCGACATAATCCTCGACCTCCTCTTGAGAACTCACATTGTCCCGTCCAGGCGTCTCCTCTGTGAAGGATCCATCAAGTGGGATCAGCTTATCCATGGCATCCCTCGCAAACTTGATTCCTTCACACGACGCTTGCAAGTCCTGCTTCGAAGATAAGCTATCCCCGAATGTGTTAAACGCAATGACAGGCACATCTCTAGGATCAGCAGATGCCAACTTGACAGTGCCAGCTCGGTTCTTGGTGCTCGCTTTCAGACTAACCCACACCCAGTGTTTGAAATCAGCTAGCGCCACATCAGCCCAGCCCGGGTAGAAACCAGGGAAGTTGGCGGGTCCACCGTACACGAACAGATCAGGATCCGGCCCATCAGCAGCAGAGGACTTGAGAGCAACTCCCACCGCCAGGCCATTGGTCGCGTATGGACCTTTAGTTGTCTGGTCTATCCCGTTCTGCCAGCGCTCCAAACACGGGTCAGGGACCTCGGGGTAGCCTTTCATGAACGTGCATCCGTTTAAGAGTGAGAAGTCGAAGGTGGCTTTGCTGATGACGCTGACTTCGATGTGGTCTCTTAGGTTGGCGCCGACTCCGGGCATATCGACAAGGACGGGAATATCAAACCGAGATAATTCGTCGGCTGGGCCGATGCCGGACAGCTTGAGGAGTTGGGGGGTATTGAAGGCGCCGGCTGCGATGATAACTTCCTTGGATGCGTTCACGGTTCCTTCCCCGGATATAGTAGCGCTTTGCCAGCGAGGGTCGGCACGATAAAGACTGCGGCCTTCGAGAAACTCGACTCCGGTTGCCCTCGGAGTGGTGTCGCTTGTAGTGTCGAAAAGGACTTTGGTGACAAGCGTGTCGAGTTTTATGTCGAGCTGGTACAGTCGTTCGCCGTTCTCGTCGACCGCATTCGCCACTTCCAAGATGCGATCCCGCGCTCCACCTCGAGCTGAATTCTTCATAGCCAGTGGGATTTGATATGGTCCAGTGGTTATTGTCGGACCGGGCGCGTTGACATCCTTGGCTAGCAATTCGACCAGTCCCGCAACAGTCCCAACCAGCGTTCCCGTAATACCCATTCCCAGGGCCGAAGCAGCTGAGAGAATAATGCTCACGACTTTGAGATCCTGAACTGCAGTCACAAGGGACGTGAGAGCTGTATACAACCAGCCGGTAAACCCATGCCCGATGATGCTGTTAGGCAGGTAGTCGCACTTCTCAATGCCGGCAAACAGCCTCTGAAAGGTGCTGCCGTTCCAGCTTGAGTCCCCGGTCCAGAGACAGCAGAGGTCAGCAAATAATGTTGCTCAAACATTCCCAAGCAACGGCGAGTGTGAAAAAGCCATCCTTTTCGAATCTCATAGCCAACAAAGGGGCGGGTCCAAAGATACTCACCTTCTCAGCAACTACATCCCAATCACTGTCAAAAGCCCTAATCGTAACTAACGCGTTATGCCTCGAACACCCCCCGAGCGTCCCAGCCCTAGGGTACAGCGTCCCCAACGGCTCCGCCCCTTCCGGCGGGTGCAAGCCCGTATACACGCTCCCATTAGTCAACCGGTAGCTCGTCTTAGCAGCCCGAGCCTGCGTCGCCTGATCCGAGCTCCGCGTCACGAAGTAATCCCACTCCGTGTCGGGGAACTCGGTCGCCCAGGGAAAGAGCACAGGGATCTGTTCGACGAGCGCATCGCCTGAGTCGCCTCCTGCGTCGATCAAAAGGACTTTGTGCCCGGCTTCGGCGAGGTTGGCCGCTAAGGGGCCACCGCCCGGGCCAGAGCCGATGATGATATACTCGTAGTCGGGGGTGAGGGGGGATTGACGGGGGAGTATAGGGTTGTGCGAACGGGGTGGATTCGGGCTGGGGGAGGCGCCGATCAGAGGGAGGAGGGTGAGGATGGATGCGAAATGCATCTTGGTATAAGTTTTTCAACTTGGAGCGCAAGGAGTTGAACTTTGGAAGAACTATTCAAAAACCAAAGTGTTGTGTCTTTCGGCAAACTTATCTACGTTCTCTCATGCCAGCTTACTCTCCGCGTCCACACGGCCCCTGCGTAGAGCAACCAGTCTGAAGCCGTCATTGGACGTTCCTATGCGAGGATATAAGCCTTTTGTCGATTTTAAGATACCGGGTTGACTTGTCATGTATGCACGTATGAAGACCTTTACTCAGATAGGAAAGCCATTTGCTTTGGTGCCGGGAGTTATGCATGGGCTTCCCGACATCTACGAGGGGCACGAAAAGAAAGAGAAATGATCGACATTGGTTTGCACATGTAGAGTAATAAACAATCAAACAGTATGCCGATCATTGATTTTGGATACTATATAGAGTTAGTCATGTGCAGCCACAGTGGCGCTAGGTCAAGGATGTCGCTTTCGAGTTTGAGGGATTGCGAAGATGCCGAGCCCTCCCTGCCTTATTAGACAGAGAGAGACAGAAAAGTTCAACCCTTATTCTCATAGTCCTCGATTGCAGGAAAGAACTCAGCCCGCAACCAGGTTCATAGTCTTGAGAAGGTCACATCCACGATTCTATTTGGCGCCATCGTAAGGTTCAGTTAGTATTGCTAAGTTACGGCAAAGATGATCCACTGCGTATGGAAATTGATACAATTTCCGGGAATAACACCAGGAAGCACCTAGCAAAGTACAACCCACTATAATTGAGGTTGGCGCTGAAAATCGTACCGTTTTGAGACGAAGTAACTACGTATTAAGTTTTGTAGTAATGTTAACGTAGTCCACGGTCCAATTGCACACTTTGGCAGACCTTATACGACAATGTATAAGTTAATTCAACCACAACGCCTATCATCAATTGAAACTACTCAGAATCGTTATCTTCAGACGTCTCTACATCATTTCCACAAGTGCGCGCATTATGTCCGGGCTCGCCGCAGATTCTACAGCGCCGTACATGCGCAATTCGCCGCCTCGTACGACCACCAATTTGACGAAATTCGTCATGTAACTGCCCATCAACCTCTCGTTGAGACTGTAGGTCCTGTCCAGCTTGTATACGAAGTGACCCTCCACTCTGTAGCTGTTTTTTCTTCGCACGGCGACGTCGACTTAAGGTCTCATTTGCCTTTCGAAGTGATTCGACCTCGCCTTCTAAAAGGGCAAGTCGATGCATAACCTTCGTTGTACCTCGCGCAATCTGATCTATTCCAGCAAAAATTGACGTTGGTGAGCTATTTTGATGTCGTACAATCCTATTTTTCACATAATCGGTTTGTGATTGGGCTTCGGTTGGGTTGTTCCGAGTCTTTGATTCCCAAGGGACGGAGAGACCAGCCGAGCTACCCGGAGGTGTCGGCGTATGTAATTTCACATCGAGCTGTGATATGACATAATCTGCATCGTACGGAACTATTCCTACCCCTCGGAAACCTCCTTGGATATTTGAAACCGTGAAAGTTGCGTTGTACGCGTTTAAAAACGCCGGTAAAAAGTCTTCTTTCGAGATATGACTTATATGTGCTCGCATGAGATCTTCGATTTCTTTTCCGTACGCTCTTTTTAACCCGCTAAAACAGCCAACATCAAGAGGCTGGAGCTTATGCGACGAATAAGGAGGCATACAAAGCGTGACGATATTGTTAGCTTTGCAATATACCTCGAAATCGGTCGAGTGATGGCTTTCGTGACCGTCGAAGATCAATAGGCGATGAGTACCTTTCGTACGAGACTTAGTGTGATGATCGAAGTGTTTTATCTAATCTTCGCCTCTCTTGTTCGTAGTCCAGCTATTTTTAGTAGGCGAGGCTGTTATATACGGTGGTTATCCGTAGCGCGATCGCCTTCGGGGCGACTGCGTGGCATACTATAAGTGAGGAACCGACAGGGCCAGCTAAGAGCCTGATGGGGATACAGAACGAGTGCCTCCGGGTAGTCTGTGGCGCCCACAAAGCGACGCCGGTTCGCCACCTGGAAGCAGAAGCAGCAATCCCGCCACTAGACCTCTATCTTAGTGCCCGGGCTGCTAAGTTTGAAGAACGGCTACGGCTTAGCGGGAAGAGAAATCTGCTTCGCAGCGCGAGCGCTAAAGCATCACATATACTCCGGCAGGATAGGCCGGCGAAGAGGAAGCAGGCGTCGCAGCTACTCCGACCGGCAGGGTACACTATGGAGAAGGAGGCCCGGGGCTCCGAGTGGATGAGTGAGGAAAAGGAGGTCCCGGTTGCCCTCCTCGGCCACTGGAGGAAGAGATGGCTCACCGGAGCAGAGCATCACGATCGCCAGCGACGCGCTATCGCTGAGGAACCGGAGGGCCCTTCGATGCAGATACCGAAAGGGGGCAAGTATTTCGGCCTGAACCGACTGGAGGCGTCTACGCTGTGCCAGATCAGGACGGAAAAAATAGGACTAGCAGCCTTCTTATTCAAGACAGGGGCTTTTGGCGTGTACTCGCCGCTATGCCGCTGTGGCGATGCCCCTGAGACGGCAGAGCACGTAATCCTCTTTTGCGGGCTGTTGGAAGGACCGAGGGAACGATTACGGGCCGCCATCGCACCACGGCCACTATACTCTCGCAGAGACCTCGCACCGGCAACAAGAGAACCAGTAGTTAGTGGGACTATTGTAAGGTGGCTGCTAGGGACGGGTCGGACAGCTTCAAGGCCCAGATAGCATCGATCTTCTCAGGGGGGACTTTGTTGGTAGGTTGAGAACCAACGTAGTATGGTAGTGGACGTAACGCAGTCGCCAATAGGGCGAACCGACGACGCAGCGTATGTATTTAGTCCAGCCATTAGGGCACGGTTTGACATACGGGAGTACTAGTAGAGGTACCGGGGGCTTCGAGCCTACGGCGTATTTAATAATAATAATATTTTTAGTAACTGCGATAACCTAATCAGGCGGTAATGGGCTGTTTTCGTACCATGACGAGAGGTGGGTTTTGCCGGCGAAAATGATGTACGGAGGGAGGGCATAACCGGACGACCCAACGCCTTGAATAACTGTAACCCATTCCCAATTTCCTTGCTGGGCTTCTCTAGGCCTTCCGCGCCGATCAGAAGTCGTCACAACCATTTCGGACGAGATTTGGCCCATCACAAAACCGGTCTCGTCGAAGTTGTAGATATCCTCCTCCTGGATCGCGTATTTCGCAATTGTATTCCGTACCAGGTCAAACCACGCGCGGTACGCGTCAGGGTCTTCGCAGAGGACTCTCTGATAGTCGATCCTTGGATTTAAACGCGTCTGGAGGTCTGGTTGTCGTCTTACGAAGCTCGAGGCACAGTTGACGCCGACGCGTCCCGCGTCGCGACTTCGAAGTAATCGGTTGGCCATATCTTCAACACGACTCAATCGGGGAGGAAATGCTCGCGGATCTAGGTCGGTTATATGTCGTACGATTGCCTCTTCTTCAGAAGGAGTCAACTTTTGCGTTGGCGATCGCGTAATCGCTCGAGCGGTTTTACCGTCGCGTCGATACGCAAGGGTTCTAAAAGGTACGTTATAGATCTGACCAGCGCGACGTACACTTAATTTTGGATCAGATTGAAGCGCATGTAATGCTAGAATCATATCACTTTCATTCCAAGAACCAACCATAGTTATGTGGTGAAAAACCGCAGGTCAAAGTGGTAGCGTACGAAAATCTGCCGAAGTGTGCAATTGGACCGTGGACTACGTTACTGCTGATTTAAACGGAGTGATGTTTTTACAAGGGTATTTGGTGCCTCTGCTAAGTTGTCGACTTAATACTAAGCTAGTATTGTGACTGTTAGGGTAGCCCGCGCGATCGCTAGTGATATTAGTAGCGACGTGCTATCAGATGTATCTGCGCGCCATTATATGGTGTGAAAATACATAGGCATCCAAAAACGGGATGATTTTCAGCGTTAATATAAATTGTGTTGGTGGGTTGTAAAGCATGGCACACCTCCATCGGGATCCGTCACCAACGTTAGTGCAGTGACTTGTTATACCGTGCTGCACGGAGAAAAGTTTGGTTACTATACATAGACGACGGGCAGTAATGACCGCAAGTCAAAGGTGATGAAGATGGAGATGGACAACAGGATCCTCGATAACATCTGCTGTCCGGGCCGGTAACATAATGAAAGATCGAGAGCCTTGTCGCTCTGATCAGACCAACAAAAGTACCTCAGCAGCTTCGAATAATCGACTGAGTCTCAGTGTTAAACAATATAATAGGGCCTCAACACGTCGACAAGCAAATAAAGCATGAACAGACTTGAAATGATCGACTTGGATAATAGAAGTACCCGAACAGGTACAAACAGTGGCCTCAACAAACACGAACAACAGAACAGGATCTCAGCAGGTCATGGAACAACTGGAGCCTCAACGGGCAAAGAGAACGAGCATTCTTATCTTCTTCGCTTTTATCACTGTTCTTCCTAGCGAATGTCTTCCTAGATAGTCCAGGTCCTTCTGAGAAGCACACTTATTGCATACAAAAAACGAGGTCCAACAATCCTGTCCCTAAGTTAACATTATTTTACATCAAAAGATAGAGCAATTTTGGTCCTTAATAGTATCCTCAGTTTTTTCTATTACTAGCTCAAGTCTCCGAACCACCGAGGGGGCTAATTTTAAAAGCCACTCCTCCGGGACTGCATCTCTGCCTTTTCAACGACTACTCGTAATTATAGGATTAAAGGCTCTAGATATCGTATCGAGACTCGTTCCGATTCTTCATATAGAACCATATATTCTCTGTCTGGTTCAGGTTTGGAGAATTAGTAGGGCACTTCAGAATCAGGACACCTAGGCCCTATAAGTCAGCTTATATTTCCTTTACTTGATAAGATGAAGCATTGTCCTATTAGAAGACAGCCAAGTCGGATTTATCGCAGATGGAACGGTATACCAGAGGTAGGGTAAAAAAGAAATACGTATGTGCTGTTATTCCACTCTATTCCTTCTCCTAGAAGAATGAAGCTCCCTTCTTATTACTAGCGGGTTAGCCATAGTATATATTCCGTTCTCTTGATCCTTCGGGGTTGAATATCCCTTCGATAACCCATGTATTTTAAATCTGTTATAATCGTTGTGAACCAGAGGTCACACCAAGGAATATATCGATTAACCTCATACCCAAGAAGCCATAGCTTTAGCTTTTCTTTCTCATGGGTAATGATTAGTTCCCTCTTAGGTCTTTTCTTCTGAGGAGTAATAGGCTCGTCACAGGCTGATTGAACTTGTCTGAAAGAGCAAGGGGACTGTGTGGCGATCTCTTCGCGCGTCCAGTTAGCCCACTTTCGAAGAGCTCGAATTTCGGTCCTCTGGTCCCGAGTAAGGTCCGTATTACGAGTGAAAACGTGGTTTTGTTGGTTTTATAGGATTAAGGAGATAGTTATAGGTAGACCCCTTTGGACTCGAATAAGATCTGAAGATATGACAACGTATAATTTACAATAGTTTAAAGCTGATGCATTCGAATTGTTCTGAGAGCTATTTATCGTCAGTCTTTGTACAGAAGTAGCTTTCTGGTAGAAAGTGCTAGAAAAATGACCCCTGCTAAAAAAAATGGCTAATTCCTCAATCAACCAGGGCACCTGTAAGTCACTGCACTAATACTCTCAAAAGCTACCACTGGTTCCCAATGAGCTACCTAAGTGCGATATTACCAGTGTACTGCAACGTGGATCCGTGACTGCAGAGTTCTACACGTTTATACGGCGAAGACAGCTGCCGCAACCAGTATCCCTAGCACTACTACAGCAGACATTCTGGGCACTCGAACTGCTGCCAGCCTTTACTGAACACCTCTATCTTCCTCTATAGGTACAGATAGCAATGTTGTTGTTGTTAGCCACCATCTGAGCCTACTGAAGAGTCTCATCCGAGCATTCACCCTAGGTCTACACTCTGCGCATTATTATAACCTTATTTTACGCTAGCTAAAATACTTGGGACAGTATAAATGTAAATTTTCGTGTTTGGAAGCGTGTTGTGCCATGTAATGCTACTATTGTTAAGTAGATTAACGACGGGCTGATTCGCCGTCTACTTTGGCCTCAGATGAATATCATGGACAGTGATTGGGTAGTTGATCTTAGGCATGAGCCATACGCGATTCCTACAGATGCGTGCTGTTACCTTCTTGATAGCGCACTGTATATTGAGATCTAGCATGGTCCACGAGAATGGGGAGAAACAGTATATTGCGGCTCGCCAGAATTCCATGTAAACAAACAATAAGGAGCCTGTCAGGTTATCTGGCCATCATAGTAGTCACCTGAAAAGCTTCTTCCAGTTACTCTTGGTCATGCATTCGCCGCTTCGGACATGTCCTTGTACGGTCAGTGGGAGGTCAGGGCTGCAATGAGATGTCAACGATTTGGGAGTAACGAACCGGTTGCTTGGACATACCATGAGCAATGTCAACTTAAATAGTCATTGCCATATCAAATGAGACGTTACCAGCAGAGTTGTCACGCGGCGCAGTGTGTTTCCTCTAGATCGCCTGATATATCTATTGAGTCAAAGACTGCGATGGCATACTCCCTGCCTCCATCCAACTTGACGCTATGGAAAACTGAAGACTATGAAGCCTTCGAAAGTGATATATCAGTGTATCGATGCCGCTGGCCTGCCAAGTTCTTTGCACCTATTGATTGAGACTCCCCTATGTTCATTATTATGAAGCTACTCCTCTGGGCAGTTACTTGACTTCAATTTTGTAGCGTAATGAGATCTTTTGCATACATCAGTCACAATGGAAAAGATTCTCCTAAGTGAATTGCTTTCGACTCGCTTGCCACTGAATCTCCAGCAAAGAGCGTTCGAATGACCTAAGTTATGTATGAGCACACAGGATAATGTCCGAGTGAAGGGCAAAAGGACACTCCATATGTTTGTAGATGCAATGTACAGTCGCTGTTCAACCTGTACCACTTTTCGAAACCGTAATCGCATCTCTACAGGTCAACGTAGTTACCAACCGTGATCCGATCTGATCGTTATTTAGTGCGCCTTCTAATCTGGCGACTAACTTCCAACCCTCAGACATAATCTTTTTTGCTCTTATTGTTACTAAGTTTGGATTCTAGAACAAAACAATTTACGGAGTACAGACTAACAGAAATGGCATCTCTAGTAATTAAAACTTGTTCAAGAAGACAAAGAGGCAAGTGGCGGTAAGGCAGCTCAGGATACCAGCCATCTAGCTGATAAGCCTCATCTTTGGAAGACAAGAGTCGAACGTTATCTGTCCATGAACGCCAGATCCTAATGTCACCAGATCTGTACTAGACCATCATACGATTAAACTTTACAGCGCCTCATCGCCAGCGGCGGCTATGAAATGCCTCGGGATCATTGCCACCAGCACGGACATGAAGGCCAAGCTAGCTCTAAGCTGCGGGTTGTTTTCAACTTCCAGAGCATTGGGCCTCCGTGTCGCAAACTCATCCCCACATCACTTCAAGCATGCTACGATATGGGCGCGAACCAGTTGTATTCCGATTTGCCTGCTACCGATGGAGCACTTATAACCGCAGCTGAAGCTGATTTTCTCGAAAAGTATCATGGCTTGGTAAGGAGCAGTTCAGTTCTCGAATATCATATTTGAGTCGTTATTGACAAGCCTTCCGCAACAGATTGGCCCAAAGCTCCTCCGGTTTCGCGAAAAGAAGAGACGCATACGTCAAGAATACTGCACCCAGCGCGACCGCTTACAGAGGCAACATGCCGACGAACTTTTCGGACTCTATCGCGACTTGCGCATGGAGTGTTTCGAGAGCCATCGATTGCAGTACCTGCGATGGCGAACCGACTTGTGGAACGTGTGGGGGCAGTATTGCTATAATTTCCACATCGTCAGCATGGTCATCTTCATCGCTCTCATGGCGTGGGCTCATGACTTCTGGGTGGAGAGGATAAAGGGATACTGGCTGCGTCAGCGTCAGCGGTTGCAAAGCCGGGATCTTTACGAGTTGCACGATGGAGAGCTTTGGGATCTTACGATCATGTATGCGGCTGAATATGGGTGGGACGCGATAGAAGACAATACTGGGTTCTTCCTCAGGCCTGACACGACAAATTTTGACCCTAGCGCGAATGAGTGGTGGTAATGTAATAGCAGACCTTGCGTTGATATTGCATTGCAAACAGAGATCGGAGGCTGGAGGTTCAACGATTGTATGTTCTGCTTGTTGCATATTTCTGTCCTGTATTATAGGGACGAGACAATATTCCAACTTCGAACTACCCCTTCTGCATTCATACATTGGTCCCCCCGAGAAGAAGAGATAGATACTCAAATTCAGGGCCTTGATGCAGCCGATTAATTAAGTAGCTTATTAGACTATTCACTCAGTCATTCCTACCCGCATTGTTTTCTCTCTTGTGCAGCTTGTATCGCTTGCCTTCAGCTGAAGGCACCAGTCGGGGACTTCAAACTAGTAAGGCCCGACCCCCGCGTCAGTCTGCCAGTCATGTGCAATTGCCAACTGCTGAGGTCTCTATGGCCACAGGTCCAGAAGATCGACACCAATCTCATTCTTGGCAAGACTGGTTCTATCACCAACGGTCTGCGCCACTATGTTTTGGATTCAAGCGACCATCTCTGCCTGCAGCTGGTCTTTGACTCAATGCGGCGTGAGTCAATCGGCAATGCGGCGAAGTTGGGACTCTAGTCTCCAACAGCTTCAGCTGCGTATATATCAACCACGCAGTCGTCAAATCGTTCACATTTGGATCCTGGACTGATAGCTCATTACAATTTGCTTCAGGGCATCACGTTCGTCAATACCCTCAGAACTTGCCGGCAGCCAACCAAGGGCTCAAGCTGGGCGCATCCTCACCTACGATGGCCGAAATACAGAAGCCGCGGGTCTATGATCTGCTCATTCTCACCGATGCCACGATGTCGATGCATGCATACCTTCATGCTCTACATACATCACTCCCCAAGATCATCGCCGTCTCGGCTCTCACTGATGCTTTCGCCCGTATAGGCGTGCTAGCATATCGCGATTATTGCGGCGGTGAACTGACTGAATGGTCAGGGTGGTACGGAAGAGATGGTGATCCCAACTGCACCAGAGATGAGTTGATCAGATTCACCCGAAATCTCCGACCGGCCTATGGTGGTGACTGGCCGGAAGCAGCCAAAACCGGGTTCGCCAGAGCATATTCCGTCATGCGACCCGAGGCGAAGACCCTGATTCTTCTCTACACAGATGCACCGCCACACATGCTATGGAACGGGCAGGAGAACCGAAATAGATAGAGGGAGAATCTATCTCACGGTGCTTTTGGGCCGTCTAGTAGTTGGTTTCAGGATTGGATACACGCTACCCGTGCGATGCAGGGACACAGCCTCGACGAAAAGGGGGATGGCAAGCAGTCACAAGTATTTGCCATAGTCCACAGCCACCTTGTTGACACACTTTCTCCGTACATCTTCATGTGTCACGAAACCAAGGGCTCGTGCTTCCAGATTGATCGGGCGCAGTCCGACCTTATTTCTTCCATGACGATGGGCCTCTTGCTGTCGTGGATGGGGGTATGGAAGCGTGGGAGTAACTCGGCCAGTCTCGCAACGCTTCACACATACAAGGATGCCTCTCACGCGGCCAGTCTTGTCGACGAAGCTGAAAAAAAGGCAGCTCCGTTCTTCACTCAAGTCGACAGCGAGGCGCATGAGAAAATCGTCAAAGACAATCTCGAAAAACATTTCGTCAATAATGACACCTTGAGATCTGTGATCACACCACGAGAGATCCCAGTCAAGGACTTCGCCAAGCGATATGCTGAGGACGAATCGTATCGGGGCCTTGTCGTGGAACAACTCCGTCGCATCATTCAGGAAGACGTTTTGTCTGTTTCTATCAATCCTGTTTTTGGGGCACTATGGCGTGCAGTATGCAACGATCGAACAAACGAGGCACGAGACGGCCTAATCCAGGATTTTGGCGCCAGTATTGAAAGGATTGTGCGGTATGACGACAAGCAGAAGATGAAGGCGTGGCTAGAAGAGTCGTACAACTACAGTGCAGAAATAACTGCTATCATTGAAGAGGTCCCGGAAGAGGACCGATATCCTTGTGTGTTCCTGGATCCAACGCAGGACTGGAGTCTTCCGACATTTGAGAACGACGGATACGAGAAGACGACCACCATCACCGCGTTCTCTCGAGATGAACTACTGGAAATCGGGAGATCTTGCGATTACAGGATTCTGCGGCGACTCGGACGCGTATTGACACGATTGACGTATGCTGAGTCGAAGAAAGATATACCTGCCCACATGAGGGATACGAAAATGGAAGAAGTCCCGATGATCCCACTTGCCCTAGCAGATATAAAGTATAAGCGCACCTTCTGGAAGATCTTACTCCACATTGTTGTTTCGGGTACTAAACTTGGTGCGCGGCCGGCAGCACTGCTGGCGGCTCTGAGTATTCGGATGGGTATGAAGCCATTGATGGCCGCTGCCGATTCCGAGATGATCAATTGGAGTACAAACTGGAATAACCTTGAAATTCCTGAAATCTGGAACACCAATTGCCTATCCTTGATACTGGATGCCGACATAAACTTCGAAACGCGGAAGGCATGTGGGGATATGGCCCTTGGCCATGCCCAAGCAAACTTCTTGAGTGAAGATGACCGTCAGTTATTCGAGCGTCTGGTTGATTACAGTATGCTCAAGGCCAATATGAGCACATCTCTGACGGCCAAGGTGGGATGGCGCCCCAACAAGTCCAAGGTGCCAATTGGGCCGCTGGTTGTATGCGGGTCGTGCGAGTTCCCTCGTTCAGTGACAATGATGGCCCCTAGAGGTATCTGCGGTCTATGCGCTACCCCTGATGGAGATTTTGGCCGTGGGAAAGACAGGAAATCCAAGCCAGAAGCCCTTTTACTAAATGTGTCGAAGGACCAGGCAGTACTAACTGAAGCCACATGGGTTGAGTGCAGCGTTCCCACCTGCCGTACACATTACATCATCTATGATACCGACGGCCTGAGGGTGCGACCGAAATGTTACTACTGTCGACAGCAGAGCATGTACTCTGAGTGCACTCGCGACCTCGACCCCGCGCCACGGGTAGAGTGTGTAAAGTGTCTAAATCGGATGATATGGCCGGAGGAGTATCGCCCCAGTGATCTTGACCTTTCAAAGTTTCGGTGTACGGCATGCGCAGATGGTCGTTCGACAATCGTTGACGTAGAAACCACCCCAAAGGCGTTGGCGGCTGAGAATGGGTATAAATGGCTCATTCGCAACAGCGGTAACAAGATCAAGATGCCGCTCGACGAAATATCTCTCTTTAAGACCATCACTGCGGCTGGGGTTCAGGGCTTCGTTGACGAGGTCGAGATCTTACCGGTGTCAGCAACGCAGACCCTCCACATTCACGGCAAGCGGGTTCACAACACATCCGAAGTCATTAAATCGCTAGAAGGGTGGATCAAGAAACGTCGCGTCGAAGCAGGAATTTGCAGTCTGTGTTTCTCTAACTTCAAGAAGAGGGACTTGAGAACGGCCTGTGGCCGCTCGGGATGCTTGCAGAATATCTGTGCCGGTTGCCGAGAAAGCTGGTACGGCATCAACACTCGCGGCCGCCTCATCAACGTCGCAGCGCTTTCTTGTCCCTTCTGTCGCCGCATACCTGCGCCCAAGGCAGTGCCTTCGCAAGTGCGATTCCTAGGGAACTTGGCAGATGCTGTCAAGGAAGCAGGCTCATGGATCTACGCCTGGTGCAATGACTGCGGGCTCGCCAAGCGGCATATGGAGCGTGTGTGCGCCAATGGCACCCCTGCGGAAGTCGAACGGTGGACTTGCGACGAGTGTAAGGAGAAAGGGGGGAAGGAGGTTAGGATGACTATCAGAAACTGCCCAGGCTGTGGCACACCCACGGAAAAGATGAGCGGCTGCGACCACATTTCTTGCACTCAAGCTGGCTGCGGAACTCACTGGTGTTTCTCCTGTGGTGAGAAGCAAGATGAGAGAGGCATTTATACTCACATGACGACTGAACATGGTGGCTTCTACGGAGATGCCGAAGATTTGGGCGATTATGGAGCGGACTATTCGGACGATGAAGGAGAGTGGTGATATTGGGGGGAGGGACTACTTGCATGGGTTAGGTAATTCAGGGGCGAGTGTGGTCTTGCAAATCTGTGTTTATTGTCATCCAGACTCCCGGGACGTGGAATACGTAAGGCAACTCGGTGTTCATAGCAGTATCACTTCGAAATCGGTTCAGTTATCTTCAGATTTGGAGCTATCCTGTTAGTAGTGGTGCATCGCGTCGGATGGCCCAGCCGACTCGCAGATCGAGCGATAAATCAAATCGTACCTGGCGCTATCATTCAACGGCTTACGTGGATATTTTTGTGTTTGCCGCCGGGTAGCCTTCGATGATCGGTATGTGTTACAATTAGTTGTGGTGAGATGACGAAACGGGTGGTCCCGCAGTAATCGTCCCAAGATTTTGCCAATCATGGAGACTAATGAAGAAAATCGTATCAACAGCCAACTTGTTTATGGTAGCACAGGATAGTATAGATTGACCCCCGCTTTGCGGGCGCTTTTCGGACAGAGCTGTGGAAGGACTTTGCGCGTGGGCAAGAGTTTGCGAGCACCTGTCAGATCTGTGCCGCAGAGTCGCACAAGCTTCGCCCGACTGGCTGGGTGTATATGCAGGGGTCTATATTGTGAGTCAGCCTGACCTTACGGGGACCCATCGACCAACATCACTTTTGTCACCGAAATCTAGAATCTCACGTGAGGCGGATCAGGTACCCAACATGTTCGGAAGTCATGGAACGATGGCGGTAGAATTTGATAAAGAGCCATGGGAGAACAGAATCTAATGGCGTGAGTCTCCATATCTTGCTCGAGGAGTGTTCAGCGTTTTCGACTCCTTCCTATTACCTCATTCCATAATCTCGCTATCGTGCTAAGTCTACGGCATACTGAAACCGGCGGGACCTATAGAAACGCCGCGCCGTGTCATCACCAACGCTACTACTCAGTATCTCAAGATGGCGACAATACGATTGGACACCACTCTCGCAGATCTGTACCGTGCCAATGGCATTGAGGGTCCCTTCATTGTCACTATGTACTGTGTCTTCGGTCATATGGACCTCCATCCTGAGTTTCCCCGCGAGCTAGTCTACCCAGAAGACGAGGAGCCAGTGCCGTATGCCAATGACGAGAAAGAGATAGCCCACCTCAGGAGAGTCATCCTTGGTCTGAAGCCCTTGAGACGGGCGTTCGGGTTGGGCGACATGGAAGTTATATTCTTCGAGCCCAACATCACGGCAAAGGGCATGGAGCGGGCATTGGCTCAGATGGTTCCAGAGCAACGGCATCGGCCGACGATTGTGAACTTGGACCAGGGAGATGTGCTTGAGCAGTTGCGCCAGGTGACTATGGGTCGTAAATTACTGTTTTGGAGGCCTCAGGGGTGGATGAACGAGCACGACTGCTTGATCGATCCCGGAGAGGCATACGACATCAACTCCAAGAAGTTCCTCCTCACGTCCGGAATGCACACTCCGCCCTCTGAGATCGTCGATCTGCAAGAGACAGACATGGTGGGCCGGGAGTCTATTTTCAGAACTAGACCACTTCCTTTCGTGATCAAGCTTTATCGAGCTGGATGCAGCTTCGGCACATACCTAGTCACCAATGAGGAACGAAGAAAACAGGCATTGGAGGCCATGAGCAAGTATAAGTCCCGAGGGGTGTCCGAGGTTCTGTTGTCGAAATACATCGACCTCGTACAAGACTTAAGCGTGCATTTCCTCGTGGGAGCGCCAGATAGCGACCACGATCGCCACAATCCACTGATACTGGGCGTTACGGTGCAGACTCTCACGAAAGAGGGGAAGTGGGTTGGGGGCCATATCGACTACAGCGCGCAAGAGGCACTGCAGTCGCTCGTCTGGGATACGGTCCGAGACACGACGGCAAAGATGCCAGCGACGTTCATGGGGTGGGCAGGCGTCGATATTGTCGTAGACAAAGCAGGGGAGCAATTCGTGGTAGACCTCAACGCCCGGTTCACCGGGTCGATGCCTATCTGCTTCATGTCTGGGCACTTTTGGAAGGACAGGGGGCTGCCGTTGGCGCAGTTTGCGGCGTTTGAGTACAAGGGGGGGGTGGACGATATATATGAGCGTCTGCAGCCGCTGATCGAGCGGGGGCAGGTGGTGGTCACGGCGACTGCAACGGTGGGGGAGGATTTGAACATGGCGGATGTGGTTTGGGGTGGAAAGGACCAGGGGGACTTGGCGCAGGTTGAGGGGTGGGTTAGGAAGAGGATGGCGAGATCTTGGATCGAGGTCATGGCTACCGGTGAGTGATAGATGCCGGGATAGATGCCGGGATAGATGCCGGGATAGATTAGACTGGAGAGAAAAAAGCGAATTGCATTTATTTTCTTTGCTTTGGTTTGTCCAATAGCCATAGGTTTCTATCAAACTTGATACGAGACCAATCGTCCAACCGCCCGTGCCGCACAAGAGCACCATGTGTTGGTTCTGTGACCACATGCTTGCATTCTTTGTATTTCAACTAAAGTCGCGGCCCCCAATTATCAATCACATGCAACGCACCTTAAGCGATTCTTCAGTACTACCCTGCCCTATCCTACCCTACTCGGCGTGTTCCAACCCTGCTGCAACCCTCATCCGGGTGCGCTTCGCTCGGGATCGGGCCACAATGACCTCCTCGTCGAATACCGCAGTGATGCTGGGGTGGCTACATACAGCAGTCGCCCATTTATAGAAATTGGGCGTCTGGGCCTCGATCTGCGCATTCAGACTAGTTGGGTAAACCCCATGCTTGGACAGCGTTACAGCGCGGATCACGAAGGGGCCCATGATGACCTTTGTAGGGAGTATCAGTTAATATCTCCGTCATAATCAGAAGTAACAAAACCAAAAGAAAGACAGGAATACTACCCACCTCAGCTAAAGTCAGTTTGTCACTGCCCCCAAAAAAGGGCTTCGCGTCCGCCAACAGCGGCTCAACTTCGTTGACTATACCGGCAACGGCATCCCGGATAACTGCCTCCTCGTCATCGGCCATTGGGGCCTCGAACAGGCGAAATAGGTGGGTGTGAAACTTGGTCCAATAAGCGTCGGTGAAGAAACTGATCTTCGCGCGGCGCAATGCCCCTTCGGTCGTGGTGGGTGGAGGGCATAGGTGCGACGAGGGGTGGAGGTCTGCGAGGAACTGGCATACGATGGCTGACTCAATGATGACTTCGTCGTTGAAAATGAGCACTGGTACCAGACCGCGAGGATTTAGTTTTAGGAAGGACGGGGGGCGAGGGCCGTCGACGTTGATGATGCGTTCTTCGAAGGGGATGCCTAGTTCTGAGAGGGCGACATTGGCGCGGTTGGCCCCTGGGAGTGAGTATTAGGATGGGGCCAATGACATGTAGAAAGGAGGAAATGATTCGTGGGTGCAACGATGATTAGGTGACATCTTACAGGTGCACGTGTGATTGGTGTAGAGTATGAGCTTGTCATTGCTGCCGAGAGAACCCATGTTTGCTGGTAAAGGTCTGGATTGTGCTGTTGGAACAACTGAGTGGCTTTATTTGACTCGTAAAAGAACTACGGAAACCTGACCTTGGACTGCCTTTTATGTGAGATTTGTTTTGTAAGACTCATGTGCCTATTACGTAGTTCATCAGACTTATCCGGGATGCGTATTATTGTGCTGACTCAGCTCAGCCCCAAGGCACCCATGAGCATGACTACTTGAGTAGAGGCCTGCTTCTGCTGTCTCCACAATCAGGGCGTGATGAGCCATGGTATGTGGATTTTCGGATGTAAGTTTCCGGTACGTCGTAATTTCCTGCCGTTGCATCGGGCGTAATGGCGGCAATATTGGGGAACGGAGTAGCTGCTTGCAGTATATATGACCGTTTTCTGTTTCGTATCGCCTAGCCGATTCGGGACTGCTCCTCATTGGTCGATGGCACTGAAAGAGACTATCCTGCATGTTCGAGAAACCAACAACAGTGACGATCCCCACTTGGTATCTACAATCGAATTAGCGGTAGGCAATTCTGGGACTCGACATTATAGAGGCAGGTGATTGCGGTACAGAACACTTAGCGTGCTCCGCCGCTGGGGACTTGTAACTAGCTCAAGAGGACTGAAAATAATGAAAAATGGAAAACAAAAATGTATAAATGGGAAGGGTTATTCCCCTTGACATCTGGCGATTGTGTCGAGTATTTAGGTGACACTTCACATCTAAATCCGAGCAATGGAGAAATTTGAAGTCGGCATCGCCGTGTCAGAGCCTCCGTACCCAGGAGAAGAGCCCACACCAACTACCAGCCATGGCAGCACACCTTCCTCAGATGTGGAATCCCAGTCGACTTGCACAGTCTCTTCCCCTGCCCCAGTCTCCATGCAAGTTTCCAAAGCCCGAGGTACAGTCGTCATCGCCACCCTAGCCGGCATCAACTTTCTCAACACCATGGGCAGCGGCATCCTGATCGCGGCCCTCCCCCGCATCGCCAGTGACGTCGGCTTAGACGCAAGCTTGATCCTATGGCCCGCCGCCGTCTACGCCCTAGCCGCCGGGTGTCTCCTCCACGTGTTCGGCAGCGTCGCCGACATCATCGGCGCCAAGAAGGTCTGGGTTGTGGGAAGTTTCTTCTTCGTCATCTTCACCATTGCTCTCGGCTTTGCGGCCACGGGACTGCAGGTCATCATGTGTCGTACCTGTCTCGGGGTTGCCATGTCCATGTGCTTGCCTACGACTGTTAGTCTGATCTCGAATACGTTTCCTCGGGGCCACTGGAGGAACACGGCGTTCGCTATGAATGGCATGGCCCAGCCGCTGGGTTATGCATTGGGTTTGGTGTTAGGTGGCATTTTCACCGATACGATTGGGTGGAGGTGGTCGTACTGGATCATGGCTATGATCAACTTTTGCGTATCCGTTGCGTCGATTTGGTCGCTTCCGCATGTGCAACACCACTCAAAGAAGAAGTGGACAAGGCAACTGATCGAAGACGTTGACTGGGTGGGTGTTGTTATACTCAGTGTTGCGCTCGGTCTGCTCTTATACGTCCTCGCCTTGGTGACATCCAGCTACCGGAATATCGGCAAACCCGTCAGCATCGTTCTGCTCACGGTATCGACAATCATGCTCGTGGCGTTTCCCTGCTGGATGCGTTATCAAGTCAAAAGAAGTCGACCGGCACTTATTCCCAATAGGTTGTGGCGCAAAGCTTCTTTTACTGCGGCCTGCTTGAGTGTGTTCTTCTGCTGGGCTTCATTGAATGGGATTGAGTACTTTACTACGCTATAGTAAGTCTGATTTGAGTGCTTACCCCTGACGCACGTCTATTTGCTGATGTTGCCTTCCCACCCCCCTTTAGCTTTCAACAAGTCCAGGGCCTTTCCGCCTTGCAGTCTTCCATCCGGTACTTTTCGCAGATAATCATGGGGACAGCCGTCAATGTTGCTCTTGTCTATTTGATTTCGCGGGTGCGAGTCTTTTATTTAACTGTCTTCTCGGCTTGCATTACCGTGGTTTCGCCGGCTATAATGGCCACGGTTCAAATCAATGCAAACTACTGGATGGGACCCTTCTGGGCACTCTTCTTCTGTCCTGTTAATCCATGGGGTAGGTTAAATCTCCCGCTACACCATGTTTGCCACCTAGAAGTGCACAGCATTTCAGTGGCGGAATCTCCGCGGGTGTTGCTGACATGCATCACAGTCCTCTTCAGCATCTCTAATCTCATCATATCCGACGCTTTCCCAGCAGAGATCCAGTCTCTTGCTGGGGGTGTCTTCAACGAAGTCGCCCAATTTGGAAACTCTGTTGGATTGGCTGTGACAGCGGCAATAGCCGCGTCCGTCACTGAGCACTCGAAGAGTCAGGATAAAACAGTAGCCTTGATGGATGGCTTCCGCGCAGCCTTCTGGACCATTTTCGCAAGTACCGCTGCGGTACTGGTGATCAGCGCTATTGGGTTGAGAAATTCTGGCACGATAGGGAAGCACGATGAGGTGGATGAGACAAAGTAATAATCTCGTGTGTTTCTTATTGTGTACCAATGGCAATCACGTTATTTTGCTCTTGCACAGGTTAGGGGGACGTGAAGCATGTCGACTTTTACACACTTTGCTATCTGGGAGATAGTAGATGCAACTCGGGGTGTAAACAAACTCGTAGACAGATGGGGTGGTAGATACACGTTGATGGAATGAATTTTCTACATATTGGTTCAGACTACACACAAGTAATCGCCAAATGTACGGGGCCTTCCAAGAATGACGACTTAAAAAAGGCTGTGGTGAATGGTATCCCCAGTAAGTATCTACACCTGAATACATAAGCCCTGTTGGGTCAATCTATGGTTATTCGGTGTGTCGGCTAGAATATGCTACCAATCCTTGGTCCAGTGACCAAACCCTTGCGTAGGTGCAAGCGCGCCTACATGAAAACCAGCAGCTTGCGTGAATTGGAGCTATGTGCTGTACAATAACTCCTAGGCTTAAAAACTTGTTTCGGCCTCCAGTGATGCCCTCGTATTATAATACTCGTAGGGTTGATACGAGGCGTCTATTGTAGATTGGTAGATATTTGATTTATAAGTAACGTGAATGTACACCGAGCTGGCCATGACACCGAGCTGGCCACTTTGATGCGCCAACGCGACCGGCCAACTTAATGTTTGATTTTCTCAACAACCAATTATGGCAAAGTCATACAACGAAGCAGACTTAATGCTAGCCCTTCAAGCTCTCAAAAATGACCAAAAACTTAGTCTCCGACAAGCGGCAACAACGTACCAAGTCCCCCGAAGCACCCTCCAAACGCGTAAAAACGCGCCCGAGGCGCTGTGGTATTTGCAACGGGACTGGGCATAATGCGCGAACTTGTAACATCGCATTGCCATCTTCTGGAGAGGAAGATTCAGAGTAGTTTCAATTGATTTACGGCGTTGTGGTTTTACTATCGTAAAATTTCTATAGAATGCGACAACAATAGAAGCTGCAGTGTCCTGCCTAAATATAAACAAAGCGGGTATAATGAATCGATGAGAACCCAAGCCCTAACTTACAGGTCGGTACGGTAACATCAACTGTGCGAAACGCCGCGAGGAATTCATCGAAGGGGCTCTATCCACTTGACAGCCTGTACGTTCAATGGAAATTCTGCATATAGAAAACGTGCCTTCGCCGACTTATTTCACATGGATCTCATCCTCAAAGCAGCCAACAGCCGTGAGCAGAGTGATATTCGATGGGGCAATATCAGACTTACTGCGTGCAAATAGCATTGCATTGACTTGAGATGGACTCTGCGGCACTCCAAAGTAGCCAAGAGAGCGGGTTTGGCCACAAGGGCTGTGACGGGCTCACTGCGAAACTATACAGCTCAACATGGCCAAATACTGTTAATTATCTAACTGAGGAGGAAAGTAAAATATGCGAGTTGTCCCGGGAACACGGACTATGTTTTGTGTGCCCTCGATGGTTCCTTTGGTGGATCCGGACGCACGGTCCTTGCAGCTCCGGATCCCATATCAGGCACAGCCTGTCACAAGGGCCTTATATATATAAAGTCATGAAGTCAACCTATCAGGATGAGGTATTCGGATCTATCGGCGCTGCGATTGGTCTGGCCATTGTTGGTGCGGTGTGGACCAAACATGTTCCCCGGGTCATTGCACTCCTATCTGTCGGAGGAGAGCAAGAATATGACTTCGAAAATTCATCGTTCGATTGTTGTGTAGAGGTCGTACCCGATGGAAGCTCTTTCGAGACGCTATTACCGTTGCATACGTATGATGATATGTAGAGGAAGGTGGTTGTTGGTGGGGCTTGTTTCATCCCTTTATGTTTATCTGCTTGGGAGTCTGGAGGAATATCAATGTCAGATATCTGGAAGACGCAAGGGGAAACAGACCAAGGGCACCGCATGGTAAATACCTAGAGCTGTTCTATCGTTGATACCGAGGGTATGATCAAGATGAAAGGATGCTTGGCTGAGTTAAATTGGAGAATCAGACTCATTGCAAAGGAGTGCCTTCAACGCCTGATACTTCCTGAATGTAAACCTGATAGGGTGATGACTTGTAGATCCAGTCAACAATGGCTTTTTTCTGTTATGTTTGCATTCGTTTCACACCATTGACTGGTATAGAAAACCGTGACTTCAGAAAAGTAGTAATGCTATCGCGGAACTCCACAATGGCTTCACATGGTAGTCATGACTGAACTGCCATAGATATGACCCCAAACTGGATTTTCTTCTTCACATCCTTAGCAAGCTGAAGAACGCAATGAAAAAATGATTGGCACGTTAACAACCCTGGAGGTAGTGTAATACCAGGGTCATTAGGCAACGTGCAAGCCTGAAGAACAAAAAATTGAGTAATCAACTCACTTTCTCAAACCGCCGACCTAGAAGTCAGTAGATCCAACCACCGAGGAAGTAGAGCTCTGAACCCCGAAGGGAACGGTGATACCCGCACCGACACTACTCCGCACCCTATTGTAAAGTTTGGCACGGGGCGTATCCAAGTTGCACAGGAATTCTCTCGTTAAAGACGGCCAATGCCAAAAGACATTTGCAGGACAAGTGAGATGAAGACAGGTCACCCCCAGACCAAGTCCCACCATGATTCACTGGACCGTCAAGTATGCAACACGAGATGGCGTCCTCAACCGAAACCTTTCCGTGTGACATCCAATGTGTGGTTCGAGCCCTTGAGGGTAAAGGGACATCTCTGGTCACTCCAAGGCGTCATACACCGAAGACCAAACAAAAGTCAAGGAACATTTGACGATGCCCAAGACGATTGAATGGCCCCCAAACCACGCTTCAAGATACTTGACGATGTCGAGAAGGAGGTCCCTGGGTTGGGTCCCACGTGAGTGTATGAAATGCAACGAAGGCCGGGAGGAGAAAGCTCCTAGGCCAGCCACTCCCCTCCTCCCGCCAAACCGGACGTGCGCATAGGTAAGAGGGCCTTACGGAGCTGGCTAGGCCCCTGCCCCATACATTTTTTGTAGCGCTAGGGATCTCAATGAACTTACCTCTCACAGGTGTGAGGTCCAGGGACAGTGAACTGAATCTGTTACAGCTTGAGCTGTGCGTGAGGGAAGGGTAAGGGATGGATCGATAGAAGGTGTGTGATAAAGGTTCAAGGTTTGAGTAGGTTCTCGCGGTGTTCGAGCTGGATGCCGACGAACTAGGCGTGGTTTGAGAAGTGGGATGTATGAGGGAAAGACGAAAGGTAGAGGTGGAATGGAGGAGATGGAGGTGCTTAAATAGTTTCCAACCACGGTGGCTGATTACAATTGAGCAGCACTATTCACTATTCCCGAATTGGTTTTAAAACAATTCTTTCTGGTGAATCTTTGAAATTCGTGATTGCCCTCTTTGATCTTCCAAGTTGGCTGAATTATGCCTCGTGATTCTGGGTGTGTCTGCGCTGCATCACACAAAGGAGGACTGCACTATTCCCGTTTTGGAACATTCAAGGCAGCTGTGATCTCGAAATTCTGCTTTTGATTTCATCTTGCCGTCTGATTTCCTACTGATCCTGCGTTCTGACTGGCGGATTGCAGTTTTGATTCCGAATCACGGCCCAAGCCAGCCAGCCCAGATATTCACCACGCACTCAGGGTTGCATTGTACTTCAATTCCAGATTATTCGAAATACAACGGTTGATTTCTCACTTGATTCATGATGATCTGATTGAACGGGTGAAGATCTGGTGATGATTGCGCAAAATACGCGAGTTTCCTGCTCCAAGGTCAACCTCCAGCCAGCTGCCAGCCTATTCCAAGACGCAAGACGAGAGGCCCAACATGATGCTCAAATGATAATTAGTAGAGTATAACTGGATTTCATAGATTTCATTTGATCCAACTATTATGTGCTGTTCGTTACCGATGGCTGGGGTCAGGTGCCGTTCCCTGATCTTACATAATCAAGGGGCAATGATACAACACCCTGACTGCTGCGAGTGACAGCTTGCTACGCATCCTGATCGTGGACTTTTGGGTTTCTGGTCATAATCTGCCCATGGCTCCTTTGATTGGTAACGTATTACGAATATACAATTCAAATTGAGCTAGGAAAGATGAAGGAATTAATTGAGCGGTGCTACTTGAAGAAATCAACAGAGCGGATGCAGCATCAAATCATGCAACATATATATTGGAACCGTATTATTTGCATCTCAGTCTTCTCTGTTTGAGATGGAGCAACTACTGGAGAACAACAACTACATGGCATAGTCACCACTACCGGATGTGAACTATTCAATGTACTCGATATTTAACATTGCTAATACGTTGCACCCAAAGCTCTCTGGGATCCTAATCACATGTCTTCATTCAAAGAGCTAGCTATGCAGAGTCACTTAAAACTGGAAGTCAAGGTACGAGTGTGACTAAGATTTGTTACCAACGGCTTGACTGGGGCCTGATAACTCAAGATATACAGTCGAGTTTTTGAGCCATCATGTTGGGAGCAGTACCACCAACCATTTGAAGCATGAAACATTGACAGAGTTTGTGACAAGCGACGTTGAGCACAACTATTTTCCGGGTGTAATTATTGGGGATGTTCACAACACAAACCTCTGCGTAGAGGCAACATAGATGTGAAGAGAGTCAGTTTCCAACCCGCGGAGAATCACAAGTAAAAAGAGTCCACATCGATATAAGATTCCTTAAATCCTAGCTATGGCATCAAAAGCCGCCCACATACCACAAGATCCTTTCCCAGCCCGTCACGGCTTTTCCTCCAGGTATCCCGCCTCCTCGCTCCACTCCTCCAACCTCACCGGCTGACAAACAATCCCCAAATAACACCCATGCAGCCGCCTCGGCACCGCAAACACCCAACTCCCCTTCTCCCTCCTCTCCAGCCCGTCCCGACCAACGAAAAACGCCATCTCACCCACATCCGCAATGCCAACCCACTCCTCTGCCCTCCACACCCACTCCACCAGTCGGCCCGCGAACCCCTCGTGCACATGCGGATCCATCATATCGCACCCTTCGCGCTGCCACATAGTCAGGGCGTTCGAGAGCGACATGGAGCCGACGAACCAGCCTGCTAGCATGAGACCGAGGTACCAGGCCGCGTCGCTGGTTATCACTTCTATAGCTATGGACAGGGCATCGACGATGGGGTTGCCGGTTTGGGTGAGTTTGAGGTGCATCCCGCCAGCAGCCTGGATGACGGTCGGCAGGAAGAACCACAAATTCAGCACAGTGAGGACGAGCCACATGGCGCAGGCAATGACGAAGCTCGCCGCATAGACGGTGCAATGGCCATGGGTGACGATCAGGATTGCGGTGACGGAGTGGAGGAAGAAGACCAGGCCGCAGCTGTAGTAAATTATGTCGTCAAGAAGCTCCATCATGACGATTACATTCAACATATACAGTAGACAGAAGACTTTGACTACTTTTCAAGCAAAGGATCGGTTGCCTGGTCAATACGGTCGAGTTTTGCTCTTCGCTCTGATATGATAGCCGCTGCTGACTGAGAAGTAATCGCTTGATTGGGTCAAGTGTGTCTCCGAAAAGCGAGCGAGCGAGCAGTTGGGGCTGAGTTATGATACTAGATGCCGGGTCACAACATGATCCATCGCAATGATATATATTTTCTGGTTTGGGGCTTCAAGACCAATGTGTAGGTTTAGAACGTTCCGCTAAGTATGGCCTGAAACAGTGCTAAAAGGTTGTCACAAGGCCCAAGCGTTATTTGTAAGCGCACAGTTCGTGGCTCGGAGCGAGTAGGGAACGCTTTATTCGGACCTTCCGGAGCATCGCAGGTCTATAAAACATTTCCGTTCAATCTATGGAGAGGCCCGGTTTCTTGTGAGGCACGTAGACGGACGCACTGACTTAGATGGCAAGGCGGCCCGCGAGGCCGACTGGAGCGATGCCGAGGTATTGTGGCCCAAGCCAGTATCATGGTGAATTTTCTATGTTTTATGGAGCATTCAGCCCATTCGAAAGATTATCATTACAGGTCATAACGACGGATGGGAATCGTCGCCTTTCATTAACCCTCATCGTCATCACTGCACCCCATCCGCGGACTCTGCCTGATCGGAGAAAGCCCTCGTACCGCGCAATTCGTTGCGAGAAAGTCGATGCTCTCCCCGTACATAGCTGGCAAGCGCGTTATTCTCATAGGCGATCATGCCTTCACAAGCTTTGCCGATTCTCCGAGCTTCCTCCAGTGAAACAACTCCGGCCATCTCGTTTCTGCTATTCCGGAAGTTTGATGAATTGTCCGCAAGTGCCCCCAAAGCTGTCCAGCTTAGCCTCTTTCCCTTCTTCGTCTGATCGTGGGTGGCCTGTGCCAGCGCGGCAAGCTCCCGCATCTCACTGACGTCGCGCTCAATCCGGCAGACCGAGCCGAGGGCGCCCGCTCTGGGGTTGCCGTCGGGGAAAAGAGCGTCCAGGTAGTCATCCATCGTAAACCTGCCGCCTCCTGCAAGCCACTTTTTGGCAAGGCTGGAGCTGTACGCCTGAAGCGCATACACACATCCGACTAGACGGCCCTCCATCCTATGGCGAGCACCTAGAAGTACACCAATGCGTGCAAACGGATCATCCTCAAACGCGTAGTGGCTGACAATGGGATACTCCGGGAAGTCTTCGCAGTCGCAATTGTGTCCTTCATGCCCGTTATGGCTGCCGAGTGGCATTGTCATCTCCGGCATCGCAGCGCCGAAGGTGTAGACATTGAACCGGCCCAATTGCTGGCCTGGAGGCAGATCGGCACAGAGGCGTGACATCACCCATGCCATATCCAATGCGCCCGTGTTATGCACCAAGATATTCATTTGCTTCGATCGCGTCTTGACACAGTTCGCTCGAATATGATTATACAATGCTGTGGATGTCGCCGTTGGGAGTTGAAGGTTCCTTTGGAGGAAGGCGATCAAGAGATCGAGTGGAAGGCCAAGTCTGTAGGGGAGGAAGGCTTGAATGTCGTGATCAAAAAGTTGTGCCAGCCTAGGAATCGTTTTTCTGCGTAGATGATCCTCGCTGTACGCCATGCCCCCAACAAAAGTCCAACTATAATATCCCCATCCCTCCTCTTTCTCACATTCTGTGCCGCCACAAGCGTGTGTAAATATCCGTTCTTCTCTGTTGACCCGCGGGATCAGGAACCAAATGAGAGCACATTGTACAAATAAAAAAGGGAGGGCTATCAAGCCCGGTACCAGAAGCAAAAGGGGAATAATGGAAGCAAGGAGCTGAAGTTCGAGTAATGATAGGACGGCATAGAGCGAAACCTCGCCAATTTCTTTCCAACTCATCGATCGTAGCCTCTGACGTATCGAGGTCGTAAATGAAAGAAGAATTAAAGGTATTGCCCGTGCGAAATGAGGCGCATCCGCTTTAAGCAATGATATTACTGGATGTAGATGTGTGAGAGGTATCGTGCCCGATGCACCGTCCATGAGTGGTAAAATGTAGCTCATCGACATCGTTGGTTGTTCTCTACTCGGAGACAGACCTCCAGTCATAGGGAGAGGCGACATCGCCAACGGCGGCGAAAGCCAGGGCATTGTTGTCGATCCGCGATAGACTGGCCGAGCCGGAGGGGTTGTATGTGGTGAGAGAAGCGGTAGGTGAGGTGGGTGGATGACGTTCCCCAAATGCCTGATCTGAGAAGAGACACTCAGCTGTTGTAAGCTCGTGAGCGACATACCAGAGATTCGATGCTTGAAACCAACACCCACACCCCGAGAAGCTGGCATTCCTCGTTCAAATAGGCACAAATGGGAAATCCACAAATGTAAACAAATCTATCTGATAAATTACGGGGCGTGTACAAGACTGTTCAACTGCTTGACGGGGCAAACTTTGTCACGCCATGCGAGGTAACGTGCACCGGTATCTTGGGAGCCGTTGCACGCTGGCGCCGCGCGCCCACACTTAGTGGCTCACCAGCTCGATGACTAGCATGTGCCTAGTTCGGTCCGAAGACCAACGAAGAAGACAGCATGTGGTATCCAGAACTACTTCCTGGCACGTTTTCGCAAAGATCCTGCGCCACACTCGTTAGCAGAAGTTTGATAAGTGATGGAAGCGCACGCTTTTTACCCCCAGAGGCTGCTTCAAGTAGGCTCCTCGCTGGCTAGCACGAGCTATGGCAGAGGAGTTGATCCTTGCGATGATGGTGGTGTGTGCTGCTCTTAGAAGAGTATCGCCAGTTTCGTGAGTCATATGCAGGCACCATGGAGAATGATTCCCTCAATAAATTGTACTTGCAAATGTTTACCGCAGGAACAATGGGGTTGTCGGCCGGTAGTGGTGAAGCCTGAGTAGATGTTACTGCGATGAGTTCGCCCGTCAAGCGTGCGTGCTCCCGGTAGTGAAGGAGAAACGTCTCGAGGTACTAAGTGGTGTCCGAGTAGTTATTCAAGCCTATCTCTTGTTTTGTTTTGATGCAGTTGCAACAGCAACAATCGGCCAGAAATAGCCAGCTCGACCGGAAAGGATGTGGCTGCAACTAGAGCCTGGGGCGAAGAGTTTCATGAAGCCGTCTGGCTTTAGAATCTTCCTTCCGGAGGCCCAAACCTCCCTGTGGAGTTGTAGTGTCTTCGAGAGTACCGGCAATGTCGTCTTGGTCCCGTGATAGAACCTATGGTCGAACAGCACTTCACCCCACTAGCGATGTATGAAGTAGTCTCTATACCATTCAGACGACGCTGCTGAGATGTACCGTTTCCAGAAATTAAGCTCTGCGACAATGCCAAGTTGCAGTTACGCCCTAGAGAAACAAGCCATGGCTCTGCTCGCACTGTCAGACGTTGGTGCTACCCACGGCTCCAACAACTATTCGCCCCCAACGCCCATACTCCGATATCCCAATGGGATAAAAGGCGAAGGTCTTGTGTTTCTGCATACCCTCTCTTCATATGTGGTACCTTTATTCAAGTCCGCTCACATGTTGCCAAAGTTCCTCGTCAGTTACCCACCTACCTCAATTGTAGGCTAAGGGCAGTTGTAACGGCCATTTCGGCACAGAAGCAGGCCAACCTCACATCACTCGTCCTACAGGGTCTCGCGCCGTATCCTTCGATCGTGGTGGGGGGACATTGAGGTCGACGGGTGACGATTAATCAGGATTCCACCCAGGTGGCTCTTCAACTTGGATTCTGCGGTGCGCCATGTCGCCATGCGAATCATCTTGTCACTCGTGCTTCGGTTACCAGCATTGTGGATCCACACATCTACAATGTCGACCAGTCAATCGTTCGTAACTCCGTTAAGGCTGAAAGGCTGAAATCTGGACAACGGCTATCATCATTTCGACGTCATTGGACACATCACATTGGGTTTCCGCCGCTGGGCTCGATTTGACGACACACGACCCAGTCGCAATTGGAATGGTGTACGGGAACAGTAGCCGGAAGGGCAACGATCGGGTAAATTGGAAAGTGCTGTGAAGGAGTCCTAAGGAACCACAATCAATCGTACTTCTGGAACGTTGGGGAGACTGGGCGAGTGAACCCAATGCAAATTAAGTTCTCCCGCGCTGGCGGTTCTTGGCCATGTCGTTGGTTTTAGCCTTCGGGCGACGAGCTTCCAGGGCTGTTTTCTGGGGAATGCAGGGATGTTTAAGGGGGCATTGCAGCTCAAAGTGGCCCTAGAATTAAACGCTGATTGATTGCCCCCACCGCATTGCATCACCAGCCCGACTGTCGAAATTGCTCCAGGGTGAGCAATCACGACCGCCAAGAATGGTGGATCTGTGCAAGGAAGGGAAGTCACGATTCAAATCTTCTTGCTTGCTTGCAAATACGGCGGATTGGATATTTGTGTCTTTAAATAAGCCGCATGTTCCCTTGATGGCTGATAGGGCCCTCCACTGACATGTGTCAACATTCCTAGATCCTACTTTACAAAAACAACTGTGATCTGTCTCCTAGTGTACATTCCATCACACCCCAGGAAATCAGCAGCTGCCAACATGAAGTTCAATCTCGGTTCTCTCAGTCTGCTCGCCGCTGCGGTGTTGGCTTCCCCCATCATCCAGCAGCGCGCTGACATGCAAGTCTACAAGCTGTCGGTTTCATGGTCAGTAGCGATTTCTTCCCTGATTCAACTACCTCGCTGATTGTCTCGACAGCAAGTTGAATGCCGCCCTCGATGGTCAAGAGATCAAGCTGAGCGGTTCAACGTTGGGTGTCTACCAAGATGCAAACGCCACCCCCGTCCAGGTCTACCCGACCAACACTACCACTCAAGATGTCTTGTCACTCCACATGTACCCAATCGGCATCGTTGACCATGCCCTGGGTCTCACCAACGGACCTGGCTTATTTGATTTCGTCGACATTGTCAATCCTGCCGCATCCAGCAGCAGCGGCGACTGGCAAACGTTCCAGATGAGCGAGGGCAAGATCACGAACGATAATGTCGGTCAGTGGCTTGCATTCCCAGACACAAGCTCGAGCTGGGTCATCAGATGGTCAGATAGTAAGTCGAATTTATCCTACACACTCGTTCCCCTCCAGACGAATCCACGATGCTGCACAACGAAAGAAACAGACCTCGGTTCATCTTGCTATATCATCCGGTGTAATAGCCAGTTGGTGCAATGTGTGATCTTGACATAGCATTTTTCAACCGTGGCGATTTATTTTATTTGGAGCTAACGAAAAACCTGAGTAGACACCGGTGTGACTACGGCAGACTACATGCCTGTGGACGTCTTATACCAGAGCATCAATTGAATGAGCATTTATGGGCTACTGCAAGGACACTCCTCACATAGGCGATTGGCGTTAAGTGTAAACATCACCGAGTACTGGGATATTCGCTTCGGATATAAAATTGGCTTGTGTGTACGATGAAGTAGTGATGTAATGACAAAAATCACTCGGGGTCACCATGCCGGCAACGGAGGATCCATAATCACAGCCTGCCAAGGTGTTTCTCTACTAATACCTAGGCAGACAGAAATGAGACATAATTACCATTATTGGTCCTTGGCCTTGGAAAAAGGCATACAATGCAGATCACAACGGCTAGCAATGCCCTAACAACTCAAATTTTCATTCATGAACTTTTGGCACTTTTTGTTCTGCCTTGAATCCCAGTGCCAAATTCTCAACTGAGAATTGATAAATTTGACTTTTCTACAGTTTCAAAATAGAACTGCGTAACACTACCCTCATGTACGTCGAGTTTCTAGACCTTTAACCCCTAATTATCTTACTTGGCGTTGGCAGTGATCGACCCTCAGCTGAAACCCAACCGCCGTGACAGTTCCCCAGTTTCCCCAGTTAGGTACAGAAGTTTCTCCGTTGCGAGTCAGCATCACCTCAACCGGGGTATGTCCCTGCTGTAGACCATTCTCATTCAACGACAGAGAAGATGCCAAGATCTGCTCCACTCACTTTAAAGTTCCAATGTAACTTGCGACACCCGGAGCCACGGGCCCTAGCTTATCTTTAGGATATTTATGGCTTGGGACAACCGAACAGGACATTCGACGCCTATCATCTGTACAACCTGTCTGACCGTCCGCCATTCGTACTTCGATTGACTTAGTTACTCAGTAATCATCACCTGAGCAACCCCACATATTGTCAAGTCATCAAGTCAGTAATTGGGAACAAAAGGAGGAAATGGATAGGCTCTAAAAATGCTCTATGATTCATAGTCTAATGCTTTCTCTTCGCCGGCCTGGATACGCCATGGCTTCTTCGAATATGTTTGTGCTCACCGCCATCTGCAATTTCTACCGGCTTCTCTGTATTAGCCTTTTCCGCCTTTCCCGCCTTTCCCGCCTGTCCCGCCTGTCCCGCCTTCTTCGGTGCTTCCTGGGCGTCCCTCTCCGCATCACCATCCTCGCCAATCCCATTCTCGACCGGAGGGTGCAGCCAGCCGTTCTTCTCAACTTCCCGAATCTTCTCCATGAATATCCGTCCCATCATAAAATAGCCTTCGTCCGTGGGATGCATGCCATCCGGACCGATGTGCGTGCGGTTCGGACGATCCGGAAGCCCCTGGTCGTAATGCATTTCAGCCAAGGTGACTGGCTTCTCTTCGCGAATGAGATCGGTGGCAACCTGCCGAATTTGTGCATTGGCGCCTTTAACGCATTGCTCTGTGCCTTCCCAAGGGCATGTGACGATGGTCGACATGATGATCGCAGCACGTGGCGACTCCTTCAGCAGAAAGTCAACGAGGTTGCGCATGTACTCCAACGTGTGCCCCGCTCCCCAGTGGTCCTGCTGGAAGCAATCGCTGGATCCGGCATTGATCAGGATTAGGTTAGGCTGCATCTGCGGCACGATCTCCCTGGCACGATCGAGCGTCGGCTTTATGGGCTGAGCGCCGAACGCCTGGACGTCGTTGTCCTTGAATTCACCGAAGCGATTCTGCGAGAGAGTCAGGAAAAGAGTCAAACCGGCAATGAGAGCCTTACATACCGCTCCAACGCAGTTGACCGGATTGCCCAGCGAGACCATCCAATCTCGGATTTGCTTCCGGTAACCTCTGTTTCCCGTGGAATGGTCGCCAAGAGTTACTGACGCGCCTATGAACATGACACGTAGAGGAATTCCTCCCGCTATGGGACCTGTTGGCTTCGACTCAGAATAACGCAGGCGATTCCATTGATCGTTGACATCAACTGTGCCAGACTGCAAAAACGCTGCTGTTGTGCCCCCTTCATGTTAGCAGGCTCACGCTTACGAGGACCCGTTGCGGTTGGGGCCCAACTTACCGATTAAGAATAGCAGAATCAGCGACATTGCCGTCAGCCTATGAGATCTAGAGAGTTGGCTCCATTTCTGCGTGATTGCACCCAGCCGCAACGGCAATCGCATATTGTTAAGCATCGTAGGTATGTGTGCGATGTGCGCCCCTTCCCTGCGAGTTATCATTACAAGCGCAGGTAAACGTGGAAAGATTCAATTTCAGGAATGATCGAGGGCATGATTGAGGGCAAATGCCCGTTTTATGAAGTTGGTTGAGATGCGAAGCCGCCATGACGCGATAAGTAAGGGATTAGCGGAAATAAGATGCTTTCATTGGATGCACGACAGGTACTGTAGCACATTTTGTCAAGGGTTGTTGCACTTGGCGTTGGTTTGAGAGGTGTCGGGCCGGCTGATCGGCAACGTCGACCGCGTTTGTTCGTGACTTCTTCTGCGTCGCAATCGGAGGCCTTACATAACGACAAACAAAGACTGAGAAGCTAGTGTTAACAACTAGCGCTTGTAGTTCTTGAGAGGGGATGCTCTCGGCAAATTTGACCACCTGGGACCGATTGCTAGTTGCTCTTTTTCCAAGGTTCCCCGTCATGACTCAAGAACTCAATTCTGGAACCAACAATTTCTCAACATTGCCCCATGTGGCTCGCGGCCAAAAGCTTTTCCTTCAATGCCTTGACCAGACGAATGACTCCTCGACAGTACTCTGTAACGACCCGAAAAGAATTAAGAGTTTTCTGCCCCTTTTCCACGACATGGCCTCCAAGCAAAATCCCCCAAGCCAGTGAAGTGACATTGATTCCAGCAGCTCGACTCAGAGACGGTGGCTTGTCCGACCAAGGCAACACCAAGTCCTCGCCCAGTCCCTCCCCTCGATAGACTCAGCTAAACGAGCTCATCGATTTTAGCCTGAGCCAGAGTGAGTTATATTAGAACCGCCAATACTCTGCCGGGCATTGAAAACGTCGATTTCCCGAAGGCCCTGGATACAATACTTCGCCTCTACGTGGTCCTGCGCTTTCAACCCGTACAATAGCATGAAATTGCACGTGGTATCGGAGCCGGAATCCTTGACGACAAGTTAGGTCCTCTTTCGGGGCTGAACGTGACCCGCCGAGCCACGATTGCTGTTGGTAGAGGAGTTTCGCAGGACATGCTGATTTCAAGTGATTGCTAGACGTGAAGCAGGTGCAATGATAATATTCTGAGTAAAAGCCGCTTGGTTTGATTTGGCGAGTGTAGACGATTGGAAATATGTCAAGAAAGGGAGAACTGAAAGTTAGGGAAATGGAGAAGATATACAGGAAGCTCGACCGGTCCGATATGAAAACCCCTGCACCGTTATGTCCTTCTCTCGAGTGCTCCGCTTGCAGAAGCGTTCTCTTTTTCTTCAGGGCATTGTTAATGACATATCCACGTCGTACTGAAGCCTTTACCGGCCGGTTTGCCACATTGTCGGTATCTCTTTCATAGAAGGCGTGTGGCCATTTGGGGACATTGGCAGCATACGCGCGGCCGAGTTGTTAGTACTCGGCGTAGACAACGCGAGTGGAAGGCTAAATATTGTGTAGGAGTAAACTGTATTAGATCACGGGTGCATGAATTCACGGGAATGAATATGTCACAGGGTTGGCTGAACACACTCCTCGCATGACTCAGCAGGACGCAGCGACGCGATCCTGCCAAGGTTTTGCTGATTTGGTAAATTTGAATCACGATCTTGGTGAGGAACATAATCAGTCGGCTTACTTGCGGCCATGATAAGATGAGGCTACTTTGAAAGATTTCCCACTTGCATGCTTATTTACCTATAACAAGTACGGGAAAGTTCGCCATGCCTGGGGTGCTAGCAGCCAAAATCTACCTGAGTGAGACTAGTTGTTACAGAAACCCGAGATCCCTTAGATAACACTGGTAAATCTTGTAGAATTTACCAACGGACCACTACTCCTGTAACTCCTTGTCTTTGAATGCAATACTACGCTCAAGAATACGCCTATCTACAATATTTTCCTACTTGCGCCTTGTTTTAGTCTGAATTTCTAGATCCCAGCCTATAAATCGGCCGAGCTAGGCCTTAATCAAGCCGTTAATACCTTCGTATTGAGCTAGAAGGTCTCATATAATGTAGAGCATTGTGGGGTTGAGCGTCACAGTTATGCTCTAGACCGAAAGCCATACAGTTGCTAGTATAGCTAGCGGGTCAGATCCTTCCTTCCTTCCTTTAGTAAGAACACCTTGTAGAGCCTCTCAACACCAACCTACGTAGCACAAGGCGTATAGCAGGTATAGCGATCAATACGGCATCTATCCAGGATTATTTACAGAGGCCTGATCTCCTCCTAGTAGCATCTTGTCGTTATCAAACGACTTATTAATTACATTCAAAGGGCCCCGTAGGAGTCCCCAGTGAGCTTGGAAGGCTAGGTTACCTTCTTATACCATATCTACTGCAAGGAACAGATAACATTAATTGAATACGTCTATAAATCGTATTATTTATGAATAGAAGGGCAGATGTGGAACTCCGGATATTATTATAGGTAGAGGCATAGCTAAGGGACTACTATCGGACTTATTGCAAGTTATACCAAAGCATAGATTAAACATGTCTCTGTCCAATTCTCGTAAAAGGAGTTATGAAGGTGGCCATAATGGCCTTAAGTAAAGAAATATGTGAAGCCAAGAAGCAGATTTTGCGAGTGATGATCACGTCTGAGCATAATTATGGCTGTCAGCATACATCGGAGGATTTGCTCCTGAAGATCCAACAGTGGCTGATACGCCAGGGGATTCGTTCCTGAAGAACTAACAATGGCTGATGTATTAACGAATCTAGTGCACAGGGTCCAAGATCCGGTCAACTGGCTCTTGTAGGCAAAAGCGGGAAAAGCCGTTGGGGATAAAAGGCTGGTGCGGTCCGACACAACCAACTAATAAAATTATCTCTGTATATAAGGGAAGAAACGTTTAAGGACCAGAGACTGTGATTATACACATGTGATATAAAGGCTTAGAAGTGCCAATAAGCTCCATGTGAGGCCACCAGTTAGCTATGACGACCAACGACGTATAAACCCAAATACGGTGAGGCCACGTACCTTCGGCCAAAAAAACCTTTGAAAAGCGCGTAATTTGTTCGTCAAACTGTCTAGTAGCTTACGATGGAACTATCTTTTGCATACCTTTCCGCTTGAGTTCAATTCCTTCAACGTGGTTATCGTCGTTCCTTCTATATTGATATTATTAACCAAATATCACATATATTCCACCGCGAAGCTTCTGTTCCTGGTGGCTGATATCCAGATAGCGATAGAGGGGAACCACGATAGTGAAGGTAAATCCGGCGTGATACTTGACTATCCATGGAAGGCCAGGGCCCACTATCAGTGAGCAGGCTCTCAATTCATGTTGAAAGTGATAACTGTCAAAGCAGGGCACGAAGCGAGTCTCGCACGGCGGGAGCAAGTCGTAGTATACGACACTTTTGAGCGTTCACTTCGGCAACTCGGGCGCCAGACCTCGTCCTGACTTCGTGCTCTCTACTCAAGCACTGAAGACTCAACACGCAAGCTACTTCTCAAATACCCTCGGAAGACTACCTCGTGCATTCGGCCACAAACGCAATCACCTCCCTATTAAACCTTTCCGGCTCCTCGTAAAATAACCAATGCCCACTCCGAAACAAACTAAACCTAGCCAAATCCCCCTTCCCACTCCCTAAATTCACCCTCCTAACCGTCTCCTCCAATCCCTCTCTAGTAAAACACCCCGACTTATCCCCTGCCATAACCAGAGTCTTCCTGCGAATCCCCTCACACGCCTCGCGGTGATCATACCTCGTATGATCGCTCAACAATCTTGCCAACCACTCCTGATCACAAATCGCACTAATTCCCATGAAAAATCTTCTATCTTTCCCAATTTGCTCCTCCGACAGCCCTGAGCCCCCGGGGGGTGGGTCAACAAGGTACCCCAAACAACTCTCCACGAGCCCCCTGTGCGCCTCGGCCGAGTAGAACATCCAGCTCTGCTGCGCCTGCTGCACCGTCTTCTCGTCGTAACAGCCCTTATGCGCTTTGGCTGCGTCCCATTCGCCAAACCATGAGCGGTCTTGCAGCGGGGCTTGGTCGACGAAGATGAATCCTGTGAAGGGGGCCGAGGTGAAGAGCTCTACGTACGTCCATAACACCGCGGCGCCGATGGAACAGCCTACGGGAATAATCTGCGTCTCGGTGCCAAGAGGAGATGATTTCTGCAAGTGATTTACTAGCTCATGCAGATCCATCGCAAGCCGCGCGACATGATATCCACCCTTAGAGCGGCCGGAGCGGCCGTGCCCGCGCATATCCGGGGCGACGACCCAGTGATCGGCGGATAGGGCGGCGACGTTCCGCGTGAAGTAGGCCGAGGAGCCGCTGAAGCCGTGCATGAGGAGGATGCACGTACGGTAGCGCGGATCCGGGTTTGTGGACAGGGAGGCGCCGGCCGAGATTGGCTGAGAGCTTTGAAAGGCGAGCTCGCAGCCGTCGTTGGTCGTGCAGGTGAAGTATTGCATACCGGGCTCCGGCTCCCGGTGATTTGGTTGCGGTGCCATGTTGGCGGTGATGAGATTGGCGACTTCCATTTGATGCGGATTGTTGAGGGCGAAGATGGTGTTGGGGTGTCTGCTTTTGGTCTGGTCGAAAATTGTGTTCATGCCGTGATATCGGCCCACATCCCCAAGTGTGGCCGAAGCTCGCAAAGTTTCAACGACGACCCTAAAGCGACGATTCTTGCTACCAGCCAGAACAGGCAGCGCGAAATTCGGTTGCCCGTTATAAGTTCACGCAGGAAGTTGATGATACAAGGTAAGGTAACCAGTCAGCAGGTAACTGAAGATACAGTGCAGTTGGTGGTATGGAGGCTTCTCCCCTCCTCTATTGTACAGTTTTCGTCTATTGCTACAACGGCACATAGACCGATTTGTAAAGTGACATGCCGCCCAGTAAATTTCCCGTGCATTTACATAGTATACATTGTCCGATAGTTTAAGACTGACCCTTGAGCCATTTTTGCTCCCTGCTTTTGCCAACCGACAGTGGGTGGACATTTACATCTCTCGTCATAAGCTCCTTTTCAATGATCTTAAACCGCCCCAATGCTATATCCTTATCACCTCGGGTGACACGCTTGGGTGCAAAAGCCACATTAGGGAGTTGAACCAGGTCCTGTTTGCGCTCCATGATCTCCTGGCTCAGCGTCTTCGGCTTTGGCGGGGCCTTTATTGTGCGAAGGAGCGAGAGTACATCTGTGATCCCGGGTAATTGGTGGTCCTGGACGCGCTGACCCGTAAGTTGGAAGATGCGCTTCAGTACCTAGACGGGCATTAGCATGTTTGATATGTTGTAGAACCGCACGAGTGACTTACAGCAAACTTCAACTTGGGTTCAGAGAGCGACGCACTCTTCCATCTGGCACGCCATTGTGCAGCCTCCTTGAATGATTGAGCTTCACCCGGCAACAGGGTGGGAACAGCAGGCACTTTGCCCGTCAATTCCTCCTTGGCCAGCACGTTTTCCCAATCGAGATCCTTGGCTACAAGTTCAATCGCTGAATCATCTGCAACCAGACTGATCTCCCCATTTTCTTTAACCTTCAAGTCCAAGGCCAGAGCTCGCAAGAGCTCCTCTTTGCCGCCAACCGGCATGCCCTCAGTCAAGTGCTGACCACGCGCCTTCCTCACCAAGACTTCGACCAAAGCCCGTCTGGTCGCTACTTCGAGCGAGTCAGGGTGCGTAATCTTCCTCTTCGCCTCGATGAATCCCTGGAAATCACTGCTCCTGGGCCAATTCTCGCGGCGATCCCACCAGCCTTCCAGACCACCCAGTGTCGAGAGACCTTCCACGGTGGTTGCCGGGACATAGGAGGGATCTCGGATCTCGTCCGTGCGTTCGGCGTAGGACCTCGGCGGAGGAGGCTGAAAAGTTTGTGAAGTGTATTCGTTCGGCTCCCCGGCGTCCATGTCCCAACTCTCTTGAGCGATGATTTCCGTCTCGGCAGAGTGTGGGTCCTCGTTCGCTGCCTCAATGTCAAGCTGCGGCACGTGAGTCTTCGCACCACCAAGAGACTGAGGCAAGGTAGAGGAGTCTGGTTTTGTCGAGTACATGCGCGAGGAGCTGGCGGCGGCAACGGGTGACGGTGTCAAGGTCGTAGAACATATGGATACGGGAGCTTTGGCTACACTGCACTGGCTGGATAGTGACGCTATTGAGCGGCAGCTTGTTGACCACCGCAAGCCCGAGGGCCCTCTTAAGCGTGATATTCGGCGCATTGCGACGGATTGCGCTCGAAATACGTGTCCTAGAGCTGCAATGGCGTGTCGGGTTGGATCGCTAAATCGTGAACTTTTTCGATGGGGGAATTGAATTGGTCGAGCTGTCCAGGTTGGCTTGGGCCAATGCAATAGCGATAGGCTAAAACTGGAGCTTCAGCCACAAGAGAATCGTGGCGTCTTTTCTTTGACCACCGACGCCAATGAGTCCAACTTCAACTTCCAGCATCTGGCGCATAGAACAAGAGTCGATTGAGCATCTCTCCTCGTCGATGTTGGTCTCGAACCCTATACAATGATACGCCCACAAATAATTATACTCCTTGTAGGAGCACTTCTCTCCTTTGTCGCAGCAGAATGTGAGCCCCAAAACTTCTAACCCTATCCTCTACCGAACAGCTCCCTGTACACTAGGTATACTAACCTGTAAACCACCAGCCGCCCCAACCTTCTGCAAATGCACCTGCTTCACCAACTCCACCATCATCCGTCTAGGTCCCCAAGACTCTTCCTCCTCCTCCTCCCCCGTGATTCCAAAACTCCTCCGCTCCTTCAACCCCTTCACGGCCGAGTCCTCCGCTCTATCCAAACGCGCCGCTTCCGCCTCTTGCACCCAATGCAACCGCGCCTTCTGCATACAGAACCAGCTACCAATATGCAAAGATGCGGCCGAGAAGGACATCCTGACTATGTGCTTCCAGCGCGACAGCCGCAAGGACCAGATCATCGTGTGGGGGTTCCTGCTGGGCACGGCGGGACTGTTGGGGTGGGCGGCCGTGAAGCGCGTAGTGGAGATGCGAGATGAGAAGCAGAATATGGGGGTTGCGGGGATGGGGTTACCTAGTCCTGGGAGGGCGCCGGCTGGGAATAGGGGGACGTACGTGCCTGTGGGCGAAGGGGAGAGGTGAAACAGAGGGGAATAGGATTGGCATGACGCGGATACAGACGAAAGGACAGGCGGGAATCGATGGTGTTACACGGCTGCATTTACGGATAACGGAACCCCAGGATGAGGCGAATATTCCTCGTGAGTTCGAAAAGCTGTTATCGAGGGCCTGTGGAAAGAAGTGCTTTGCCCGAGAGAGCAGTGTGCCACCTCAACAGTGTACGGTATCAGCGGCAGAAGCGCAAGTCGCAAGAATCCGAGGAAGGCCAGGAAATAGTCATACCACAATGTGGACGTAGAGTTTGGATTCGCAATGAAGTTAGGGGCCACTAAGCACTTATTAAAAGATGGCGAACATCTTCCATGATGTGGAGACTTTTTTCCGGACCTAGCATTGGGCCTGATAGGACCAGCGAATTGTGGTTGCAATAGACTAATGTACACAATTCACACTGTTCAAGTGAGGTACGAGGAAAGAGGGTGCTAGATAGCTGCGGCATGCTGTGCTGCTTGTGGGTCTTGCCTAGGCCGACTGGTCATATTGTCTTATGTTCTTGTATGCCAATTATGCCGTGATGTTCGTCGCTCCCATCAATGTTGGTGGTGTCGTTTGGGATATGCAACCGTCTCTATGGCCCAGAAATGCCTAATGATGTTCTCCGTTTGCCACAAAGCATTTTTTACATGTTCGCCACCCTTTTCCCTTTTTGCTTACTTAGTCTTCCTCGAGTAGTGTGGTCTTGTGCTCCTCCCCATTGCCATTTGCCGTGCCGTTCTTCTCCCTCCGTTCCCTCACAGCAGTTGCGAGGTCTTCTAGGACAGTGACTGTGCTCTCCCAATCGATGCAGGCGTCTGTGATACTGACGCCCTTCTTCAGAGCTGCCGGGCCCTCAGCAGGCACCTTTTGATTGCCTTCATTGATGTTGGACTCGATCATCACACCAATGATAGACCTCTCGCCTTCCCGCAATTGATCACTGACCACCTTGGCAACTTTTGGCTGGTTTCGGTGGTCCTTGTTCGAGTTGCCTGTAAGGGTGTTAGCCTTATAATGCTCCAATCCCTAAAGATATCATGGCATTGTCCTAGCGCATTCTTGCGAGTGCGTATTGAAAAAACAGCAACCACGCGGCAAATGCACAGTGATTTTCTCGAGCAGTTTTCTTGATATCATCTCTTCGCGCGCAATGATCGAAAGAGCAAGGGGGGAATTTTGTACTTACCATGCGAGCAATCAATCATAATCGCCAACTTTTGACCCTTCTTGATTAGTGTCTGCTTGGCAGCTTGAACGTTCTCCTTGTCGAAGTTGGGGCCCTTGGTACCACCCCTGAGGATAACGAAGCCATGCTCATTACCCTTTGTCCGTGTAATAGCAGCCAAACCCTGCTTTGTGACACCCATGAAATGATGCTTTGATGCCGCAGCGCCAATAGCGTCAATGGCCACGCCGAGGTTGCCATCCGTACCATTCTTGAAGCCGATAGGGAAAGACAAGCCGGACGCCAGCTCCCGGTGCAATTGTGACTCAGTAGTTCGGGCACCAATGGCACCAACGGAGATGAAGTCGGCGAGGAATTGGGGGGAGATGGTATCCAGCATTTCGCTGGCAATGGGCATGCCGTTGTGGGTGAGGTCGGCGAACAACTGTCGAGACACACGTAGACCCTTGTTGATCTTGAAGCTCTGGTCGATATCCGGGTCGTTGATAAGACCCTTCCAGCCCACCGTTGTGCGCGGCTTTTCCAAATAAGCTCGCATTATGATGCAAAGGTCACCCGAAAGTTTATCAGCAAGCGCCTTCAAGCGAGCCGAGTACTCGTGCGCCGTGGCAGGGTCATGGATCGAGCAGGGTCCGATAATGACGAGAAGCCGGTCGTCCCGACCCATAACGATTGCAGCTGCTTCGCGACGGCCCTTGACTACGGTCTCGAGGGCAGATTCGGTCATGGGAATTTCGGAAATCAGGAGTGCAGGCGGGATCAGAGGGTCCTGACCCAGGACTGAAAGATCAGAAAATATTAGCATGGTTACGGGTACAAGCAAAGTGCTGTTAAGCCCATTATCCCATAGGAGCAATGTGTGCTAATTGTCCAAGTGAAACCTGTGATTTCGTTTTATACCACGAGAATGACAGTAGGCTCGCAGCAGCTGTCTGGGAGTTAGATTTGACCCCAGAGGCAATAACTACTCGCGTAATTGGGTCGGTGAGGCCAAATGCATAGGAATTGCACATGGCGCAGCAAAGAGGACTCTGTTACACTTACCTCTCATGTCATCCACGAGGGGTGCCGCCATGTCGACTCCGGGCATTCTGATGGCTGTGTGGGTGCGAAGGAAGGGTACGAAAGTTGACTGGAAGCTGCAAGGAGCTACAATGGGGCGATATTTTGGGGAGTATCCGTCCTTAAGTCGAGCAAGGCGGGAGTGTTCGTTGTACACACGTTTCGGATGCAGTACCAGCGGGTGATGGGAAGAGTGATAACGGCAGGAAAGATCCAATCGAATGGGAGTTCGTCGTAAGAGCACTGGGGAACACTGCCGTAGAATAAAAGTTCGCGGCCGCGATATGAGTCAGGACACAAGTGGGAAAGATTCCTCGTCCTTCCGTTGTGCGCCCAGCGTGAGAATAATGCTGGTTGGTGGGGTTGCAACACACCCTGCCCTGCTTAAAGACAGCAGGCCAATTGGCTTCGACGTAAGGAGTATGACCAGCTTCGGATGACTGCACGTGGAGCGGAATGAATTGATGCCAAGATGTCAAATGGATTGAAAATCGAACCACTAATAGTGACAAGGTTGTCGTGGTTCCGGGTTCGTTAGCATTCTCTCGTTCGTGTTGCTCTCAGTAAGGTACCGTACCTTGGAGCGAGGGGTGGATGAGGGGCAGCTGCAGATCGAGCGTTGCTCCGAAAAAAAAAAAAGATTGGTGGGGCTGTCGTTCTTTCAAAGGATTTTCTCGTTCGCTCCAATTGGCCTGGTTGGCCTGGTCAGACCAACTCCGCTCACCTTGGACGCAAGGCCTGACTCCGAATTTCGGAAGGGACGGAGGCTCAGTCGCTTCGTCCTAACAGTACTTGGCATCGCGTCCATTGGACTGACTGCGCAACATGAGGTGAGATCCAGATCCTCGAAGAAGATATCGTCCGCCGCTTGAGAAGATATCATCAAACCCACGATGGATCGATACCGGGAATCTAGATCTTATGCATGTTCCCGCTCGCTGGAATCTGCCAAGTCTGGAGGTCTGAAAACCTGGGGGAACCGAGTCCAGCCGGCAATGTCTTTATCCTCTTCATATCATGTTCGTCTCATTTGTCGACAAGGCTCCAAAAGGAGCCGTCGCGGTCGCTTAGGCTCGGTACTCGCAGTTCCGCTGGTATTCCGCACACCACTCCATGATCTCATCAGCAACCGTTCCCCAGATCTGCTAAGCAGCCTGTGGGCTTTGTGGAGACATCGTATCCAAGAACCCAGATGCGTAGTTTCAGCGACCCTTCCATGGTTATTCGGGATGGAGCGTGCCTATATCTGGGGCCCTCCTTCCCGGTTGCCTCTGCATGGCTACCCCCGACAGACGGAGCCATCGCGCGGTCGTCACGGCTTTGCCAGGGCATCAACAAACCTGGAAGATAGGCACTGCCGTCGTCCCTTGGCGTTGGAACCACTCTTTATGGCGGGCGGGTGAGAGGCTAAATGCCATAATAGCCCATCAATATAAGTACGGACAGCTTCCATCCGTGGCTGTCGAGTATTTGAAGAAGTCTTAAGCCAAACGACGCCCCTGTTTCCTTGTTTTTCTTGGCATTCTGTTCGTACATGTCATTTCAAGATGTTACTCGGAATGAGAAGCTTCAACTTTGGATTCAGTCTTGGACTCTTGATCTCTTCGTCATGCATTACTGCTTTGCCTACAGACGTCGAGTCGTTAGATAAGCGTCAAGCTGACGACTCCCATTGGGTTGCTACGTGGACCTCTATGCCACAACTTGTCGAGCCCGCCAATCTGCCCCCTTCACCTTTCGTACGTCCCAATACCATGGTGGAAAATGAGAATGTGTCTAACAGCAGGAATAGCAAGGCGGCGCAGTGTTCAAAGATGCCACTCTCCGTCAAACTCTTCATGTATCAATCGGCGCTGAAAGGATTCGGTTCCAGATCTCCAACACCTTTGGCGGTAGCGACCTTCCTATAACGGCCGCTTCTGTGTCCCTACCCACCGGCGGCAAAGCCGGCGTTAACAGTATCGACACCACAACGCTGAAGGGACTTACCTTCAACGGCTCAGCATCTGTTATAGTTCCAAGGGGCCAAGTTGTGTATACTGATGCTGTGGACTTCAAGATTCAACCTCAATCAATGATCACAGTTGACTTGTATTCACAAGACGGACAACCTGGGAGCAGTATCACAGGACATCCTGGAAGTCGAACCACCTCGTGGATGCAGCAAGGAAACCATTTGAACGCTTCAACAGTTACTGGTGCAAACACGAAGCATTGGTACTTCTTGACGGCAGTTGAGGCATGGGCACCGAAGACAACATCGGCTCTTGTTATTCTAGGTGACAGTATTACGGATGGTCGTGGGAGTACTGACGATGCCAATAACCGCTGGCCCGATCTCGTGCTCGCCAACATGCAGAAAGCCGGTCTGACAACCATCGGGGTGAACAACCAAGCTGCGGGCGGTAACACCGTCCTCGCCGGTGGTCTCGGTCCTCCCCTGATGCAACGATATAAACGTGACGCACTCGAAGTGGCTGGGGTCAAATATGTGCTTATTTTCGAAGGCGTAAACGACATCGGGGGTGGTGGCACTGATTCGGGCTCCCAGCAACGCATTGGGGACCAGCTCATCTCATCCTTCAAGCAGATCGCATCCGATGCTCACAAGACCGGTCTACTTGTCTTCGGAGCTACCATCACACCCTTTGGTGGGAACGGTCAGAGTTACAGTAACCCAACGAGGGATGCCACAAGGCAGCGGGTCAACACGTGGATTCTTGGTGGTGGGGAGGGCAGCTTCGACGGTACAGTCGACTTTGCAAAAACTGTAGCTGATGGCACCAACGCGGCGAACTTGGCCAGCAGGTACGATGGTGGAGATCATTTGCATCCCAATGTGGCGGGATACCAGGCTATGGCCGATACATTTCCGTTGGCGTTACTTCGTGGCAATGCCAGCACGACTGCATAAGTGAGTGCCGACTGCCTAATCCTTGCTGCCACTCGAGGCTCTGTCGACAGATCATCACCAACGTCGAAATTAGAGCAATTCCGTCATAATTCCAAATATAAAGCTCACGCAGCTGAAGTTAACTGCATATTCTACTTGAACTTGATGTATGCCCCGTCGAAATCTCTACGCTTGATACTTCGGGCTCCCGCTCCGAATCGATATGCTCCTTGAATAGGACAAGAACTTGAATTCTCATTGGGTGCACCATCCTGTTGCAGAATCAGTCATGTAATAAAACCCGTTAACATCAGGGTCCAGGATGCAGTCACGGGAAGATTGGTGTGCATACCATGAAAGCATCTCCAGCCGGCTAAGCTTCCTACTTGCTCTGCGTGGCTTCCTTCTTCGTAGCTCGTTCCTTAGATGCTCCTCGATTCTTAACTTGTCTCTTCATAGCTCGTTTCTTGGGCAGAAGTAGCTACTCTTTCCACATTGTCTTGGGGATCTCCGACTTCACGGCCTTGCGACCTACGGAAAGATGAGCACGGCTTTCGAGCGCAGGCACAGGCTCTTGCGGATGAAGATCTTGGCGTTGGGGACTCGACGGGCGGCACGGCATCCAGTCAAGGAACATTCGCCTAGTTTTCCCACATATGGTTGAATAATTTGCCCCTGAATTCAGTGTACCTCGCGATGCCCAGGTTTACGCGTTATTATAGATTGTGCTCAAGTCTTAATTCCCTCTAAAATAAAAGACGCATCCAGTGCATCTTCAAGCTTCTCTTCGTCTAGCAAGTAGGGGTCAAGGTCAATGAGTCCATCTTACCAGCCAGACCGAGCGTCTTGGCCGTCCATAATGATGATTGATAGAATATGGTGGACGGAAACGGAGTTGAGATGGAATAAATCGAAGAAAATATTCAATCCATTCGAAAATCGAATTATGTGTATTGATTTTTGATTTACCCGAACACATCGGGATGGCATGGCGGCGAATTGCTTGCCAAAAGGTCTGGCTGGTTGCGTGCCTCCAGGAAAGTAAGTCGATTTTCGCACTAAGAAAGATCTAGTGATTGAGAACTGCACATCTCAAGGACGACACAAGCTGGTCTTCAATGAATACTGACAAGGCCCACAAATATATCACAACTGGAGAACATTACGATTGCTGGGCGGAATGAAGTTATTGAGTAAAACCGTCGGAGTCATATCAACATCGGCGAATCTTCGGTTGTGTTCAACTCCTATCTCATAAGCACAATTCAGCTGTCCGCTAGGTATGTTTGTACAGTATTATTTCCGTTAGGCCAATACATCGTTTCAAGCCAATACGATGTTGCCCATTTACTTCATGGGGAAATTTCGAAGACTCCAGTTGAATTTCCATTAAAGAGTATATTGACCTGGTTATGTGAGCAGAACTTGTTCGGCGCAATTGGGCCTAACTACCACACATGAACTCCTGATTCCGAGATAACAGAATCGGACGGTACAAGGACTTGTGTGAACCGAACATAGATTCTGTTAGAGACGAAAATTCACCATCGAATGGGATCACCACATCGGCTTAGCGCCAATCCCGGTTAGCTCAATGCAAGTCACCACCGAAATTGCGACCTCTCAATAACATGCTAACACTTACAGCAGTGGTTAGAGCGTCGGACTTTTACAGCTGTACAAGTTCATCCGAAGGTTACGAGTTCGACCCTCGTATCGGGAGCATACGCAAGTTCAAATCTTGCATAAGGGTTGATTACTCCAATTTTTGATTTTTTTTTCCATTTTCGTTTTTGTTCTTAGCGTATTTTGTATGCGTCAGGGGTTAACGTAACCCACCCATAAGCGGGCCACCATTTTTGGCATAAGAGGATGATCAATAACAGCATAACAAGCAGAGTTGAAGCTATTCACAACGCTATTTTCAACTAAATACATCAGAATCGAGCGGTAACTCCTTCCAAACGCGTTTAGCAAAGGTAACAACGCCCCTAAGGGCTTGTCTACGCTCCTTTTCACTCATTACCTGAGCCTCTCGCTTCTCTCTCCGGCGCCGTTGATCTCAAATCTCTTTAACAGTTAATACACGTGCAGTACCACAGGCCTTCTTCGTCCTTCTATTTCTACTCTCCTGTTATTTCTTAACGAGGCCCTCCTTAATCTTCTGTAAGGCTAGATTATCTGCTAGAGCTGTTAGGCAAGTCTCTTTAATAAAAGAAACCTTACGCTGTAAGAGGCTATCACAAACAGTGACAATGTCAGGGTACGACTAGGCCGAAGGCAATAGCACAGAGTGATGGGGAGTAATGGGCGTCCCTCCTACGTAGCACCGAGTAGTCACTGGCGGTCTCAGGTAGGGGTGCCCACGATGATGCATTGATCTCTACTTCCCTATCCTACTTCGAGATGATCCTTATATAGATAGCTAGGCCGCCGCTTGGACCCGGCGTAGCCGCAGGTTTGGCGATGCCGGGAATCCTGACTCTTGGCATCCCGAAACTTCACATAGATTGTAATCATGACTCGGGAGGCTTTTGTCCGAAACACCCCACCGGCACCCCACCGGTGTCCTGCGTTCAGTGTCTCTGACAGACAAGCTTAGCTACAATCTCATTGATCTGCTGAGCCGTATCCCTATCAACTTGAATATCAACGCGTACACCATTCTCGTCGGTAAGGCTCGCAAATGGAGGGATCTTTGGCCGGTACTTGGCGAGGATCTTCGACGGATCTAGTGGGGATAAGCCAGTACCTCTCCAAGCGCCCGGGATATTGCGGTAGATAGTAGATCTAGCTTGTTGATATAATAATAAGAACTGCTGGTTGTCGACTCGTACGGCACCGAAGACAGACCGTTCAGTGATCAGGGACTTGTACGCCTTTGCCAGAGGGCCGAAGATACCCTTGTCAAGGGGTTGAAGCTCGTGGGTCGAATGGGGGGGCAGGCAGAGAGGAATGATTTGATTTGCTTCGCAGTATTCGACGAATTCAAGGGATACGTGGCTTGTGTGACCATCTAGAATAAGAAGGCGGTATTGACCACGACACTGTTGACGTGTATACGTATCAAAATGGCGTAGCCAGGTCAAGGCAATCTGTCGATCGGTCCAGCCATTTGAGCTGACCTGAATAACAGTCCTTGGATCGATCCTCTCGTCTATCCAAGACGGCAGAATCCTCTTGCCCTCGAATATGATAAAAGGCGGTAGGGAGTAGCCGTTGATTCCTATACATTCGATGATAGAGACCCATTCACGGTTACCAGGCTGGTTAGCAAAGGCCTGATCGTCCTCTCGAGAGATAATAACTTTAGGGTCATCACCGATCCCTTTGCTAATCCCCTTCTCGTCCATATTGTAGGTATCATCGTCCGTGATCGCGTATTGTTCTTTAACTCGTCGGTAAAGGTCGAACCATTCGATGAGGATATCGTACGTGATACCATCCTTTCGAGCTTGATCTAGACTACGAACCCTATAGGTCTTCAGCTTAGGGTGGCGGTCTAGAAAGCTAGTGTACCAGTTGACCCCTAGGGGGTCTGTATCTCCTTTCGCTTCCAGCAGGTTCACTGCTAGCCCTTCCACTGCTTTGATAGTTAAGGGCCATCCCCACGCAGCTAACTGAAGCAAGGCTCGTTCGATCGTAGCTTCTTCGGCAGGTAATAATCGCTGTCGGTGTTGGTGTGCGGTGGTCCGGCTCTGGCGGCCTTGAATTCGGGCTTGGAGGGTTGTTCTGGGGACCCCAAAGAGCTCGGCTGCTTTACGTATACTAGGGACTTCCCCAGAACGAATAGACTTGATGGCTTTCTTGATCTGGTCTTCCTGATCCATTTGACGGAAGAATAAAGACCTAGCGATAAGAATCGACGTGGAAATTGATGATGTTGTTGTTAAGTTGAGCCAATTCGACAGAGCCGAAATGGGTGGCCCGCTAAGGGGTGTGGCCCGCTTATGGGTGGGTTACGTTATTCCGCAAAAGTTCCGTGCGCAAATTTGCCCAGAGACCACTTGTCAAATGGCAGAAGGCATTTGATTTCAATAATCTAGTGTGCAATTATTGCGGATTGCCTTACATAGGCGATGGAGGGATGGCTTCCTAACGCGCATATATCTGATTCCGTAATGGCCCAGTCCACTATGGCTAATTTGGTGAAAGCAACTTGCCGCCGTCAATCGGAGTTTTTTTAGGAGAATGGAAAATAGAAGTTTGAGACCCATGTGTATAAGGGGCTACATCAATCTTTTCCAAACAACGTAGGGCAAACATGATATTCAACAATAACCAACTTGACTAATTAGCCCCAATGATGTAATTGCAAGGAGTGTTGCATTAGTCGCAAAGTTAGTACTACATTTCTAGGGTATTCCCGCCTAACTTTTAGCATGAGATTGGCGAAGTCGCATTTCTCATCCTTCTCATGGCGATCCGGATTATCCAAAGACATCCTATCAGCCGGCAGACCCTTCGTCCCGAACTACATCGGCTTCATTAACGTACGGACACCCTCAAAAGACATTCTACAGAGAGCCCTGAGCTACGAGGCCTCGCGGATCCGCCGTCCCATCACAAAGCAGGGCACACGGGACAAGCCGAGGCTTGCGGTAACATGGTCCACGAATCAAAACACAAGCTGCCGCCCATGTTTAGGCATATCTCAGTGTTGATAAGTTATTTGAACTGGACGGAGGCGGATTCATTCTCTGTCGGCCTGTCGGCCACGGCTAGGAGCCCACGCTCTATCTACTCCGTGTTGGCCGTCTTATATACAGAATATGCAGACGCTTTATCACTTTACTGAGGTATTTCCTATTATGGGCAAGGATGCACATGGTAACGATTGGTTTGGTGGACATAGGGTAAAGGGTGGCTTGGCCAGGATTGAGGAACAGTTGGCGTTAGTTGATGCCTGATTCATTGCAACACTGTGGATCTCAGGCTGTTACTGCCTTTAGACTCCATATACCCATCATTCGAATCTATTCATCATACATGGTCTCCTCTTTATACAGGAGTCTGTCCCCATGTATGATCTCCTCGTCGTACATGGGCTCTTTGTAAGACCTTTTAGGTACAGCTTCCAATATCCACTCATCCATTCTCCCCGTCCAGGGCCATGTGAGGTTGGCCAATCCCGTTTCAACCTTGGTTATGTTTGGACGACTGCCTCCAATGGCGAAACTAGTCAAGTTGGGTAAGATTTCCATCACAATAGCTGCACCCCGCTCGGTTGTCTCGAGACTATTCCTAACGACCCGACGTCTGTACGCTCTTCCTCCAGGTCCGAAATAGGCATTTCCACAGGGAGATCCCCCGTCAAAGCCCAGTCCCAAGTTTGAGGACGGTGGGAGATCGAGCCGCGTTAGGTTTTGTAGGCCAGCCAGGATGTGGAGAATTTCCTATAAGGAGTCAGCTCCTAAGAGTTGCATAATTGGACGAAAGATAGTATCTCACTTTCAGTTCATCACCGTTAGTATATTCTCCTGGGGGGTACAGTGGGCTTTTTGTATCCAGGGATCCATGAAACTGTAGGCTCTCGATCTGTGGCATCGTCCTCACAACATCTGAGTCTGTTCAGCAGCTGGAAACGGCATGAAAGCCATGTAGAAGAGGATGTAGATACCAGAAACGAACGCCGGGGACCATCCACCCACTCCACTCTCGACTGAAAAACGCTTGAGTTTCGGCGCCGAACCTGCAGACTCGACCATCATCGGAACTGGGTCACCCAAATGTGGCCAATACCCGTTCCGTACAAAGCGACCTCCAGGCTCCAGAGTTTCCAAATTTGGACACATTCCTACTAGATAATGACTGAAAGGACCAAGATCCAGTCTTTTCACCGATGGCATCGAAAGATTCCGTTCGTTAAGGGTCTCTTCAATCCAATGGCCATGCTCTACGGGGATATTCCATTTGAGTGTTTCGAGGCTTTCCATGGACTCAAGAACATCTACAAACAGGCTCAAGAGTTCTTTGGGTGGCTGTAAAGGCTCAAGCATCCTCAGGTACCAGTCGGCGTACTGGCTGTCATGCACCCAAATTTCGACTTTGAACGTTTTGACTCGAGCCATCGCCAGAGGAGAGCGCTTCATTTCACGGAGCCTCTCGAGGGCGTTCGGCCAACCTGGACGGTCAACACCCCATCTGTTGTTGTCGATCTCTACGTATTCGAAGAGATCTGGCGGCATATCGATGCCATAGTTTGCGTGTTCTGCTGTCCCTTTAGTCGATTCCAATGAGGAATAGAGGAAGGCTTCTACATCCGGGAGACCCTCGAGTTGACGTTGGTTGGTAACGATCCATGGATGCTGAGAGTCAATAAGGAATTGTGGAATGATCGAGGATCGCGTAGGATTATCGACGAAGTTGGTCACGGTAAGTTGCCATTGAGCCGCCCATATTTGTACCGAGGAAAAGGTTTGCATCACCCGGGATGGCAGCATTTTAGTCATACTCAGCTTCATTTAGTGACTATGTTTTCCCCTTCAGGATGTGGCCGTCGATACGGGGTGCACAAGGAAGACGAAGCGGTTAGCGGCTTTAGCGGGCCAAAGGGACATATATTCGAGGCTGTTGCCTGCACGGCATCAAAGCGTTGGTTTGGCTAACAGTCGAAGGGCCAATCATCTTGAGATGCACATTACTGTTATCGAGGCAGCAATTAAGCGGCCTGTGGAACGGAGTGCACTTCTACCTTCAAAAATACCATTAAAATACTCTCTGAGAATACAATACAACATACGCTGTCTATTAACGAAATAGGTGCAAACCGGCGTTGTGGCGCGGGAGGAAGTCTAATTTCACCATCTTAGGTGGTTGTTTTTACATGTGTCGTATTAGCCTATTGATTTCCGTTGCGTAATGTCGCAGAGGAGTCGCAGCTATGACGTCTATCAAAGGTATAGATATACAACCCCCACACAACACAACGATTTTTGCGTACAGCCCAACCTACTTGCCTACTCAACTGACCCATTTGTATCCCATCTCGGAAGCGCCGTATCTGCAAATCACAAATACATCTTGACCGCAATGCCACACCCTAGCCCCATCCAACCCGTCCAGCTCGCCAAGGGCAACTCGCTCCAAACCTCCGGCGGGCAAACATCCGGTATGATTCGCCAAAACGCCTTCGCAGACAAATGCGACGGCATCTGTGCCTCGCGGATGCTAGCCGATGCGCACACGGCGTCTGCTGTGCATCATCACGGCGCCCAAGACACAGTTATTTTCGCGGTGAGCGGACGGGGCACCATCACCAGCGAAGGGGGCAAACACAGGGTTGATTTGGAGCCTGGCGATTATTGTCTCATTCCGGCTTATGCGGAACATCAGGAGATCAATGACGGGGATGAGCAGCTGGTTTTGGCTGTGTTTCGAAGCGGGAGGATGCCCGAGGTGGTGAATTTGAGTGGGTGGGGAGGGGAACCGGTCGATAGTTGAAGAATTACGTCAATTACTATGTCTTCTATAGAGGATATGCTGTACCTGGACCGTAAGAAAATGTTGCTCTATGGAATGCGCAATCATATGAATGCAAGCAAGTCCTTCCGTTTCCTCTCAACCAAAACCCAGTCTTCCTCTTCTGTCTCCACTTCAACGCCCTCTTGACCCTTGCGATCCTTTCCTTTACCCGCGTTATTCCTTCCATTGCCAGGTTCCGGGTATTTCTTGATATGCTCAATTGCCCAAATCATGTCCTCCCCCAGGAAAGGCGGTATTCTCCCCTCGCCCCTCAAAGTCCCCAATCCCGCAATTTGAAATAGTCCACGCAGCCACTCCATCGTCTCTCCCGTCTCCCATTCGATGTCATGGAACTTCAAGCCCTCCCTCTTTGTTCTTTGCTCCCGTTCTTTTTCCCACTTCTTCTGCTCTTCGATTGGAGGGAGGGACACCGAGTGTCTCCCTGCGAAAAGACGCGCCAGTGCGATGGCTTGATACTCGAAACTCCTGAATGTCAAAACCCGTGGTGCTCCCACAATAGCCAGCGTCGGGAAATCTTGGAAGAAGGTGTGCCAGTATGTCTTGATCATTTTCCCCGCTTCATAATCCCACAAGGGCCGTCCATTGGCTTCGATGTTCCAGAAGGGGTAGGAGGGTTTATAACCAGTGCAGTATATCACTGTGTCGACACTGTCCAAGTAAGTGCCGTCCTTAAACATGATCCTGCCGTCAAGTAGGAACTCTTTGATGACTGGTTTCCAAACTATTCCCGCCGGCGGCTCATCGCCGTCCCATATAGATTTGGACCTGATGGACTGATATACCGGGTGAGAGGCAGTTGTAACGAGCTCGTTGCTGATGTCGTGTCCAGATGCTGAGTTTCCGATTATTAGGACCTTTTTCGAGGCGTAAGGAAGTGGTGATCGGTAGTATTTCGAGTGCACCACCCGACCTGGGAACCTTTTGAGATACGCATCTAGGCCGTCAACATGTGGCACCTGCATACATCGTTAGCTCTGTACGGGGAAAATACGATAGAAAAATCAGGGAGCAAAATTACGTAAGGCACTGAATAATGTCCATTCCCCAAGACCACAGCATCGAAAATTTCGTCCCACCAAATGTCAATATGCCGAGCGGGATCGTATGTTCGAAGCGTGAGTTTCCATTGACAGTTTCCTCCCTTTTCTGCGTTCACCTTGGACATATCCTCAACCGTGGTATTGAGTTGCAGAAACGAATCCGTCTTGTGGGTTGAGAAGTAGTTCTCGACGTATTGACGGGGTATGTAGTGCGGCACGAAGGGTCCATAGGGAAACCGAGCATCGGAATAGCACATGGCGATGTCTGGGACATTGGTTCTATTGGGGTTTAGTACAACCTCTTCTCATGGAGGCTATTGCTTACTAACGTTAAAGACTTGTAGACTGGTGTCTGGACATATCGCTCTTGGCAACTAGGAGGCGTATGACTCGGGACACTATCTGGAATCTTCAGAGGACGGTCGATATCTGGTGGTAAACTTCCAGGATAGATGTCCAGGCTTGGTTTAGGGTCTTCGTCGTAGATCCTAAATCAGTTAGATATACCCGGACCGTGTGGAATTGATTACGTCAATGAAAACCTACCATGTCCCACCAGGTCTCTCCCTTCGCTCAAATACTCTGATGCGCTCAAAGTAATTCTCTGCCTTCAGCGCCGCGGCAGTTATTGCACCTGGGATGATACGTTAGCTAGACGAACTCGAAGTGGAGAATCCAGCAGGGGGTGTTGTTCAGTTGCCCAACTCACCTGCCGCGCCAGCCCCAACAACTGCCACCGACCTTATCCTCTTCCCATCAACCATGGTTGTTCACTTGCTGTTTGACTTCAAAAGACAGATTCGATAACTTTCGCAAGGTGATACCGGCGGGGTAAAAAGGAGTTGGGTAGGCAGATATTCGTCATATGAGCAGTATATCTCGCCATTCATGTCACGTGAACGCATATTGAAGAAGTGAAGTGGACCTCAAATAGCAACTTCAACCTAATATTTGGTGAGATTATTTTGAAGATAATTGGGGGGCTCTATAATTTCAGTTCGCAGCACATTATGTGCGGTATACCAACCGACCGAACTAAGATACGTTTCACAGTAATAAGGGGAGGGAATTAGTACGGCAGATTCATTATAATGCGTTTGTTGCGTGCCCCAGGCACACACTGCCTGTGCGCTGGGTGCAGCGCTTGGGCCAACCCATAGATAGATGGACCTTCCGCAGCCTTGGGGACTTAGTCCCATCATCACCAATACAACCCTCATGCCTGTATTGCCAACATAATGATACCACGTGAGGTGATTTGCAGTATAACCATGCCGTAGTTTGTGAAGACGACCTTATATTGTGAGTGGATTTTGCCTGCTATTAGGTCTCTGATTTAGTTTCGCCGTTGACAACCACCTCACATCAAACTGTTGGCGAAGAATTACCAACCCGAACTTATCATTTATATGGAAACGGAAATCGCACATAACTTTTTCGAAGACTGGGTGGGAAGATGAGATAATTGTGACAACATAATCAGCCCCGGGCAGTGGAGTCATGTCGTAAATTCATGACCAGCCTAATCAATCATGTAACATAGTTGGCGTGTAAACATTTGGACGTAGAACTTGGCCATGTCAAATTCAAAAATACCTACTTGGAAGTAAAGAACCATCGAGGAATGTTTCGAAATTAATTGAATACGGCCTTCCATCGTAGCACTGAGATATTTTCTTACCGCGTCAGAAACTCTTACACTTAAGAAATCTTTAGTTTGATAAGAAACATCACTGTGGACCACGCTGTGCCTCACGCATCGGATTGTTGTTATTTAACACATCTATATCACCACAATGTCAGAATCATATTTCTATCTGCAGCCCAAACCCAACAGGGGCATGGACGTGACACATCGCAAATGGGGGAGAAGAAATGGGCGATACTGGAATGATGAAGTGGAGGACGACAGCAAACAACGCCATGAGATGATGCAGACCGGGAAAACACAACGCAAGAGCCGTCGCACTGAGAAGTTGACGATGAATTCGCTTACCGATCAGCTGAGACTTCTGGGAGCGATGATAGACTTCGCGAGTGAAAGGAAAAGTGGGCTGCTTAGTCGAAGACTCAGCAGAACGAAGCCGGCTCCAGCAGCGATACCGTGGGAAAGCCATCTTCAGAGTCCCTGACGGAGCAAAACGGCAAGTTCAACCCTAAGGCAAAGGGCTGCTGGAAGCGTGTAGCCCTGATTAAGTCCGGCCACATTCAAATCGAGGAAGCTTCCAAATCTCAGCATGAGTGAAATCCAAGAAGCAGACCACCGCTTTTGCCTAGGATCCTCAGATTTCAGCCGAACTCAAGATCCTGGGTTGAAAAGCTTACTGGGCTAGAGAAGAGAAGTACTACAGCGGGAAACGCATATTCGACATCGTCAAGACGAAGAAAAGTCTCTACCACTGGGGAAATTGGGACGAGAGGTTCAGCATCGTCCCGTCCTGCAAGTATAAATGCAGCTGGATGCTTGCCATTTTCACCAGGCGTCAAACCTGCTACTTCACGCGTGAGTGCATTATGATTGAGCGCTTCCGAACCAAGTGAATCAAGGACACCGACTCGTTCAGCAACTTCTCTTGGCTGCCGAAGGAAGACACCATCGTCTTCAACCCAGTCGAAGGTGAAATCTCGAGTCCGAACAATAGGCCAGGCGTATCCAAAACGCCAGTCAACAAACAAAATACCCACCAGGCCGTCCATGAAAATTTGAAGGAGTTGAGACCAATGATGCGACTCGATCAAATACAGCATGCAGGAGAAGCCCACGGCGTTGCCGCTGCTCCAAGGCCGAAAATTTGTCCAATAAGTCTTGGCTCTCAAGACGAGTAAGTGGGATGTTGTGTCCTGTACGGAGAGCTATCCTCATAACTTGGCACGCCTCGACGCCAACGACACGGCGCGATTTGGCAACGTTCTGGCAAGGCTATTTTAGAGGCCTAAGCGTGGACCGACAATGGACCTGCATAACGGCCGGCTAGTTAGTCGCAACCTCCACATAGAGTTGACACCGAATTTCAGCCTCGAACCGCCGCTTGCAGGATGAAGAGGCCTCGTAGGTTGGGGTGTGGGAATATGCGGAGCACATAGCATCTGCCCCTCCAAGCCTCAGTCAAGTCCCTGAGTACTACTGACCGACAGGCGATCGGCGCTTTCCACCGACCCCAATTCCATTTTTGTCCAATCAGGTCACGCAAAGCAAGCAATTTTTAGCGGTACTTGCCAGATCTGTCACTGTGGGGAAAGGTTCAAGTGGAGCTTCCCATTATTCACTGTTCTCTTGCCGCTAAGATAGCCCAAAATTTTCTACTGCGATCTAGGTAGGAATTCAGCGTGGGCGGGTGCGCATGCAATTTTTCCTTCCTGGGCCTCACTGCCTCACCAAATCCCTTGATAAATTAATCGCACAGCGGCTTGGAAAAATTATTTCCTGTTGGGGAGATCTGTGCTACCGTTCTTTATTCCACCACTATACCGAATTCTCAAAGTCAGACACCAAATTGTCAAGATGGTTGAGAAGGTCTACGTTACGTACAATGATGTGAGTCTGCCCCGCACTGTGGTTTATCGCGTCGCATCGTCGTGGACATCAATGCCCCTCATTTTGGTCGCACTCAACTGTCACAACTACATACTGCACCAAGATATCCTCAGAAACGAAGCTTGCTAACGCGATGGCGCTGATTTACAGGTACACAAGCTCTGCCAAGAGTCAGCGCATCGCATTCTCTCGTCGTTCGACCCCCAGCTCATGATCGCCATCGGTGGTGGCGGCTACGTGCCCGCGCGGATCCTCCGCTCTTTCCTCAAGCAGCCCGGCTCCGCCAATATTCCCATCCAGGCCATTGGCCTCTCTCTTTATGAGACCCTGCCGGACACAAATCCCACGTCAGGCGCCAGCACCCCGGGTGTCGTGGAGAACATGGGCACCAAGGTCACACGGACGCAATGGCTCGACCTCAGCAGTCTGGGCGAGATGGAGAACCTGGTCGGCAAGCGCATCCTAATTGTTGACGAGGTGGATGACACACGCACAACTCTTGAGTATGCTGTTAAGGAGCTGGAGAAGGATGTCGAGGCCGCGAGAGTCAAGTTCGGTTTACAGGGTGAGACGAAGTTCAGCATCTTCGTACTGCACGTAAGTCTGGCGGTCTTGTCTCTGGTAAAGAGGCCAATGTTGACTTTATGTGAAAACAGAACAAGGACAAGAAGAAGAAGGGCACCCTCCCTACCACGCTGCTGTCTAAGAATCAATACTTGGCAGCGAGAACCGTCGGTGATGTTTGGATATGCTATCCCTGGGAGGCGACGGATATTGACGAGCACGACGAATTGGCAAAGAAGCAGACTAACAAGACGGGTGGTGCTTCCTAGCATGTTGGTGCGCCCCAGTGCTTTGCTTCTTGTCCACCTTCTTGAACTCCTCCCCTCGTCAAATCAGGTTGAAAGGGAATAAGGACAGCAAGTAGAGGATAAAGGATAGAGATCACAGTCCTAGAAGGGGGTTTTGCTAATCCAGCTTTGGGATTTGCTAATCAAAAGCTGCAACAAAAGTGTTTGCACTACAGTTCTTTCCCATCGATCACATATGTGCTCACGGGCATGATCTGAGATGGGAGAGATGTCAGACCTTATAACTACCAAAAAATACCTCATTCTACAGCGAGTGGGTCCCTCGTCTTTTGACGGTCAATTTGGTCCAACAAGAGATGCACCATATTCGGAAAACGAATAGAAACAAGAAAAATAAAAAGATTATTAAAACTTCATACACGCTTCTCTAGTCCTCAAGTCAATTATACCTCTGTGTCATATAATGGCATGCGCCTCAGCTAGCTACATAGTCATGAGCGATGAAAGAATTTACTTAATTCGCTGTGAGGACGATTCCAAGGCAGGTTGGGATCAAGAAACCTGCCAACGTCATCCCTGTGGTGGCATCATGCAGCTACAATGCCATGTGCCCCCAGGTACAGAACTTACCAAAATTCAACCTCCACAGCGGTCTGCCTAGACCTTGGCATGTAGGGTACAAAATTGGACGATTAGAAGAGGTTAGATCCCAATGGATAGGAAAGTATCCTGCTGTCAACTGATGCATGTCTTTCTGCTTTCTCCAATCCCCCACCTTCTTTCAACCAGTTCCCCTCGCCCCTTTCTCCGCATAGCAGACGTTGATCCTCACCCAATCAAGATGTATATTTAGTTCAGTAACCTTTCAAAGATCTAAAATGATGGATCGTCCGCGTGTTTTGATGAGCTGTCACATTACGTAGTTAAAGATTCGTCATTTTCTTGGACAAGGCAGATCTTACGTGTTGCAAATTATGCTTCCATTACAACATGTTTGCTGGATGATCTCATACATAAAAGGTCTTGTGGTGGACCTATCACTTGGCTGTTCCGAAGTGGTGCAGCAAGTCCGCCGGCTGTAGTAATGCTCATGGTCCAGTCATTGAAGTATAGAACATCTGATAGACCCGGCGATCTTGCATTTTGGAATGGCGTTGCTTGTAGATTGTCTGTGCGAGGTAGCTTAAGACAAATTACTTGGGTGGTAGTACTGGTATGTGACACATAACTCACCAAACTGAATCAAGTTTACTTCGTTATGTGAACCAAGCCCAGTCGAGGGTCTTAGAGTTGAGAATCGCTCGGTGGCACCTCTGTCTAATTGGTATGTTGCTTCGGATAGTGTCATATAACGAACCAAACATTTGTAAATAGGGGCTACTTTGGCTTTGGTTTCACGACGGGATCTGGTGGCCATCTTGCTACAATTTGCATATATATCTCAGTGCGATGTCTTGCGAGATTATATATGTCGGCATCTAATAGTATATACACGAAAATCGGACCATTTGAGAAAATAATACCTCCTCAGGCTTCAGCTCAAATCCTCCTTATGCCCTGCTGTGAATGATATCACTGGCTTTCTCTGCAACAGCATACATAGTGGCTTGCAAATGGGCTGCCGGGATGATCGGCAGGATACTAGCATCGATGATACTCAGCTTCTTCGTGCCGTAGACCTTGAGCTCCGAGTCAACACAGCCTCCCTTCTCCTTGGGCATCATTGGACAACTGCAGCTAGGGTGAGAGAACGAAGGTATCAACCAACCCGAAGCAATCATGGCTTCAATTACGTCGTCTTCAGTAGTGTATTGGGTGCCGGGCAGGACCTCGACGGGGTTCAGGGGCGCGACAGCATCCGAGGCGAAGAGCTTGCGAGTGAACTGGATAAAGTGGTACATAGAAGACCGATCGAACGGGTTACTGAGAGAGTTGTAGAACACCACCGGCACACCAAGCGGGTTCGACGCATTCAGATGGATTGTCCCCCGGGAAAGGGGCTTCTGCAGTGCACTGGGGGAGCTGCCCGCGCCGCTGATGGGAACCTCGACCACGGCGATGGAGCCCGAGCGCATGTGCGAGACGAGGGAGTCTCGTTGGGCTGTAAAGCCGGCGACGAGCTCGGGGCTCGTGGAGTAGATTTCGGGCAGGTAACCGTCCGATTCTTGAGCTTCGAGGGAGGTGAGCAGGGTCTCGGCCTCGTCGGTTACGGTCGAGAGAGAGGGGAAGGCGATGTAGCTTGCTTGGGCTTTAGTCAGGGGGCCGGTGAGTTCTTCGTGGTAGAGGCGGTAGGCCTCATCCCAGAAGGTGGCGTTGGTGGATAGTTCCGAGGGAGTCGGGAAGGTGTTGTTTACTGGAGGGTTTCGTTAAAGCTAGCTCGTTTCAACGTTAAAAGAGTGATCGGCAGGTTTACTCACGAGTCCACATGGGGAACGCCACGGCGTGGTCCTGGAAGTTGCTTCCAACGGCAGGGAAGTCAAGCTTAGTCTCAACCCCAGCTGCCTCGAGCACTGACTTGGGACCAATGCCACTCAATTGCAGAAGCTGAGGGGTGAATACGGCACCAGCGGCGAGGACGACCTCCTTCTTGGCGTAGAACTTGACCGTCTTGTCGGTGGAGCGATCGAGCACCTTGACACCGCTGGCGATAAGATCAGTGGTATTGGTGTTCTTGGTGTTGGCGAACAGAATTTCAACAGCCTGGTGCATGGAAAGAAGCTTTAGGTTGGCTCGGTGCGAGACGGTATCGTAGTATGCGTACAGCGAGGATGAACGTGTCTTAGACTCGGCGTTGATGGCTGATGGTGACCAGAAGTGGCCAACGGCATTGCCTAAAGCGTGCTCCTTGATGAAGGGTACACCAAGCTCATCGAGGCCGTCGATAAAGTTGTCTTTATCAAGTTAGTAAGTTGGGTTGAGTGAGTGATTGTGAGACTTACACATGTCAGGGTATTGGAAATCGGGGAAGCTGGCCTGTGCCAGTGCCTTGGCACCATATGCGGATGCATCATATGAGTAATTGTAGACAGCTTCAATTTCAGGAGTTGGCACACCGAACTTCGCCGACTGATTTTGTTAGACTTGACAAGATGAGTAACAATAACGATGAACGACATGCCTTCTTGATGTAAGGATGTAGGCCCTTCCAGCCCCATCCAGGGTTACCCAACAGCTCCCACGAGTCGTAATCGGCCTCCGAGGCCAGATCCCACTGCATGCCGTTGACCTGGGAGCCACCACCTGCCACCGCTCCAACACGAACTGCGAAAGTCTGGTTTCCCAGACGCGGCTCCAGCGCCGATGTGATGTTGCGCATGTCTGCCGTGTTGAGGGTGGTGCCGTAGTAAGGGATTTGCGTCACGTTACTACGGTCAATGGGGCCATACTCAAGCACAAGGACAGACACTGTATACATATTAGGACAATTGCTCCCATGAAAAACAGCACAGTCATTGCCTTACCCTTGGGGTTCTCTGACAAGCGAGTGGCAGCCACTAGACCGGTTAATCCTCCACCGACAATCACATAGTCCCATTGGTTTTGTGTCTGGTTGGATTGAGCTCTACGAGGAGCGCATGACACCAGAGTCGAGAAAGAGAGGATAGAGAGGATTGCTCCCCAAGCAAGTGAATGAGCCATATCAAAGCGCTGTGACAAGTGGAATGAATGATTGACTAAAGCACGGTTTGATACGAATACACATGAGTTAAGAGAGTGAGTGTCAACCTCAAAGGCTTGAAGATCATTCAAGAAAATATGGCAACATATTTCCTATGTATGCACTTTTGGGCACGTGGGTCCAGCGTCAGCACGATTTTAGACGCCACTGCCATAATACCAATAGTCGGATGTGCCTAGTAACGAGCCTCGGAAGGGGAGGGATTGGACCGATGGTCTAAACTTGGACCCAGGCTAATGACGGAAATTGGGCGATAAAGGTTACATGGCTCGATGCTGTTTTGCCCCTCTTCATTTGAGGAGCAGATAATCAATTGCACCAGGGTCGTACATGGTGGCCTGCCATTAATCCCGGGCAATGATCGATCTAAACATACGGGTATCTCTGTCCAGGCCCTGTCTCATCAAACAAGCTACCAGCAGCATATCTTCTACCTATTTCTCCGCCATTGGATACGAAAGCGGAATCATTCACTTTTCGAGCGGTGTGTTCGAGCTTTAGTAATGAATATGACTAGTGGAGAGGCAGGCCGTGCTTCATTCCTGTATGATCTTATGTAAACACCCCACGAGACAAACATGGATTCTTCCCAAGGTTGCTGGCACAGGGTATTATCCTGTGGCGCCAGAGGAAGTTCCTGTTACTCAGCTGCGAATTGATTCAAGTCAAGCTCATGAATCTATGTAGGTTGTCTTGTTTATCTAGATAGTCTTCGAGACCAATTGCGACCATCAATTCCCTGGGAGGAGTGTCCTGCAGCATTGTACCTGCTTCCTGCCGGACCGAAGCCAACCCACCGGATTCCGTCGGCATGTTTTGTCGGGGTCGTCGCTGTATCCGTCTCTTTCCAGATTCTTCCTAGCCTTAGGGAAGCCTGAGGGAAGACTAGAATGTCCCTGAGTAGCGGCCGAGTGAGCTACAGGTTCGCATACAGCTTCCCATAGTTCGGCTTTCTGCTGCATATCACGAAATCGCAAACCTGAGTCTTTCTTGAACCCTGGGAGTCGGGCTGCAAGGGGGGTTCGGTACCGAGACCGTCATCGGCGGGCTCACCCAATAACTTGGTTTGAAGTTATTACGACACTTGTGTGCCACTTTTAGAACTTTCCATCACGTAGTCATATGCAATATTGCCGACAGTCACAATAACCGCAGCTTAGAGGACATGCATGCTATAGTGATCTACACTTCCAGAGAGACAAGGCCCAACGTTTAAGAGAGACCCCGCGCAGTGGAATCCAGCGAAGCTTATCCTACATAAGATCAAAATCTATCCTTTCTTCATTCGAAGCCATGCCGCGATTCCGTTGCTTTCCGCATCGCTACACTTGTTGTGCCTTACGTACTCCCGTGATCTTCATTGAGAATTGCCGCACTTGTCTGAAGTAAACAAGCCAATTAGTGAAGTTTGCCTGGAATGCCCTGTTTACGGAAACTGGGCAGGACCTCAGGTAACAGATTCAACAATGTTTTGCTCGAATGTTCCCGTGCCGGATGTCGGACTTTTGAATGCAGGACTCGCCGTGAACCCTTGGTCTCTCCCGGGGGGTTTCGGCGTGCATACTAGGCTGGGCAGATCGGATCCCTGAACGAACCACCACTCCTCCGTCCGAGAGCCGCATGCCAGTTCGTAACGAAGGCACTGTCCGAGAAACAGTGGTCGAGAAGTGCCCCCCAGTATATGTCTTGCGCGTGCGCCAAGGTTGTAGAACAGCCACACCTGCTTCCGGACGCGCGCAGCCACGACTGAACAGACCAGCAGATGGGCATGTATCCGTGAAGCAGCTGGAGTAATATGGATCAACTCCTTCCTGTAGAATAAAAAGTCCCGCCTTCTGGGTCATGCTTTGGTTTTCGAACGTTCGCGGGTACCTCAATCTTGTATTGGCCCACATTGCGCTTCTATTCTTCGGTTGTACCCATACTACTTACCATCTTAGTCTCCTCCTTTCCAAAGATCGTTCTTCTCTCCACCTGGCCAGTTGAACACGGCCTGATGACCAGCTCGTTACTTAACACGCTGATCCTCGCCACTTACAGCAGACTCGACGTCCGCAAAAAGGCCATGTGAAGCAGCCGGCCCACCATATCAGCCATGGCCCCAGCCGACAAGCCGGCAAAGACACTGAATTTCTCGTCACAATCATCATCTTCACATTCTTCAGCGCCGCCTTTGTGTGTACACGGTTATGGAGTTGATTCGTCATCAATATGGGAGCCGACGGGTGGGATGACTACCTAATATGTGGTCCACTGGTATGAAGAAGCTACTCTGACGCTGCTCATTTCAATATTTTGTCGACAGTTCCTTCCAGTCAACAAGCCTCGTCCGGTTGTACGTCACAATATACATGACCTCACACGGCTATGGTGTATCGATATACAAGCTGGAACACCCAGAGGTGGTGCAGGCCCTAAAGTTCTCCAACTTTGCGGTCCTCATCAACGGCTTCGCCATGCGCTTCCTCAAGGTCAGCATTGGGGCATCTGTGCTTGCGATTGGGGCTCGGCAAGGACATGGTGCCAAGTGTATGGGTCTCGATGGCCATATTCGTGCTGTGTAATGGGCGTGGCATTATCGGTAGTGTGTTGGGCTGAAGAACCCTGGAGGCCGTGTAGGATAAGTCTAATAAGGGCGCCTCTTGCCTTCCGTCGATGGTTCATTTCTGGTTGCCGGCAATATCATAACCGACATCTTCTCCATTGGTCCCCTCTTATATCTTTCCAAAGTCAAAGCATCAGTCTACAATCGGTAGGCACTTCGCGGTTTCTTCGTCATTGGTCCATCAGCCACGGCTTGCGCTATCGCCAAGTGCTGGGAGCTGCCGAAGCTCGGCCAGACCACAGATTCAACTTGTGATTACCCCTTTTAAATACCTTTACCATCTTCTTGATCCCCCTGATATTCCAACTAACGTCCACCAACAGACGATGGCGTCCTTACCACCATCTGGGCCCGAGCCGAGCTCAACGCCGGTCTTGTTGCCACCTCAGTCCCCCCACTCAAGTCCCTCTCCGCAAGCCTCCTCAAGGGCATCTTCGGCGCACGGATCAGCCTCTCCTCCTCTGGCACCTGCGGCTACGGCTTAGCGTCGTTCAAGCAATCACACCCTGAACGGCAACGACAACGAAGATGTTGAAAGAAGGGCGGGCAATGGTAATAGTCGCGCGACGTTCGTGGTTGGCCATCCACCCAAGTGGCATGGAACGGGAGATGAGGAGGACTAGTAAGATATATTGGATTCGCACGTGCGGATTATATACTAGACGAATGGGAGCGGGAGTGATATTAGTGAAGAGGTGGGGGCTGAGGGGTGGATTAAGAAGACGGCGGAGTACAATGTGAGTGAGATGCGAGGTCGATGAGGAGAGATGGTGAAGATACCCCTGGGACGAGAGAGGATGATCGTTGTTGGCGAGTGTGGGGGGAATGTGGTACGGATTTGGCCTTTTCACATCTTTGAGCGTCGATTAGAAATACTACAGGCATGGTTGTGATTCCACCAAAGATGAGTTAAAAGTTTCAAAATAACAACGTCGTAATTGATCTTCACGAATTATTACAATGGCATGAGCGATGTTGTTTATTTTGCCGTTAGGACTCATTCTGCCCTATAACACTTCAACATCTAGCTAGCAGTCATATAATACAGAGAAATGAAACCGAAAGATACGAGGTATAGAAAGTTTGACCATTACACTCATTGAGTGCTTGTCCATTCGTCCACTACCGGAGGCGGTGTAGACTATATGAAAACAACCCAATTCAATTCGCTCTATAACTCCAGGCTCTTAGCGCCAATGAACCCAGATCCCCATCTGAATGCGTCTTGATCCCGAACACTCTTTCAGAAATGCATTTTCCAACACGAAATGACCATCCCAATGCTCTACACTGGGCTAATACCACCAGACGAGAACCTCCTCCCCTTAGGAAGTTCCTCTGCCTCGACAATCCTGGACAGTGGTTTGATTTGGTTCCTGCTTCTATTCCGCCTTTTCTTTGATATGGGCTGTAGCTCCAGCCCAGGAGGTTCTGGTTGATCTTCTTCTGTGGATGTTGGCGAAGGAGCCGTAAACTCAGGCCAAAACCCACGCCTCCGGCTCCAGCTGAGTCCAGAACTGAGGGGTAAGAACTCGCGCGTCTTTGGCGTGGTATCTTTGGCGAGCGCTCGCAGGATTGGTATGGAGGCTGCGATGATGGTCACCGCGATTTCTGCCACCGCCAAGATCACCAGCTGGATGGTGTCGGCTACATAGGAAATAAGCATATATTGCTGAGACCTCGAACATGTCGTCAGCACTTACCAATGTCGGGTTTGCCAGTGCCAGGGATGGTAATGGTCTTGATAAGAGACGTTATACCCGCACTAAAATGGTCAGTACTGTCTCCCAAAGCAAAGTTGAGTGTCTTCATGACGGCAACATACAAAACACCCATGCTCATGGCGCAAAGAGCACCTAGTTTCTCTTTCTTGCTCATGTTCAAGTTCCATAGCATCTTCCACGGGAGCAGTGCCAGAACGATATCCATGGCACCAGAAAAGCCTATTGAGATCAGTCATTAATGCTTCACCATGAGCCACGAGAACAGACCTACCTGCCGTGAAGACATTGTAGAATATGATGTTACGGAAAGGGATGCAAGTGCCGTCAACGTTGGGATGCCAGTTTTTCTCCAAGGGCCAACACCGAACCCAAGTGAACAGTGCACTGAAACCCAAAATCACGTTGACGGAGACGATGATGAACCAGATCAGAAACTTGACCCAGCCCGAGGAGATTCGCAGCAAGGTGATGGCAAAAGACGTCTTGCTCCAGGCGGCCCCGACGATCATGAAGAATCCCGCGAAGCTTGACACAAGCAGCATGTTGGGGAAATTTCCTTGTGGGATATCGTACGTGTGTTTCCCAAAGCCAAAATGAACTGCTAGGGCGAGGGAAATGTCTCCAAAGATTAAGACAACCTAGTAGTTTGTTAGTAAGACGTGCGATCTTGTTGTTGTGCCAGACTTGCCCATGATGCTATAAGCACGTAATCGTCAAACCACAGTCCTCTGTGTCTGGCACACTTGCAATATATCCTCACGCCCAGCCATGCAGCGGCCACAGCGGTGAGAGTCCAGATGGTCAAGTGTATTTGCGGTCCATAATCATCATGGGGTAGTAAAGTATTGACGGTGTTAATCACTTGGCCAGAGGTTGGTGTCTGGAGACTGTGAATCGAATTCGACATGGTAATAGATTTTGATGTATACTATAACGGATGACAAAGGTCCCCGCTGGTGTTAGTGCATCACGTTTGTCGGGAGTGTGAGGTGGGTGAGTGAGTGAGACAGATACCAGGCCGCAAGTCTTCGAGGTTGGCCGTAGGTCTTGGCAGTCTCAACCCTATTATAAGGTGCTGTGGAGGCGTTGAAGCCTTCTTAAGCCTATCCATCTTTGCTGTCAACATAAGCGTACCACAGCGATTCTAATGCATTAAGCAGAGGTCATTTTTCAGGGGATAGTCATACAGCAGCGAGAAACACTGCCGATCTCCGAATCACACCTCGGAGAATGCACACAAGGTCGGTAGTTGCAAGTGGCAGGCTCTGAGCTCGCCTTTATGAGGTGGAATGCAATGCTGACACGAGTGGACACTTAATCAGAAACTCTTCTCTTTCTTCAGCCCCTGCTCTACTCTTCTGCGAAAATCTGGGGGAGTGTCAAGACGGCCCATGTAACTCCGAGTTTGCTTGCATTGATTGATCGGGCGACGATCAACCGCAAGCATGGTCCCTGTTTCACATGCACCAAGCTTAAGTGAATCTCATCGCCATTCCTACCCCTTACATTTAAGAGCCAAGACCAAATTGAATAGTTCATTGGCCACAACCTTTCGAGTATACTCGCGTGGCTTCATCGTCGTCTGGTGTGTCCGACCCCGCAATGCGCTGGACGATCAATCGAGTCCAAACCTGGGTTAAGAAGTCTGAGCCCAAACCTGAAGGTCCAACGTGATGTCAGTCGGAGTTAAGTAATCAGTGAGAAAAAGGAAAAGACGCTGGCCCATCTTCGCGGATCATTTTGAGGTTCTGGCTCCCAAAGCGCAAGCTTGAAGAATCCTATCTGGGGTTGGTTGTGCAGACAGGACCGATGTAACGTGCCTGTAACTCCTCATAAATCACATTCGTCTTCAGACGACTAGACCCAAATGGCACGTACGCAGTAAAACCTCAGACGAACCCGAAGGCTCGTACCCACACACTCCATTATGCAAATGCTGTATCACTTGAATACTCCCCTGGAGTCGGACACCACCGGATGCAACAGCTGCAATGTACCTAAGCCGTTTTCAAAATTTGAAGTTTGGCCGGTTGCTACGTGAAATATGCTCGAGGAATTGTCTCAAAATGATCGGCGAGGACCTCGTTGTGCAACTTTCAACACAAGACGATCATTGCTCATCCTTCTCGCTCAATGCATGCTTTGTAGATCCAGTAGAATGCTCCAATTCATGGTGCAAGGAAAATAGAGCCTGAAAGCGCCATACACTGTTGTGGTATTGCTGACGCCCGAAATGCAGGGGCACCTAGGATTTGATCGTGGACCAATTGGAGGTCATTTTGAAACATATTACCGTCACTGATAGCTTCCTAACTACTAGGTGGCTTCATTCCAGAGGAATACTAGACTAAGTCGTGTTAGTGAACTCCCTTGTGATTGCTCATATAAATACTCATAGACTCGAGATGTTCAGCTCCAGTGGTATAGCTAAAAGGCCGAATTGTCTGCTTGCAGGTTGACCTAGTAGATGAAGCCCTAACCTAGACTTCTTGGAAATTCTACTTGCAGCTCACGAAGAAACCTAACTTGCATTCTCATCGTCAGTGCGCTATCAAAACAGAGCATTAGTATGGGCAAGTGCTGTTCTTTGGTCACTTGCGCCATGTAGTAACACATAAACAAACTTGAATTCTGAACCTGCTGGACAGCTTAGAGATTATGTCGGATTTCGAGTACTGGGGGCTGTATTGGTATGATGAACGTGCGTGGGAAATCAAGCCCAAGTTGGCCCCCTAAATACTACAATCCGTGTCTGCCTGCCTCGTACCCCTCCACAACCTGAGGCTACCACAGCGTCCCATAATTCATACGCATTGCACTTAATCGCAAGTTGAGAAAGTCCACACTAGTGTTAGTAAAATGACCGCCCTCTGCAATCAGTAGTCGTATCAGCAGTACGCGCGATAAAGACAGGCATTTTTACGGTACACGAAGTCCTGACATATAGCAGTGCCGAGTCTATTGGCCGGACTAGGTTTTCGATACTATGTTACGAAAGCCCCAAACTCGTTGGGTGGTTAGTAAGTGTGGCATTAGGCACTACGAACGCTAACCGTGACAGGTATTGCGGAGACCCTTGCTAAGTAGCAAAATGCTGAATGGAGGATATTTATTTCAAGGCGTTCAGGTCAGCAAAGAAGCTGATCAAGGAGCCAGGCTGCCACATATCATCACCTTTATAGCCAATCATACTGCCAACTGTTGACCGCGCCACATCTTTCTGATGATTGATAAATAACCGGAGGGGAGAAAGCCAATTACAATATTCTGTGCAGTCAAACGCACTAACCATAGGCCAAATTATTTGGGGAAGGTAGATCGGAAACCATTTGCAGAAAGCAACACTGTCGCTGAAAGCCGTTTCACGTCGTACAAGGCAGACTAAGTGTAGCTGGGCTGTATCAACCCCGCTCTTAAATATTGGGCTATTTCCCTCGTCAATAAATCGCATTCTTCAAGTTCTTCAAGTTCTGATTCACAACAACCCATCGCATTATGGAGGCAAGATCATCATCGGCGTTGGTGCAGCACACACTGGATCAATCGCTGCAGGGAGCCATCAAGGAGTTTCAAGCCATCCTCACAGATAAACAACGACGTGAATTACGCAAAACGACAGCCATTCCTGACGCTGACAGCATCCTTATCTTCACTGCCCAACTCGACTCCACAAACAGGAATCGAAAAGGTCCAAGTATCGCCAGCAGACTCCACTCAGTCTTGCAATCTGTCCGGGACTTTTGCAGTGTTATTGATACGTTTGTATCAACGCACCCAGAGATCGCTGCTCTTATCTGGGGCAGCGTAAAGCTAACGATGCAGGCAAGTTTCTGTGTTAAAACTAATTTTTAAGGAATATACTCAACTACCGCAGGTTATTGTGAACTATGCATCGTATTACGAGGCAATCTCTGATCTGTTTATGAAGCTTGGCAAACTCTACCCACTCTTCGCCGAATATCAGATATTGTATCCTGCTTCAGCAAGACTACAACAAGCTTTAGTCAATTTCCACACATCTATTATTTCTTGCTGTAAACACGTGGTAGAGGCAATTCGACGTCCATGTACGAAGATACTCTATTCCTCGCTAGGATTAGGCCTAACCAAAATAAGGGCAGAACCAAGTTATTCAGGCTTTCTGGAAATCCTTCGAACAAGAGTTCAGGCCTGATAAGGACAACATACAAAGATGTAGTGACGATGTCAAAACCGCGATAGATCTCGCTAAAGCACAAGCTGATTTGCAAGATCAGCAGCTTCAAGCCCAAGAACGAAAAGAAGCTCTGAAAACCAGGAGGACGCTGAAAAATTTCATATCACGTCATGACAGCCAACTCGATCAATTGCGGCTACAGAGTACCGAGAGGCAAATGCGTAGGTATTTCCGGCGTAAAGTAGGACAATTACTGATTGCAAAATAGGGATACGGAGACAGAGCCTTCTTGATGGGCTTTCTTCTTATAACCATCAGAGACCGCTAGAGCAAAGTCGTCGGAAGCGGTATAGTGATACCACAGATTGGATTTTCCAAACAACAGAATTTCGACGATGGTTTTATGGAAGGAGTCCTTTTCTCTGGTGCTCAGGCAAGAGTTAGTTGGTCATGTGATTCATCCTGTCTGAATGCTAACAGCTGGCAGTTGGGTCCGGCAAGACTATTGCCACGTTAGTATTATCAGATCTTGAAACCGGTAGGACATGAATAACAAGGAGTTACAGTGCAAGTATGATTGATTATATCTTACTTGACAAGGGACGTTCAGACAGTCTGGTTTCTTTCTTCTTTGTACAATCTGATTACCAGGAGTCATTGAGTGCTGGAACCATCATGAGGTCTATTTTGCGACAAAGACTGGACCCAACACATTTGTCCACTGATGTAGAAAGTAGGCTCCAAAACCTCAGCTCATCTAGTACACTGGATGAGATCATTGAATTGCTCCGGGAGATAACACTTGCACCGAAACCCTTTTACGTTATAATCGATGGTTTCGATGAGTGCGATAAGCCAGATCGCCACGAACTCTTGAGGGCACTATCCTCTCTTGCTTCCCAAGGATTGAACACGAAGCTGTTTATATCCAGTCGGGATAGCCTCTCGGAAGAGATCCGGAAAAGCTTTCCTTCACTCGAGCACCTTTCTATAAGCGGTTTGGCAGCCCATGAGGGTATTACAGCTTACATCAACGGCATTGTTGAAGAGAAGACACAAAACATTGATCTTAGAGTTGGTGATCCGGGTCTTGTCGAAGAGATAAAGCAGGCACTAATTCAAGGCGCTGACGGCATGTAAGCGCTTAACTCCCAGCTATTTCTCAGTTCACTTACTTATTTTCAAGGTTCCTTTGGGTTACGTTTCAGATCGATGAAATCTGTCTACAGCATTGCGATGAGGATATCCGCAATGCTCTCCACAATCTTCCAAAGGACTTAGCTGAGACGTTTTGTCGAGCGCTCCGACGTATCATACATCGTGGCCATGCGCAGGCAGCTCAGAAGGTTTTTCCATGGATCGCGGCTTCAAAGCGACCGTTGTCTCTTAGCGAACTTCGCGAGGCGATCTCTGTAGAGATCGGTCAGCCATACTCAAGACCAGACCGTCTCTATAACGACATGCAGAATATCGTTTCATGGTGCGAGAACCTTGTACAGATCGACGAAGAGTATGAACTCGTTCAATTTGCACATCACACAATCAGACAATTCTTTCTCAAAGAATCTGCCGATTCCCACCTAGCAAAATTTCATTTCGATAGTAAGGATACAAATCATCACATCGGCGAGATATGTGTGACTTACCTCAACTTCAACGACTTCAAAACGACCCTTACTAGGCAGCCTAAAGCAACTTTCCTAGGCAATCCTGCAGATATAGCCCAAGTAGCCTTAGGATCACGATCAAAACTGGCCTCCAAAATTCTTTCAAGGCGACGTTCGAAAGCAACTGGGAAAAACATTGATATCGCGTCTGTTAGCATGTTCAACAGGAAAGATTCGATTACAGCCGCCAACGAGAGGCTTCAGGTTGAACACCCGTTCCTGAAGTATGCGGCAATCCACTGGATCTCACACACATGCGATTTTCAACAAAAGGAATCTAAGTCTTGGAACTTGTGGAAACGAATAATCATCGACGTTAATAACCTGGCAATCAAACCGTGGGGGGAAGCCGATTCATTCGATGCCAACAACCCCATTCTGTTGGAATGGGCCTATAACGCTCGTCATTGTGCATTAATGCGCCTGGTCAATACCTCCGACGGGCTCTCCGCAAGTAGAAGATTGCAAATGATACAAAAGTCAGCAAAGGATCCCAACATTCCAGTCCTAAATATTCTTCTCGAGAATCAAAGCTGTGGCAGAGAAATTGACCACTTACTACGAGCAGCTGCAGGACGTGGCTATCTAGAGGTTATCAAGAGGCTACTTACTGCTAGAGCCGACGTCAATGCTAAGGCGGCTGGTAGGGATGGTCTGACTGCACTACAAGCAGCTGCAAAAGGTGGTCATCTAGAAGTCGTCGAGAGGCTGCTTACTGCTGGAGCCCACGTTAATGCTAAGGCTGCTGAATACGGAGGCCGGACTGCACTTCAAGCAGCTGCAGAAGGCGGCCATCTAGAAGTCGTCGAGACGCTGCTTGCTGCTAGAGCCGACTTCAATGCTAGTACGGCTAAATATAGAGGCCGGACTGCACTTCAAGCAGCTGCAGAAGGTGGCCATCTAGAAGTTGTCGAGAGGCTGCTTACTGCTAGAGCAGACATTAATTCCGAGGCGGCTCGTGAGAATGGCCGGACTGCACTTCAAGCTGCTGCAGGAGGTGGCCATCTAGAAGTCGTCGACAGGCTGCTTACTGCTAGAGCAGACATTAATTCCGAGGCGGCTCGTGAGAATGGCCGGACTGCGCTTCAAGCAGCTGCAGAAGGTGGCCATCTAGAAGTCGTCGAGAGGCTGCTTACTGCTAGAGCAGAAGTTAATGCTAAGGCGGCTCGTGAGAATGGCCGGACTGCGCTTCAAGCAGCTGCAGAAGGTGGCCATCTAGAAGTCGTCGAGAGGCTGCTTACTGCTAGAGCAGAAGTTAATGCTAAGGCGGCTCGTGAGAATGGCCGGACTGCGCTTCAAGCAGCTGCAGAAGGTGGCCATCTAGAAGTCGTCGACAGGCTGCTTACTGCTAGAGCAGACATTAATACTAAGGCTGCTGAATACGGAGGACGGACTGCACTTCAAGCAGCTGCAGAAGGTGGCCATCTAGAAGTCGTCGAGAGGCTGCTTACTGCTAGAGCAGAAGTTAATGCTAAGGCGGCTCGTGAGAATGGCCGGACTGCACTTCAAGCCGCTGCAGAAGGTGGCTATCTAGAAGTCGTCAAGAGGCTGCTTACTACTAGAGCCGACGTTAATGCTAACGCTGCTGAATATGGAGGACGGACTGCACTTCAAGCCGCTGCAGAAGGTGGCTATCTAGAAGTCGTCAAGAGGCTGCTTACTACTAGAGCCGACGTTAATGCTAACGCTGCTGAATATGGAGGACGGACTGCACTTCAAGCAGCTGCAGGAGGTGGCCATCTAGAAGTCGTCGAAAGGCTGCTTACTGCTAGAGCAGACATTAATTCCGAGGCGGCTCTTGAGAATGGCCGGACTGCACTTCAAGCAGCTGCAGAAGGTGGCCATCTAGAAGTCGTCGAGAGGCTGCTTACTGCTGGAGCCCACGTTAATGCTAGTATGGCTAAATATAAAGGCTGGACTGCACTTCAAGCAGCTGCAGAAGGTGGCCATCTAGAAGTCGTCGACAGGCTGCTTACTGCTAGAGCAGACGTTAATGCTAAGGCGGCTCGTGAGAATGGCCGGACTGCACTTCAAGCTGCTGCAGGAGGTGGCCATCTAGAAGTCGTCGACAGGCTGCTTACTGCTAGAGCAGACATTAATTCCGAGGCGGCTCGTGAGAATGGCCGGACTGCACTTCAAGCAGCTGCAGAAGGTGGCCATCTAGAAGTCGTCGAGAAGTTGCTTACTGCTGGAGCCCACGTTAATGCTAAGGCTGCTGAATACGGAGGCCGGACTGCACTTCAAGCAGCTGTAGAAGGTGGCCATCTAGAAGTCGTCGAGAAGTTGCTTACTGCTGGAGCCCACGTTAATGCTAAGGCTGCTGAATACGGAGGCTGGACTGCACTTCAAGCAGCTGCAGAAGGTGGCCATCTAGGAGTCGTCGACAGGCTGCTTACTCCTAGAGCAGACGTTCATTCCGAGGCGGCTCGTGAGAATGGCCGGACTGCACTTCAAGCCGCTGCAGAAGGTGGCCATCTAGACGTCAAAAGGTTGCTTGCTGTTAGAGCCGATGTTAATGCTAAGGGGGTTGGTGTGGATGGCTGGACTGCACTTCAAGCCGCTGTAGGACGTGGCGATATCTAGAGACCTGAGCAAAAAGGAGCACAGCAATTGTTGTAGGACTAGAAAGGTGTGTTTTGCTATTCTGAAGTTTCTGAAGCCGGGAGCAGTGCTTACTGCAAGCCTCGGGCTAATTTCCTAAGTAGTGCTTGATTGTAGACGCATTATCAGGGCTAGTCATGAACTCATTACACGGTGACGTCTATATCTATGGATGTAATAGTACGCATCTGGTCGGTCAAGATGTGTGAGTATGTACAGACTATGGACACCAATATTGTCGCAGAGAGCATGGAGGCGAAATAACACATATCGTTCAGTTGCATATTCAAACTTGTGTCGAAGGATAGGATCAGTGACTGTTGTTAAGGCCTGTGACCGCTCCCGGGGAACGCCTCCCAATTGCTTAGCTATGCTTCGATTCTCCACGTAGATTGCGAGTAGAGCAACTGTCGGACCTTCAAGGCTACTCCGTCAAGACTGCTAAGTCAAAGGAGAAAAGTAAAGCCGCAAACTGTACAAGGTATGGGTCAATATGACCTCTACCCATTGAACCACACAAGTCCTGGCTGTGGGGCAGGCATCAGTCATTTCTACCTATATAAGGCCCCTATGGCCGCCCTTCACTTCTCTCAGGACTCTCCAGAGATCATGACACTTTCAATACAAGACCATTTGCCCACAATCCAATAGCAACACCAGCTCAACCACCTGACCCAAAACTAACATTAAAAGTGGTGGATCAGCGGCTGGATCTCATTGGCCACAAGCCAAAAAAGTGGCTGTGCTTCGTCACCATAAAACACACCCCGGGGGGACACTGTGGAATCGAGAAACGGACAGTTACAACAGAAGATTTGTTCCCGAAGCTCTAACCGTGGCTAACATGGGAATTTTATCCCTGAATGTCTAACAAATATGTCGTTGTAAGGCGTTGCTATCCGTTTGACTACGTATCTTGAAAGTAGGCCCGAAGAAATATCAATCGGTTATGAATCTTCCAGGTCCCGACTCTGTTGAAAACATCCGGCTGGACTTGGGCGTGCTGTGTCTTATTTATAGAACGATGATTCCGTAAGGGACGCTCTTTCTCCGCCATCATTCAAGCTTCACTTATAGGCCGAGTAATTGGTCAAAATTATGGCAGAGTAGGCCCTTGTAACCCTATATGTCAGCAGGTGCATAGAATACAGCGCATAATTGGTTGATGAAAACGCGTAGTTCAGAGCTCACATTCTTTTGCATCAGTTCAGATTGGTTTAAAGACATCCGTTTTTTGTCTGCAACGCCCCCTGAATTCGTCTGCTGTTAAAACAATACCACCATATTTTGCACACCACATTTTGCGAGAGCTTATTACACCAACACGCTGAGCTCTGCGGTGGCCAATGGCAGCATCTGCGGATGACAAAGTTCCTAGTGGCCAATTTGACAAAAACCATGCGTATAGCGATGACGGGCAGTGTATGCTCGTAGGTTTAAGGTGGAGATGATGAAGACGGACAGCAAGATGCCCAGCAAGATCATCTGTCCGAGATGGTAACAAAAAGATGAACCAAGAGCCTTCTCACTCTGATCAGATCAACAAAAGTACCTCAGCAGGTACGAACAATCGACTGAGCCTCATCAGGCTTGAACAGAATATGATCTTTTGAGGTCCTAGGACAGAATCACTTCAAAGTGGAGAGATGTAAGTAACTAAATAATCAACAGTTGAAGAGGCTAGTTTTGGTTCAGCGAAAAGTAACTTTGTCGCCATTCCCGAGCAGATGTGGGAGGTTAGAACCATCAACCCCCCATGCAGCTGTAGAGTCGATGAACCTCGTAACCAGCCGCCTTCGGGTAATATCAATAATCCAGAATGGCGTCCGGAGTTACGGCATGCATACCAGTGATCCAGAAGAGGAGCCATCTCATGGTATCATGGGACCATTGCCAACACGACTGGTGAATGCCGGTCTTGATCTGGGGTATACAGCATTCTACGACTTGGCAAGCAACCTATTCCTTGTGGCAGAGGAAAAAAAGAACAATGGCCACAATACCAACGCACCAATACCATAGCGGTTTTCCAATGCCTTAGACGCGAGATCAACACTGACTGAATTAAAAGGGCCCGAATTTAGAGTGAAGCATTTGTGAAGACTACCGCTGAATCGACCTAGAGGAAGTGAACTTCGGGTATTAGAGGACAGCGTAATAATGAGGGGTGACAAATATAAGCAGCACAGAGTAAGTGTGAGGATTGAGTCCTGGGCATTTAAATCCAGGTGCCTTTCACATGATGTTGTAGAAGCGTCGCTGGGGCAAGCGGAGTACTTGATGAAGTGCAAAGCAAATCATCTAGATAATGCAATAAGCATACGACATGATAAGATATGACATAAATTCCGGCACTATGGAGTGTGACAGTTTTAATTATCACCCCTATGGTTCTCAAGTTGAACCAGAGTTGATGCAAGGCAATGATGTTATGGAGATGACATGACCCTAATACGCAGCCAATGTCAAAATAACACAATAGAAGACCAATGACTTTTTTACATGAACTTGAAAGTTATATATGATATAGATCTTGACCTCAAGATGAGGTAGTACTGGCCATCAACCTCACCGAATACCATCACATTGCGTCCTAGCATTGTGAGTACTGCAATATTCGAAAAGGGGTTAAATACACCGCTTGATAGACTTAAGCACCAGTTATGTGAATATAGACTTCATGTGCCATTTCATGATATCCATCTTGTTATTGTAGACGAATAACGCTAGTTTCATTTCCAAGGGTAAATAGGCAAACATGCCCGCGCATAGGGTCTGTCCTCGAGTGACATCTCAATAGCGCCTCGATGGCCCACGATTCATCTTTGTGTCGCATCTCATTGAAGGACACTGTATGACGAGGCCTCAATATCCAGTACGGTAGTAGAGGAGCCTGGGCAGATGGAATTACCATTTCGAGCGCTCGGCGAATGTGGAGCCTCGTTTTGGATAATCGGCGCAAGGACAAAACTCAACGTATCGTATATACGACCAGGTGGTAAGCTGAAGCCAAATTAACCGGCGGCAAAATTCAGGGGGCCACTATGATCTCCATGCTATAGTTCTCCAACTGCATTTTAATTTTGAGACTTGGTCACTACCGACGGATATGTACCCCACAACCCGCGGCAGTTTAGCAATACGCGATGCTAATGGTCATATTCATTGAAACGTCCCTGTCTGGGGATCAGGAAGATCAATATTTATAAATGGAGGTCATTGGCCGGATGATCAAAGTTACAAGTATAGACACGGGCGGATAAATCGAACACGCAAGGTGAAACTTTCCTTGTCTGTATAAATAGAAGAAACGCCCTCACCCTGATCAGCTTGCTTGATACAAACCAGAAACGAAACGGAAAAGACTCAGTATCTATCAGGATAGTTCCAAAAATACCACAATGCTGTCCAAAATTATTCTCCCGATTCTCTGCGCCGTCAGTGGCGTCGTCACCTCACCTGTCAATCTGACCTCGCCCCTCGAACTCCTCCCTCGCGGAACCCCCGCCGGTACAGGTATCCATGCCCAATCTATTACATCTCAGTTCCCGCCGCCTTGGCTACAGATAATGCTCCCACATCCTAGATCAAGACTAACAGAGAGTCTCGAGGTACCAACAATGGATTCTTCTACTCGTTCTGGACCGATGGTACGTTTTGTCCTTCTTCCCGTGTTCTAAAATTTCCCCTCTACCACAACTAACACCTTCCTTTCCCCACCCTAGGCCAAGGCTCGGTAAACTACAACAACGGCGCCGCCGGCTCCTACGACGTGACCTGGTCCAACGTAGGCAACTTCGTTGCGGGCAAAGGGTGGAATCCCGGTGGCGCCAAAACCGTCGTCTACAACGGGACCTGGAATGCCGCCAACGTGAACTCGTACGTGTCTTTGTACGGGTGGACCAAGAACCCCTTGATCGAGTACTACATCGTGGAGTCGTACGGGTCGTACAACCCATCGAGCGGGACGTCGAAAAAGGGCAGCGTCACGAGCGACGGTGGCACCTACGACATCTACCAGACGACACGGACTAACCAGCCCAGCATCGTCGGCACGGCAACTTTCCAGCAGTACTGGGCTGTGCGCACGCAGAAGCGCATTGGGGGCACGGTTACGACGCAGAATTTCTTTGATGCTTGGGCGAAGACGGGTATGACCTTGGGAAGTCATGATTATATGATCTTGGCAACCGAGGGATATCAGAGTAGTGGTAGTGCGACTATCAATGTTGGGAGTGCTTAGGTGCTTGAGAGACGTGGAATAGGGGTTAAATGGTGACTGGGTTATGGGACAAAACGTTTGAGTCTGCAAGCCCGGCCTCAATGCAGTTCTGTGTATGTGTTAATCGGGAACTTTATGACTTAGTTGCATATGCACTTGGGATTTCCGTTTCCCGTGACGCAAACTAAACTACCTCAGTTGACTTGCCGATTGAATGACTTTTAAAGTGATTGGCCACCGAACTACCTGACTGAGCGAAGTGTGGTCAAGAGATAAAGTCCCACTTCGTTCTAAAAGAGGGTGCCGCGTCTGATTCTCCAGTCAGGAATGTCGCACGAGAAATACGCAAACCATATGGAGGCTCTCTCCCCCCCAGCGTCCCGTATCACCCGAAGCTTTCGTATTATATCTGTAGTTGAAGTCAATCGTCCAATGTAAGCTATTCCGTTTTGCCTTCCGCTTTCTCTTTCCTGTTCGCCCGCTTTAACTTCCCGGCGACTTTGCTCAGCACTGCCACAATCTTCCGCCTCAGCACCATCAAAGTAACCTCAGGACCCTCGTCCTGTCCAACAAACCTCCGGACAAGAATATTATATAAACCACCAAATGCTAGCGCAATAGCCGTACTGGTGAAGATAATTACGTTGTATGGCATGCTGAAATCAGGAGTCGGCAGGTTCAGTAGCAGGCCACTTGTCCGCAAATTGCTGAAAGCGCGCGTGCTCTTGGTCTGGTCAGCATGTAATATGGTAATAACAGCAGCTGCGACGTCAAATCCTCTGTTCGCGTCGGGCGGGTACTCGGTGTACCGCAAAATGGTTTTCTCAAAATCGTAAGTAAGGAAGACAGTACTCTGTGGCGGAATGCGCATGCGGAGCTCCAGTTGAGTACCACGCTGTCGGTCCAGGAAGGGGCGGTAGTAGATTTCTTCGACCACATCCTCATCTTTCCGCAGGTGTCCGCTTTCGCCTGACAAGACACGTGCTTGCAGTGTGTGCAAATAAATGCGCATGAACCACGGGAGGCTCTCCATGTAGACAAACTCGACCTCCTGGTCAGGACTTGGGTTCGTCAGGATCGTCTGTACGCCGCCCCTTTCTTGACCGTGGCCAGTAAAGCTGCGTTCTGCATACAAAAGCGGCGTATCTGGCTCAAGGTACTCGTCGGTATCGGACTTGGCGTTCTCGCCTACGTGTTGCATGCTTGGCAGTACAATCTGGAAGTCTTCATTCTCAGGAATGATGTAGCAACGCTGCGGGAAGTTTGGGTCCTTCAACTCCTTCACCCCGGCCGAAGTGAACACATCCCTGCTGTGCGGGGCCTGGATGCAGACTGGGGCGATGTTGGGATCCGTCAGCGGGCACGTGCCGTGCATGGACTTCCCGAAGATTTGTTGTAGTGACCACTCTTGGCCGGCTACGAAGCCAATTGGATAACAAGTGTGTTCATCATGGTAAGGCTTGCTGCTGTTGCACTTCAGTTCGTGGCCCGGAACTGGACGGGGAATGGGATTGCCTGCTCATTGTTAGCATCGTGGTGTGAGAAAAATAGAGGGAGCATTATTGTACCCCTTGGCCGCTTGGACCGCTCGATATCGAGTACCATATCAATCGTCTGTTGGATCTCCAATATGCACTCCTCTCCAGCAGGGCAAACCGGGCGGATATCAATAGCCATGCTCTGCCATGAAGCATCAAACAGCTTGTGGCCGTCTAGGAGACTCGATATTCCAGCTTTCCCCTTGCACGGCAGAAGCTTCAGGAAAGGCGTCAAATTCTCTGTACAGACAACCTCCCGCGGCAGAACCCCGTGCAGCAGATGCATGTTTGCCATGGTGATGTTCAGGTGGTCTCCCTCAGGTCGGAAGGACATAACAGGTCGTATGGTTCGGGTGCCATCAATGAAGTTGAGCGATGCGCAGAAGAGGCCCGACAGCGCATTGGTCAAGGTGAGCCACTTGTGATCCGCCCTGTATGTGCAGTTAGCAGTTTGCCTTCGTCTGGCTTTCGTCTTGGGTAACCATACTCCTCGTCTGTTTCGGCTTCCAACCACGCCCAGAGCTCTACGCCCGTCCCGCCCTCTTTCGTACCATCCCATGGCCTTGCACCCCAGCTGGCCGCGTCCCATCTGCCCAAGCTAAACCTCAAGTGAAGCTCTCTCGTGCCGGCATATTGCAAAATCTGACCCAGCGATCGTGGGAAGTATCGAAAGTTGTGGTTCTCGAACTGGGCCAAGCTGGTATTGGATCGGAAGTTGAAGCTGGCGAGGAGCGCCGACTGGGGTAATGGTTTAAGGACAAGTTGCTCGTGGTAATCCGAGGCTAAGATTTGAGCTGCCAATAGGCAAATGGGTATCACAAGGGAAGAAAATAACTGCATCTTGACCGTATGTGGTCCATTGGGACCAGACGAATTGCTCTCGTAAAAGACCGTGGTTTATAAAGATCAACGGAGTCGTCGGTTGGAAGGCGACGTGGAATTTCGTCGGAGCAGCAATAGCGAGCTTCAGCGCCCTACGCCGCATTGACAGGCGACCCCTGTACCAATGACATACGCTAATTGGCCCCCGCAAAATTGAACTTCCAAATTGAATGCAGCCTCGTCCTAATCTTCCGACCTTTGAAGCTCGGTCGGCAAGAAGACGTTTGCGACAATCACCTTCGGTACTTTGCACTTGAGCATATCAACATTCAGAGTCTTCAAACTACCTCCCCATCAACCGAACTCCACATCTCTAGTCAACACCAACCTACATCATCGCTGAACATAACATTACCACACACCACACACCACCATGGCAGCCGAGCAAAGAAAGCTGCTCGAGCAGCTCATGGGCAACCCCATCTCCTCGCGCAGCTCCCAACTCTCCCTGACCGACCCCAAGGTGTGCCGCTCTTTCCTCGCCGGCACCTGCCCGCATGACCTCTTCACCAACACCAAGCAAGACCTCGGTCCCTGCCCCAAAGTGCACGCCGAAGGCTTGAAAGCCGAATACGAATCTCTCCCCGAGCCGGCACGCCAAAAGTACGGCTTCGAATACGACTATATGCGGGACCTCCAAAAGTACATCGACGAGTGCAACCGACGCATCGATGCAGCGCAGAGGCGCCTCGAGAAGACGCCCGACGAAATCCGACAGACTAACGTGCTGCTCAAGCAAATCGCCGAGCTCGGCGCGAGCGTGGATTGTGGGCTCGAGGAGATCCGGGTGCTGGGGGAGATGGGCGAGGTCAGTCGTGCGTATGACGAGTTCTTTAAGTGTCGGCAGGCGGCGCAGACGAAGCTCGAACGCGAGAGGGAGCTCAAGGCGTTGTCGGATACTTCGGGGCCGAGCGGGCATCAGAAGTTGCAGGTTTGCGATGTGTGTGGTGCGTATTTGTCGAGGTTGGATAATGATCGGAGATTGGCGGATCACTTTTATGGAAAAATGCATTTGGGATATGCGCAGATGCGGAAGACGTATGATGCTTTCCCCAAGGAGATGAAGGGCCGACAGAGACAGGGTATGGGCATGGATGACGGCATGGGAGGTCGTGATGATAGCTACGGTGGCGATGGAAGCTGGAAGGGTGGTCCGAGAGGGCCTAGGAGAGGTGGCTTCGGTGGTGGTGGACGTGGACGGGGTTTCAGAGGAGGCTGGTGAGAGGCTCTATGACAGATTGAAGACGAAGCTCTCGATACTTCACGCCTGCGATCGGCATTTTCTTCAAGAGATCACGCGCTGGACAGACGTCGACATTTGCGCCTGGCTCTACAATCCAGTAAGTCGCTGAATCGCTGAGCTGTCGGAGATGCTGACCATGCTTCAGTGTCCGCATATGCTGCTGAGTGGCCTATGGCATGTAACCTGTGTATTTTATTAATTCATTGCATCGGCTGGAGTTTGGAGTTCCAATGAACTCGCGGGTAGACAACGAAGGACTAATTCGACACTATTGTGTCGTATCACTTGTCAATCAATTAGTTTCACTTCAATGTCAGACTTTGGGATCAGCAATCGTCTTGTTTATAGACCAGAGACCCACATGCTGCTTCCAGACAGCAGCTATATGTAAGTTCTTGACCCTTTGAGAGTAATGTGGAAGCTAAATGACTCGAGTCCAGGGACCGTTTCAAACTCAACGTGTAGAAAAGGCCTTGATTTATTTCCCAAATTCTTTTTACACAATGTGTCGCTCTGAGTGTCATTGGTATACAGCCACTGCCGGTCTAACCACAGTATGCTCAATGTGACAATGCTAAAGTGTCTGTCGTTAATTTCAAGTTCTTCCATTAAGATGCCTTTTTCGATTCAAATGCTTCCATATCGTCAGCCCAGTTACCCGATCCTATCGGAGGCGAGATCGGGCCCGGTGATAACGTCGGCAGCTTGTTGTCAGTGGCTGGCTTTCCGGATGTATCAAGTTTCTGTGGCGCTCCGGGCAACGCCGGGAAATCGTCCTCCATTGGCATTGCTTGAGGCGTTGGCTTTGATGTGCCATTACGTGGCTCTCTCGGGCCTCGCTCTCCATCAAAGCCCCCTCTACCTCCTCTACCGCCTCGAGATCCCCGATCCCCACGCCCCCCGCGTCCCCTTCCACGCCCTCTGAACTCACCGGCGCCAAATTCTCGAGGGGCATCATCCTCGCCCCTATCGTCGCGCTCTGCGAACCTACTGCCCGCTAAACCACCTCCGCCGCGCCTCTCCCCTCGGATTCCTCCATTCGCGCTTCGAAAATTCCAGCGCTCAGGCTCCTCCTGTAAACTCTTCTCCTGATCCCAGCTGCCCAACGCCTTGAGCTTGCGCTCCCTGTTGCGCTCCCGCTCATCATCCATCTTCTTGCGCTCCTCCTCGCCGCGCTTGCGCCGCTCAGCCTCCTCCGCCTTGCGCTTCCGCACCTCGACCATGTCGCGGTCGTAGGCAATCTGGTGGCTGCGGCTATCCTGCTCGGCTTGCTGGAATCTGCGCGTCCGCTCGGCGTTGGCGACGCGCATCTTCTCCATCTTCTCTGCTAGTTCCATTTCGGTCAGCTTCTGGCGTGGATTCATGCCGCTGAGGTGGCGGTTAGGGCCGGCTGTGTTAGAGCCTGGTGGCACGGCTACAGCGGGAGCGGTTGGAGCAATGGGAGGTGCGCTACTCGAGCCAGGTGCCGAGGTTGAGGGCGCATCGTTGGAGGTCGTTGTCGTGGGAGTCTGAGCGCGAGCATCTTCAACAGCAGGCGCCGGCGCTGGCGCGGGATCGGAAAGAGCTGTAACAACGACGGGCTTTGGCGACTGCTTGCGAGGGCGCGGCTGTTGCTGTGGCTGTGGCTGTGGGTGTTGTTGAGGTTGCGCCGGCTTCTGTGGGTTTTGTGTATTGTGTCGCGATTGGGATAACGCACTTGGCTTCTTTGATGGAGGCGCAATCTCTTTGACTGCTTTGACTGGTTTGACTGGTAATAGAGCCGGTTCGATCTCGGCTGCGGGAGCAGTTGGTGCTTGAGGAGGTGCGACTGTGTTGTTGTTTACCAACGGGGTTGGCTCGACATAAGTTTCCTCCGCGACAGGCTCGAAATCGTCGGCAAAGAGATCGTCATCCGTCCGTCCACCGAATTGATCGTCCATCTTGTAAGCATATAGCAAAAGCAATGGAAAATACAATAATGTGTGGGATGGAGAAGCTGTGCAATAGCGATAGTTGACGTTTCTAAGAAGTATAAACAGGAAGGTTGTGTTGAAGTTGGAAGTTTCAATTGCCCCTCCATTTGACAACTCGGAAGCGGCACTTGAAGTGGCGGGGCAGGGATAAGCGGAGCCCTGGAGTACCTTCTTCCATTTTGGCAGACCAAATACCCGACAGGAAGTCACGATGAGTATCATGGTATGGTGACAGTGAGCCTCGAAAAGGATATAAACGCTCTGGAACACGTTTACTAAGCCCATGTCACCGCTCATTTCAAGTTTACCCATCGTTCATGCCGACAATTTAATCCCTGAACTCTTGAGTCTGCTGTGCTTGCTTAACCCAGTGATAGCCTTTGCCAACTTGGATGTTTGCTCACGAGTTGTTCGCCACCACAGGGTGTAAACAACTACCACGGGCTGTCATGAGCTGCTCCAAGTCTCGCAGCCGAACGAGAAGGGCATATTTACAGGAATATGAAGCTATAGAGCATCCGCTCTGTCAATCTTCCATGCCCAACTTCCTCAAAACGGCCCCCCTAAACCCCTCAATGCCCTCCACAACTTCGACCTCAAACTTTGCACAAACAAGCAGAACATTCGCCCGACTTCTAAACCCCTCAGGCACACAAACCACCGCCTTCCCACTCCTAACACACAGTCCCAGCTCCAGCATGCTTACAGGCGCATCCGTCACGGGGTGGAGGTACACCAGCACCACGTCCGCCCGCTCCTGCATGTCCAGCTCCCACTCAATCTGCTCCCGATAAGGCCGGCATGCCAAATCGGTCCAGTCCCTACCCCAGTCGGCACGAAAGGGGTTGAAGACGGTGAGGGGTAAGTCTGCGAGAGAGTCGCTCACCGCGATGCGCCAGTCTGCGGTGTCTGTCTTCGCGGTTGAACCCGCTAGGAAGACGGACTGGGAATAAGTGGGGTTAGCCCGCGATGTGGCGTGGATGATTTGGATTTGGGAGTCTGAGGGCTTCATCGTGTCCATTTCCACTATGACGTGAATCAATCGGTGGTTGCAATATTAGATTTTGACTACCGACCCACTGATATGAAAATGAGAAGAGGTTGGGAATGTTGCACTCTCTGGAACCAGAGCTTGAGCTATTATCTCATCCAATGGATACTTGCCAACGGGCTTGCTTCCTCAGCCTTGTGCTACTGCTATCATATTGCACCAACAAATGACGCTGAAGTACAATAATTGCAATTTTCAGCATATTCTCTCGGAAAACTGTATTCAAGCAACAGTAGCATGCGTAGTTCATTACTAATAGTGCCGATATTTCACAACTCATCCACGTTGTATTCTGGAGATAATGTTATAGCACTGACCCACTGTCATGTAACGTCTCATAGCAATCTGTATTGCTGTCTGAACATTGTCACAACAGAGACTCGAAGATCGGGGACTTTTTTTTACCCTTTGTGTCTTACTTTAAACCAAACTAATTTTGAGGAAGCCTTGCCATATCCGAACGAGTAGCGGCAGGTTATGTTCAGAATCAGGGCACTCCACTCCTGTGTATAAACTGTTACCTGAGAATCGAGATCACTTTCGGAAGAGGGGTAAGATCGATGTCGCCCTTGAGGAGGCTGTTGGTGCCATTCGTGCGTTCCTTGGCACACCATTCTAGTGTCCTCAAAAATACGTGCATATCCTCACCTCGTGTTACTCCCGCGCGCGGCATTAACAACCCGACGAAGTCCGCGAATCGTCCATCTACCGCAAATCCAACATGATGCCGATGGTTTTTGTGGGCAATGCCGTTTCCCTGTACACCCACTGCCTGCGCTCCATGCTCGCGATATCGTTGGTATTCATTCCGAATATGCTACTGATGGTGCTGCGAAGTACGAAGATGATGGTTACCATGTTGAAGGCAAACAGAGCTACTTCCTGCCGATCTTTCGTGAAATCGGTTTTGTTAGTATTCTGCAAGCCATTAGTTCTTCCCATCATTTTGAAGCAACTCCCGCTACGTAGGCTTCTACGGCTTACCTCAGACTTAGGCCTTGAGGCTTTCTTTTCGAGCTTAAAAACCTCTTTGTCTCACCTTTAAGTAAAGATCTATGATCCCTTCCGAGCAACCCCGTAAAACTAACTGGATCTTTTAACGACAACCTGGAGGACTTCATTAGATCTCAAATGCTCGTGGAGTCTGGGGAAATATAGTACGCCGGAGGGCCATTTCCATTAGCCTCACAATAGGTACGAGTTCTATGCTGGTCAGTGTCATCGTCGTATGAGCGGCGAGCAAGTTGGATTTTCTCCTCATCATCTGAGTAATACCGACGGCGCTTGGTTATATTCTTTTCGCGTTCTAACATTCGCATCTCCTGGCGGTTCTGAATATCCTGGCTGGCATTTTGAGGGAACATTCCCGATATGACCTTTGACTGGGAGGATATGACACCTGTGATCACAGCGAGTTCCTGCTTTGGCAAGCTAATGCTTTGTTGATCAATTTTGTCAATTACGGTACTAATCTGGCTTCTTTATGAATTTTCGTATCCGTAAGTCCGATTTACAGCTGGTTTAGTAGTCATGTATCTTGCTCACGAGCCCTTGAAGATGTTCTAAATAAGTGTCACAAAGGCTGGGTCTTGAAAGAGCCTCCAACCCACCAGTGCAATAAGCTCCATGAGTTGAATAACAGAGATCCCCAGTAGGTCTTCTGTCGCAAGCTCTGACATCATGTTGCCGTTCCATCGTGTATTAAACCTTCGGGCACATCATGTTCTCCTGCAATTCACTGGAACCCTCTGACCTTTTCAGCGAAGGCTATGATAAGGTTCAACCACGCACATGCAAGGCTATTGTGTACTGTGATTTTTGCTCCCTCAGTCGCTGGTTCATGTGGCAAGATATTCTGTAATGACAGAATTAACCTTGTGATGCCACGCAAAACAGACAGGACTGCCCTAATGCAGCGTTATCGTTCTCGCTGGGGTAGTATTATCCCGAACTTGTGGTTTTTCTCTTTTTGTCAGTCTCGGGCCCACTATATTTCAATGACACTGGGGTTGCTTCTATTTGGCTCACCTCTAACAGGGTCTGGATTTCGCCCCAAAACTTGTCAATAGTCGATGCATCTTGATCAAATCGCAAGGCGGGAAGAGTCTAAGCATGATTTCAGCTGCATTACGTAAGTCAACTCAATTTCGCAGCTTTGTTTCAAGCGCGGTCTATTCAGTTCCGCCTCTGTCTCTCGACAACACTCTTGCAGCTATGAGTGTACCAGTCGCCGGGACGAAGAGTTGCAACCCCTACAAGCACGTTGCTCGCGACCTGGTGTGTACGCTAGTAGATATTGTTCTGCCGCTTTCAGGAGTTCGCTCAAGACATCGCCGTTCAGTCCGGAATTCGCTGTGGATCCGGACTGAATCATGTCTAGTTATATAAAGACAAAGAACTTATTGAAAACCTTGAGCAGTACTGGTGAGCTATCTTGCCGGCTTTTCTGGGGAATGGCCATGTTTCTGTCTTCTCTCCGAGTCTTCACATCTATCGTGCAGAACGTCCATGATGCTGAGAGAGCGCAACATTCCCAATAGAGCTGTCTTAGATGGCTTTCACTCTTGAGACATTGCTTAGGACTCTCTAATCATATCTCATGCCGTATACCACTGGATCCGATAACTCGAGGGCCTTCGAAAGAGCTCGTCTCTTAGCTTCAATTTGGGCACAGCGAGGATGCTGAAGTTGCCAGCAGTATATATCATTGTCGAATATAGAAATACCACTGTCACGTTCAATTCAGCGACTGCTCCAGAAAGTACTATCGTGGCCATGCCGTATCTCTCAACTTTTGAGACGACCCAGTTGTGAGACCACAGAGCTACCGAGGATGTCATGTATGCACTACAGACACCGGGCGGGCCGGCAGAAGTAAGCCTCTTCGACGCTTTCCGGTCAGGCGCTGCGTCGTTTGGAAGCCATCTCCAGTCTTTCATGACCAAGATCGATGTAAATCCTAACACGACACGATAAGCCATGTTGAGCGGCGGAACTACTATTGATATTACATTCTTCTCAGCTGCAAAACTAGTAACCTATTTGATATGTGGGCAAATTATGGCGACCTAGCAGCGAATTTACAAGATTAACTCATCTGGATATGTTGAAGCCAGTTTTCGAGGCACTCATCAACCGCATGATGGGGTCTATACTTTGATTGTACAATTACAAAACATACCTTCGACTTGTGAGCATTTCCGAAGCAAAGTTATCATGCCTATATATCACGTATTGGAGGATTTAGACCTGGTACTGCTGATATGGAAGCCGAGGGTAATAACGCCTTGCAAGAAGCTCTAGCTCTTTCCAGTGACTAAATCGACGAATACGCAGCAAAGTACCCCAAGGCTTCGAAGCGCGTTATCTGTATCTCGGATTATCACGATATTACTGATACGGTGAGCTCAAGCTCCGAAGACTGCGGGCTTCTCCTTCAGAAGTATATCGCAGTTGACAGCGTATGCTGGGGGAAGACTTCAGCAAGTCTTACGTACTCTTGTAATATATGCTGCGTTGTCATCGTTTCCACCCGACATCTCTCGTCAACGCATTCACGATTGCGAGACGAAGCCATGCTTCTTTCTGACGGAAAGACTGACAATCACAACGCCCGGGAGAAGTGCCCCACGCTATACTGCCCACTTCAGGGTTGTAAGAGTGCGATGTCTCGTGTCGCCCCCATAGTAGTCATGAATAACACCAGAGGTCGAGGACAGAAACTGTGCTCATTCGCCGTCGGTAATCTGTCGCCACTCCACGCTCGCTGGGAAGATCCTCAAGCCGGCCAAAATGATGGGCTCTGAAGGATGGCCCCAATGCTAACGATCTGAGTCCGTCCTATCCACACTGAAGATGATTAGCCTAATGACAGTTGCAGGTTGAAGATCATCCATAATCCTAGCCACCCCGCAATCTCCTAAGTGCTCCACGCGGGGGATTTGGTGGCGGGGCGGCTCGCAGTTCCAGAAGAATGTCCTCCTTATACTTCAATGTAGACCGCACTCATAGATTTTGACCAAATAGTGCTGTCTTTGACTTCTACTGCTCAATTGGAGAAAATAACTTTGTTTTGGACAACGCCGCAGTCAGCTCCCCCGACCACCGAGAAGTGGGAGGCATCGCGATCACCCCAGGATTCATCCACCTATTACAGTGACTCGCTCCTCGCGTATCCCCCAGGGCCTTTCTTGCCTCTGTAGATTTAAATTTCCGATCAAGAAATTTGATAATAAAAGATCCTAACCCCTACCAATTAAAATGTCAATGGTTTTACATGCCATGATGTTGTGGAGGCCCAACTGCAAGTCAAACGAAAATTGCAGGCAGACTCAGAGCTGAGCGCACTGCAACCATGAGGGCGGCCTTTATATCATCTTTTGTCGCGGCATTGGAGTTCATATCACTGACCTCCGCTACAAGCAATCATACCGGGCTTCCGAAACGTCCAGATGTCCAGCCCAGGCCATTCAACACCGGCCAGTCTATGCCATACTCTCCATCAAGAGAGGATGGCCGGTATTGTTACGTCAAGGCGGGCGGTAACTCAACTCGAGATGATTCTCCCGAGGTCCTGAAGGCTTTCAAGAAGTGCAATGACGGAGGCACAGTTGTGATGGACAAGACGTATCTGATCGGCTCGCCGCTCGACCTGACCTTCCTCAAACACGTCGATGTGGTCATCACCGGAGAGGTCGACTTCGACGACAGCGATGTCTATTATTGGGCCGAAAACAGCTTCAAATTCGCATTCCAGAACCAGTCGACCTTCTGGAAGTTTGGAGGGGAGGATGTGAACATCTACGGCGACCTGAGCAACGATAAGTCAGTCATTGATGGACGTGGACAGGCGTACTGGGAAGCGGTCGTGACGAACAAGACCCTGGTGCGGCCGGTGCTATTCTCCATGGATGGGATGAAGGGTAGCACGATGTCTAACTTGAGAATGCGAAATACTCCCGCTGTAAGTTACATCGGGTCCATATTTGGCATCGATATTAAACGAGGCCAACCCCTGGCTCAAGTACAACGGACTTTGCTTACATTATCTGTAGTGGTTTAACCTCATCGCGAACAGTACAGATATCCTCATAAGCGACATGGAACTTCAAGCTAAAGTAAGTGAATACTACTACCATCTTGCAGGTGAAGAAGTGTTGTTACTAAAACAGGACACGCAGAGCGAAAATGGTGTCAAAATAGCAAACTCAGACGGCTGGGATATTTACCGCTCAGATCGGATTGTTATCCAGAACTCGGTCGTTTTGAATACTGATGGTAAGTCATTTCCAAGCAACTTCTTCAGATGACTTCTAGAGTTTTCAGCCCAAATCTTGTTGCATACTCATCCGGATTGGGATGTGGTCCACTGAAATGGCGAAAGTCCCCCGACAAAATCTTTGAACAGGCTATATCCAAGATAAATAACATACTAACTCGGCCTCTCTACAGACTGTGTATCCTTCAAGCCGAATAGCACCAATATCGTCGTACAGGGCCTAGACTGCACCGGCTCCCATGGTATCAGCGTCGGCTCCCTGGGCCAATACAAGGGCGAGACAGATATAGTGGAGAATCTCTACATATACAATATCACTATGACCAACGCCAGTGACGGCGCACGTATAAAAGTTTGGCCCGGTATCGAAACTGAGTTCCAAGAGCTGTTGAACGGCGGTGGAGGACTTGGACATGTTCGAAATGTTACTTACGATGTGTTCCATCACTACAATAATGATAGGGCTATCACGATTACACAGTGTTATGGGCAGAGCAACCAGACACTTTGTAATGAATTTCCTGTGAGCACCTCATCTTTGAAACACGCTGGATCTGAGAGACCAAACTAATAATATCAAGGCCAACTTAACAATCAAGGACATCACGATGAAGAACATGGACGGTGTTACTTCAGCCAAGCTGGACCCCAAAGCTGGAAGTATGGTTTGCAGTGCCGAGGACGTGAGTGAACCCATTTTAAGCGGCGGGATCATAAGCTGAAAAGTTTACAGCGTTGTAGCAACATCCGGGCGGAGAATATCTCGATCACTGTTCCCAGTGGAAAAACACCTTTGTATGAATGCAAAAACCTCGGTGTCAGCCTGTTGCAGATTAATTGCACAGCGGAGACAGAGGGGGACCAAGATACGTCTCAAGGATAGGAGCAGTTCTCAGAAGGGTTGATTGATAGTAACACATGTGTACCAGACAATAAATAGCTGTGCTGTGGAACTTCCTAGGGTGACTCTAATCTATATGTCCAATGTAAAATATAGTAAGATAACGTTAACGTACCCCACAAGCAAGTTGGCCACACAAGCAAGTTGGCCACTTTTTCTTGGCACCGTATGAACAACCTTTTAATTAACATCTTTACACATACCAAGATGGGATCGAATTGGAAAGAAAGCGACATGATTCTAGCGTGTCAGTCGCTTCAATCGAAACCCGAATTAAGCATCCGACGCGCTGCCCAACTCTACAATGTCCCTCGTACAACTCTAGCTAACCGAAAACGCGGACTACTATCTAGACGCGATACTCGACAATCTAGTCAAGAAATTGAAGACCTAATACGGGCGCATATAACTCATATCTCGAAGGAGGATTTCTTTTCGGCATTCTATAGGGCGTATCGTACGACTATAACTAAGTCGAATATCCAGGCAGGTTTCAGGGGGACAGGACTTATTCCGTACGACCCGGAATATGTGATTTCACAACTGGATATTAAGCTACATACGCCTACACCTCCTGGGAGCTCGTCGGGCGCCACCTTAATCTGGGAATCAAAGACTCCAAATAACCCAACCGAGGCGCAATCCCAGTCTGAATACGTTAAAAACAGAATCGTATAGCATCAGAATAGCTCCCCGACGACAATACTTACGGCTATTGACCAATTTTCACGTGGTGCGACGGCTGTTATGCATCGGTTAGTTTTACTTGAGGATGAGGTTACTACACTTCGGAAGGCCAATCAAGAGCTAAGCCGTCGTCGAAGGACTCAAAATCGACAGCTACAAGATGGAGGATCTCTTAGTTTACGAGACGCTCAGGACTTAAAGTCTCAACGGGATATTGAACAGCAGCTACAGGATGATATACGTGTAAGTCGTCGTCGTACGAGACCGGCCGAACCACGCCGACGGCGCTGTAGGACCTGCGGAGAGCCCGGACATAATGCTCGTACTTGTGAGAATGATAAAGATACGTACGAGGAAGAGGATTCCGATTAGTTTGAATTATTATTTTTTAGTTTAGTTAAGTTATTGAAGTTATTCATACGGTGCCAAGAAAAAGTGGCCAACTTGCTTGTGGGGTACGTTATTCACTTGCCAGCCGGGTTCTCCTCATTTATTTCGTTACATACGGAAATAGCATTACTCGAGAGTTCATTAAAGGGCATTGCAAACAGAGCTTAGAATTTCGAGGTTCTGGATCTCCTTCAATTAGCTGAAAGTGAGTTGACCACATCCCTTTCACTAAGATGTCCGAAGAAGAGATATTTCCCTCTACCCATTATATTCCCCGTGTCATCTGTTGACCTCGATTCTATGGATACCCAAACCAGAATGGTCATCAACAAGACACCAAAATAAACCGCGGATTTATGCAGATAATCCTCTTTCATGGTGGTACCTAGAGAAAACAGGAGGCAGAGCGAAGAAAAGATGTAAGTCCTGGAATACAGATCATAGGTTGATATAAGACCTCACCCCCACCCCTAGCAAATAGATAGAGCAGAGCATTATTTACGTCGCAGTTTTTAAAAGCATGCATATTAGAGTTTGAAAAATGTCTTCATAGAGCCGTCCAATTACTAGAGAACTATGTCTAGTTCCGTCCGCGCGGACACTTTCGATGCAGGCTCAGCCCGTCCTGGATACTCTAGCCTCGTTGAAATGCGACATACCCCAGATACAGGATGCGGCCTCTTCGCTAACCAAACTATCAGCCGCAACATGATAATTTTCACCGACGACTTCATCAACACGACCACTGACCCTATAGTGACACGACCCAATCAAGAGCCACCCTGTCTATGTTTTCCTTGGAGCCTTTCACAACCTTCCCAAGCAAGACAAAACCGACTTCATGAAATGTACTGCCCTCAACTGCGCCTTCAGGTAGTCCAGAATCACGACCACGACCGAATCTGCAATTGGTGCGAGATGAATGATCGGAGCATCACTAATTCTGCATGCAACCATTCACCCAAGGAACTAGAAAGGAAATCCTTTCGTCGAAAGCTTACCGGGAGCTTTGCAATATTCGAATCCAAAAAGGCAGCCATTTCCCGGTACCCCACCAACGCGAAGCACTTGACGTCTGCGGTGTTCCATCTGTTCAGCCGGATTGGTCACTCGTGTAAGGCGAATACGTACTTTTATAACAGCGGGTCGAGGCCCGCGCTTTAACAGATGTGAACAAGGGGGGGCAGGTCACGATTGGTTATCTTGAGGTTCTATCAGAGCCGAGGGTGAAGAGGCAGGATAGGTTGTTGAATTGGGGAATTGGGGATTTGAGTCTCAGTCTGAGACTTATGTTACTTAGTTGGTTTCATTCGTTTATTTTTTCATATGCGTGCATTCGTACGGATAGAGATGAATTTAATAACGATATTATTGTCATGTTTTGGTGTGACCATTGTGATAATCACACTTGGATGAAGACAGGATTTCGATCCAGTTATTTTGTCTTGTCAACAATAACTATGTACTATCACAATTTTGGTGCTCAGAGACTATGTCAAAAGGAACAACAACTTGGTTCCGTATAGTGTCAACTCCTCACTCAATAGCCGGACAAACAGCAACAGGCTGCGGTGAGGGTACTGGCGCCTCCGTCTCAGGCGGCAAAGAATCTCCCTTAAAGTCAACACCCTTACTCGGCTGACCTGCAGCCGCCTCATCAAGCGCAACGTTGTGGTTCAGTTTCCTCGAGGTCTCCGTCAGTGCCGTCTGATTACCGTGCCCCTGAGAGACTTCAATCGTTCTCGTCAAAAGAAGCAGCTGCAGTTTGAGGATCTTGTTCTTGTTCTTGCCGAGTTGCAGAGCCCGAACTACGGCCGAACCTGGTTGCGTAGCGTTTGCTTTTGCGATGGCGTCGTTAAATCCCCCCGTTTCGGTTTCGGCGTTTTCGGCAGTCTGACGAGCAGCTTTGAGAATGGCTAGGTCGTCTGGCGTCACGGAAGCTGGGTCCCGGAGAATGGTGTCGACCTGTTCGTATGTTTTAGCTGCATTCTTCCGCACAAGCTGAGACCGACTTACAGGAAATTTCTGCGCGACCTCCGCAAGGGCTTGTCCAGCCACGCCGTCGGATATCTGGAATTCTGCGTATCTCTGAGGTCTCAGGAGCACAGAGACCCGCTTGAGCATGGGGTTCGAGAGACCTATGGCAGCAACGGAGAGAATAAAAGCGGTCCTGGAAAAGTACATCTTAAAATGTAGAGCAGGAGACGTTGTGTGTGAACTTGAAGTGCGATTGATAATATCTGAAAATACAGTGAAGGTGCGGTATGGTGTAGCGAGAGGCAAGAAGGATAAAGATGTGGTAGTTTCTGGCTCAAGTATCTCACTTTATAGTGGATTAACCATCAGCGCAAAGTTCATTTGGACTTCACTGACTTCATTCCGTTTCATCTTATCTATATTGAATCTCGCGACGAGTTGTAGGCCTTTCCTCGTTCTGCATCCAGACCATCGGCGTATTCCGGTGGATACAGGCAGTCTGAAGGGGCAGAAGATTCGTTCCATGTCTCAACTGAACGTTGAGTTGCCTTCACAAATTCCGAGCGTTTAGATAACTACATGTCACATCTGGCACATCCTTCGCAGCAAAGAACATGAAGCTGAGCGGTTTCGACGATGGATTGCTGGCGTGAAATTTATTCGATAACGCGCCGATAAATCACGGGACAATTGTCAAGGTGGAATTGGGCTCTCCGATATTGTAGTTTGTAACAGGTTATCAATATGGCTATAATAGATCTGGATGAACTCGTTTCTGACCAAGTCAGAGAGCAAGCGATCATGAACGGATTCAAATTTTGACTTCCAAGTGACGTGTAATTGGACCCAAGACCTATCAGATCCATCAATGAAGGCTCTAGTCCGGCATCAAGGCCGTAACTTTAACCTTGATCTCAAAATAGATACTTGGTCAAGGGGCTAGATCTTCTTGGGTGCGATCACAGAATATATTGCAAGTAGCTCGCATCACTTGGGGATTTGCGTTCGTTACATATGATAAGACGTACATATAATCTTCACAGTCTTATTAGCATCATGCTCTTTCTATGATCGACATCACGGATGACAGCTCTGACTTCGTCTTTATAATCGCGAATCACACACGCAGGATATATAAAACATAAGTGACGGTTAATTTAAAAATATGGGAAGGGCTCGACGTACTTGGAATGTCCTTGTTACATAGGGATTGATGTCACAGTGCTTGGCCCACAATAAGACCCCAAGAGAATGAACGTCATTACTCTCAGTTGTCTATGGCTTTGGGTTGCAAAATGAAACATCATATTTACCAAATGTACGGATTGACACCAGTGAGCCTTGATGGCTTGACTTTCTCTGGCTTTGAGAAGTTGAGACGACGGAGCAGGGCTCATACCTGATCTTGACTTAAAGTGACTTAAAGTGTCCTTGGTAAGCTGTAGACTAGGATTGAACCATTCCCCGCCCCCCAAATAGGGTTGACTATACTAAATCATAAACTGCTCGGAGTAGAACTCAAGCTGTTATAAGCGACAGTTTGTCCAGTATGCGAAGTCATAAACGTCTGCATTGATATGACCTTAGTGCCCCGCCATTTCTGGATCCTTTTACCCCGCGATGTTGCGATGCGCCACTTGTGCAAATTGATAAATCCGAGAGTAAGGTGAGGGTTCCTGGATCCTGCAAACTTCAGTATACCATGAATAAGGATGCAACTCAATTGATTGAGCCACAGACTTGTTCACTTATTTCATAGTATCATTTCATAATGCTTTTCTGGGATCTCAGAGGTTTTTATGTAGGCGGTGGACCGTAGCAGGCCACCACGACGTTAGCTACACAGTACTTTTTAGCTTAACTCCGTACAATTTCGAGGATCGTCACTGGAGACAAATCCCCTGCTTCGGGCAATGTCTACAGTGAGAGTCTATTTAGCCAGCCTCACAATGCAGCATGGTACGTTATGATCAACATCATTGCACGATCAGGAAATTGTCCAGTCTTCAACTTCCTTCTGCCACTTGGGTACTTGGACGTCGCTAAAAAGCTGACTGCAGGAGACTCGAAGCTCAGCCGCAATTGCGGTATGCCGATCGAGGCTGTGCAACCAGTATCTATCTTTAAAAAGTAGTGAGGGTTACGCTTCATTCCCTTCTCAAGAACCTGGCAGGCGTCCCTCACTAGAAAGTGCTTTTACATATCAACTTTAGTCGTGAATGAGGGCTTTGAATGAGTCGCTCGTCTTGTCGCCCTACCATGGCGACGCCGATCTGCTGAGACATTCTCAGGACAACGTAGCGAAACACATTGCGAACCCGAAGCAAGCCGACAAGATGGGAGACCCATCCGGCGGGTGGCAAACCGTCTTGCCTAGCACCCACAGCCGAGTTGAACGACTCGAGCGCGCGCAATTGGAAGCGTACGAGCGCCAGGCCATCGAGTCATGGGCAACTTTCGACGGTAGTTGGTCGGGAGTGTGAGCGCTTCCCTCATGTTATTCGACTTCTCCATGACTGGATCCAGTGGTTGTAGCCCAGAAGCTAATATATATTATTACAGCGGGAAACATCTGTCCGACTATGCCGAGGCGAAAAAGATACACCAGAAGCTCAAGCAGGCCATTGTGCAAGAGTTGGGCGTCGGTGGGCAAGGCAAAGTCGAGAAGTTCAGCTACACCCATCGAAACCGATCGGTCTTCTTGGCGAGGAAACGATTACAGCACCGACGAAAACTCGTTGAAGAGCTACGGGAGGAAGCCAATATTCTTGAGAGATTGTGCCACGATCACATTGTGAGGTTGATTGGAACCTACGCTTACCAACCACGCGAGTTGTATTTGATATTGTGGCCCGCCGCTACGTGCGATCTGTCACACCTGCTTACCGATCTGGACGATTTGCGATTCCATGGCGGAGACCGCGCCGATATACTAGAGAGACTCGGTCTACTCGATCTCGACGATACGAGCGCAATTGATGGCGCACCGCACTCGGTGAGATCTTCCAGCAAGGACAATTGTCCACTGGCCTATTTGCAGCGAATTACGGGATGTGTTACAAGGGCTGTCGACTACTGCCACGTCTCCAAGATCCGACACCTTGACGTGAAGCCGCAAAACATCCTCCTCAGTCCGGGCCGAGTTTACCTGGCGGATTTCGGCATTTCTCGAGACGTCAACGACCAAGATCACACCATGACCTACCTAGAAAACGGGACGCGCAAGTGGAAATCGCCAGAGCGGCTGGATCCAGACGATACTTGGTCCATGCAATGTGCCGATGTGTACTCGCTCGGTCTTGTTTTCCTGAACATTGCCACCGTGCTCTACGGCGCACGTCAGTCGAAACTTCAGGATATTCTAGAACATAATGGCAAGAGTACCAGAGTCCTAGAGCTAGAACAGTTCTGCGACGAGCTGCGTCGGCTGGCCCTCACCTCACAGGACTTCGCTGATGAAACAGCGAGCACATTATCGTCAAAGCACCTTGTATCACTGACGAGCCGCATGTTATGTACGGATCCACCGCAGAGGCCAAATGCGGCACAAGTCAACGAGTCACTGATCGAAATCGGAGGCCTCGAGCAGATTTACCACAGTTCCTGCTGCAAGGTACCGGTGCGACAGCTCACTCAGCTTCTAGATAAGAAGTACGCAAAAGTTTGGGACGAGCGAGGGCGACTTGCTGAAGAAAACGCGAAGATGAGCAAGCGCCTAGATGCACTTGAAGGCAGGGAGGAGATGTACCTTGAGAGAATTAAGATAGAGCGTGACGGGCACGCAAAGAATCGAGCGAACCTAATAAAACGCCTGGAGGATGAGCAGACAGTACGCAAGGAGCTTGAAGCTACCATTCGGAGGTTTCAGCAAAATCGCGGGTCGGGGACAGGGCCAAGACCAGGGCTTGTGCGATACAAACCTACTAGCAGCGGAGGCATTGCCATGAGAACTAGCCGGCCACCACACCAGTCTCCATCACAGCAACAAAGCCCGTTCATGGTCATGGCAGCTACGCCTCTCCTTGCCGGCGTTTCAGGGCCACGCCCTATGTCGCCAAACGCCAACCATCGACGAGAGTCGGACCTTCGAAAGTCAACCGAATCGCTGACGAATTATGCGCTTCGATCCCGCGGGTCGGGCTCCCGTCTACCGCAACCCGTGAACCCTTCAACGCCGATCCGGGCTGGGACTCCAGGTCTCTGTGCGCCTCGCGACTCAAATCTTACTGATAGCACCATCGATAGCCTCACTTCTTCGATGCTCAGCCACAGCAGTCGCCGTACGACGATCAGTCTGCTATCGCCAGCTACCACCAATCCGAGTCCGAACGCTTCAAAGATTGTGCTCGAGGCTGGCAAACCATCAACTCGTAGTGGAGACGAGAGAGAACAACTGTCATATTCGACAATCATCCGAGGCTCTCAGGATCCGGGTAGTCAGGTGGAACCCGCACATGACGGTACTTCAGAGCGTGCAGACTCGGTCCACGATTCGGGCAGTCAATACGGCACAGACAAGTCAGATGTGTCTGCCACCCTCGGGGTTTCATCAATGCCGACAATGAAGAGCTGGGCAGCCATTGCGAGTGAAAAGCACAGGCTTGGGGGAATGATTGGACTTGGTATGGGAAAGAAGAAAAGGGTCTAGATGTGTGTTAAGAAGAGACATGAACGGGAACTATATTGAGTTATGGCCAGTCTCAATTGTTTGGAAAAATTGTTTGGAAAGATACCATTTGCACGTTAGGATTTCGAATGAGGTACATTTACAATCAGCCAAGACTGATTTTGGAACTCATTGGCTGCATTCAAGGAGCTCTCGCTGAGAATTCATGACACATGATCTGTCGTAACTCATATAGTGTTCTTCTGGCCTCAACGTGTCGACAAAAGCTCCTTCTCCTCTCCCTTGAGATAAACCAAGATATATAGTAGTTACTAGGATCATTTGTATGACGATGGTTGAACCCATGCGAAACGATGTTGGCTTCTCTCGTTTTGGGCCATATCATCGCATAATCTATGTATGGATATCTCGATCGGCAAGGGCTCCCCGATTGAAAATCGACAGTTCCAGATCCTGGGGATTCCTGATGCAGGGCAGTGTATATGCTGCAAAATCGATCCCAGGTGCATTAGCGTCTCTGAAAATACGAGGCGCACCATACCACCCGGTCCGGGATTTTCAGCTTCGAGATGGCAATGATCCCCGGAATCTTCTGATTTAACAGGTGAGCTTTGCAAAATATGTGTCTATCGGGACGAAACGCCACGGAGGAACCGACTTCGGATTTTCAATAATTCAAAAGGAAGAACAGTGTCATGACCTGTGGTTTAAGCTGCGGGAAAACGGATGTCCTGAGCGTCACCATTGAAGCTCAACCTTGAAAAGGCTGGATATCATTCTAAGTCATTATCACTGCCAGGTAAAGATAGGCAATGTATACACTGCATTTGAAAAGTTCGTGGTTCTTTCTACTTCACTCAGGGGTTGTGAGCATCTAGCGATAACATAGACCGCAGTAAACACAACTTTCAAGCTTCATACTTTTATAAGTATGGCTCCTCCTCGGATCTAACCGGACTGTTCTATATAACGTCGAGGAAGGTCCCTATCAGGTCAAGCGTGTGGTTTTGGCAATATCATTTACGTTACAACATGGACAATGTCGTATACTGAATATTGTAAAGTTTACATTCGAGGGTCAGGATACAGAACTATACCTGGCAATAAAAGCCTATGAGTCATACTCCCATATATCTTTACTGATATGATTGCTAAGAGGCTGCTCAAAATTGTTCCTAAGGATTTAGATCCATACATATCGAGAATGTCACTGTTATCACCAGTGACTTGTCTTGCCTTCAAGTATTATTTGTGAGTAGATGTTCATTTTATTTGCAATAGGTCAATAGTAATTCTGGAAAAGTGGAAGGGAAGAGACTCCCTAGCTGGGAACGCCGATGTTAGCCTTCTTAATGGTTTTAGAAGTGCTTGCAACTACAGAATTAAGAACTCGAACTTGGTAATCCTCTAAAGTGACAGTCGACTAATATGTTGAAAGTGCCAAGCTTCGTCAGGACTTATATGCTGACATTATAGGTAAGGTAGTGGTAGGTTTAAGATCACCTAGTAGATGCCAACGAGCCTGAGATACATGTTTACGGGTCTTCCGCGAGCCTACCATTTCCTTCTTATTTAGGTTACTAAAAGCTGTCAGAAACATGTACCCTTTCGATGCTATTTGAACCCTTTGCTTCTGCTGATGATATCTTGCGATACGGAATACCTTGACTAGTCACAAGCCAATCAAACATGAATCAAAATCGAGTAAATATGACGATAGCAGTGATAGTTTCAGCTTGTAGTCTTACGCAGGCCTTTCGGGTTAGCGAAGAACGCCGCAAAGATGGCGATTACGGCAAAGCCTGTCGACGCGGCGAACGAATACCGCAGGCCATCGTAGTAGACTAGCTGGGCCTTGCGCTGCACATCGGGCGGTAGATGCCGCAGGGCATCTACTGAGTGACGAATAGCGTCGATGACCTAAACAAAAAGGAGTGATCAGTGTCTTTGTGACAGGTGCTGACGAATAGAGGTTGAGAATAAAAAAGGTTCGTACCTTCCATTTATGCGGGACATCGCTTAGGGCATCCGGGAGTCGAACGCTGAGCGTGGTTTGGACTATTGCAGAAGTGATTGACACGCCCCAGACAGTACCAAGAGATCTAATTAGATACACGGTTGACGCACACACAGCGTGGTCTGGGCGTTCCCTCGTTAGGGCAGCTCTCTTACTTATAGGATAGTCTTGCTTACCTGCGTGTTCAAAGCTTGCCAGAGACGTGAAAAGAATGCCGGGATATACAATACCTTGACCCAGATTCGCTGGGAAGATGAATGTGAAATATTTCCATCTCGAATCCTCAAATTCCAAAGAGGTCACCAATGCATTGCCAAAAGCCATCAGGACGGCACCAGTGCGGACTAGGCCGATCAGTTTGCCCCAGCGTGACATAACGACTCCTGCAATCAGACCGCCGATAGGTGTTGCCAGCGATGGAATCACAAGTCGAGCTCCTGCTGTCGTCGCCGAGTCCAGCAGAACCACTTGAAAGAAAAGTGGAAGCATAAAGAGGTACTTCAAAAATCAGCAAGTCTAAAAGAGGGAAAGATTATTACATATGCTCTTACCGCGTATGCGGAAAGTCCAACGCAGACATTGGCCAACTGTGTCAGCACATGCAGACGGCCTTTCAGCATGCGTAGTGGGATCACCGGAATAGCAGTGGTCCTCGCTTCCACCCAGATGAATAAGACAAGAAGAATAGTGCTCCCAACCAGAGAACCAATGACCCAGGGGCTTCCCCATGGCAGCTCATTCCCGCCCAAGCTCAGTCCAATTAGTTGAACGGAGATGGCTACCACCAAGAGCAACGCACCCGAGAAATCAACCTTGTTCCAAGTTTCCTTGAAAGTGGCGCCGTGGTATTCGGCCTGATGTGGATCCTTTATAACTAGGTACCCGAGGAATAATGCCACAGCTGAAATGGGGACCTGGAGGAGGAAGCACCATCGCCAGCCGATGCTGTCGGCAATGGAGCCACCTAAACTGGCACCGCAGATGGCGCCGAAGCCAAACATTCCGTTCTGTAGAGCTTGATACATGCCGCGTTTGCGGAAAGGGATCATATCCGAGTTAACAATGGTTGCTTGTAAATCTTAGTATAAGTTGCAAGTTGAAAAAGGGAAAGAACTAACCCATCGTCATGAGCCCTCCACCACCAAACCCAGCAAGAGCTCTCATGCAGTTCAGAAAGACGATGTCATTAGCGACGCCACATCCGAAGCAACCAAGTGCAAAAGTAATGGTAGAGATGAAGAAACAAATTCGGCGGCCGAAGATGTCTGAGACCCTTCCGTACAGAGGCTGAAATGCAGTACTTGTAACCAAATACGAAGTCGTCAGCCAGGAAGCCGTGTTGGTCGCATCGAACTCGGAGCTGATGACACCATATGTGGCGGCAGTGATAGTGCCATCGAAGCCGTACAGGAAGACGTTGAACATGATTGCGGCCTCGATCCAGGTGAAATGGCGAGGCGCCACCCAGTCCTCTTCCTTAGGCGCATCATTTCTCAACAGTGGCTGTTGTTCCCCTGATTTACGATGATAGTGGTCATTTTCGTGATTTGGTGATTCGCTGGTGTCCGGAATAGTCGCATCATGAAACGCTGCCGTTGCGCTGATTGCCGGCAAGGGTGCGTTGGCTGAAGACATGAAGTTGTAATGCCAAATACCGCCTAAAACGTAGAACCAACCGACGTTATCTTCAACTAATGTGGCGTCACTGAGGCACAAAATCGCGTCGACAGAATTTTCGGGCCCAGAAATGGATTGCATAGATGAATAGGCCTCAGTTAGTGCATATATATCGTTCTATTCTGCCCGTGTTCCTATACTCGCAGCCCGATGACCGGAAACCTGCGCCGATCTTTACTGGATCACTGGACCGGAACCACGACAACACGGAGCTACCGATACATATAAGTTATTATATTCCTCACTCTTTGTGGACGGAATCAATGGACTCTTTCTGCAGCCTGTCCGCAGTTGGAAATTCACGCCTCTAGGACAACAGCGCCCATGGTACTGAGCATAGTGGCGGGGGATAGGTGCACACGGCTCCTACAAGTAGCGGCAAGATACTGAAGTAACACGACATCTTGGGAGGCTGAGCTCGTCCAAGTTTTCTTCCCACCGGATGATCTACTATCAAAATCCCAAGTCTCAATGCAGATCCTCCCCAACGGAAACGTCCTCGTCAACTGGAGCTCCGAGGGCCGAAGGTTCTGTTTGTGTCGGCTGAGGTGATAGATCCGGCTGGGAAGTTGTTGCGCGTTACTGGCGCTCTTCTGTCGTTGAGTCAGAGGTCTTGCCTGCGGAAGCTGGTCCTATCTTGCATCAGGACGGCGAAACCCCGATCGAGAAGGCTTGTTTGAAGGCCAGCAGCCGTTGGGAAGACTATGACATCTTGAATTCATTCGAGGTTGTCATTCCAGTGAACTTTGAAGTGAAGCAGTTAATAAGGCAGTATTTCTGAACAGGTCGCTTCGGTTTATAGGACATCGCAATCCTTCATGTTCATTATGGCAGTGAGTTTGGGCAAGGGGGCATGTGATAGGGGCAGCTGTGCCGCCGCTCTTGAAACATGATAGGATGCTTGTTCGAGCGGGGTTTCGAATATTTAATGCCTAGAAGTTTTTTAATCTCCTTTATTATACTGTCCTATGCAAGCCTACGGCTTATGAAGACAGTAGGTCCAAAAACTCGAGGTATAGCGGGCATATTACCCAGTCCTACATACAAGTGTAACCCTGTGCTGCGAATTTGTATCCTCCGTAACAATTGTTTGTCTCTGCACTATAAGCTTTGTGAATTATTCCGCAGGTTAAGTTCAATATCGGTGTAGGGCTGTGGACTTTCAGTAGGATGTCCACCTCCTAAATTCTTTCCCCATTACTTTCGCAGTGAGCATGCGTGGTCTCGATAACTGCCGCCGGATTCGAACCGACTATGCTCATCGCCGTATCTAGATTATAGTTGCCACTGATTTGGACTTTCACAGAGTCCACTTCTCATAGTTCGGAAAGTATTGATCATGTAGCCTCCCTGCATATTCTACAATGATAGGAAACTCCTTTACCACCTTCTGGGAGGCCGGAGACCTGGAACCTATTAGTATCCACAACTATGAACGTAGTGAGGAGAGTTGACATACGCGGTGCACAACAGAACAGAAACAATGAAGCCGAACAGAGAAGCATCTGCTTCTGTGGGCCCCTGCCCTCCAAAGACCCAGAACGGTTTATCAGGGTCTTCGGTTGATGACTTCGCTCGCGAAGCAACCAACAGGTCGTTGACTCCTTTCCAGATTTCTAGTCGGAACGTTGCGATCTCATCAGCTGTGTAGCGGCCTGTTCCCTGTCCGTGCAACGTGGCTACTATATTCCTGTGGACCATAATGCCCACGACCACTCGAACTGGATACGGCAGCTGCCAGAGAGAATGATCACGCATGGCATAGTAATTTAGGATCCATCTCTCCCACGTCTGTTCCTCACCGTCAGTGGTCGGTCCCAAAACAAATAACACGATTTCTGGTGTTCCATACATGGTAGAAATATAACTTATCTTCCAACAAAGCCCGCAACGCCATGTCCTGCGTTCGAGCAGCTGGCGAGAGGCCGGCGTTGATATCTGGAACTACGTTCCACCTTGCTAGTGTTTTGATGATGAGGGTAGAGTCGCCGAGTTTAATCCTGGGCTTGGTTGTCCCCCGGGAGCTTGGGTCGTGCAGCGGGTCCCAACATTCTAGGTAGGGGATCTTCCCCTTTGGCGCCGTCTTCGGTGAGCTGACATCGGTAGTGTACTTGACGCCGGCGAAGCGGAGGCGCGCTTCGAGCTTCACGACGAACGGCGACCAGACATGCTTGCCGTGGTCTTTCCAACCGCGGTAGATGATGATGTCCAGGTTGCTACTTTCAGTTGCGGATGACATTGGTTTTTATTCTACATGGAGAAAGTATGTTGTCGCAAAAGTATTGACGAACTGATATATAGAATTAGAAGGGTAGTCTTCGGTCTGGTTCTCAAGAAATCGGGTTGGAGGTCAGACATTTGTTCGAAGATCCATCCCAGCTCTGTAGGGTTCACTGGTACTACATAAGACGACTAAGACAGCGCCATACAGTACAAAACACAAGCCCAAACCTAGAGAAGCCACTTACTTAAAATTCTCTCGAGCGACTTCGTTCTCGACAAGCTATAATAAACCATAGAATCGAATTTGTCTATCTTTCCGAGTCCTAAGAGAGAAGGTGGCCATAAAAGCCTTAAATAAAGAAAAATATGCTTTGATCATAACCGTGGCTGCTTACGCCAGAGGACTAGTCGTGAAGGTGTAATAGTGGCTGATACATTAGAAAGACGAAGAAACCTAAACAGCTGGTGGGGTCCGATGCGTACATTATACCTGATTTATATGAAAGCGAACGAAGGTTACAAATTCTATATCACAAGATTGAGCCTAGGACCTTCTTCGAGATGTCATATTCACCCGTTATTACACCTGCGAGTATCTCAAAATACCCTATATGACTCAATTATTGGCCTGGCTCAATATCGAGAAGCCGCCTCCGTCCTTACATGCCTATTTTCGTTATGGTAACGATCTAAGGGCGAAGGGCATTATTGTTACACGCAAAGGTGGTCAAAGATTTGTGAGGTTGTAAAAGCATGACATTCTATCTAGTCCTATGGAGCACGAAGGTTGGACTTAGTCCCGAAGGGCTAAGTCACGTGGTAACCTTGGTGGTCTTGGCAAAGCCCACCAAGGTTGCCTAACAATTATGATGATGAAACCGATATCATTATGAAAGGCCGTGAAGGATACGCAGCTTGAATATTTGTCCTCGCTTAAATCAGAGCCCACGTTGAAACGAGATAACAGAGATATGATTAGGTAGTTGTCCCAGTATACATGAATGATATGAATAACAGGCATAGACGCTAGAGCTATGCAGTGGGTTTTCATCTCATATGTGTTGTCAAGTTGCAAAGGGCGGTTTCTTCAATATGAACTCCGCCACTCCACTGGAGGAAGAGATGACTCTCCGGAGCAGCGCAGCATGATCGCCAACGCCGCGCCATCGCTGAGGAACCGAAGGGCCCTTAGATGCGGATACCGAAAGGGGGCAAGTATTTCGGCCTGAATCGACTGGAGGCGTCTACCCTGTGCCAGGTCAGGACCGGAAAAATAGGACTGGCAGCCTTCTTATTCAGAATATGGCTTTTGGGGTATACCCGCCGCTATGCCGCTGTGGTGACACCCCTGAGACGAAAGAGCACGTAATTATCTTTCGCGGACTGTTGGAAGGACTGAGGGAACCGCTACGCGCCGCTATCGCACCGCGGCCGCTATAATATCGCAGAGACCTTGCAACAGCAACAGGAGAACCGGTAGTTAGTGAGACTAACATAAGGTTGTTGCTAAAGACGGGTCGGGCAGCTTCAAGGCCCTTGTGACGCCGGTCACGATGCCTGGCCCCTGGGCCCCTGGACGAACACAGGGACACCCTAGTATGGGTGTCCCACCTGTACGCGCTGCCCTTTTCCTTATAATGTAGGAAAGGGCACTTGCACTTAGATCTCTTTCTCTCTCTTCTTCAGTTTAGTATTCGTCAACAGAGATAGACTGATGTCGCAACCCTGATTCGAACTTGCAGTGCCTCTGCCGTGTCACAGCCCCGATATCATTGATTTTCTCGGGGGGACTTTGTTGTTAGGTTGAGAACCAAAGTAGTATGGTAGCGAACCCAACGCAGTCGCTAATAGGGCGAACCGACCAAGCAGCGTATGTATTTAGTCCAGCCATTAGGGCATGGTTTGACCTACAGGAGTACTGGTAGAGGTACCGGGGGCTTCGAGCCTACGGCGTATTTAATAATAATAATAATTAATATGAGAAGATAAGGAAACTCTTCATGACCAGCTATGTCGGTCACAATTCCAAAACAAATTGTGAAAGTTTTGGTTCTCTGTATCATAATGAAGAGTCCAAGGCGACATATATTTGTGACCAGAGACCTTGACATACTCCACTTGTATTAATCACTAGCTCATTTTGATGGTCTATCAGATTGAATGAGTTATGAGCAAAGGTATATGAACACCCGTCACTACACATCGAGTATTGAACATACTTGTCATGTTTTTATTGCACGGTCTTTCTAGATCTTATATTATGAATATGTTTTGGTCGCCTCTTTGTATGATTTGAGTCCTGATATCTTGGTCTACTTTTGGGTCGAGGCTTTTTGTCGAATTGTTCATCAGCGGTATATGAACAATCTTAAATTTACGAAGAAGAAGCACCTAGTTGACATCATATAGAAGTATCTAGGCTACATCCGCGCCTCATACAATCCATAATTCCGAAGGGCTAACAATGACTTCTAAGAGCACCTCTCGAGATAGTAGCTCGGTACCCGGTACCCGACTATAGCAAGGGTCGGACCAACGTTATCATCCTCACCCAACCCCCCTGGTTGGTTAGTGATCATATTAGTAAGCAAAACGCTAGTGATGTTGACCAACCAGAGATTCTGGTTAGGTAGGTGACTTTTTGGTTAGATTTACTGCCAAGAGATGAAACTATCGCCAACCTGGCCGGCGCGGTCCACCGGGAATATACTGGCGGAGTTGCATGTAGCCTCCTCTATAGCCTCGTCCGGTGGATCCAGCGAGTTCTTTTCTATAGCTCTCTCAGCCGTTAGAGCCATAAGCAGAGTATTTAGCTAGCTTATTAAGCCGGCTCTATACCAACCTCGTAGTATCTGGCACATACCTATGATAATGATGTCAAGGCTTGGCCGCTATGAAGTGATCATTCTACCGGCAGATGAAAACAACCGCTTGCATTCATATCCTTCTGGATATTATAGCAATAGGCCCACGCCCACGATGAGACTGCCTTACCGCGTTCGGAGAAATTAAAGCCACGAAAACACTAGAAAAGGTGTTCCTAAGCCTCCAGGAGTACCGGAGTAGCCTCAGCCGAGGCTTAGCGAGATAGCGATACCACCAGAGTTGGCGTTATAAGGGCGATCAGACCCTCCATAGTATAATGGCAGCGGCTCAAGCGGGAGAGGAATATCAAAATAACAGCAAAGTTTCAAAGTACCAGATATTTTGCAGAGATTTGCAAGCTAACAAGTCTTACAGAGGGTCCTACAGGGCTGGCAGGGACATGCAACACCTTCAAATTACCCAAAACTACGGCTGTCAGGGACCCCAAGCACTGTCCAAATAGCCATTTAAACCGTAGCAACCATGAGCCAACCAGGTTGCCTAACCAGAGTCTCCTGTGAGGTTGGAATTAGCAACCAAAGTCCGGAGAATAGTGAGGGTATTAGTGATAATCCACACCAACCCTAGCCCACCAGGTTGGCATGGTGAGGTTGTTCTGACCCTTGGACTGTATATTGTGGCTTGACTATCACTAGCTAAAATAGTACTGAGAATAAAGATCGGAAATGCAATTATAGGTCGTCCAAACCAAGAGGTCGGTGGAGTCTTCCTGCCCTTTCTGCGTCACCTCGCAAGTTGCAGCAGCCATTTTGAGAAGCGCCAAGATTTGGCAGTGAATGAACGTCCCGCTGAGTCTATTCAGCAATAATGTCACAAGATGCTGTCAGGCTAGGCTAGTAGGCGAGTGGAGCCATGCATGTGTGTTGTCGTCAATCGAAGTGCCAAGCGCTAGCCCGCTAGGGTGTGGATATTTGACCTTGCCAAGTTCCCTAAGAGCTTTTCTAGGATGTGAAATTCGAAACGTTTGACACATTTGATAGAAATTTACTAGGCTTTGACCGTCGATCTCTATATATCTTCCTGGGTTGATAACTGATTGCCTGTATTTATGTAGTTGACTTGTATTGTTAGTTTGAGTTGAAATTTGGACCCCTGCTCCGCTGCCGGTGCGAGACGCAAACGTTCATGCAGGGTCCATCGGAAAGCTTAACGCTACCGGTAGTTAAATTTATGATCCAGTAAGCATATTTTCGTAGTCCAGTATGATGTCAGCCGCTGACCGTTTTGAGTCCGACGAGTCAGGCAGGCAGGGTTTGCGCAGACCTTACACGCACCGCAACTAGGAAGAATATGTGTGCATGGCTTGTGTGGCTGCTTGCGTAGTGCCGTAGTCGCCTTGCGGGCAAATGTTGGCCGACTGATCAGATGAGCCTTCTCGGTTCCAAAAATCGATAATGACTCGTCGTCATAAAGATGCCTGGGCCTTGGGGTCCGGTATATGTACTCGACAGGTTGTACCAAAACTTCGGATGCCGTCGCAGTTTCCAAAAAGCCTTCGAGTGATTCACCATCTGTAGGACATCTCAGCCCTTCAAACCGGGTCCTGCACCAGTTGGTATCAAATTGTAAGTAGTCAAATATACGAAAGGCCTCGACGGGCCGAATGGAAAGTTGAGTTGACTTTTGAGATAGAATCCTTTGCCATCCGTTGAGACGAGGGCGCATCATCACTGTCAATGCTGGGCACATGCAAGGATTTCACACACCTGCCCCAGTGTCCCGGTTGAGTTGGCCCGTGCCACAACACCCAATCATCGCGGCTTCCTTAGAGCCTGCTGCAGCTTTGAGGTTGTGCACAAGGCTACCATTGGCGTTACGTTTCCTGCAGTTGCCTTCCTACCATCCCAAGCGGCAAAGCTCCCTGCATCAGACCAGCTTTCAACAGCCAAATACAGCCGTTCCGCGTATTCTTAGCCACGGCAGGTTGGGCCAGCTCCTTGTTTGTTGGTTCGCACCCTACTTTTCCCTTCGGCTGCTGGAGTACCCACGCCCTTGGAGCAACCTAGCAACATTGGGCTATCCACCAACATCGACCCGAACGCCGCCCCATGGTCAACGCACGAAAACGACCGTATGACCAACAAGAGCCAGACATACTTGTTGGACGTTCTCGCCGCCCGAACTAGTGAACAAGGCTCTAGCTTCCAATCGGACTTTTGACGATAATTTTCCCAGCGTCAATTGGCATTTTGGGAAGCTCTACTTCATGCGATTGGTTTAGGCCATCACTTGTGACACCGAGCGTCATCGACACCAGTACAGCACAGCACGAGCACGACACTAGCCGTCGCAACAGCGAAGTCAACGCTGTGGTTTCGCTTGGAGCAGTCGCCTTCTCTTCGCTGGACGAATTAGTAGTGGGACGTTGCTTAGTCGAGTGCAAGTTTCGATGTGGCAGCGGCAACGCAATCAATTTATTACCGTTTCCAAATCAGTGGAATAAAGGTTTGGTACAGTACAGTTGACCTCGTCTCCGAAGGTGAGGGCAGTAGCTCAAGGACATCTCCATCTCTCGCTCATTGTTAATGATAGAGCTACAGGATATTATATCCCGACTCGATTCAACGTGAGAGACCGGACCTTACCCAGCCAAACGATGGACGAAGGCCTCGAGTCGTCTGGCCCAGCCTTGTCTGGAGCCTCGCAATTTCTGAGCGCATATGCCTCGGCCGATTCCATTTCTCGTGCAACGTCGCCTGGTCTCCCGCTGTCAGATATCGACGAAACTACCGATAATGGGAAACGCCACCGACCGCGAACATTCCCTTACTTCGACTTACTACCGTACCCTGTCGAAGAGGAAGAACAGCGGGATGCCGCTCTACAAGGAATACTCAAGCAGCTCTACATCGCTGTCAAGGCTGAAGACTTCTCGCCAGGAGCCCTGCACTGGACGCGACAGCTCCAGTCCTGGCTTGATCTGAAGTTCGACATGCCCAGAGAACTTCGGGGCAGGCTTGCGAAGCTTTACTTTCACCTTTCGTTAGCTCCCGGTTTAGACGCGACCGCCGCAGATCGCTTCTCCAAGATGGTGACGACCCTAACAAGGAGAAAGCATCTTCTAAAGCCGCAAGATGACCTCATCCTCGATTGGAGGCCCTTATGGAAGGAGATAAAGTCTCTTGTGTTGCCGCAGGAAGCGCCGGCCCATCACTCTGCGAGACGACGAGGCCTCAAATACCTCTGGAAGCTTTGTCTGCAATCCAACACCTACTTCGACCCCAAAGAGAGGAGAGTCATGCTGGAGGAGATTCTGCCCTTTTTTAGCACGTCAGATCTTCAAAATGCTTTCATCGTCATCGGAACTCTGAATATTCTGATGCCCACTACACCCGCTCCTGCCATCGAACCCCAGTCTCAACCCTCTGACTTCGTGCCGACTTTCTTTCACCTCTGGTCGCTTATGACTCGATCCAAAGTCATAGACATCGCGTTCCTCGACACGTTTTCGCGCATGGCTAGAGATTACCTGACTTGCCAACATGTTCCATTCTCTGAGCATGGTATCTTCACTCGAGAACAGTCAGATCTCATTTTTACTTCCATCCTACGCTTGACTGAAATCCCTGTAGGCCAGGCGAACTCTCCATACACTTCTCTGGACTATTCATCCGGGATGGGTGTGTTTTTGGAAAGGGACCGCAAAAAGCATCCCATCTCCTACACTATCGCTCGCTGGGTTGTGTCATCCCTGTCTCCGCAATGTCTAGATAAAGACAGCTCCATACTCAATAGTCTGGAGGGACTTATGGAGTCTATCGACACGTTCTTCCATCCATCTAACCAGGGTGCTTGGACAATCATGCTGGCACAGCTGACCTTTTATCTCACAGAGATGTTTGTGTCCCGTTGGAACAAAGAACAGAGGGGCGAACAAGACACGCCAGTAGAACGCAGGTTGACCGAGGAGCTCAAGCAGCGCTTCGTTTTGAGTCTTCGTGATGTCACTTTCATGGGAGTGTTTGCCAAGAGTACCAAGGTGACGCATATGTATTTTGGTGCTCTCCAAAACATGGCCTATCTTGAGCCCGACTTGGTGTTGCCTGGTGCGCTCCAACGATTCTACCCGAGTTTGCAAGGTCTGGTCGAAGTTCACCGGACGACTTCAAGTCTCTGCGGCTTGCAAATGATTGCCAATGTCATGGCCAGGCAGAAAGGTTTCAGGTGCCACATCACTGCCCTGCTTGCTCTTGCTCTGCCGGGCATTGACGCCAACGACCTGAACAAAACTCAGTACACACTAAATCTAATCCAGACAGTCGCGTACAGCATCCCGTTTGTGAACTTGGCCAAAGAGACCGACAAGATTCACGACACCACTTTGGCGATGCAGTGGGTCCAAGGAGAAATGGAGCGAATGGAGCGGGAGGGCCAGGACGTCAAGATTGACTACAAGAATGAACTCAGCGATGAGGATGAGGCCAACATTGTCCGTTCTTCTACGGCGGGCTTTGGCGAATTTGTCATTGCTCTGCTCGGCAAGGTGTTCACCCTGTTGGAAAATCTGCCGGATTCGTCTCATCTGCGTACTGGGTCACCTGAAGACAACATCATCAATACTTTACCCTCTGCTCTCACACCGATGTTTGCCTCGTTGTCCCCCGAGTTGTTCGATATGGCTCTGGACAAGTTGTCGACCTTTGTTTCAACTCATGTCGTTCATCAAGCTCGCGACGCCATGGCGTGGATTTGCAATGCGCTTTGCAAAGTCAGCCCAGAGAAAACACTGAAAATCTTCACTCCAATGCTCATCGTGAATATTCGGAACGAAATTGATTACAATGGTGCGGCTTCGGATCGAAGCAGCGGTACTGAGGTGCTTCCTCGAGATCGCGCCCTAGTTTGGCATGTCAGCATGTTAAGCATGTGCGTTGTTCACGTGGGCAGCGAAGTGCTCAAGTACAAGAAAGAGCTCTTCGACATCGCACAGTACATGCAAGAAAACTGCCGCGGTCTCCCGACTATCCATATAAGCAACTATATTCACCATCTACTTCTCAACTTGACGCATACCTACCCGATCGACAATGCCTTATATGAGCCTTCAGTAATTGAGCGAGGCTTGGATGTTGATGACTGGGGAAAGACGACAGCCCCGGCCGACTTGTCGATCCGGTGGCATCGATCGACGGCGGATGAGATCCAATTTGCTGTTGAGTTGTTCGAATCCCAGGCCGAGGGCGCCATGCTGAGGTTAGAGTCCTTCATGAGCGACGATCCACCCGTGAGCAGAAAGGGAAAGAATAAAGAATGGTCTGACGAGGTTTCTCGTCAACTTACACAATTGCGCCTGGTCATCTCAGGTGTTGCGACACTGTTCGACCCAAAACATGCCTCGGGTGAGGCTAACGGCCACCTGACTGGGACTCATGTCGATGACGATGGCGATGAGAAAATGGGAGACAGCGAAGACGAGGAGGATAATCCACTTGCCGAGGCCGGTGAAGACGACGACGCACGTCCCCAGTACAAGTACCAAAGCGGGTATTTACTCACCAACGACAGCGCTCTATATAGTCGCATACACGATTTGCGAGACAACATCGGTCGTCTTCTCTCGAGGACGCACTCCTTCTTGAACACGAACCAGGAAGATGACGTGTCCTGCTTTACTGCGCTTTACTCTACCTACCGGACGTGGATCACGGATGTCGGGTTCGAGAGATCCGCTCACCCTCTCGAGAGGTTGCAAAGACTCTACAAGTCAGATATCGGTCCCTTCAAGATTAGCGGCTTGCGCAAGGCTTACCCAAGGCCTTTGCTGATCAAGCGAGCCGATGCCTACCAGCTGCAACGTGTCAAGCACAACGCCTCGGTCCGGAGGAAGAGTGCGATGGACAAGCGGCTGCTCCTTGACTTGGCGGAATCTTCTGTCTCCTCATATGCGGATGTCCGAAGGGTAGCACAGGGTGCACAAGACGCCTCTCTCAAGGTGTTGATTGGCGGTCGACCCTTAGTCATCCCCGTGGTCCTCGAAAGGTTCCGTAAAGCCCTTGACGAAACTGACCACGACCGCATCAAAGGCGCTATGTACACTCTACTGTTTACAAGCTTGCTCAAAACTTTGATGCGAGATTGGAGATTTGCCCCGGATCTCTTGCGTCTGTATATCAAAACCGCTGGTGTCGACAAGGCTTCTATCCAGCAACTCGGCTCGACCGCTCTGTACCGCATGATAGAATTTGGGAAGCGTTTTGAACTGATGGTGCTATTAGACAATAGCACGGTGGACTTGATCAAGCCGTCAGAGGATTGTTCGAATGTCATCGAGTCCAGGCACGAGTTTATTGTTGAGCGCAGGAGGAAGGTCGAAGAGAAGAAAGGAGCCCTCGGTCTCGAGCTGATAGACATCGCACGTGAGTCGCACTGGAAGACTGCTAGCAGATGTGCTATATTTGCGACAAACCTGTGTTTGCGCTTTGATACCATTGCGCCGCCTCAATTTATCGAGCTTGTCGTCGATGGCACCAACGATCCGCATCCTGGACTTCGGGCTAGTTACAATGCTGCATTCTCCAATGTGTTCACCGCTATCGACCAGCGCGCAGTCTACAATCACTCGTATCGTGACTTCTTGGAAGAAAAGGAAAAAGACTCGAACAAGATCGTCGTGCCAGTACCCAAGGGCGACACCAAGTTTACACACCGTTTCCTGGACGATTTTACACACCCAGAAAATGCCGAGTACTTTGTCGACACAGATCACGCGGGCTGGCTGGTGTGGGGAAAGCAATTCAACGCCTTCAGAGCAAAGCCGAATCGTTTTGAGGCCTATGATGAAGTCGAGATCGCTGCGAGGCGGCAAATTGGCAAATTGATGACCAAAGAATGGCTGGCGAAGTGTTTTGATTACTTGAAGCAGGAGCCTCGTGACTCGTCCGCTGATAGATTCCGGACCCAAAACGTGATACTCTTGATGCACATTTTTGATCTTATGAATTACGGTGAAACGGAGGTCACATTCGAGGATATCAAGGCGTTGACTGCGGAGGTGTACGGCGACGGCAGCGACAAGCATCAGCACCGAGCCACATCGGAGATTCTCGGTGCAATGTTGGCTGGCTCTGCAGATGACCCTGTTGAGATGAGAGATCAGGCCTGGGGTTTTGCTCAGCCTATGATCCTGAACATTTTCGCCGACAGTTTGACACCTGAAAACCTCACCTACTGGATCACTTGTCTCCACTTCGTCATCGACACCAAGGACCCGCGTCGAGCCCATGAGATCGTTCAAGCGCTCAGTTCATTCCGTCTCGACATGAATTCAAATGCAGCCTTCAAAGAATCATCCAAGGTCCAATTACTGGATATCCTCATCAATGATTGCGGCTGGCATTTCCGTCATGAGAAGCCAATTCTGGAAGATTTCCTGGCCCATATCGACCATCCTTACAAGTCCGTCAGAGAGTCAATTGGCCGCGTCATAGCTAGTGTTTATCGCACGCGATATCACGAGTCCTTCGAGAATGTCACGGCTCTACTGGATCTCAACAAAGCAGAGTCTGCGACCGGTCTGGGTATACGGCCGTATAAGGCAACCGAAGAATTTGTAGCCACCATCAAGCAAGTATTTGACCATCTCGAGGCTTGGAGACACGAGCGCGAACCAGGCCAACAGACACCATCCTCCTATACCTCTGGATCAAAGACTGTTTTGACATGGCTCGACAATACCCTCTCGTCCCAGGACTGTACACAGCTTATCCAATTCTTCCCCGACCCATTCATCGACCAACTTCTACACATGATGGATGTGAAGGAAGATCCAGAGCTCATGCGCCTCGCTTACCACGTCTACCGCCACCTGCCCAACATTCCCTTCCGAGCAGGGGAGGATGCACCTTTCATCGCTGCACTCATTCGTCTGGGCAAGGGAGCTACATCGTGGCATCAACGTCTCCGTGCACTGGTCAACATGCAAGTGATCTACTTCCGTCGCTTATTTTTGACAGATGCTGCTCAGCGGGAGCTTCTGTTTGACGCGGTGGGGGATATGCTGGGAGATCCACAACTTGAAGTACGCACTGTGGCAAGTGCTACGCTTGCCGGTATGATACGGTGCTCGCCCGCCGCCATCCGGAACCCCATCATTACCACGCTCAAGCAGCGTTTCGAAACGCAACTTGCTCGCAACCCCATGCCAAAGAAGAAGATCCCAGGGACAGACACGCCTGTCAACGTCACACAGCAGGTTGTTATGAGACATGCTGCAGTTTTGGGTCTGGGGGCGTTGATTGAGGCTTTCCCGTACGCGACGCCGCCTCCAAGCTGGATGCCCGAGGTGCTAGCTCTGTTAGCTAGGAAGGCTGCTAGTGACCCTGGTGTGGTTGGCAAGGCGACAAAATCCATTCTGGCTGAATTCAAGAAGACGAGACAAGACAGCTGGGGTGTTGATCAGAAGGTATGTTGTTCCTTTTTCATCCGACGACGCGGTCCCCTTGCCCCATGCCCTCTTTTACTGTAACCCTTGTTTGTTCTAACATGTTCTAGTATTTCACCCCTGAGCAACTCGAGGATCTCGAAGGTGTACTCTGGAAGAGCTACTTTGCTTAAGCAATAAGTAAGACCTATCACAGACAGCACACAAAGCGACGGAAAGAAAGACATACTACACATAAAATATGATTAGAGACAGCGGATACATGTAACAATATCATGTTGTATTTCTGATCAATCAAGTGCGCGAATTTCGAACAATGACCTTTCTTGCTGGGCCGCTCCTGGCAGGCGGTTGCGTTGAATTTCTTAGATACTTGCAATGCTGGAACGCCGTTGCGTGCAAATGGAATCCATTGATAATTGGAGTCCGCAGCGGCTCTTTACGAATGCTCATTGCTGTGACCTAAGATACGCAAGCGCCTTCCTGGGGCGCTGTAGGGGGTAGTGATTAGTACTTGCACCATTATGTATTAAAAATGGTCGAAAAATGTGCGTATGATTAATGAGCTGAGTGAAACGGTTCAAGCCAGTAGAGTAGGAAGTCATGGTAGGGGGTTGGTGCCAAAGGGGATTGCCGTTCAGGGGTTTCGCCTACTTGCATCGTCGTCGAAGACTCCAAGCAGGGATAGCCTTGCGCTGCGTGTTTCGCATCTCGCGCTGGGTACGTCTTCGGAGGGTCGACTGTCTTAGAGCCATACTGATAACGATCAGTGGGTCAACTGTACGAGTGTAATAAATCGGGTGACGTGTCCGGACGTCAACCGAAAGATTAAATCTCTCAAATGTCGTATTGATTGTTATGATTATGATTATGTGCATGACCCATTACCCATTACCCATTACCTATTAACTATTTACTACTCGTACCGCATGACCATGACTCACATAAACTAATTTGACTGATAATAGCAATACTTTTCAAAACAAGCCTGACACTCACCCGGCAAATCGCCACCCCTCGACATGACAGCACAAGCAAGACACAACGGCCACCCCTCCTCTCCGCCCTGCGTAGCGACCTGTAGCCCGTTCGCAATCATGGCATTGGTCTCGTCGGCACTGTACGACAGCTTGGACGTCGCCGTGTTGCTGGCGAAGGTATAGTCGACATTAGGTACGAATACCATAAGTGTGGTCTCCGGCTCGTCGCATCCGAAGAAAGTGGCGCGCTTGTTCAGTCCCTGGGAAACGAAGGTGTCGACAGAGGGGATGTAGGGCATCTTGGTGAGGCCCACTTCCTGTGCCCGCTGGTATGTGGTCAGGATCTCGGTTCCGTTGGGAAAGTTGTCGTCAGTGTCGGCGCTGTTGTCGTTGACGATGAGGACGTCTACGGACCGGCCTCCGTTCTGGATAAACGGCCAAATGGGGTTGTTCTGGTTGGTTTCGCCACCGTCTGCTAGGGTTAGATATTTATCGTTTACCACGGAGCTCGACTGCTCGAATTTGTAGAATGGATTCGGGTAGATGCCGAAGAGATCATTAAAGACCGAGTCGTGCGGTATCATTCCTTCGAGGGTCTCTGACAAGTCGGTCGTGGAGTTCACAGAGTCGATGATGCTGCAGAGCGCATTGAATAAGTTGCTACTTGTACCAAGTATATATCCGAGGTTGTCGTATTGTGCTGTGCAGCTGTCGCCTGCCGGTACGCCGGCGTTTAGACTGCTGCCCATGTACAGACTGTCGGTGAAAGCGGCAATGCCCGTGTCCCACGAGCCATACTCATAGGGGTGAAACTCGTAGATGGGCGCATCCAAGTCTGGCCAGCATTCTCCCGTAGCAGCCGGAACACCGATAGTGGTGATGATGGGGTACGGCACGTTGTAGCTCTTGAAGTTGCCGAGATCAGCCAGGCCTGAAAGCCTGACACTGGAACCTCCATGGGTTCCTTCCAGCAACTGATACGAAAGCAATCGCCCATATGGATCGACGAGCGTGGTATCGTACCCAGCCTCCTCCTTGGCGCTGAGCTCTCCAACAATGACGGCGTATTGTGTCAAACCATCGATTGAAAAGATATTGGCTGGTACGAGCAGACTATTGTCGAAGGCGTCCTCCCACAAGTTGGCCTTGAGATAAGACACAGTAGGCCAATTGTTCCCCGCGAGTGATGAGAGGAACCACGAGCCGCCAGAAAGACCAGCTTGGTAGGTCAGGCTTTGGACCAGGCCACCCGTGGTCTCATCGGTATCGCGACTGTCGAGTCCCTGGTAGAAACCGGCACCTACTAGCAGTGACCGATAACCACCACCACTAGTAGTCAAGCCCACAGTAGGCAGGCTTGATGTGTCAAAGGCAGAGCTTTGTTTCAAGAGCCAAGCAGCGAGAGCTTTATCAGCAACGGCCTTGCGTGCTGTGATGTAGGCCTGTTCAGCAGTGCTGATGCCGTCCGCGGCGCGAACCAGACTCGTTGCTGGACATGTTGTATCGATGGGCTGGTAGTTGGAAGTGATCCGTTTTCCGACCTCAGCCGGGATCCTAGCGGCAGGTGCTAGAGCTGGAGCTGGAGCTGGAGCAGCAAGACTGAGAGTAAGAGCCGAGCATAAAGCAAACGTACGTAAGAAGCATGACATGATCGACGCCCTCAGCTTATAGCTGAATGGGAGAGCAAGCAAAGGCGGTTATCTGGACAAGAAACAAAGGATGGCGCCTGTCACCCACCTGGAATGCCATATTCGCTGTGACATGCGAAGTATTTATGGAAGCCATTTTCTTCACACCCTCCACCTGGCAAACTCAATTCCGGACTGAATACTCTAATCTCGTTGTATTGTAAGACGTCAGCACTAGACACGTGTGTCTGAAGAGACATAGTCGCAATGACTAGGGCGAGATCAAGACAATAGCGAGAGCTGGGGTCAGCGGCTGTAGATGACGAATAACATGAAGATAACGCAGGGCGTGCGTTCCCAAGCCCTCCATCGCCATTGGCCAACGTTCACGAGTGGTGATCTAACTAATATTGTACCGGCACTCTTGCGGGGTTTCATCCTCTTTGGATGCGATCCCGAGCGCTTGCAGCGAGTCAAGCCGCGGGTTCGTAGCACGACAGCGATAAATTCTTGATTGTCTCGGTGTGATGGCCAAATGCGTGGTTCTCACCGTTGCAGCCAGAGTCCGTTCTCTGGGCTGCGGTAATGACTGACAACATGCAGCCCTTCTCCAACGAAGTTCCTCGGTTTCCACACGGCAGATGAGGGGATCACTTGGGCTGACCAGATAAGCGGTGCCCCGCGCACTGATTCCTGGGTTGCTCATTAGAGGCACTCAGATGAGGGGACCGAGACTGCATCGGACTTGAGACCATTGCGGACGACGGAGCTTCGAAGGAATTTTCAATCAGCTTCTGGTCGCCCTTTCAGCACCTGCAGGCTTGGAGTATGCCATCGTCACCTTTACATGGGAACGGTAGCGGGCCGTCTGAGGCGGTAATGTCCATCATCAGCCGCAATTTACCCCAGAAAGGTAATCTGTTCTCTATTTCTTGCGGAGGATTTCCCGCCGCTACGGCAAGCGCCAGGCTCATATATTGGTGTCCGAATCTGCGTCACGGCAGGCGCCAACAATAGGTGCAGAACTCCGACAAGAGCGGGGATGCTGGCTAGCAAATAGTCCCCGCCGCCGGGAACAGCGTTGACAAGTCCCTTTCTCGTTCATGTCGTGATCCGCATCATAATATTGATGCGGCTTACGACTACCGAGATTATCCCGATCAACTGGTTAGTCAGCAACCTGCTCTAGTCCTTCAGTCGCCGGCCAAGACTTGGGTTTACGTGATGGAATTGTGCTGATAGGTTTGACTCCCCCGGCGTGTTTGACTATTGAAAAGACTTCCCTCCCGTCGATTTTGTGGTGTGGCCTAGAGAATCGTATGAAAGGAAGAGATCTGGGTCTTGTGATTGTGGATTTTCTCCAGGAACCAAACCCCTTTTCTGAATAGTGTCTACTACTTCTTTTGCAATTCTTATATGTTCGTCGAAAAGGATAGTTTGGAAATCTGACAGACAACATGGCGTCGTCTGGAGCCTACCAGAATGGCAGCTCCTCTTCCTCGACCTCAGTCATCGAGCTTCAGCCTGTCCCCCTCACTCACCTCAGCAGCAAGCCTGCTGCTGCCGTGCCCGACCGGTCCTCTCAGCATGAGCTTTCAGAACAGGATATGACGGCTTTGCCGCCCCCAAATACTGCTACGGATGTGGTCCAGCGATGGAATTATCCCAAGAGCAATATCCCGAAACTTGCGGCTTGCTTTTGGTCCTTCATCGTCATGGGAGCTAACGATGCTGCATACGGTGTAAGTCGTAGTGGTTCTGAGTGACAACAGCGAACATGGCTAACGATGGTAACAGGCCCTTATCCACTATGTATGGCATCCTCCTCTTCACCAGTGGCAGCACTCTTGATTTGGACCAACTAATAGTCCCCAGATCGAGCAGTTCTACGGCCTAACCTACCTAATTGTGTCCTTGATCTTCCTCTCCCCCTTCGTAGGCTACACCGTCTCCGCCTTCATGAATAATTACATCCACTTCAGCGTCGGCCAGCGAGGTGTGGCCTTCATCGCCGCCGGCTGTCATCTCGTGGCCTACCTCGTCATCGCCCTGCACCCACCGTACCCCGTCTTGGTCATTGCCTTCATGGTCGCTGGTTACGGCAACGGTCTGGCTGACGCTGCCTGGAATGCGTTCGTTGGCAACATGGCCCAGGCTAATGAGATTCTCGGCGTCCTGCATGGGTTCTACGGGCTGGGGGCCGTGCTGTCGCCGTTGATTGCGACGTCCATGATTACAAAGGCTGACACGCCTTGGTATGCTTTCTACTATCTCATGGTGAGTTTTATATTTTGTAGACGGATCTGGCTGATGTAGAAAAAGATCGGTTTCGCTGGCCTAGAGATCGCAAGTTCCGTCGCTGGATTCTGGACTGCCACGGCTGCCGAGTACAAGGCTTCCCTATCGCAAAACGCCGAGTCTTCAAGTAGTAGTCTGCGGGAAGCTCTTCTGAAGAAGCCTTCGGCTCGGGTGACGTGGCTCTGCGCAATCTTCCTGCTTGGCTATGTCGGTATTGAAGTTGCTCTGGGAGGCTGGATCGTCGTCTTCATGATCCAGGTCCGACACAGCGAAAAGTTCGCTAGCGGTATGACGGCAACTGGTTTCTGGCTGGGGATTACTATTGGCAGAGTCATTCTTGGCTTTGTGACGCCGAGGATTGGGGAGAAGCTAGCAATTTCGGTGCGTTCATGAACCGAAGACGTTTATCCTGTGTGTACGACTGACGGATCGTGGGGTAGCTTTACCTTCCAGCAGTCATGGCGCTCGAACTCCTATTCTGGCTGGTTCCTCAGTTCATCGTCTCAGCAGTCGCCGTCAGTCTACAGGGGTTCTTCCTTGGTCCGTTGTTCCCAGCGGCAATCGTCGCTATGTCGAAACTCCTCCCTCGGCACCTCCACGTGGGCGCTATTGGGTTCGCTGCGGCTTTGGGTAGCAGTGGAGCTGCTGTCCTACCTTTTGCTGTCGGTGCCATCGCGCAGTCTAAGGGTGTCCAGGTGCTGCAACCCATTATTCTGGCTTTGCTGGGGGCTATCTTGCTGGTTTGGCTCGGTTTGCCCAAGTTTGACAAAAAGAAGGAGTAACTACGACTACTGTAGGTTTGATGGAATGGGGGTGCCAAGACGAGCCCCATCTTGCTCGCTTGACTCTAGTGAAGAGCAGGATGCTGATTTATTAATCGCTGACACAGGAATCTATTGGACGGATCACTCCTTCGAGTCGTGATGATGTGGCGCCGACATATTGGGCTCAGGGGTTATATCCTGAGGACCTGGTGAAAACAGGCGGCATAGTTAGAAGTCGGTCGAATGCGATGAGACTCCTGTTTGCGGAACTTATCTAGTCATGTAGAATCAAAGATCCCTCCGCAGAAGAACGATATGAATGATTCGAGAACATATGAAGAGTCGCGTGGCTGGAAGCCAGAAGTCCCTAAGAACTACGAACCCAGGTCTGGAATGTATTCCCACTGCGAGGCTACCCTGGACGGGCATTTAGGGGTTGACGTCCTTCATCCTGGTAGCTGTATGAAGTTTTCCATTTGAAACGGGAAACCTAAATTAGATATGCAAAGCAAGGGGATACTACTCGTGAGGACAAGTGGAGAGCCTTCAATCAAGGGAAGACGAAACGAAAGACAATAATCCAGACTTTCACTGACACCATTACGTTCGAGTTGCGAGTTATGAAATGAGGGAATATACGCCGCGTTCGCAAATTCCCGCAGCCTTACGGAGGATGCAAGTGTCACTTGAATTTGCCAAACCGCTCTCAACTTCACACATGTTACGCTTATCCCGCATGCCCACGGGCGCTCGCTGTACCAAGCATGGAAACGGATGCCCACGCGCCCAGCGCCAGGCCATGCTGGATTCCAGAAAGGAGCGGTGAGTATGTCGAACCAGTGGCGTTTGCACGACTGATAGTCAGTCCACTGAAGCTATTCGTCAACACCGACTTAGTAACTCGGTCGCCTTGCCAACGCACATGTCGTTACCCAGACACGAGGCACCCCAAATAATACAAGACACCACAGTTAAACATTCATTAATAGCAGGCTTCAAATAGTATGAGTCAATATATTCTTGATCGCGGTAGCTGTACGCTTTCAATCCATCCTTACCGTTCCAGTGAGAAACCAACCAGCCCCCGCCCCCCGCCAGTTAGTTACTGATGGGACGGAAAATGTCCTTAGTCGACATGACCTTTAAGTCACAACCGCTCAGCCAATGCAAGTTTTATAAATACAACAATACCGCAACTCCCATGTAAGGTGTAAATCCCAGTCCAACTGAGACTTTTCCATTGCATGCTGGGTCTGCGCTAGCCAAAGACCAACCGGCGCTGCACTCTGATTCTAAGAATCAGAGTGCCGTTATGTTCCAAAAGCCTCTAGTATGACTGTGGATACAGGTGTTTTTATCTCCCAGTTCCTCCACACTGCATGTTTCAATGAGTGGTATGTTGCTGGTACGAACCCTCGTTCGATGCCCCGGGGCAAGAACAGCACAGGCTTACACACTAATGCGCCCGCAGCTTGTTAAACCATGACGACACGGTCTTCCACTTGTTCTGCCGGCCGCGCCCATCAACAGCTTCCGCGTCCATCGCCACCATTGGTTGAAATAGTAGATTGCTGTGCAAGTATTCTCCGGGACTGACTGGGTGACTCTCCTCTGAGCTGATGATTGGCATCATTGGATTTGGGGCCACGTACACGACCTCAGGAAAATAACCCGAGACCATACGTTTTCCACCTGATGCACCTTCAGTTGGCATGGTACCATCATGGGAATTGAGGCTACTCCGTTTGCGATCGGACATTATTGAGCTTCGCCTGGATGAATTTGCCATGCTTCCATGCCAATCATGGCTCAGTGACCTCGCAGACCTCCGATCTACACCTTCCAGTTCGTTGCAGTCGGACTCGCTCAGCGCCTTGAGTTGGGTCTTGCGCCTCTGGATGAATGCGGCACCGGTCGATGTTGCCCTCCTAGGCAACGCACCTGGCACCGGCTGCTCGATCTCGCGAAAAGCCGAGGGACATCGTCTGCGATTAGCAGGTTCGGCCAGTTTCAAGGATGCTGCTTCAGAGCTGTAGGAGAAGTTGCTACGATAGAGTGCTGAGTCCGTCTGGGCTATAACTGCAGAAGAGGGAACGAACTTCGACGGTTTGAAGTTGGATGCCCAACCGTGTCGAATCGCAACCCACATGGCCGATACCTGAATAAATACTTTTTGCCATTCCTCAACCGTGCGAGTCACACGATCATGCCGGCGCCTAGTATTAGGGGATTGACCTGATGATACTAATGGTGGCGAGATAGGTGGATACCGACCGGACGATTGAGAGACGGTTGTGTAAGTATCTTGAATTTCGAGAGATGCTGGCGTAAGGGTGGCCATAATCGGATGCCGACGACATGCTGGATCGATGACACTAAATGTGAACTTATAGTCCAGCGATTGAGGTGAAGATGATCTCGGCATTGCTGGCACGGTCGATGTCGGCGTGCAGGGTAAGGATTTAGTCACAGCCTGTCTGCGTACCCAACGCGCAGTGATGGCATGGCCATTGTCGTCCACGGTGGTAAATTCGTACGAGCAGAATTCGCCTGAGCTATTGAGACGAGGCGTAGCCAGCCAGACCGTGCCATCTGTGAGCACGATTTCGGCTTTGTCTTCTGTCATGAGCGGGCTCAATATGGCCACGAGTTCCCGTTTGTTAATGTTTTCCTCACTTCCGTCACTGTCGGAGCTCAGTGAGGGCGCATTGTAATTCTCGCTTTTGACAAGCATAACGTCGTGGATACTCAGCTCTCTCTTGATTCTAGCCAGTCGGGGAAATCGCTTCAGTAGCGGTGCCGCAACGGCTAGGTTCGCGAGGACTGAGGACGGGTACACGTCAATGGCAGGTTGGGGACGATGACCATCGGAGAGCAGCTGCAACTGGAGGAGGAGTTGTGGACGCAGGTGGATTATACGCTGCTTTATGCCCAGCTTAGGGGGGGGTTGGGCCAAAAAATATGTGGTGGTTTTCCTTGTCGCTCGCTTACGAGCACGGCGAGTTGAAGATGCAGCGTGACTAGCATCGCTGTCTGAAATATCGACAGAGCCCCCATCTTCGCTCATGCTTTCGGATCTGTTATGAAGACTAGGAGACACAACAGCCTCATGCTCGGGTTCTTTGAACCTTACAACGGGCTCGGGCGTGTTGGGTGAGTGTGCTGGCAGTGATTGTCGTAGGTAGCTATTACGAGCCGCAACGGGTCTGGTAACTGTAGGGGGAGGCGAGCGAGAGTCTGCCGACGAATAAGTAGATGCTCGAGTTATCGGTGTCGCAAAAGAAGATCGTAGTAGTGTGTTGCGACGTTGGGTGGTATGGCCTGATGTCGAGGAGGGTCGATTGGAATATTCATGGCCATGAAGTCCGGCTCCCGAGTGCAGGAACATGTTGACAGATGTAATCGGCTCATCGAGCCTGCAGCTTCTTGTTCCTCCCAAGTTGAGGGTTTGCTGCGATGTGGCGGGGTTTAAAACTGGTACCCAAGTAGTCTAGTCAGGAAGGTTCAATGACGAGATACTAAGCTTCCTAGCTTGATCTTGCTAGCCCAACAAGCTTTCACAAAACACAACCAATTTGCACCAAACGGTCAATTCAATAAAACAACTCGATTTCTGGCGCGAGTTGAAAGCCGAAGGCCCAAGAAGATTGCGGGCGTCGACAAGAAAGGGGTGGTCAGGGGAGGTAGGTAATCAAAGGGTCCAGCTGAGATTATGGAAGTCGCAGCAGGCTGAGACGTGGCGGTGATGGTTTAGCCAATAGACAGAGATCTGGTATATACAACTTTAGATCAATAGCGGGATGTATCGAGGCGCAGCAGTCGACAACCATCAGAGTGGGGGTAAATGCGGGTTCAACATAAGTATAGATATTGACAGATGGAAACGCAATCGTCAAGGGAGAGGGGGCAGGATTGTGCTCTCTTTTCAGAGAACGAGTAAGGATGATATCTCGTCGATCGGTGCCAGGCAGGAGCGTCCTCATCAGGCAATAATGGTGCGACTTGAACATGGTGGCTGAGAGCGGTGAAATGAAGAATAATTCGAGTGTCAGCATGTTGTACCTCTTGTTGCAGGCTTGGACTTAGAGAGCTGTGACCCACCGTGCCACGCTTGCTACGGTTGCAGGTGGGTGTTTCGTGGGCCGAGCTGCCGGTGTCAGCCAGCAACTCAAATATTACAGCTCACTATTGGCTGTGGGGGGTCATGGACCCCAGGACGGCCATGTCGATCGTAGGGCCGAGGTGGACGTTCGTTGGTGCATGAGGCGGCGATCGTTTACCTATCAGTCCACCGGCATCCTTGTTGGAGTACAAATGACCCTGATCATGGCACGTTTGCGGGTGCCTATGTGCGCGGTGACAAGTGAGATTGTGATGCAGATCGATGAGGACTACGATATGCGATAATGCCGGACATCTTCAGGAACCTCACAGGCGCCACAGCTGCAGTATGCACAACCGGATTCGCACCGGCATCGATGTCAGTCAAGGTGTCGTAATCGTATTGTCAGCAGCTCCATGAGCCCTCGGCGAAAAAGGCTATTCCTTCCCCTACCAACACTCAATACGGACCCTACCCAACACACATCAGACTTCGAGGTTATTGACGGGGACCGCTACTGGCCAGAAGATTTCGAGAATTGGCACACTTCCAATGTGACGTTCGTTGCGCCCATTTTTCGATTGCCGGCCTTGGACAGGCTGTTCAATATTTCCAATGTATCCATCCAAGAAACGGTTAAATCACAAGTTAATCAGGCCCTCAATTCTAAACATCAGCCGGGCATGAGCTCACTGGAGAGCTCACCGCTGGCTAACTAGCTCCTTGCCAGGCACAAACCGGCTGGCTGGACTCAAATGCGAATTCACCGCCGCAGGTGCAGCTCCCCATCTTCTCCGAGACCGCTGGGCCTGTTGGCACTTGCGTTCGTGATAACAAAATATTGACAAAGTCCATGTTCATCGTAGTTTCTTGAGGACTTGTATCAAGACTCCGTGGCCGTCGGGGTATCGGTAATCCAAAAAGACCGTGGCACACAGTTGGCTGGGAATGGAAGCTCGGCAGCGGGTTGCTTCAACTTCACGATCTTCTGAAATCGTCTGAAGGGAGAGATTTCTGCCCCACCTTGCCCACAACTCCGCATCCCAACTGATAGCCCTCCGGATCGCATCGTACCCGACATTGCTTTGCGGCATAAGCGCAATATGTCGTCAATAGCATTCAATGGTGTAAGGTATCTGTGACCCCGAGATCACATTGTGTATTTATTCGAGCGTGCCGTCAAAAGAGACTTGGCGTGGTTGATGAGATTACTGTGATTGAATAGATCGCTCTGGATTGAAGCGGTTTCAAACCTTCGCGAAGATTTAGTCGTTTAACGAGTCAAACAGGCCTCAAGACTGGATCTGGCATTGTCAACATTCGCTATCGGCATCGTCGAGGTATGCTCTCCTTCTTTAAGCTCGTGGACGAGCAGTCGTGGTCCACTTTGGAGGGGTCTTGGTTGGCGCCTTCCCAAAGAGGGAACAATTACCCCCGCTATAACCGTCCATTTCGCGTTTTAGGTTTGTCAACATGTTAGCAGAACTTCTTGTTTCGTGCACTACTTTAGCTCCCTGATACATGTTGGGTTGCTCGCTTCTCTTCCCACAACTTTGTCGTCATGATTTCGTATGACGCCCAATGTCACACTCGCATTCTCATCCAGGCATTCCTGGCATGGAAATCCCTTCTGCTTCTCATCGCCGTTTCTAGCGGCCTCGGCCCAGGAGCATATGATACGTCAAGTACCCTGCTTTCACCTGATGCAGTCTCGTTCAAGGAATCGCCCTTCGACCTCGCGACGAGGCTGACGAGGTGGGATGCCATCTACTTTGTGCAAAATGCCCGCCGCGGATACGTTTTTGAGCAGGAATGGGCGTTCGGCGGCGGCCTGCCAACTGTGATATCAGGGGTCGTGAAGTGTTTGTATCCCCGTCTGTGAAACCTTGTCGGACACTGACGCCAAACAAGTGCTTGGGGCTGTTGGCATCGGGAACACCGGCTCTTTAGAGTCCTGGATCGGAGTCAGCATTTCTCACGTGTCACATCTTCTTTCCGTTTTGGTCCTGTACCAGCTCGGGCTGAAGGTCTTGAGAGAACCCCGACTGTCGTTCATTGCGGCGCTGCTGCACGTCATTTCGCCCGCCGGGCTCTTCCTCTCCGCCCCGTATAATGAGAGCGCCTTTGCGTTGCTGTCCTTCACTGGGTATCTACTTTTCGCACATGGCCTCGGATCCCGCGGAACCCTTAACGATCTAAGCATCTTGGGCTCGGGAATCGTGTTTGGTCTCGCTACCACATTCCGCAGTAATGGTCTCCTCAGCGGCATCCCTTTCGCAGTTTACGCGATCATAGGATTTGCAAACCTCGTGGAGGCCCCCAATTTCTTGAACCTTCGCCGCTTAATCGCCCTCGGCCTGGGTGGGCTGTCCGTTGCGCTGGGTTCAATTGGCCCACAGGCAATTGCTTACTTCAGGTTCTGCTCCGGCAGTTCCGCGTCGGAGCCAAGACCCTGGTGTGCGAAGCGCCTGCCAAGCATATACACTTTCGTGCAAGAGAGATATTGGTCAGTATCTTTGAATTTCCAATCCGCCGCGCTTGTTCCCTAACCAAAACCAGGGGTGTCGGCTTCCTCCGATATTGGACACCCGGAAACATCCCGCTTTTCCTGCTTGCGGTCCCCATGATCTATCTGATGATGAGGTCTGGATTAGACATTCTCACGAACAGATTCGTCGGGATCAGTACGAGTAAGTCCCAAAGTCTTGGTTCGAGTAGAATCCTGCCGCCGGGACAATCCTTCCTTCGTACCATGGCTGCATCCCAAGTCATATTGACAGCCTTGGCAATCACAACCTACCACGTGCAAATCATCACAAGGATCTCTTCCGCCTATCCGGTATGGTACTGGTGGCTTGCGCAGAACCTACAGGAGGGGACAAGATTCGCAGATGGCGCGGTGGTCTTCATGGTTATGTACGCTGCTATACAAGGAGTGCTGTTTGCCTCCTTTCTGCCCCCAGCTTGATCCGGCCGTAGGAACAAATCTAACAATGTATATTACCCTCTTTCTGTCGCGAATTTATGTGGCTCGTGCTCATGTGACTAGCTTGTCGGGATACACAATGTGACACGGCCTCCATTCCTTTCCGGTGTTAACTCTGACCATCCGGATGACGCCGACGATGATAGCAGGTTTCGATTCTCGTTTCCTAACCAACGCAGCCAATGTTCTGGGCGAACGCCTTTTTCCTCGCTTCGCCAGAAGAGGAATATATTCCCATGGGGTCGACCTTTCGTAAGATTGAAATGACGAACCCAGTTGGTGTCGCCAGCACCTGCGTCTTGTTGATGGATAAGAGGTCAATATCCCGAAACATGGTCCCTTTATTGTATTAAATTCCTATGCTACTGCTGTCATGGGTCAACTCCGTGTATAATGTGCATTTTCTTGCCTGCCAACGTAGAGTTGACGATCTCTTCTACCAGTTCCCGGGTGGGATGAGTGAATCTTCAAAGTCCCTCCCGAATTCAGCGTTCCTCTTCAGATTGTGTATTTCTTTCATGGTTTTCCAAAGTAACCTAGGCACTCAACGGGAGGTTTGAACACTGGTTTAGAAACTCCGCTAGTATTGTTTTCTCGGTTATCAACTATCATTGCTCGGCATAATTTCGTCGTAATGGACCCTTGAGGGTTGACTTCTCCGATTTATCTTGCTCGTATCCAGCCTTTATGTGTTAAAATCCTCTTCATGTAGTTTATTCAAGACCCCGAAGGATGTGGACTAGCGCTAGGTCAGGTAGTTAGAGACATTGTGAATGAGGCAACTGACTGATAGCTACAAGAACGACAAATCATCGAGCGGGGGAGGTGTAAGTGAAGGATTCGATCCTTCCTGAATACTCTGGTTTCTCAGTGACATGAATTGCAAGGCTGATCGTACTTACGAGGCTCCGAATAGGGCTAAATTCCATTGTACAGTATGTGCAGGCTTTGGCAGGCACACGGGCTTCCATATCTTATCCAATTCTCCTCATTGTGCTGGCGTATTATTCGACAGTAAGTCCAAATTTCACTTCACACAACGCTTGTTGGAGTGTGATTGGCCTGTCTGTGTGCGAAAGTTACCCCTTAGTTGCCGGGACAGCCCAGGTCGAAAACTGCCATTCTGCCACCACAGAACAAGTTCATCTGCCTACGAAATATTCTGATTAGCCTCAAGAGGCCCTAGGCTTATTTGGCAATTCACTAGGATACATACTCCTTTCTGGGAATTCGGAGAACAAAAGGTTTGGAGGTTATGAAGGTAGTTGTTTACCTTGGAATCTTTAAGAAATCCCGACAATTGCAGCTGAGTCAATGAAGAAGGGATTCTCAACATTCCACGTACAAGGACTAGTTAGGGTATATGAAGAGTTTGTGAAACTGTTGTGAGAGTTGCTGGTTCAGATAGTGTAAAATACTCTACTGCGATCAGACACCTCATAGTATTGCGGCAAGTACTACCCATAAAACATAGCCAACAGTAACAGAAGCACATCAATTCTTATCTGTAGATTTCCTCCTCATTTGCAAGCAGGGGCCCTTCGCCTCCATGATTATATTCTTGAGATTTGGGTTATCCATGTCAAGTCTTCACAATTAAGAGTACCGTCAATGTAGGCCTGATGATATTAACATAAATGAGATCTGGGTTACCAGTAGTCAACTTACCAGGATAAAGTACCAGAATGAAGTATAAAGGATGGCAAAAGCGATTGTTCCTCATGATGCATGTGGACCCAATAGTCACAGACCAGCTCAACAGCTTCAACATTGCTGAGAAGGAGCAGAGCTATTCTATTCTAGAGGGCTTGAATTCACTGAATTGTGAGCTCAAATGCTGAGTCTATATCTCTACACCTGCTTTTCTTATCCTTGCTCTGGTGTTGTTAACTTTCACATCAACAAATTCCTCAAGCTCAGCTTCAATAAATTGGTCTTCTAGTTCAAATTCGAAGGCTTGAAGATAACCAGCTTCAACTTTCCTTCACCCAAGCAAAGATTGCTTGAGCCTCCACGCAAGGGTCTTCTTTTCCAGATCCTTTATCACGAACTGCTCACTCCTTCACAACATTAACTAACAGCTTCCCTAGAACTCATAGAGATCAGATCTGACCTGGGGCCTTCTTCTTCTTCACTGTTTCCTCCCAAAATCGATCTACACTCAGCATCTGCTTCTTTAAACCTGACGCACCTCCAACCTTCCCCACCAAGACTTCTTCGAGACTTGTATCCTTGCAACCTTGCAATCTTGACCAAGTCACAAGACAGCTACCACTTTGCCATCTTTCATCCAGAAGAGTTCATCATGATCAAGAAAACAACGACGGCGGCGGACAGGCCTGCTGCACCTGCCGGTCGTAAGAAGCCAGTGGATAAGCCTGGTGCAACTGCCATTCGCAAGAAGGCGTCTGCACAGCCTGCCGCACCTGCTGGTCGCAAGATTACCGCTCGCCCTGGTAGGACAAAGGCCAATGCTCAGGCTATAGCAAGTTATCTTGCGCCTGCTGACCACGATGATGACACTCAGGTGAACGGTCGCTCTGGGAGTATCAATGACCAGAATGGTGATGCTCAGCGGATCGGTCTCCTTTCGGGTAACAATGGTCAGGTTAATAGGTTTTCGGCGACCAAACCTGCTGACCAGACCAGCAACTCGCCAGCCTGCTCGGATAGTAACTTGGATAACAGAAATTCCTTAAACTTGTCCCAAGGCGCAGCCCTCCCAGGTGATTTCAGCAATAAAGATTACAGCCTCGCGGGCTTCTCTAAGTACGACCTCAACCTACCTGCTGACGGCTTCAACACAAATGAGCATTTTGACAACGCCTTCAACTTCTGCGACAAGACTCAGAACTCTGTTGATCTCAACGGTGGCATACAGGCTGGCGTCAATTTTGCCAACCAAAACGGCAACTACGATCTGGGCAATCTTGTAGTTGACAATAACTTTGAGAATTTCGTTGACTTCGACAGTGGTGCTATACAAGGCAACGACGCTGCTGCCGTTCCTGACCTTTCCCAGCTGGCTTCTGCTTTCCCTGTTAACTTCCCCCACAACGGTCAAGTCGGCAACAATATTTCCTTCACCAATCCCATGCAAAACACTTATGTGGCTAGAAAGAACATTGGCGAATATCAAGATATGGCAGGCAATGCTAATTGCAACAAAACTCAGGGCCTTTCTGCGATCTGCGAGGGTTCTGGTACCAACGCTCGGAATCGAGTCGATTTTCATCAGAACCGACCTGGCGACGCTCTTGCCCCTTGCAACGAATTTCGAAAAAACGCTCAGCAAGCTTCTCACACCCACATTGACAACATGACCTCTGGCAATGTGAGCATCGTCATCAAAGCCATTGATTCATCGGCCACCATCAACGTGGCTGATGTCCTAGAAGATCTCAACCTGGCCAAGGATCTTCAGGACTGGCTCAAGCTGACTGACTGGCAAAATGTTGACCATCGTGGCTTGCTGCTGAGCCATTACCAGGCCCATATAGACATTCAGCAGAAAGAGGTTGCGCTCAAGGAACAGGAAGTTGCCCTTGCTGCTGAGAAGGCGCGACTGCTGCAAGGCTTTCCGCGGGCTGGCAAAGAATTTGAACGAGGCTCACACAATATGAAGCCTTTCATTGAAGCTACCCAGGAGTCCATGTTCACCCCTACCCCGACTCCTACCTCCTACCATGAAGCTGACGACAACAATCGCCATGCTTCGCCCAACACCTACGAGAACCCGGATAGATTTCAGGTAGCGAACTCTCCCTATGGCAGCGTTGAGACTTCCAGGAGCTACAGTGACTACGAAGTCAATAACGAGCGTACGGGTATCTCGATTGATCGTGATTACACACCTACAGATTCTGTTGAATTCACCCCGGAGAACCCAAACAGAGCCCACAAAGAGGCCCAACTCAACTCGCCTGGTTATCAAGACATGGACCACGGGCGATCGCTGTCTCCTTATAAGCATGGTGACGAGACCCAGCGAACGGATGGACCTCCTGCTTCGCCTCGCAGTGGCTCTCCTGATGGTGGTAGACGTTACCGTGAGGACGACCGCGACTCGTTCTACCGGAACCGTGACAACACCCACTACTCAAGCCATATTGGTAGATACAGAAGCCGCAGCCCTCGCGCCCCGGTTGTTAGTCGTGATCTGGCCTCTCGCATCATGTCCCCCAAGAATGGTCGTGGTTCCAGCGTCTTTGCTGAACGAAGAGAGTATCCTGATGACAGAGCCAGCCGCCGCAGCCAACAGTCGCTCAAGATTGATATCGGAAAGCCCGGTGGTGAGCTGACTTTACCTCGTTTTCTGTCAGCCTAACAATTAATCTTACTAGATACCCGTTACTTCGTCATGAAATCTTTCAGCGCTAAGAATATCTACACTAGCCATAAGGAACGTGTCTGGGCGACTCAACCCAAGAACATTGACACCCTGACTGAGGCATTCGAGAAGTGCAAGAACGTCGTCCTGTTCTTCTCGGCGAACCAATCGCATGCGTATCAGGGATATGTAGGCTTTTGCTTCGCTGTTGCATGGAGAACACCACCAGCTAACATACATGTCTTTAGGCTGTCATGGAGAGCGGCCCTTCTTCCGCCAACCCTCAACCAAGTTGGTACAAGAAGATCAGATGGCCCCTCAGTGAGCCCTTCCGCCTGAAGTGGATCTGCACCCAGGACTGCGAGGATCGCTACTTCAACAAGCTGCAAAATCGATTCAACGACGACAGCCCTGTCACCCGCTCGCGTGATGGCACCGAAATCGATAGCTTCTGTGGTCGCAATATGATGCTAACCATTGACAGAATGACTGGCCGTGATGCCTCTTAGGTAAAGACATGGCCGGGAGAAAATCATCATGCTCCGGCGGCCAAAGACGGCGATGATATTTGTTGACTAGACTGACAAGCAGTTGCTGGCCCATGATGATAACCGATTTGCTTTTCCTTGCTTTTGCACAACTGGGCAGGCTGCCCGATCTCTTTTCAATTTTACGACTGGGGATAGAACATCATCTGGGCCAAGTCGTAAGGGAAATCAACGTTAATTTCCGATATGCCCACACAGGAGGTTCGGGAAAGGGGCGGCTGGACAATGTCTTGGCAGATGCGTAATGGTGTTTCTTGTCAAGCTTTTCCAGATAACGGGGCGAAGGCAGACTTCAGATCTGGACTGTGACATGAAAAGCGCTGCATTTCAGCCCTACTAATCAACTGGTTAGCCCCATTGATCAGACTTGCGACTGGGGGACTTCGGGATGGCTACCTCGTCACTACTATTAGACGCATGGTGAAACAACAGGTAAAAGCTATAATTCGTAGTGACCTCTCGGGAAATTAGGCTGGATTTCCGTGTCAATTGCTTGGTCCTTGATCCTTGGGCTGCATTGAAAGGACTGACTCGATTCATCCCAACGTGTTCCAACGTGGTCTGATTCTATTGCGGTGAAGGCTTGGATGCCGTTGATTCTGCCTTGAAACCGTCAGCAACATTGTTTCTTATGCCAATTTCCTTCCAACAAACCAAAATCTTGTTCAAATGTGCTTGAATGAGGGATCGACAACCAACTTTATATGACACAACCATCATGACTTGTAGAAGCCTGTTGAAAACATAGCTACTCGATTAAATTGAATCCAATTGAGCACATGGACCAAGCTAAAAAGGGGTTGCACCTCTATCAACTGCAAGCCAGCCAGGCAATCGCTTTGGACCTCTACTGGTTCTTTGATTTGCAAATACATCAGAATTCCTTCTGGTCACGCGGAGCACACCTCGTGGAGCATCATGGCGAGCCAATGAGCAAGGCACCCGAGACCGGATAGTCGGCTTCGACAAAAAACGTCTTCAATACGCGTATAGTTCATCCTGTTCTTCACCTTGTCAACCATGCGTGGGCTTACAGATCATTCCAGCTTGCACAACTACCTGCAACTCAGCCCTCAGTGCTAAGCCTGCCATTGAACAAGCCATTGTCTTCGGTCCAGATTAAATCACTATACCTTTGCACTCGCCTGGATTGGTATGGAACAACTTCGGTTGAGGATCCAATAGGCCAAGTGCATGTCACACTCCACCTTCCCACTCAGGAAAGAGTAACCTTCGAACGTTTATAACCCGTACCTACCTCCACTGCTCATTTCCTGGATCTCGTATCGGCAATCGACCACAGCAATCGAATCGATAAGTCGCGCCAAAGTTCCATCATCCACCGTATGGTCTTACACCTGGTCCAACAAACGAACTTATCTCAATTCCCAGCTGTACAGCAAAAGGTACTAAGAAACCTATCTACAAAGTCATCAGCTTTCCACAATAACGTCATAAATTCTGGCTGTCCGTGCAACTTCGTCTGCCCGAACCCTCGTTGTACATCGTCTCCCACCGAGAACAACAGTTGCTCCGGCCTACTCAACGCCCCAACTGGTTTGCACAGCTGCGACCAACGCCTTCGGCAGTCTTTGCTCTTGCACGACATAAGAGCCTTTCTCTTTTCCGATCAACAACTCAGTATATACCATCAGCACTATGTCTCAAGTTGCAACCACCACGGCGGTGCCTCCGATGCCAGCGGTCACATTACGGAACAATAAGAGGTTCTCCGAAATGACAAGGTCGACAACATCAACCGCATCAACCTCCACCACCGATGCAGAGCGCCACCGCCACTTTCAGCATGCACCAGGTTGGTGTCACAAGGTCGCCAACTCGGCGCACAAGCTCAGCACTCACCTCAAGAGCATTGGGCACCACCAATCTAGTCACCCTGACCCGCACCATCACTCGCAGTCTCACCATCCTCAACGGCACCACTCCCAGCCTCGTTGTCGCCCGGATGATATCTGCGTCGTTGCTAAGACTAAGACGGTACCGGATAAGATGGTTCCTGCAGGGACAACGGGAGCAGCTGAGGACCCGGAGACACGCCGCAAGAAGGAGTGGGAGAGGCTGAAGTATATCTCTATCTATGGGTGTATCGACTACCGCGTGCAGTCGCCGGAGACCGCGAACATTCACTTGCGCAGCATGGGATGGTAGCCCGAACACGGGGCCTGGGTGATCTTCCGTTGCCTAGGATTATCGGCGTTCGCTCGAATCCCTTGCTCCTCACGCGGGGCGATGTAGAGAGAGATAGGGTGTGGACAACCATAGAGGGGTGATAGCCGTCGAACTGTGTTCAGATATACCAAAAAGCCAGCACACAGAGCTCGGAAATTCGCATGATAACAGCGGGAGTTGGTTTTATGCGACAGGACAGACTTGACTCTGCTGATTTCATCATGTTTTTGGGAATACCCTTGGCTGGATGCATTGGGTGAGGATAGCGGGTAGCGGGTAGCGGGATCATTGATACAGGGCTTTTGGTACATTGCTTTTGAGATTCCCGTTTGCTTCTTGGCTTTCTAGGAACATCGCATTGGGAGAGAGGAAGCAGGTTTCTTCAGATATAATACATTGGTTTATACAACAGAACCCACGTTACTTCACTCTTCCTGTGAGCATCATCAGATTTCGCTACTATTGTGTCTTCCATATGCTCATTGGTTTGATGTGGACGATTATGTCACATGGCGAAATAGCTAAAGAGCTACCCCTATAAGAGAATGGTCAGGCATCTGCTGCTAAATCCAGCCTTCTTGCCCTTGGACAAGACCATGTCTAATTTCTTTGTCATTCTGTACGATATGGTCTTGAATGAGTCACATTGTATAGTATCAAACATGAGGGTATATACCAAAATAACGACCGCAACAACATACATATGCTAACAGCCCTTCTATCTCAACGTTTAATATCAATATAAGGCAGGGACTTCCCACCTGTGGGTGCCCATCAGTTCTGGTCTGCCAAGCGTCGCCAAAATTTTCTCAGGTCGAATGGTTTTAATAAGTAATGCTATTAGGAGGATCATGGTGGTGTCGGCCTACTTCTCTCTCCACCTTCGAATGCAGGTCATGCACTTGTAGAAACTCGTTTCTTAACTATCTACCTTAAAATAGGAGTACTATACTAGTATATAGTATATGTATAGGTCTTTTCGCTCAGCGACGTTTAGTTAAAAGTCTTCCTTTTACCCCAATACTCGGGATCCGTCACATGCTTAGTTATAGTGAGATTTGGTAAGTTTTGGTGGGGACATGGGACCCGTACGTAGACTTGTCGATGGTCACTGTACATAATGTTCACATATTGACTACACCTTCCTGGGAATTATCCACCACTGTGAACCCCAATTTTCTTTGGATCGTTGCGTTTCTTGTTCCAGCTGTCTAAAACTTTTGTGACTAATTAGAAAATACGGTGGCATAATTCACTAGGTATCCATTTAATTCGGATCGTTATATCCTATACTATTTCGTCTTCGAGTATTCGCTAGGTTGTAAGATTCACTATTCACTTGCACTAAAGAGGGATTACGAGACCAAATATCCACTTTGCTTGGAGTGCTTGGAGAGAACGGTAGGGTTGAGTACTTAGTTACACTTAACAAGGACGATAATATCAAATAGTCATTAGCACTGGGTGGGGACGGTAAGACCGAATATTCATGTGCATTCGGAAGGGCCATAATGTAGACTATTCACTTTGGCAAGTTTAATTCTCCATCGATTTTGATTTTTCTTCAGCTATCGTTCTGGAGTACTAGCAAATGAATTCAACTCAGATTTAAGGCGCACATTCCTCTCAGTGGAACTACACGAGGCGCCCTATTTCTATTGAGCCCCTTTAACTACTTGTTCTTCAACTTAACAACATTGGCTTAACCCAAGCCAAGCCACAATAAATTCTCGAAGCACAACTTACTTTCTTCTTGATCACCCTGTCTTCGAACAACCCCGACAGACAGCAACGCGAGGCGTCGCATGCCGTGACCGCTCCCCCAGTACTGAAAGACATGAGATAGATATCCCGCAGTAAAATCTACCAGGCTGTATCCCATGTGAGAAAGATTTAGACGGAGAACCAAGGTTATGCGAATTTGTCCAAGTACGAGAACGAAGAGCCGATTGTGCGTGCGCACGCCGTGATCCGAGTCACGTGGATTATACTTCTGGGATCAATTGTCAATGGATGCAGACGGGCCAATCCTATTAGTGTCCCCACACCTTCTCCAGATCCCCGCATCAACTCCCTCGGTGCCTGAGGTCAATGCATCGAGGTAGGAACCTTCCGATTCCCAACCTCCTCCACCATTTGACGGCCTCCCTTCCTGTTGAGTGTACCTGGACAAACGACATTTGTTGTGTTTGATTTAGTAAGAGAAATACAAAAATTCTGCTTCTATTCTAATCTACAATTGTCGAATGATTCCATCATCACCGTCACCAACATCGCCTGTTGGCCCACATCCCAGTGAAAACTGGGAAGGGGAAAACTGTCTTGCATTTGCCGACATCTTGTGTGACACGACGTTTTTAGATCTCTCGTGAGCTTCGATCTGGGATCAGTTAATTACTTCGCTGGGCGAGCTTCCCGCCATATTCCCGGCACCCGTCACCCGTTGACAACTCTGCCAGCCTTCTCAGTCAGCTACGCCTTCACATCGGCCTCATGGCTTCAAACACTCCCGGGAAGACCCACGTTATGCCGGCCGAGTTGGTAATTCGAACAAATACAAATCTCCACATGGACATGTATGTCAATAGTCCAGATTTAGAGGTTGATACCAGGGACACTAGCCTATGCGGCTCTTCAGTGCTCCTGCCCAGCGCCAGTCAAACTCATGTTCAGCCAAAGCATTTGCCGAATTGGAACAACCTCAAGGTCATCCACCGCAATACTTTAACACCAAGGAGTCACTTTTTTCTATACAATTCCGAGAAAGACGCCCTAGCTGGTGATGTTCAGCGTTCGAGAAGTCTTCTCCTTTCGGGGTTATGGGGATTCCACCTCACCAATGGGCCTTTCAATGGACCAACGGATTTCTTCGACCCAAACTTCGACAACTCCAAATGGGATCTCATCAAAGTTCCTGGCATGTGGCAATTGCAAGGTCATGGGAAAGGGCCACAATACACCAACGTCAACTATCCCTTCCCCGTCAACCCTCCTCATGTGCCCTATGATGAGAATGAATGTGGCCGTTACGTGACCAAGTTTGCGGTGCCTGAAAACTTGAAGGATACGAAGCAGTGGAGGTTGAGGTTCGAGGGCGTGGATAGCGCCTTTTCGGTATACTTGAATGGCAAAGAGATTGGGTACTCCCAAGGATCTCGAAATCCGAGCGAGTTCGACATAACAGATGCTCTGATCCTAGATTCCGAAGAGAATTACCTTGCTGTCGAGGTCTACCAATGGAGTGACGGCAGCTACATTGAAGATCAGGTAAGCATTACGCACAGTGAAACATGAGTGCATTGCATTGACCTCGAGACCCATTTTAGGATCAATGGTGGCTTTCTGGAATCTTTCGCGATGTGTGGCTCCATGCCTTTCCTTCAGTTCATCTGGAGGACTTCCACGTTCAGACTATATTGGACGACGACTATAAGGATGCATGGTTGAAGCTCCATGTTGACTTGAACCAAGCACACTGCACGACAGTAAAGCTCCTAGATATCGAAGGGAACACCGTCTTCCACGTATCACACACCCCAGATAAAAATTCTTTCCAAGTTCAATACCAGGTAAAATGCCCACACAAGTGGACGGCAGAGACCCCGTATCTATACACACTTGTCATCTCCGTGGGAGAAGTCTACATTTCCCACAAAATCGGATTCCGTCGGGCGGAGCTTGTCGACGGCGTCTTTTGTGTAAATGGAAATCCTGTCAAGTTTAGAGGGGTCAACCGGCACGAACATCATCCAGAATCAGGACGAGCTGTACCGTACGAGTTCCTCAGAAGAGACCTCCTCCTCATGAAGTATTTCAACATCAACGCAATCCGGACATCGCATTACATCAACGACACCAGATTGTATGACCTAGCGAACGAATTAGGCCTCTGGGTTATTTCAGAGGCGGATTTAGAATGTCATGGTATGGGGGAAGTGGGAGGAGACCCGGCGAGTTTCGCCTCCGATAACCCAGCCTGGAAAGACGCATACGTCGACCGGGCCAGGCAGATGGTCATGCGAGACAAGAACCACCCGTGTATCATCATGTGGTCTCTTGGCAATGAGTCGTTCTATGGCCGAAACCACCAAGCGATGTACGACGAGATCAAAAGCATTGATGATACGCGACTTATTCATTACGAAGGCGATCAAGATGCCCAGACCGTGGATATCTTCAGCCGAATGTACACTTCCGTCGACGATATGATTAAGCACGCTGAGGAGAAAGACTGGAAAAAACCATTCGTCATGTGTGAGTACGCCCATGCCATGGGAAATGGTCCAGGGGCCATAAAAGAATACATCGACGCCTTCTACAAGTATCCTCGACTGATGGGAGGGTTTGTCTGGGAATGGGCCAACCATGTAAGTTCACATCTTCTACCGAGCCACCCCTGGCTAGGTGGACAGTCAGTTTATGCCTGTTTACTACACTGGTACACTGGAACACTGGGCTATCCCACTTTTGGTGTATCATTCATTTTGAATACCGTTTCAGGAGTGCACTCACACTAGTTTAGGGCTTAAAGACCAATAATGCAGACGGAGAAGTCTATATGGCCTACGGAGGGGACTTTGGCGAAGAAGTACACGACTTTAACTTCGTAATGGATGGCCTTTGTTTTGCAAACCACAGCCCTACTCCCGGTCTGCTTGAGTATAGCAAGGCGATTGAACCAGTTCAAGTTCTCGGTTATGAAAGGGGCGAGGTCGAAATCATTAATCGCTTCGATTTCCTGGATCCGGCGGACCACCTTCGATGTCATTGGGAAATCATTTCGGACCGTTCCCAGGTAATTGGCCGCGAAGTCCATATACCCGAGGGCATCAGACCTCACACCAAAGCCAAGATGTTTATCGGTGATCTTGGAAAGTTTATTGGTGATCTCGGAATTGCCTCCACTGCAGAGGTCTGGTTGCGGATCGAGTTTTCTCGGCGGGAGGGTACGCAATGGTCGTACCCAGGACAGCTTATTGCTGCCAGTCAGCTTCAACTGACTCCACCAAAGTCACTCGCTTTCTTGAAGACCATCTCAACCCTAGTCGGGCCCAGAGTCCACACCAAAGGCCATGTCCTCAGTGTGATGCTTAGAAGTGGGAAGATATTTGGCTTCAACACGCTGGACGGCACCCTCTTTTCACTCACTCATGCCTGCAGCCCCCATCTCAACTTGCTCTCGGAACCACCCACTCTGGACTTTTACCGCGCTCTCACCGACAACGATCGCGGCGGCCGCTTTGGAAAAGAGTGGACCGAGCGCCGCCTCCACCAGACCCGGAACCACTTCACGCGGGTGACCACAACGGAAGAAGGTCACGTCTGCAAGATCATCGTCGAGAGCCGTGTCGCGCCGCCCGTCCTGGCATGGAGTGTCGATACCGTTACCACCTACACGTTGACGTCGGAGTACTGCAGCGTCCACATCAAGGCCAAGCCACGCGGGCCTCTGCTCCCGGACACCTTTGCCCGTTTCGGCCTGACCTTCGGCCTCAAGGGTGTCAAAGTGGTCGAGTGGTTCGGTCGCGGAAGGGGGGAGTCTTATTGTGATAAGAAGCTGTCGCAGCATGTGAACACGTGGGGTGGGAGCGTGGACTCACTGTTCACTGATTACGAGCTCCCGCAGGACTGCGGTAACCGTACAGATGTCCGCTGGGTTGAGCTGCGAGATAGATGGGGCGCGACTGAGAAGGGCAGGTTGCTCAGGGCGAGGTTTGGAGATCATGACGGGGCCAGTTTTAGTGCAATGCATTACACGACCAAGGACTTGGACGAGTCGACGCACCCGTATGAGCTACACAAGCGTAAGAGGGAGGACACCATTGTGAGGTTGGATTGGTTCCATCATGGACTGGGAACAGGGAGCTGTGGGCCGGCGACGCTGCCGCAGTACGAGTTGAGGACGGACAGGGAGTTTGATGTCGAGTTGCTGTTGGACTAGGATTGGCATATGGGTAGACTGGCTGGCCGGAAACACTTGGACGAGTAGGCAAAAGCAATGTTGGGTTTGAATGTACTCCTGATACGGTGACAGGGTGTATTGTAGTTTTTTCATGTACATCGTATTTTGCTTGATGTCCACCAGGATTATGTCTTAACGATGCCACTCACTTATCCGTGAGGGGTCGGGGTTATGTGCATAATTTACAAAATCATCATTTTTTCATCATTGGCCAAAATTGATCTTGCAGCTACATAGCGCCGCAGCACCTTTTCGACCAGCTTCCAGCCAACATGCATACATATGCTGATAAAGTTGGTCGCATACTGGAGCCTCAGGTACATGCTGGTTGGAACTTATGAGGCTCACACTGCAACCCAATGAATTGGGGTACCACGTCCGCAAAACCACCTTCATTGGACGAGAACGACACCTCGCCATAACCTATCGTGAGTGGGGGGTAGCTAGTCACGAATGTAGTCGCATGAAACTTCGTTTAAGCAACTCAGTATTATCCCTCAAGTGGGGGCCGAGAATGAAAAAGCAGATGTGGAATGCCTTGATCTTGCCAACCACGCGAAGTACTGTACTGCGGGCAATAAGGTATTTGGTGAGGAGAAAGTAACTCGTGCTTACCTTTTTTAAGACGGTCTATGCTCCACTGGCCGAAAAGCCGCATCGTGTAACTACTACGTAGTAGCCGTCAGTGGGCCGAGTGTGGGCCGCTTAGGTTGCGCCGCATGATGAATGATGGTATCAGACCGTGAATTTTTCTCATTCGCCTGCCGAGAACCCACGAAGAGCCCCTCGCTGTGTCCACCATTGTCGCGGTATTCCCATTTTTTCTGGAGAGGAGAACGAAGCGGGGTGGTTGGTCGGTTGGTTGGTCAGCATTGCATCGCTGGCCGTCGCGCTGATGTGCCTCTAGTTCTTGATTTGGGGATCTTGGCTTATATCGCATTCAAGCTTGGGGGCTTGTATGTACCCCTGTGTGGTTGTTGTTCCGAGTTTCCAAACTTGCCTAGAGCATCAATCCAACAGCCGAACTTGCTTGCTTGCTTGCATGCAAGCTGCAAGTCATTTGGAATGGCGACATGCCGAAGCAAGTGTTGGTGAGGTGTGGCTCATGAGTTTGGTTCGTTGGCGCGGAGCCGTCGCGGGGCTGCCCGCCAACTACTCTAGTGTGGTGTAAACGGACTGCGTTTCAAGCAATTCGCGGTAGGGATGTCATCTGTTGGCAGGGTTATGGGAAGAGGAGGTGTTGAGGGGTTGTTGATTCGTTGGATAAGGAATACGAGACAGTACAAGTCGGCGATAGAAATGCCGTCGATCCGCGTGGAGGTCAAAAGTCTTCCGACAACGTTTGCGACGGCGTAACTTGCGATGCCATCAACGCACACCCGCAACTCGACAACTTTGAAGATGGGGTTCGAAAATTATTTTCTTGGTGGTCGACATGAATTTGGGTAGTTTGTACTCTTGCCGTATTTGGCTTCCGTATAATCTGACCATTTTCATGTCGAGGTCCTGTCTGGTCAAGCCTGGGCGTCATGTCCGCCATACTCTATTGGAGCGTTTCGCAGCAAGCCGCTGTGGATTCCTGAGAATACACCAGGAATCCTGGTTTCGGCGTATCAGATGACAATTAGTAGCAATAACATAGTAAACGGCTGCTACGATGGCGATGCTGGCTGTCGATAACCCCCTCACCTTGCAACCGCTAGGCTCTTGCCTTGTTGTCACGATGCCTTTGCATCCCTCGTCCCAACTAGCCACCCGACGGTGCGAGTAGGCGGTGGTCGGTGCAATGCGTCTATACCCAAGCTGGTAAAATCAGGGGTGATCAGCTCTCTTACCGCGTGCCAGCCGGGAAACCTCGTCGGAATTCTAACCCATCTTTTCGATGGTGGAAAACTAAAGTCGACTGACAGCTGTTGGTCCGCAGGTCGAGAACCTCTGGTGGGGCTCTGCTGGAGGCCCCAATATTCGGAATTGGTATAAGTAGCGGGGTTGTGTACCTCATGAGTAACGGTATGATGTTCCGAAAAATGCTCCAGTGTGCATGGCTAGCGGGAATCGAGGCTTCGAACAGCAGGCTATTATAGCCTGCTGCTGCTGCGCATGCATGTCAAGTCACACCCATTTCCAGCTCTGGAATCCAAGCTGCCCACAATGGGATTTTATACTACTATTGGTTCTCTGGCAATGGCCCCTAGAGCCTCGTAAGAACAGCTTGCAAGTAGGGGTACATCGGTATGGGGGGTTCTCGAGTCCGTTCTTGCCATTAAAGCGTGTCTGGTTCCTGATAACGCCTCTGGCTATTTGAGAAGATCATTACTTTAGAAGGCTGAGAGCTGGGTGCACAACTGACGTTTGTGATTCAGCATTCGCCAATACCTCTTGGAATTGGTTGACTTTTCATTTCCTCCTGACTGTGAACCTTGTACGGAAACTCGGGCTAGTAATTAGTTCGTAGTGCTTCCGACATTCCTGGGGTTGCAGCTCTCTTGTCTAAGCTTGAGATGCGTTGAAGACGACTCGTCGATTCGAGGCGACTGCCACTAATGTCTGTATCGGTTTGATAGCTAGTCATGGGCTATACAGTCCTGCTGGAACTGCCGCACTGGGCACTTAACGGGACGAACAATGCATTGCGAGTAATATGGTCACCCAGTACGGAGCAAATTAAGCAGCCCGCTCAGATTGAACTCGTGGTCATACCGCACAGATCGAATGGACCCCGGGTGGGCCCAGTATAGGTGGAGTTGTCGGCTCAAACCGTTCTAGCGACTGCCATATGAATAGAATTCTATAATTTCATCAGTATTTCCCTTGCAAGGATAGTAGTTGACGAGTATGCAAGTATATATAGACCTCTTATCGTGTCCGATTCGGTGTTGGTGGGGATGCTCACCGTAGCTTACCTCGGTCCATCGTCCGGTCCCAAGCATACCCCGCCGTGGCATGGTGGTTGGGATTCGGGGAGGCGCAGGGCAATGTCGTCTATGATTCACTCTCCAATTGTCAAAAGTAGCAATCGGGTACAGTTCGATAATATTCCCCAGCCATGATTCAGCCATGATTCGAGACACATTGGCAGATGATTGCAGGTGAAGTTTGGTTTCAAATGTTGAGTGATCTATGTTTGCAACAAATACTATGTTTCCTGCCACGCCGGCATCAAACGTTTGCACCGGGACCCATGTTGGATGCTCAGTGGTAAATACTCCGGTGACGTTCCGTTTCGCTTTGATTACCTGCAGAAGCCCAGCTGCTTCTTCTATTGGAACGAAGTAAGCTGACACTGATGAGACAGGGAGGGTCCTGTCAAAAACATTATGGCTGACACCGTCGGTCCGGGGACGCACTCTCCGAATGTGCTCGCAATAAATAGAGCAAGCAGGCAGGCTGGGGAATTTTAGCAGATTGCGGACTCGCTTGTATCAGTTGTATCAAGAGAGCATTCGTGGTATATTATAGAAGAGATGCTGTAGAGAACTCGTTTGTCTGCTGTTTCCCGATAGGCTGTGGGTTTCATGAGTCAAGTCCGGGGATGTCCCTTCCTCCGGAACAAATCTGTGAGTGAGTTGCTCGTGACGATGAATTAGGCCCCGACGTTATCAGTCGCAGCTAAGAATAGAGTAGACTCTTCAAAGTGAAAATAGAGTATCGAAGCTTCCCCAAGCTCTGCCCAAGCTTCCAGTTCAAGTACAGTACCTTTGTTGCTCGGCCTATGCTGGTGCCGGTGGTGCAGCTCCGTTACCATACCATTGGCCGGCGGTCTATTAGAGTTTACTCAGCAGAAGCTCCGGCTGGTCGGGTGCTTGGTTTGAGATGGCAGCGGTGGAATGGGCAAGGGCCTACCGACGAACCATCAACGACATCTTAAGCGACCCAAATCATACACGGCAGACTGCAGCAAAAGGTGCTTTTTGTAACGAGTGTTCGGCAAGTAGAGTGCGTGTGCGTGATTTATTGATTTGCTTCAGGGGATTACCAGCTATGTTTTCAGGTTCAGGTGAGGATAGGCGGATCTCCGGTCTTCAACGGGCAATCCAGTGTTTCGTCAAGCGGAAAGCCTCTCCTTCATATTTGACCCCAGGACTTGAGACATCTGCATGCGACGGCGGATCGACGTGTTTGCCATCCTTCACCAATCGCATCCGTACCACACTTGTGTCAAATTTGCAGCCTGTCGACGCCGTAGAACAGCTACCACGCCCTTTTTCGCCGGGTACAACATTGGGGATGTGGGGCTTCATATGTTCTTTCGACTTTCGCATCTGCAATCTTTTTCCCTTCCCTTCAGATCGTTCACCGCTGAGACCGTCAACGCTGCCCATCTGTGTCGTCAGTTACACGACGGCGAGAACCAGGACTAAACCTTGTTGGTCCGCTCGATCCAACTTCCCAAGCCGGACAGTCTAATATGGCGTCGCTAGCTTGCTTGCTCTCTCGCCCAGGATGACGCTCGTGACCACAGATCTCAGCCCGTCCAGTTCGCAGCGCCCTGGTTCGTTACGGGAAAGTGCCTCTGCCATTTCGGGTTAAAAGCCAGGGGCAACCATTGCTTGCATCATAGCATGGCGACAGCGCTCACGCGTCGGGAAGGTCTGGGGATGCTGGCATGAAATGAACAGGGTTCGCAAAGTAGGGATTCAAGGGTTGTCAATTTCCATGCCACACTGCGAGTCCCATGATCTCCACTGTTAATTGGCATCGTCACATTTGCACGTCGAGCTTCCGAGTCGATTTGTTGGGGGCTCTGTCACCCATTCGCCAATTCGTCATGGCGTTGCAAAACGGCGTCTGTTTGTTCAACTCGGACACGCGACTTTGACATCTGTTTTCCGCCACGTTCCCCGTTCTTCGGTACGAGAAAAGAGTCCGAGGAAGCCACACATTGATGGTCGAATGGCCGTCTCGACGCCCCATCGTCCTCGTCATCAAAGGTACATTGTACCTCGTACTCCTGCACGACCTTCTGATCGTCAGCGTGTGGCTTGCATCAGGGCGCCAGGGGTCCCGGCATCCTTGTCGATATCTGCAAATCCTCCCCCCGTCAAGCATTGGGTGGGCCACGGGTCACCACCCAATATCCTAGAGCTGCAGGTAGGCCACCTGGGCAATTTGGGAAAGAATTTACAGTTAGCGGTGGGTGTGCAGGTGTTGTCGGGTCCAGACAGGTTTGGTCTAATTAATGGTTTGGGAAGGGCCTGTTCGCTATGAACCGTGGCCGCCATCGTCTCTTTTGCTTAATCTTAATATCTCACAAACTCTCATCAGAGCGTTGCATCATTCCTTCGTTCTTGTCCCCCTCCTTCCTCCTCTCTCACCCCCGCGCTACTCTTCACCCCAACGGCTCTGGATTCAAGTGGGATTCAAGTGGGTATCCAGGAAAAGGGAAGAGGAAGGTCGCTCGTTGAACGATATCGCTTCGTGCCCACGTGCACCAATTCTTCGGATTTTCCGGGCTACAAGGATCATAAACCAATATCGCCGGTGAAGCATGTTGTGGTGACGCCCAGCTTTCATCTCTCTGCGGTTCTGAGGGTACCGGTGCGTGGTCGTGTATACGACGATGCAGGCAGAGATTCTTACAGTATCGATATAGTTCCTCCCCCCCCCCTCCCCCCAAACCGAGACTCGTCGGCGTGCCGTGAAACCGGTCCAGATCACCGCTTTTAATATCGAATTCGAGGGTCTCGCTGTTGCGTTGCGACATTCCTCAAAGCGTTTCATAGGTCAAGGCTCTTCGCGGCGACTTTACTTTTACATATGTTCTGCAGCCACCCGGATCGGTCTCTGCTGTGCAAGGGCCCTTCGAATATTCGAAAGGAGGCTCTTGGACGAATACTAAGCGACGTGGAGGCGACTTCCAACGTCGTTGATGTCGAATTGCACCGAGTGATCCATCTTAGGTGCTCGCTTCGCAAAGATGGGTCATAAATCCAAATTCACGTTTCCCGTACCAGGACGGAGGTCCAAACAGTCATCAGCTCCGGCAAACATCTCGGCCCCGCTCACGAAAGCCCAGAGGATATTGGGTACCGGTGAGATCAATATAGACGCGCCTATGCTGCCTAGAGGAGACCCGCGGCCGTGGGATGCGAGTTCAATGTCAGGCATCAGCATCTCAGTTTCGGATAGCAGCGTCACCAACACAAACGATCATCACATGGGGTTTCTAGGCGAGGAAGACGATGAGCTGAGGGCCATAAGACATGGCCCTGGTCAGATGACCTGGGATCAGGAATCCGACATCATTCCTGTCCACTTGCGCAGCGGGTTGGGTGAAGCCGCGAGGACTCTGAGAATGCAGAGGTCAGCCATGACGCTGGGGCGTGAATACATGACGGACGGCTCAAGTCTTCGGCGTCGGCAGTCGAGTTCGTCCACCATTTTGACCTACTACGAGAAGAACAAAGTCCCTCTATCTATATCACAACAAACGTCAAGCTCGGCAATGGCAAAGGGTTTGCCAACCAAGGCGAGCAACGTCCTCGATGTGGATGGAAAGCTAGGAGATGCGACGGGCAGCAAGAAGAAGAAGCCCTCCAGGTTGGATCTCTCGTTGCTGAGGTCCCGTAGCCGCAAGAGGGGACTTGCTCCAGTTGGGCCCGTACTGGGAAACGACTACGTGATGGCCTCACCAACCTCCATGTCGCCGGTGTCTGCACAAGATACCTCGGCTCCTCCGCTGCCACAGCGAGGACTCAGCCATAAAACCTCGATGCGGAGCTGGAGGCAAGCTGCCGGCGGCGTCATCAGCCCTCTCACCAACAACCCATCCCGCATGCGGGGCACAAACGATGTGTCGGGTTTGCAGCAACTACACGATCATTACGAACAGGTCTCAATGCGTCAGGTCCCATGGATTCCGAGGCCCCCTCAATTCGAGCCCCTTACGTTGGGATCGGCCCTAGAGCCCTCACCAGCCCTCGCCTCGCCAGTGACCCTCGCCGCGCCTCTAGCTTCTCACCCAGTGATACTCCAATCAGGCGAATGCTGGCATGCACATGCCCGGAAAGACTCCACCGGGAGCCGGAACACCATGGGAAGCGGAGGCAGTCGAATGGCACTGCCGTCCCACCTCACACCAAGCCAGGACTATGCATCGAGCCTGTCCAGTCGGCACACCCGCACATCAAAGACATCAAAAACATCACGCACGTTAGATTCTGACTTGCAACAGAACAGTGTTTTGTCTTTATCGGACTCCGAGTCGGATGAAGACGACTTCAGCGAAACGGGCCCCAAATCATCAGTATCTTCTCACGGTAATCTCTCTCACGACGACGTCTTCGCACCTTCGATCGTGGAAACGCGGAAATCACCACTATCTGGACCTCCAGTAGTCCCTACTGCTGAATCCGATAAGGCCAAACACACCGACTTCACGCCACTGAACGACTATCTCACCATACCGGGCTCCAGTAGCAGCAGCAGTGGCCGAGGGCCAAGTACGCGAATGCCGTCAAACGGTACGCTTCGCTCCAACTCATCGTCTACCAGTACAACCACCGCTATTCCTCACGTGTCTTCCGTCGTGGCACCAGGCCGCTCATCTCATTTCTCCGTCATGTCTAACAGCACTATCGACTCCATATCACCACCACCAAAGGGTTATGGCGTACATGAGGCCAAGGCCATTTCCATTGTTCCACTGACGTCAACTGCAGAAGCTGCCATGGCAGGCGTCTTGCCCCAAACACCCAAAAGCACTGAGCGGGCCAGGATGGCACCGATACCTGAGCGGCACCGAAAATCGGATCAACCCACTCCACCTTTATCGCCGGCAAACATGGAAGCCTACCTGAGGTCAGCCGCTTCTATGCCCGAGGAAGGAGACAAGGTGGAAGACGGGCACAACGCCAGATATATGGCGGTGACGAAACAGGAGGAGATGCTGCTGGCGGCGCTGCGTGCTAAGAAAGCTAAGATGCGTGAAAGCACGCACACAGACGTTGAAGCTGCCCGAAGCAGTCGTGGTACCAGTAATGCATCGGGCAGAAGCAGCAACGCGAGTCATAGTCGCGATGGCAGTGGAGTCGTCCCTGAAATTGTCGATAAGCCCAAGGTTATGGATTCCTCTAGTGCACATCTGGGACCACGTCCACCCATGTTTCCATCAAGGAGTTCTTCGCTTCTGCCAGGCTTGAAGGATTTGACCAAAATAAATGGTGGGACACAAGGACGCAAGACTCACAAGACTAGCCCTCGCGCTCCTGGAGTTAGTGCGCCCATCGATCGCAGTGAATTGACGAGAAAGCGCTTCGAATTAGCACTTCAAAGGGTCAGAGAACAGGGCACTTTCAAAGAGCGACAGGAAGAGCGACAACGTCTACACCAAATCGAGCTGCAGAAGGAGCAGCAGCATCACCGCTATCCTTACCACTCGCAGCAGCATCACCGCTATCCTTACCACTCGCAGCAGAAGCAGCCACAGCACCCGTACCAAAACCATCTGGAAGAATCGATACCGCTGTACTTGGACCGATCAAAGAACAAAGGTCACGCAGCTATCAGCCCAAGCGCCACCAGCGATTTCATCAACTTTTCAGGCGACAGTGATGATGATGAGCCCTCTCAGCCTCTATCGAGACGTAGCAACCTGGACATGCCCGACTACGCTTACAGTAAGAGGTCAAGCGCGTCCTCGAGACAGGAGTCGAACATCTTTAACTCCCGAAGCCCCTTCGAAATCCAACTCCAAAGGTTACCGCAAGATGCAAATTATGATATTGACGCGGACGACCATGAGCACGATTTCGATGGGTTTTCCGACGTTATGGAGCACGATAGCCTCGGAAGCTTACGGGGCCCCGGCACGGCGAGGCCCGACAGTCCTGTCTCCCTAGCACCTGGAAATCGAAATCGGCTTTACGTCCCGGGCCAAGGTCACATTCGGGGGAAGAAGAGCGCCGTCAGATTGAGCGCCGTTGGTCGCGCTCCTTCTCCGGGGCCCTTGGAAAACCCTTGGTGGGGCGACGACGATTGAATTCTCACTATTTGGGGACGGCCAGCATGATGGACGACATGACGAATGAACGCCCATGAATAGACAACCACTTTTCCTTTGTCTTCGCCGGCGTTATACGGATAACCCTGGTTGCACAACAAATGTATGCATAAACCCGCGGTGCGGGCCACTACTACGATTGGCCTACGTTGCTTTGACGCATATACAGCATTGTTCTATTGATTCATGAGAGAAATGGGGTATGATGTATTTGCTTACTGTTGAGAGGATACACACGGAGCAAACCACACTCGTAATGAACGTGGGAAATATTATGTACTATAGAATGGGCTGGAAATGGGGGATAGATAATATCAGGGAGCATAGTGGTCGGCGCTTTGCCTAAGAGAGATACGATATGGTCGGCATTGTTGTGCTGTTCCTGCTATCATTATTAGGAAGGTGCTTTACCAGTTGATTGAGGAGAGGAATTGCTGCCAATGACATTAATCGTTATTTCAATGTGGCTTCGATTTGCTTGCTTTTTTGAGAATGTACAGACTTCCTTCTTCTTCGCCACCTTACATTTATTTCCCGCACAAGACAATCTGCATTCAAGATACAATGCAAAAAGGGGACTTCGAAGCTATGGTCAAAAAACCAAAAGCAAATTTGATCAAAAACAATTAACCTGCCCACAGCAAGGATCGAACTTGCGCGGATTGCTCCAACAGTGAATCGTCGCAAAGAACTTAAAACTGTCGCCATAACCACTCGGCCATATGGGCCAGTAACTGGAAAAACATTTGGCTAAAGACGTTTATATATCAAATACGGAAGGATTTTTAGGCCAAGCGGAATATCTTCAGCAAGGTCATTTAGGTTGGAACAAAGTTGCACAATGGGATTGCTAGTTGCTAGTAACAACATGTTTTGTTGTCTCGCCTCATGCTAAGTGCACGATGGCTACCTTATTTCATAGTCCAATAACCAAAAAGAGCGTCATGTTGCATACATACATTCCTCACGCTAAAGAAAACGAAGACTCAGGCGGACCATGTTCACGTTGGAGCTGTCAATTGGCAGCAACTTTAGGCTAGCTTCACCAAGTAAGCCAGAGAGCGGCAGGGGTTACGAGTGGCCGGTCTGATGTCAGGACTCACCGCACGAAAGTCTTCCAAGCTCCGGCAGAAGGAATTTACTGTAGACAATTGACTGGAAGATATCTTCAGCTTCGTAGTTACACTACTGAATACCGCACACCTACAAGAGGTTGGCGCAAACACGGAGCTGCTCCTCTGGCATCTTCACCCCGCCTCGAGACACCAACAGTGCTTGACCCCTCTTCGCGGCTCAGCGTCCTATCTAGATACAGAGCGGTGATGGTGAGTTGGCGTGCGCCGGGGGCATTTGAGGCGACCAGTCAAGATGCGACGGCGCCCGGTGCAAGAACATGTGGTGCAGCCACGGGAAGCTAAAAGGCATTGGACATGTGTTGACGTTGACGATCGTGCGTAGTGCCCGATGGCCAATGCCATGTAGGTTGGAGGCGGACGGATGGGCAAGGTGCCAAAGAAAAGAGGGACATGAATAGCGTGGGAAGAGTACTGCCACCTGTTAAAGGAAGAACGCAAAGTGCTTGAAAAGATATTTCCTGCAATTTTAACAAACTCTCGAAGGTTTAGGCGTGGCGGCATATATCTGATCTAAACCCTCCTTCTTTAGCGTCTACAAGCATCAATACAGACCGTTGTTCGAGAAGACCCGATTCGAAACACCTCTTGTTGGAAGTGACGGCGGGCCGCAACTGGGGTTATTACTAAGGAAAAAGGGTTCAGGCGCTTGAGCACTGGAGATCGTCCTCCGGCAGCTCCTCGCCCTATATCGTTCCTTTGACGATCTGGCACCTGATTGAACAAACCGTTCATCGAATCGTGGGGGACCCTGCCTCTTTTTTCTCCGCGGCAAGAAAAAGGGGCGTGCAACAAGAGTGGTTTGTGTTGAGAAACCCAGGTACATCGAGTACCTGTACCTACTGCTTAAGTGGTATTCTCTGCCAGCAACGACGTACCTCGGACGAATTAGACCTACAAGTCACGGCCAAGCTGCTTCAAAGCTTGGAAAAAGAAAGAAAACTTATCTGACAGGGCACATCTTATCATCACAGCTTCGTCTCCATCATCCGTTTTTGGCATCTTTTCCACCCCTGCCAGTTTGCATGACCTGGGAACTTTCCAAGGAAATTTTTGGAGACGGCCATCGAAAGCGTCATTCGTCTCAGCACCTTGCATCAGCCATCATCAGCCCTGTTCGTGTCGATCATGGCTGCAGCTGTTTATTAGAATCAGAACCGTCAATGCTTTCCGGGCACTGGCACCTTGAAGTCTTTTCCTCTAGCTAAAACCCTCCTCTTAACCTTCAATTCGCGCACCTCCCCTCAAGCTTATCCATCGCCACCCGATTAATTAATTGTTGTGCCCAACTCGCAACCCGATTGCCGAGCGAACGATCGCTCGCACGTACAGCTTCCACTAACCGACGCTTCCAATTCGCTGTGCTACGTTTGCGGCACCTGCTCCGAGTAGGACGATCAGGGGTACGCCGCCCAGGCCACGCCTGTCACCGGACCCGGCATTTTGACGCGTTTTCACTCTCTCGCTTGCCCGCCCTCCTTCCCAAATTTTCCCATCGCCGCCGCCGGAAATCGAATGATTTGACGAACGAACGGAAAGCGCGTTTTGGCTTCAATTGGCACGAAAGGAGCATACGTAACCCCCGGATTACCTGCTTGCAGTGAACGAGTTGAGCTTGGAAGGACAGTCACTGTGAACTGGAAAGATCGTCACTACGTCATCGAGATTGGCCATCAGCGGCCACTTTCTACCCTCACGATGGCTCTCCTCGATACCCCGCAGAGCGTGGGAGGGCCGACTATGTTCGGCATGCCTATGAAGCAGGTGTCCCTTATCACGGTGAGTTTCATTGAGTGTCCTACGACGCTACCGAATCCCCAGGACAATCCTGGAGCAGTTGCTGACTGCCGCTACGTTTCTAGTTGACCTTTCAGAACTCTGCCCTAATCCTCATAATGCATTATTCGCGAATGATGCCCCCGAACGGCGACCACCGGTATTTCACATCAACCGCCGTTTTCCTCACCGAGGTGATCAAGCTTGCTATCTCTTTGACGTTCGCCATATACGAGGTTTCCAGGAGTTTAGCTCCCTCCACCCCAGCGACGGTGCTCTTTGAGCAGATATATAACTCGGTGTTCTCTGGAGATGGGTGGAAATTGGCTATTCCCGCGACACTATACACATTACAAAATACGCTACAGTACGTGGCAGTGGGCAACTTGGACCCGGTGCATTTCCAAATATTGTATCAGCTAAAGGTGAGTCGCCAGCTCCCAATGGGGTGATTTTGCATACTTGGAACCTACGGGCTTGCTGACGAGCCCTAGATTCTCACAACGGCTCTCTTCACCGTGACCATGCTCGGCCGAACACTATCTGGGAAACGATGGATCTCGCTGGTTGTTCTAACAATTGGCGTATCGATTGTTTCGATTCCGTCCTCAAATTCCAAGGACAACTCATTCATGATCCACGACATGACGGATCATTTCTTCCCTCGCTCTGTGCACGAGCTGGGGCAGGTGGCCAATGGCGTGGGTGATGTGGCTAGGGAATTGACGAAACGAACACTCGACGGTCTCGCCAATGTTGGGGAAGGTCTAGCAAAGCGATCTGCCACATACGAAGGAATCGAGGAGGATCAGAACCTGGCGCCAGTAATGAACTATGGCATCGGCTTGACTGCGGTCCTCGTGGCCGCGGCCATCTCCGGCTTGACTGGTGTCTATTTTGAGAAGGTTCTGAAGGACCCCACGTCGCCCGTCTCGGTTTGGACTCGCAACATCCAGCTGTCCTTTTATTCGTTGTTTCCTGCCCTATTCATTGGGATTTTCTACAAGGATGGGGACGACATTGCCAAGCACGGGTTTTTTGACGGCTACAACTGGGTTGTGTGGGCCTTGATCTTGCTCCAAGCGTTTGGCGGTGTCCTAGCTTCGCTATGCATCAACTACGCCGACAACATTGCTAAGAACTTCGCAACGAGCATAAGCATCGTCATCAGCTTCCTGTTCAGTGTTTGGTTCTTCAATGTCACGGTGTCCTTGACGGTTGATATCCCCTAACAATATTAGACTATCGCAAAGCTAACATCTGCATCCAGTTCCTCATTGGCACCGCCTTAGTCCTTGTATCGACCTTCTTATACAGTGGTCCGGATCGAAAGCGGGGCCGACCTCCGCCGATCAACATCGTCAGTTACGAGAAGACTACGATCGACCCCCTAAACACGCCGAGGTACACAGACGACAAGCTCGGTGTCCCAGATCCTCTGGAAGCGGTCAAGGCGATGGGGTTGTCGACATCGAGACCAGCCTCGCCGCTACGCCACCACGTCCGGGTACCCTCAGCACGAGGAAAGAGGGATGAATGAGGTTTTGGCAACCCCGCGAGACGATCCTAGGAGAAGGACATGAATCATGAAGTTGGAGGGCAGGTACATTAGGGAAGGTGCTCTCAGAAAAAGAGCTAAACTTCGGTCCTTGGGAGTTTGGCCACGGCAATCAGTGTATAAGGCGCGATAAGGCCACTCTGAACCTACGCTTGCATGTACAAGCAATTGAGTGATCGTCAAAAGTTTGGGATTGTATCTTCTTTTTCGGGAAAACTAGCCGGCCGGAGATTGCATGATATACACGCATGACTGGATGGAAAGGAAAAGCTTCGTTGGGGCATATCAGGCAGCTGAAGCGAGGGATGATGGCAGCTATTTTCCGGACTGAGTTGGATAACATACAATGCATTTTCCACGCCCTTGGTACAGAGGCCGCTTAGCTGAGTGAGATGATAAGCGATGTACTATCAGACAAGGTGGAATACAGCAGGCGGCTCAGGTGGCCGGCCAGGGGATAATATGAACAGGTACTGCGGTAGAAAATCGGGCAATCCCATATTGTTCTGCTCTCGGCACGGATAAAGGCGGATATCTCATAGTTGCTAGTTGTCGCTCTAACTCTCGCGTGGCCGTCGATCCGCGTTCCATCGGCTAGGTTACCTGTGAACAGACATGCCGGGTTGGTTAGTTGAACTGGCTGAAGTGGTAACAGGGGGTTAATGTGGATGCTAGCGTGAGAACATCAGCCCGGGGTGTTTCGCGGATATCGTGTCGCGGAGCATGATACTTATGATTTGTTTGGGTAATCGAAACCTAGTCCTGTTGCTATTTCTTGGGTCGTAAGGTTGGGATTCCTACATGTGATTTAGAGTCGAAGATGGGCTTTCATAAGTTGATGACATTGGGTAGGTGCCCTCGACATGCAACAATTTCTTCCCAGGTGTATGTGATAGAATCCCAGCGGGCTTTGTTGGCTCGGCTGGTCAGTTGTCTCTGTCATCGTGCGGCACGCCAACCGCATTGAAACTCCTTACTCAGCAGCTTAATTCGCTAGTTTCTATTTTGTCATTTCGATGAGAATAAACAGTGTACCGTGCTCTGGTAATGCACGATCAACAAGCAAGTGCTACGTAGCCGATCGGTTCCAGACCATGTCGTCTAGGCTACTACACTGCCGGAAACACCGGCGACGCGGGACTTCAGTGTGTGCAATTAGGTATTGCGGCGTACCTCCACATGATATTGTAATCAAAGGTCGGAAGTTCCGCAGGCCTACTGACCTTTCTTCTCTTGGGCGTGCGAGAGTAACACAGAGGCTCTGTAAATGCACATGATGCTGCCGCTGACTGACAAACAAACCCAGCTCCAGCTGGCCTTGTCCAAGTTAGTTAGGTGATAACGACGGACCTTGGTTACGAGATTGTATTGGCCGAGCTTGTTCGTCTTAAGATCACGGATATAGGGCAAACAACTCTTACAGCTACTCGGATACGCTATAGCACCTCTGCTATGGAACCCCCGCCCCCAACCCTCGACTGTGATAGCGCCTTGTTTTCCCGTGTTCGATCTGACTGCATTCTGGTCGACTCATATCTGGCATGCCAAGAGATCATGCTTCCTTATTTCTGACCTGTCTGCTTCTGACGATCGATTGTATAACACGAATTTAATATATACCGTACCGATTACTTGCAATTCAGTTATCGGTTTCTTCTGCCCGGTGAACTTATCTCGTGCAACCGACTATCGCTCACAACCTCAAACTGAGAAACTCCCATTCCATCGCGAATACAGATTCGGCCCTTCCAAGTCTTGCAAGAAAACACATACTTACTCTATTGCAATCTTCCATAAATGTTCCGTCAGACCATGCTTACTCCCAAACATGATGCAACACGATGCCAGAGGTCGGAGAATTTTGGTTTAATTAAAGCATAGCACGCAGCTACCCGTTGTTTCCGCGGGGTCCCATTGGACTCTGCGTCTTTCTGGCATCGGGTGGTCGCATATAGCACACATATCGAGGTCATTACCGGTCTGGCGCTTTTATGATAACACTTATTACCAATGTGAAAAAGTCTGGACATGGCTTTTCTCGGCAGTGATTTGATTTGCTTCCTCGGATGAGGAAGAGTCGGGTCAGCGGTGGAGGAGGAGGAGGAAGGGCTTGGTCTACGTCGATGGACGTGATGAAATGGGAATAACGGATGGACCAAGGCGCTGCTTGGGTGGAGCGAGAGGTCTATAAGAAGGCAGGTTTCTCATACCTTACCATGTACACAACCTGTCTTTCAAGAACCTCCTCCCAGGCCATTCAATAATATAGCCACTCTATTACTTCACTCCGTCAAAAATGTCATCAACGTGCAAAATGCCCAACAAAACTGCTCAACCCTCAACTTCAACGATGCGAGTTCTCCCGTGCTTTCGGTCACTCTCAACATTGACACAATTAACCTTTTGCCATGACAGTGCCAACGAGATGAGCCAGTTGACTTTGGACGTGGCAAGCACCAAGGGCAATCGAGGCTCACCGGCACCTCGATGTCGGAACCATCATGCCGAGCGATCTCCTGCTACAAAAGCCGTAGTAGTGAACCATCAGATGAAAGTTGCCGATGATATCCTCGGTGTAGGCTCTCAGTTCGGAGGGTAAGGCATTCCATGTTTCTCAAGGCCATTTTCGAAACACAATGAAGGAGTGACAATCTGACTGCCTTCAGTGCTCACTAGAGAACCGAACCGGAACATGTGAGTGGCTGGCAGGCTTACTCACCCAAAGAGGGCACCATGGACTGCTGGGAGTGTGAAGCTTTTGCGGTTATATGTTTAGCTATATAAATGATATGTAGACACCTGTCTTATCTTCCTCCCCTTCTTTTAGCAGTTGAGCTATGGTGATTTTGCAATTCATGCCTCCATGTATTCGAGAAGATCTAGTACTATAATCCAGCACCGCGCTACCCATCTATTGCGATGAAGTCTTATATGAGATTGATGAAAAGCAAGTTAGATCATGAGGACCGGCACAGATTTCCACATCTGCACGTCAAAGCCACTTTAGGATTGACAAATGCGCCTTATTACGGCAATTAATCCACAAAGTCAACCACACCTCGCAGCATGTTGACCACGTCCGAGTCTCCAAACTCCGCAAGCCAAGCTGGTTCAATCAGTTGCGTCTTCGGTGGATTTTGGATATCCGTAGAAGAATCTTGGGTGAACTGAATTGGGTCTGACTCCAGGAAAGGGGCTCCATGGTAGTTGGCCATCTTAATTGGAGAAGTAGGTACATCTTCAACTTCGTTTGACACGAAGAGGTTCTCGGACGGCAAGAGTTTGCTTGGCGTTGATGGACTGGCCAGTTCCATGCTGGGTGGTGGCAGAGGTGATAATGATGTTTTGGGATGATCTGGAGAGTCGAGATCAAAACGCTGGGACGCTCTCTCCAATTCACTCCGAGTGGTGAAACTCAGATTGGACTCATGACCAGTATCTCTACTTTCCTTGTAGGTCTCAACAATACCTGGGTATAACGTCTTATAATTCACAACGGTGCGGTCGTTGTCCTCGTCTTCACCATTTAGGGGATTCATGAGACTGTTGAGCTCGGGTAAGTCGTCTTCGTCGGCGAAGATGTCGCTTCCGTATTCAGACGCATTTCCATCTTCGTCTGCCGCACGACTGTCCCTCCCTCGGTGATTCATATCATTATCTCGAGACAGACTCTTGTCTGTCAGGCAGAAAGGCGTTGACCCTTTACCTTGAACTTTGCTGTCGAGCTCGACCAGATTCTCCTTTGCTTTCACAGCGCATGCCCTCTGTGGCGCCAAATTACCTTCAGAGATGTCACTCTCTTCATCTGTTGAAACAGAAAGATCAATACACTCGACACCATCCTGGTCATAGCATGTACTTTGGTCCTTCAGCTTTGGCCTCTTCGCCCCTTTGAACACATCTCGGGTCGGCGGCGTGTTCGTGGGATGGTCACCATGACTGTTCCTTCTACTGGCGGAAGCGTGAATTCGACTATTTTCTCCAGTGGGAATACGACTAGAAGCGCTCGTTGGTGCAACTTTATGACCCTCGGCATCTGGTTTTCTCTTCTTTGGCCGGCTTGGTCTGTCAAGCCCCTCGTGGCAGCACCGGTGACTGCACTGCTTCCCGCTCTTGGTAAGTCCACCGTCGCGGCAATGATGGTTGCACGTCCACTTCCCATTCGCCATCTGCGAGGGTATAACCTGAGAATATGGGACCTGAACGGATGTCACCCGAGGGGATGCGATCCCAAGGGGCGGAACCTGTGGAGTCGCAGTCTGTGAAGCTGTTTTCCGTGGATAATCAAATTCATCATCCTCCAGAATGTCTTTTATGTTTGGGAAATCCTCATAGTCATTAACAACGTCAAGCATGTCTTCATCAGCCAAGCCATCGTCGTCTAGATCCTCATCCAAAACTGGCAGCTGTCGGCTTTGAGGGTTATGCCGCTGTTGAGAGTTTTGAGTTTCAACCAACACAGAAGCTGGAAGATTGGGTTTGAGGGTTTGGGTGACCTGAGTGCCAACAACCTCTTCGCAACTGTAATAGCAGGTTAAAGACTCGTCCGGTCTGTTGAGGATCACTGGAAATGTCAGATCCAAGCCATTTGCAACACTCTTGATATTGTTTCGCCAGAAATTGGCAAGGTTTCCGTCAGTTGTGCCTACTAACAGCGTTACAGCGGGGCTTTTGCTTCGCCACAAAGGTGTCGTCCGGTTTGAGTATCCCAGGCGTACCTTCAAGGCAACGCTGACAGTATTGTTCCGTTTGTCAGCACCTAGAGGACCGATGATCTCGGCATTCATTGTCAATCTTGGGAAACCATTCAGGTGCTTGGTAAGGAGGTTTCTTCCATAGGGGGGATTCCGGCTCATGACTCGCTCGATGCCTTCAGATCCCATATCAATGAAACCATATACGCTGCGGACACCACTTGCCACAAGTTTCCGCAAACCAGCAGGGCCGATTCCAGGAATTTGGAGCAGTTGCGATGGTTGCCCATCCCATGAGCCAGCAGCGATCGCTCTTGCCAGCTCTAGACCAACCCTGGTCCCGATTGCATCGCCATCGAAGACTTTGCAGTCGATGAAGCATCGTACAAGGCGGTTCATGCGGTCAAAAATGAGGTTGTTCTCTATAGCGATGTCCCTCTTTAATACAGAATTTTCCTTGTCATTGGGCAGCGCCAATGCTCCAAGGTGTACTTGCGCCATGATCGATACCTTATGCCAGGTATCAGTCAGAGGACCGTGAATAGGATAGAGGACCTCGTCGTTCAGCGCCCGGCAAAGACCTTTTTCGAAAGGTTTGAACCTGATATCTTTGAACTCTGCTGCCTTCGATAGAGTAGTTATCTGCTTAGAAGATTAGCATGCATTATCAAATCAGCGGCGACGTCCTGACGTACTAGCTGCTCCATGCTAGGGCTGCGAGGAATCGACAGAAGCTGCTTCATGGTATCAAATTGAACCATATATCTTGACATAGCGTTGCCATATTCCGTGCATTTGAAACGGTCTCCCTTCGTGATAAGACCGTAGTCTTGCAGGAGTTGGATGTCTCGCTCACACCACTGCTGTATTCTTTCGTCGGGAGTAACCGCAGCTTGACCCCCATGCTCCTCATAATGACCCGGGGCCTTTCTCATTCGCACGCTTAGAAATGTGCCAGAGATCCATTTTTTCGCAGCCTTCAGGTCCTTGATTGTCCCAAGCCCAATCTCGGAATTCAGGTGCTCAACTAAGTTCAAATGCAGAGTGCTTTCTAGAACCTCTTCCCCAGATATCATCTTGTCGTACCTTTCAATGTTCTCATGCCTCGTCATGATGATAGCGACCGCACTTCTGTCGAACTGCGGTCGGCCAGCGCGACCGAGCATTTGCATGACTTCCAGGTCCGAATATTCCTGTAATCCATCGTCGGTGTAGGCCACGGTGCCTTTGAGAACGACAGTGTGGCAAGGGAGATTGACTCCGACCGCCAGTGTCGAGGTACAGCAAATGACGTGAAGTTGACCGTTTAGGAAATTGGTCTCGACTGCTGCCCTGTCCTGGGGGTCAAGACCAGCATGGTGAAAAGCTACGCCGAAGCGGACGAGTTCTAACAAGTCCTTACTGATGACGGGGATACGTCCGGTCGGTGCTGGCCAGGCTTTCTCCTCAGCTTTGGATTCAGCCCACCACTCTGCCAATTTCCGTGCTGTCTGCTCGCAACTCTTCCGTGTAAAACAGAACACCATGGTCGGCTTCCCTTCCGCATGCTTTCGCAGTAGCTTTTGCAACCTGGCGTCCAGTGACGAGTCAAACATAAACTCGTTTCCTCCACTTTTGTAGCCATAAACAAATTTCCTCAATTTGACTGGTCGCAGGTCTTCGCCGAAGCTTTCCCAATGCGCTGATTCTTGAGTGTTCGAATGGCTGCGTCCTAGCCATGCTGCAATGTCTCTGATGTTGGGCACAGTCGCACTCAAAGCAACGAAACGAACATCAGCGCCACTTGTCTTCATTCGAGAAACGACAGCCTCGAGAGTAGCGCCTCTGGCATCCTTGAGGATATGGACTTCGTCAATTAAAATAAGTCGTACCATTTTCAGAAGTTTGTGATGATCCGACCACTTTCTTGTGACTGAATCCCATTTCTCGGGAGTGGTTACAATGATGGAAGCACTACCCACGCGCTTGGTTTCGGCATGGGATGTGTCGCCCGTGAGCTCAACACATTGGAGATTCATGTGGCTGAACTTCTTCTCCCAGTCCCTGGCACGCTCCGAACAGAGCGATTTAGTCGGAGCTTGATAGACGATCTTGTAATCCATGCCACTGTGTGTTGTGATAAGTCTGCAGATGGCCAGCTCGAGTATGGCAGTTTTCCCACTGCCTGTTGGCGCAGAAACGACGACGTTGTCATCAGATCCATAAACGTGTGGAAAGCATTTCGATTGAACGACATTGAAGAGTTCGTATGGAAAGATGGTCCGGCACTTGTCTGGAAGGGCCTTTCGAGGGTTGACGAGATCGGTGTCGTTCACTCTGGGAGTGACCTCCTCAGGTGCATGGTCCAGATCCAATCTTATGGAAGCACGAGCTCTTTCTCTTTGAAGACTGAGACGTGCCGATGGACTCGAGCCTCCGAGATTTGACGGGGAAGAGCTCTGAAAAGAGTCTTGGAATGACTGGCGATTCGTGTAGAAAGGTGGCGTCGCCAGCTCGAAACCTGGTAGCAGCCTTGATACTTTTTGGGAGCCATCGTGATCAAATATCGGTTGAGTTGACGGGCTAGACTGAAACTGGGTGAAAGGATTGCTTGGAAAGGGTGGCTGATAGTCATCGCTGGGCGGAGCAAAGGGCCGGAAGTGATGGCTTGCATCTCCAAGAACCTGTCGCCGAGAGACCGAGGAATTGCTGGGAGGGATCGATGGAAGTGGACTTCCAGTAGAGATGTTGAGGTCGCATGTTGGCGGTTGGTTCAGAACAAAACGATCGAAATCGTCCAGCGACAGGTTTTGGTCTTGGACTTCTGTCAGTGGGTTTGAATTGAAAGGCAGATCGTAGCTTCGATCGGGAAAGAGATTGTTCGCGTGATCGGCCATGTTCTGCAAGCCATAAATATGACTATGACGGGGATTGCGAGACATCTTCGCTTGTATGATTTGAGTCTATTTCAAGCAAAGCTCTTAGTACCATGAGACGTACAGATACCAAAAGAACAGAGCCTTGTTCGTGAAAGACAACGCCATGCGCGCCAAGATCGTTCGTTAAATAAACCTTTGCAGCAGAATATTGAGTTGGAGTGACAGTCGCGATAGAATCGGGGACGTACAGAAATAGGTATCTTATTGAAATTTTGGGGAATTTGATATTAGCTGAGCGGTTCCACATGAAGCTCGTTAGTCCTCAACAACACTTGGCTGCCTAGAGAAAAAAATGTGGATGATGGATGAGGAAGGCGCTGGGGGTTTTTTGCACCTCTTCCCGTTTCCGCAATACGTTGCGATTGGTTCCTTCCTATTGTGGCCATAACTATGACTGAATGATGATATGTTGCTGGCGACGCTGGAAATGGCTTCTACAATCATCGTTGATGATATCCCAGTTTTATGGGCACTATGCCTTTTCACCAAAAGTGCTCCTCTGTGTTGTGAGCATGCCATCCGGTAGGTTTTGAATTGCCGGGATACAGGGAGCCTTGATCTTATCATCATAGCTCTTGAAAAGAATGCCTCCTTTTCAAGTTATTTCCTAGTTAGCCTGTTTGACTAAATATTGCAGGTTTAATACCAATATAAGCAGGTACACAGGGAACGAGGATATACAATGTTCACGACAGGAAAAGCTGTTGAATAAAAGTATCTTGGCGATAGTAGCCTCAGTCAATGGTAAGGAGGACCCTAATAATCGTGGAGGAAGTTTTAACCATGCAGACTCGGTTATAGATGGTTGGGCATAAGGGCTGCACAGCCTTTGTTTGCTTCATGGGTAGAACTTCCAATCTTTTCGATTATTGCAATTGTTTATTAACTTGGCATATAAATATCTCCCTTGAAGCAAAATATCCGTTCTTCGCCCGCAGACAGTTGGTTTGAGGAGTTGGGGTGAGATTGCATGTCAGGAAACAGCACCCTGCACCATTTCATAGAAAAGCAGTAGCAAGGCGTCGTGAATCACCATCTACTACTAATGAATGTCATTGCAACATGTTTTATCGGCAAATTCTTACAACACGAATGAACTATCCCATCAGCTAACCATAATGAAGCCCGTACGAGTTTCCCAGCTACACATGCTACAACAGGACTCAAGACCTATTGATTCGATCTACATTACATAGTTTTTACCCAGAGATAGTCGTTCTGTTCTCTGCACACTCATACCGGTTGTAGTTCACAGGTTTCATGATGTATCTCGACATCAACCTCTGATCTAAGAGCTCCGAACGCTTGACTCATTGTCCCTGACGTCTATCCGAAATTACTTACCAAGGACGTTGTTGCTCTCAGCAATATTTCGTTCAGCCTCATCGATTGTCTTTTTCGTTCCTCTGGACTCTGGTGAGGCCTTGCCCCCGCAAGGTCGACTTTGGAATAGCCTCAGCCTTTGCCTTTCACAAGTCGACTCAAAGTCAGCATATAAGACGACCAGCTCATTCTTGCGCAAATCAACAGATGCCAGATACTTCTGCCACAAATATGAACATTGCAACGGTAGGGGACGCAGCAAACCCTCCATATTCAGGATCACGACATTCAGTGGATCTATTCGATTGTATCTGAACGGGTGAGATCCCTTTCTAACCTTCCAGATGGTGCATGTATGAGTACAGATGTCGCTATTCTAAGGGCATCGTTGTAGGTGATGCGCGGGTTGTCCCAAAAATGGCAAGACAAAGCAGAGATGACGCCCGTTTGGACCGTATACCCAAAACTCGCTGAGTGACGTGACAAAATACATTTTACAGTTTGGCTCTTTTGCACATGGGCAGCTCTTACTACATTGTGATCTCTCAGTTGAGTGACGCAATCGCCAGCCAAAAGTGGTGCGAACCTCAGTCTGATATATGCATTATGTGCAGAGACGTCTGCTTAATCAATGCTAATTTATGTGCAATTGCGCTTGAACTGGTGAATATTTACATGATACTGTGACACTAAAACCCCCATTCCACTATGCTTTCATTATCATCTCATACTGTGACGAACCATTTCTTGGTTTTCCATGCCATATAAAGCATTAGAAAAACAGGCTCTTCATAAATGCAAGTAATCTTCCCCAAAGAGACCAGCAAAATTTGCAATCCTTCCCATGTTCTCATAGTTCCACCGGATAAATGATCCTCCAAAGTTGCCAAAACACAAGTCCACGGCCAAGTTAATTACTTGCAACTGTGCGTGTGTTCAAGGAAACGTCTAGGTGTACTCCCAGCATCCGACCGAAGCGTCATTGCTATGCATGACCAGACCAACCGCTTCGACACAGTTTGTGAGGCTAAAATTGGGGGTCTTCGCGTAGAGCTGGTAACTTGCACCTGTGCCCGTCATGAAGCTGGAGATGTCAGGACAGAGCATCAGGCCGCCGATGTTGGAGCCATCATTTGTCAAGAAGTCGATAACCTCAATGGTAGGCTCACATTCGGAGATGACCGTCTTCTCGAACCAGCCTCTGAAAAATGATCCCGGCGGCATGTCATTCGAGTGCGCCTGAGTGTACTTGACTTGTCCGGTTGGACTGACGTAGATGAACTGACCGCCAGGGACCTCGACCTGATGAGGAGTTAGCACTCAATTCTGTACATTGGTCATGGCAATGTTGGTGCACGAGGGAGGAATTGAGACATTAAATTTGACGAGAAAGGATGAGTTACGTACCGCCATGCCTCCCATGCCAAAAGTGACCAGACTGCCTTCAACAGGAGGGCAGTATGTGCCGACCTCGGGGGGACAGTAGGTCGCGGGACCAGACATACCCGAGTAGAAACCTAAAGCTGCAGCATCGAGGTTCGCACCATGGATCTCGGTGCCTGGAGAGTAGACTGAGATGGAGAAGCTTTCCGCGGAGGCGAGTGCAGCCATGACAAGGATGGGGAGATACTTCATCTTGCTAATGCGTATGTATTGGAAGGATCCTAGTCTGGTCGTGAATGACAGTCGTGCAACGTCGAAGTTGTTCTAGAGACGGAATTAGAGCTCTGGCTGAGTGTTTACTTGCGATGAAGTGCGGACCAGTGAAGGCTAGAGGCAGTGGTTGAATGAGGACGTATGGATCACAGTCTCAGCCTGTCTTCGACGTGGGAATAGTTTTCTTGTTTAATTGAGCAGAACATTGGACCACTGACGGGACTTAAAATAATCCAGAGAATTCGGTCGTGGGTTGTGCTTGCCGTTTCGGTTTAGGTATTCAGTGTGCATCACAGGGTTCAGGTCGTAGCTGCCAACATCAACCCCATGAGTCTCATCAATTCCATCATATAATTCACATAAGTCGAGTTAATTTTGATCAGCCACTGCTATATACAAATGTTTTATTTCTTTGCCCCATTTTGGACGAAGATCAATCAATGAATTAGATTTTCACCAGCCTGCGGCACAAGAAATTCCGAGCGAGAATTCACTTAGAAAGAAGTAGACTCGTGCCTTGTTGTTCGCTGCTTGGAGCTGCCTCTGCGGCTATTGAGCTGTTCAACCGATCCCAAATTGCAACTAAGAAGTAGACTGAATACAGATCACCAACACCACCAAAACCAATAAAAGGCTAGCCAGGAACAAGCATCCATCTCTACCTCACCTCTATACGTGCCGCATTGCCATGTGAAGCTTGAGCCCACCTCATACCTGGCCCGGGAACTACTTTATTACACAGTCAGATCATTCCACAACCGAAAGGATGATGACTGAGCTCTAGATAGCTCTAAGCTCGGCACGAGTTCATTGAGCTTTGCCCCCGCTTTCCATCCTGTACCAAAACAAAAAGGGGCACTTGGTTGACCAGCCCCACTTGTTGACCACACCCGCATGGTCGAAGTACTTGACCACTTCTTCTTTTTCTGGGCGTTTGTCTTTTAACGTAATAGCTCGTTGATAGTCGTTTGATCACAAATCCCCAGCGCCTATCGAGACTCAACGGTAATCGTATACTCTCCTCCATCAAGCCAAATCCTCATGCCACCCTTCTCAGCCGTGAAATTCTCCACCTTTCCATCGACCGTAATCTGTGCCGCCTTCCCTCCCTCTAAATCGGGAACCACCACCTCTCCGCTCGTCCCCACCGGTGTCGTTATACTTACATTATACCCTCGATCCTTCACATCCCAGCCCGCTGCAAACCTCCCCAACGGCGTCATAAACCCTCCCTCCACATGCGTCAAGTCTCCAAACTGCGGCTTCAAACTCCACGTCTCCCCGGCTCTTCCCGTGACTGACAAGCCTAGAACGTACTCCGTCAAACTCGACGTAGGCCCGCTGCTCCAGCCATGCGCGTGGCTGATGTAGCTATTATCGTATCGGTAACCCCGGTTAGACCTATACCCAAATGTCCCGTTTTGAAGGTATCCCTCAATGACGGTCGATTGGGTTCCATTCGGGTTGTTCAAGTACCAGCCCCAGCACCGCCTGATCAGCTCCAGTGCGCGGGCCGTCTCGCCAATGGCGAGGTGGGCTTGAACCTCGAAGGAGGAGATGAAGGGGGAGATGTTCTCGGGGAGTTCAGGGGTGACGGCTCCGATTGGGGTCCAATTTTCGAGGAGCCTTTCGGAGATGTTTTGGGCGCGGTCAGAGGGGGTCACGTTGAAGAGGACGGCCATGGAGTTGGCGTCTTGCGGATGTAGCGCGGTCGACGTCGCGTTGTCCTTGAATGCGCCGTAAGAAAAGTCCCAGCAGTAATTGTTGATTGCTTCTTTGAGTCCGGATGCCCGGCTCAGGTACGTATCGCTGAGGCCCGTGGTATCTCCGGCCCATGTGGCCAGATCTGCTCCGGTCTGCAATGTTCGATAAAGTCTGTATCTTAGGGTTAGCTATAGAAATCCAACGAGAATCTGGCATGCGCTTAAATCCTCGGAGCAATGGAGGTCACGCCTTACATCATGTTCGCTTGGCTATTGTTGAAGCCTTGTTGCCACCGGGCCCAGTCCCTGGTGCCGGTGACATTCAGCAGACCGGAGCTGTCAACTTTGCCGTACATGTATTCCATGGCATCGAGGTACTTGTCCCAATTCTTCATCAAGAAACCCGTGTCATTGCTGTAGAGGACGTAGTTGTAAGTTCCAATCATGCTCCACATATGATAGGCTATTCGAAATCAGTACCATGCGCAGAGCTTCTCGAAGTGACGATCTTTACTTACTGTCACTACCTTGTTGAAGCAAGGGCGGGCCAGCTTCCGGAAAGGATCCATCCGGGTTCTATTTATCGAGTGAGGCGAACGGTCAAAAGCAGCTTCTGCCGGGGAAGCAAAGGCGTACTGACCTGGTAATCATACATGACCTGTAGAGCATTCTTGACCGAGTCCAGATCTCCGATACTGACAAACGTAGATGGAACGGCAATGCCCATGTCACCCGGCCATACGGCCCTATCCCTTTTGGCTCCATCGACAATGATTGTATCTCCTGGACCAAGGTAACCCGTATTGTTCCAGCCACTAGCAGGAAAAGGGGTAGCCCTCCCGAAGTCGGTTGGCACGGCGTTAGTCTGCAACGTATACGCCCCGCTGTACCATATCTTGTTGAGTGTCTCGTCATTCGAGTGAAAGTACCCCTGGTACGCCTTGAGATTGGCCCAAGTCGGCTGAAACCCGATCTCGAGCTCAACATGGGAGACCCCCACACTGACAATATCGTCCGTAACAAGAAACAGCGTAAGATACCTGAAGCCTCCTCTCAGCTTGGCATCCGGCATCGTGCACGAAATCAGATGCCCGTTTGTAGCCGTGAGGTTAGTGTAAAGCGCGCCATCGCGTCCTTCACCGCCATTCGAATCATCCGACCAGGTGCCGATCCAATTCTTGGACTCTGTGAAGGCCATGCCAAGCTGTCCGGTACCATTTGCTGCCCATGAGAGAGAAATGATGCCGCCGACCTCGTAGCCAAAATCGAGGAAGACCTGTGAGCCATTGTTCATCAGGGACACGGAGCCAGGATACTCTCGCGGTATTAAGCTATCATCGGATAAGAAATACTTGGGTGCGACTGATCGCGAACTGGGGGCGTAGATGTTGGACTCCCAGATACCTTTGAAAGCTGGCTCATCCGGACCAGTACAAGTCGTGTTTCTCCAACATGACTGGGCGTTGGAGACGTGTAGTAGAGGGTATAGTGCCAAGAGGCTAAATACCCAATTTGAGAACATCACAACTGCTACCTCTCGTTTGTGGCCTATACTTGATCGGACGGTGGGTCTACGTTTTGTTCTTATACATGTGCCAAGATTCGTCCACGTCGGTATCTCGGTCTAGGACGTAACGCAGCGCGGTTAACCACCGTTACGTTTAGCCGCAGCGACTTGTTTTCCACTTCAATTCTTAGTCCTCTCGGTCTTCAACTCCCTGGTAGTGTGGAGACTCCATCGTAGATCAAGCCTGGAATTGCGAGGGGATGCGGGGGAAAACGCGGGGATTGCGGATAAAGAGGAAAGATGCAATGAAAGATTGGGGGCCCTCCGGCTCGAAACCGACCTTCGACAGCTTGATGATCGAAAATGGGAAAATGGGTCTCGCAGCTGGATTTCGCAGTTTCTGGAAACCCCAAACAATTACAAATTACAAGATAGATCGTTCAGATCGTGTCATAGCCGTCTGAACAAAAGTTGATGAAAGAACCAACTTGGGCAGGAAGCGGCCAAGTAAAGATACTGGATCAGAAAGCTGATAGCGTCCATACGAGGAGTTGAGGACTTCTAGTTTGCAATGCATCTCAGCCTGGCATTTCTGAACGGGGGGTGGATTATGCTAAATTGACGGCCGCTTGTTCGAAGATGGAAATAGAAGCAGGCCCCGAATTAGGATAGAACAAAAAGCAGGATATTTCTGACCGGCTGTGGAGTGGCTCCATATCAAAGGATCCCCCTGGGCCGTTCGAAAGATGTGGTACCGCTTCTGCGACACCGTCAATTCTGAATCTCCCGCGCCGTACTTAGACCCCGAGGACGGCAGAAGATGCTCGTAGTCGCAACTGAAGAAGACGCCACCCTGCCCATCCGGGATCGCTTCTCTGCCGAGCCACGGATATCCCGTGATATTTGACACCTGCATCCCCAGGCCAACTGTATGTTAAACAGATGGAATGAGGTTGCAGGTGTGAGAACGAGACACACTGTCATATATCTTCAAATGTCACTTTCATCGAACATAACTAAATTTCCACCATTGATATAACAGTTCGTCAGTTTTTGTCTCGTAACGGGAATGCACAAGTCGCAGAATCGCGAGTCGCGACTCGCCTGGAAGGGTTTCCGTAGATGGCTTCAGTTGCAAACATGACGCCAAATTTGCTTTCAAGTCATTTGGAAAATACGGGGCAGTCGATTCTTATTTGTGGAATTTGCGGAAGCCTTCGTATCGCCAACCCGGCAGCTGTGGCAAGGATTCTTCATAGCACGGCACTTGTAGCAAAAGCCTCCCCGCAACAGCGGCTCCCTTCCTGATTGGAGTGAGTCTGCGGTCATATCGGTAGATCGATGCAGGTGATTTCCATTTGCCTGCAAGCGACACGCTAAATATTAAGGTTGTTTGGCGTTACCGAGTTTAGGTAGACGGGCATAGACAGATAGTGTAGAATAGACGGCGCTTACAATTGCAAGCTTCGCCCTGAAGTTGGTAAAACCCCCAGTCTAGTATAAGCTGATGCAAGGGGCCGAGCTAACATCTGCTTTCAGTGCACCTTGTGGTTCTTCAACTTCTCGAGGGCAACAGTAAAGGGCAGTTACTCAGCCTTGCCAGCCTGTCCCACAATCTAAGCAACGGCTGTCATAGCGCCGAGAGCCCCCTTTCGAACTGTTGGTGTTACTGTGGACTGCAGCGCCTGGAATTCTCCAGGCCCAATCCTTTTGTGGCTGCATACATTTCATCTATGTCTGACGATCAGACCCATGTTCACATACATTGCACATTGCCAAGAGCATACTACCAACGGAACATACCATTTCTGAGTGTGGAGTACATACGCTGCACCGGCCCTTGAAGGCTTGATCATGCATTCTCGACCTTCGTCATTTCTAGAACCCATGCTTGACTACCTTGACCGTGATCATCTGACGTGGTGATGGTTTCCCCAAATTTCAACCAAATGTTATTTCTTTTTACGTAAATTTCATTGTATTCGCCAAACCTCGTCTGTATGCTGCTGGGCATGAATCCTCGCACGCAATATCAAACCATGGCGCCGCTTGCCACATTCGTCCATTGTCCGAGACGGGGTTGGGAAGCTAGACCCGGGTGCCTGCGTTATCATGGTCCAGGTATGAAGGTCGAGACTTTTTGAGAGAGCGATGCAATACTTTGCTTGTAGTTGATGAACCACAGGTGGAAAAAGCGAAAGGAGCCCGTCGGTGTCTCAATAGATGTCATTCGAGGACTTTCTCTTGTTCATCTTCCCTCCAATCTAGCCTGATGATACCGTTGTTGAACGCGGACTGTCCCCTTGCCTCACCACGTCAAGCTTTTTATCCTTGTCGGCCTACAATGCAGGCGCCCTCGAAGGATATAAAGAAACCATTGCCGCCCAAAAGTAGACGTAACTCGATCACCAGACAGCTTCAATTTGTCAAAGCCTCGACATAGCCAGAACTCAAGAAGTCCCCTTTCCAAGATGAAGTTCACTGCTGCCATTGCCCTCCTGTTCGGCTTGGCTGCCGCGGCTCCAACGCCAACTGAAGATACCCCGTTCGATACGAGGGCTATCGAGAAGAGGGCTACCGTCACCGATGCTTGTGATGTCGGATACGGCACTCAAAATGGCGGGTAAGTGGCACGCCTAAACAGGGGAATACGATAGTGGCTGACCAGATGCTGCGCAGCACCACCGGTGGCAATGGAGGAACCGTCACCACCGTCTCCACTCTGGCCCAGTTTACTGCTGCTGCTCAGTCGTCCTCAAAGTTGGTTGTAGTCGTGAGCGGTGCTATCTCTGGTGCTGCTAAGGTCAAGGTCACCTCCAACAAGACCATCGTTGGAAAGTCTGGTTCCAGTTCGTATCTCCGGCGTTTCTTTTCACACTCAACCTTTTAACTGATTCAAACTAGGCTTGACCGGAGTTGGCCTCACCGTCAATGGTGTATCCCAGGTTATTATCCGAAACCTCAAGATATCCAAGGTGCTGGCCGATTACGGTGATGCCATCACCATCCAGGCATCCACTAACGTATGGGTCGACCATTGTGACCTGTCGAGTGACTTGAGCCATGACAAGGACTACTACGATGGTCTCGTCGATATTACCCATGCGTCCGAGTGGGTGACGGTATCCAACACTTACCTTCATGATCACTGGAAGGGCTCTCTGGTCGGCCACTCTGACTCCAACTCAGCTGAGGATACCGGGCACTTGCACATCACTTATGCAAACAACTACTGGAGCAACATCAACAGCCGTGGGCCCAGCTACAGATTTGGCACTGGACATATTTTCAAGTCAGTCCAAACCCTTATCTGAAAATATACTGCCAGAAAGCTTACCTTGGAATAGCAACTACTGGTATTCTCTTCTCGAAACTGGTGTCAACACCCGCATGGGTGCACAGCTTCTTATTGAAAGCTCCGTCTTCGAAAACTGCGCTACCAAAGCTATCTTCAGCGATGACAGCGATGTGACTGGCTACGCCGTTGTCAATGATGTTGACCTCGGCGGCAGCACCAACAGCGCACCGGCGGGCACACTGAACAGCGTGCCCTACTCGTACACCAAGCTCGGTTCTGGCAGTGTTAAGGCCTCCGTCACCGCCAATGCTGGCCAGAAGCTGTCCTTCTAAGCATCGACAACAATGTAAGACATATGAAAGGGGAGTGGCTTGGGGTTGAAAGGAATGCCAATGCGCCGAAGGGCACTTGCGGAGGTTATTAGGAGCAGGGAACAACATGAACCACACAGTCATTACCACCAAACTTCTGTATATAGTTTTGGGAGATCTTACACTTGTCCGACTCTCCGTGCACACATTCCTAAATTGCAACTAAGCATCTTCTATCGCACGTGCACGGTGTGACGCCGTACTGATTGGCAAAAACAAGGCTGAGCAACGCGATGCAGTTACATTCGCTTCTGAACCCGAAACTTGATTCCCAGGTTTGTCATCAGCTGAGCGAGGGCACGATCGGGTGATCAGCGTTGTGATCGCCCGAGACTGGCTGTACGTTTGCAGAGACTTTTGTGGTATCGCAGCGTGTGGTACAGCAGATTGTGTGGTGTCACCTGGAAATAGGTAGTGACTGCATCCATATCTGCAGATCCAGCTCCAGAAAAGGGGGCCGAGTGTAACACTGATAACGCACGTAATATGTTGACTTGGCGAGAGACTGACCTGTGACGTTATCTGGCTCGTTGAAGCGAATGTCTCCTCCAGGTTGAGTCAACAACTATGTGTTGTCTCTATGTGTTGTCTGCTATTTCAGAATCCCACAAGTCAGTACTAAGCGGAGATAGATAGTATCATGTTAGAGCTGTCATAAACCTTTCTGCCATGACCATACTGCGGAAGAAGAGACTTGGGAAATTGAGCTGGCAAATGCTTTCGAGGTGTTCACGTTTGAGCACGGGCTATAATGCCCCACACGCACCTGCCCATTGGTGGGGGGGTTGCAGGCTTGCCGTTGCTTTTTCCTAACATCTGCAACGTCATCTAGTTTGCCATCACCATCATCAGGTGCAAGAAATATAGCTGAACATTCCAGGAAACTACAACCTCATGCCTGGGGATCGGGCGCCGTCAAATGCAGCTGCGTTTGGTTCCATAGAGCCTACTTGATCGCTGTGCCTTATTGCGACGCCCTTTTGCCCGCAATAACGTCCAACGGGCTGGCTGAACGCGTCGCATGGACACAGAGGCTACACAACTTGGATCGATATACCTCAAACTGGGCGACCACAAACTTCCCAAGAGTTTACAGCGTGGCACGAGAAGGACCAGGCGCATTGGAACAGGGAGACAAAGGACGTCACTTCAGCCCCACCACGGGGTTTTACCACCAGATCTCGCCTGTTCTGGCCTCCCGCTTGGCACTTTCTCGTCTCTGCGATCTCTGGTATATCGATACGCAGGTTCGTTTGCAAAAAATGAGTGGTTACGTACATCGTCGCATTTATTGCTTGCAGTAGTATGGGATAGCAAGCGCCTTTGGGTCCCCGCTTTCCGTGAAAATTCTAGGCCGTTGAGCCACTTGCAGCTGTTATCTCTTCCGTCATCAGCTTCATCGCCGGGCAGGGCCTCGCGGTAAATGCTTCCACCAACGCTATCATGAGTGCTTCCAAGTGGAGGCAGTTGCGGTACGCGAACGAGGTGTTAGCCTGTCTGATGACCCTAACAGTATTTGGAGCGACCTCGTATAAGCCAAATTCGGTTCATTCAGTCCATCTGAGGATAATTGACGAGAACCCGGACACTGGAAGTATCATTTCTATATACCTAGTTGCTACATGATGCCTGGATTTATTTCCTGCTTCTTGCAAGGTTGACAAAAAAGGGTGATTGGAAGCTGGGTTGGGTAGTGGCAAGTGCCAAAGGCGTTGCTGCCATACAGTGACAAGCAAAGATCAGGCAAGAAAGCGGCGCTTGCCAACATACCCATTGAAGGCGTTCCTGGAGGTCACATCTGACCAGTTAAACTTGGGTCACTTCCCATTACCTACCTCGTCTAGCGATTATCTCACTCGTCATCCCTTCCTGAATGTCTCACTGGCCGAGGCCCTCTCATCTCGTAAATAAAAGACACAAGCTAGCCCTCTTCTATCCCAACTATCAACTCCCAACCAGCTTTTGATTCATCCACTTCTCATTATTCATACCGACCTTCGGAACTCTTCAGTCCATTAGCCATCGTGCACATCGTCTGCAGACCACCTCATAATATCCTTTTCAAGCATATCTTTCGATCAAGAAACATCAGTCCACTCAAAGCTACCATGGCCGCCCGCAACCACCACGTCTGCTGCATCGTCCCACCGTACCTTCTGAGCGGCATTGCTGATAGCAGCAAGAATGAGGAGTTCCTGCGAGCTTCGGCTCGCAAATCCGTCGACTTCAACCAGAAGTACATCAGCAAGCGAGTTGAGCGTTTTGCGGATCTGTCGGTTCCACGTGGCTCTCGCCAGCCTCGCCCTCAGCATATCATTCCCGAGTCGATGCTCAAGCACATTTCCGAGTCTCAAGATGTCGATGAGGAGACTCGCACCAGCGCCAAGCATGACCTTACGCATATTCGGGGCATCACTCAGAAGTACCAGCAATCTCAAGGTCCACAAGATGAGTCTGCGGACCAAAAACGGCTGGCTACTACGGCCAAGGCCAAGAAGACCTATCGTGCGGTGTACGATGCCAATCACACTGAAGATGAAGCCGACCTTCCTGGCAAGATGATTCGAGCCGAAAGTCAAAAAGCGTCCAAGGACAAGGCCGTCAACCAGGCCTACGACAACGCTGGTCATGTTCTTGACTTCTATGCCTCTATCTTCAACTGGAAGTCGATTGACAACAAGAACATGCATGTCATCTCATCTGTCCACTTCGGCACCAACTACGAAAACGCTTTTTGGGATCCCGAGATCGCCCAGATGGTGTACGGCGATGGCCACGACTTCATCCACAACTTCACTGGTTGTATCGACGTCATTGGCCATGAGCTGACCCATGCCGTCACCGAATACACGTCCCCCTTGGACTACCAAGGCCAACCCGGCGCTCTCAACGAGCACATCTCAGATGTCTTCGGCATCATGATCAAGCAATGGGTCGAGAAGGAAACTGCAGACACGGCCGACTGGCTTATTGGCGAAGGATGTTTGCTGCCCGATGTCAAGGGCGTTGCTCTCCGCAGCATGAAGGCCCCTGGCACTGCCTACGATGACCCTCGCTTTGGCAAAGACCCTCAACCCGACAACTTCAAGGCGTATAAGGCGGCCATCGAAGACAACGGCGGTGTCCATCTCTACTCTGGAATTCCCAACAAGGCTTTCTACTTGGCTTCTGTTGGCCTTGGTGGCTATAGCTGGGAGAAGGCTGGCAAGATAGTGAGTATCCTCAATCCCTCTTGATTGTCGCATCATGGAATTTCATTGCTAACCTCATTTTCGCAGTGGTGGGAGGCAATGCAGTCTGGTCAAGTCGCACCCAGGTCGAGCTTCATTCAGGTGAGTGTCCGTCACTTTCTCTCGCCGACGGATTCGATACTGACTTTTGAATAGTTCGCCGATATCACTGTGGACATAGCTCAGGAGTTTTTCGATGATGAGGCGGCCAAGATTGTTCGCAAGGCTTGGACCGCCGTTGGTGTCGCTCGAAAGCCGCACTCGTGAGGAGAGAGATACATGAAGCATGGAACATTGTACCCTCAGCACGGCTACTACCCAGTCTAGTTTACATCGCCCGATGGCATTTTGATGTCTGGTGCTTTTACTAGCAATTCTACAGATGCATGAGCATGTGAATCAAGGTCTCGATGCCCCCACCCCGTCTGGTTTGATCTCACTTCGCACTTATAAGTTGTTTGATTCCAAACAGGTGTGATCATCATAAAGCATATGGTGGTTGATTATGTCTTCATTCATTTCATTGCCATCTTTAGTACCCTACTCGGCCATATTTCTCCGTTGTGCTCCACCACCAGTTGGGGAATCAAAACAACGCTTTAGTGCCTGCGGAATTGTTAGCCTGCAAACTGTATACTAGAGAGGTAGTCTAGCTAGCGTATGTAGAGTTTGGACCAGACTTAGTATTGAAGTCTATAGGGTCTATTCCCTATAAGATCGCTATAGTACTTAGGGTCCATGGCTAGTAGACCGACTGTTAATTCACGCTGTAAGGAACATTTTACAACAGTTGCAGTTAGAAGACTCCGAGTATACAGCGCATATTTGTGGATTGCTACCAGGTAGGTACAGGGTAGGTTCGTAAAGTAAAAGAGTATAATAGATTGTTATTGTAAGGATGAGTCCTCACAGCGGGCCGGCCTCACCTAGCAAACTGTATCGGGAGAGTTTCGCCCCGATTCAGTATAACTCCGGATTCGCCCCAACCAAAGCGGCTCGGACGCCCCTACCTAACTTGGATTCCTTAAGAAGCAGTCTTGCAATATACACACCCGTATTATTGGCTTATCATCTATCCTTGAGACGTGTATTATCCCCGTTACAGTTACATAATGTATTGTAAAAGTGTATACGTAAGTGTGTTTCCCAGTATGTGATTTCTAGTGTGCGTAAAGGTAAATATCAAGGTATATTATCAAAGTTTATGAAAAGATAAACAGCAGGCTTTTACTTATAGGTGTATAGTTCTTTGTCAACTAGATATTGTGGGATCGCACTGGTACTGGCATTCCGGCTACATACGAAAGTACAGATGCCCGAGGGGGCGCGTGGGAAGGTGGGGTCCGGAGCCGCTCGAGGGCACTCAAGTGTCTTGCCTGTATCTCACGTGACTTTAAGCCACTAATTCCACAGATATCTTTATTTAGGCTGAATTTGTTACTTTTGATTTCCTTTAAACAGAACAAGGAAATCGTTCTATCTTTTATCTCAACTACTTTTCCTTAAGAAATTCTATGGTTTAACTCGTTATCTATGATACTAATTATTTCTTCTATTTTTGGGAGAAATCATTTGTTATGCCATAATACGTAGATTGTTTGAGTGTGAAAGGACTGAGGAACAGCCCATTGAAAAAATGAAGATGGTGGTTATGTGAAGTGGGCGCCAAATAGCGGGGTACCGGAGAAGGTTATCCACAGAGTATGTCATATTGCATGCGGCACCATGTTAACTGGGGTTTACGAACCACAAGGGTCAAATCATGCTGCGAGTTTCCCTCCCTCCGTCACAAGAGGCTTGTTATTTTCAAAATCCCCAGTGAGCGGCGAACATGGCATGACAGCCTGTTCCCTCATATTCCTGGGCGCCTCTCTCCCCGAGTTCAGCCTCCGCAACGCCTTGAACCCGCCCCTCAAGCTATCGGCCTCAAACCCATGCGCCCTCAATATACTGCTTGCCACGCGCGCACAATCTCCGTCGTAACACACCACGAGTACCCGCTTCTCTTTAATGCGTGACAATAAATCCTGATCCGGCGCGGCGAACTTAGCGTCCAGCGCCCGCCACAGGGAGGCAAGCAAAGTAGGGTCGGAAAAGGGGCTCTGGTCTTCGTACTGGGCGAAGGGGAGGTTGATGGACCCGGGGAGGTTAAACTGCGCGAAATCGAAGGGCTGGCGCAGGTCCAGGATGATGCTGTCTTTCTTGAGCGGGATGATGCTCGCAAGGCCGGCGCTGTTGGCGGAGCTGAGCTGCGAAAGAAATTGCAGCACGTCTCGCGCGAGGGCCATTTCGACTTCGAAGAAGGAGTCAAGCGCGCTAAGAGGGTCTTGTTCCCAGGAATCGTCATAGCGGTAGACGTCGACATCGGTGAGGGCCTGGGAATTGGGTAGTTGAGGTCAGCATGGCGGTTGCAGGGGGTGAGAAGTGGATGAAGGACTTCACGTACCTCGTTCTTGATTTCAGGGAAGTGCTCCGCTCCCAGCTTTTCAAAGTACTCCTCGATGTACTGGTACGGCAAGTCGCAGCACAGGAACACGGCATGGATCTCGCCGTCTTCGCCGGCCAGTTCTGATAATGTTCCCTCGGCTTTGCGCTTCTCAATGAATTGGAAAAGACCCTTAAGGTTGAAACCCGAGGATGGTCCGCAGACCAGGCCTTGACGGCAGAGCTTTAACGACCAAGAGTACGAGTCGTAGGAGCCGACGTGTTCCATATGATCGATGGCTGATTTCCAAGGGAACTCGACGGGAGCGAGAAGGCTGAAGGAGCGGGGGCCGGGGACGCGGTCGCCTGCTGCTGTGCAGACACTTCGGATATTGTTAGTATATATATCTGCATAGTATCGAATGCTTGGGTGACGAGAGGGGCAGGACTTACCCTAGCCGGAAAACGGAGGACTTGGCTTGGCCGAAGAAAGTTCCTAGTCCCGTCATGGTTCCTGGTAGATGTCAATAAGCCCGGGGCTTCTTCTCTCAAGGGAGCCTGAGATTATTTACCCGAGGTTCCCAAACCGGCACATATCAAGTTTATTTCGGGGAGCTGTCTGAGGATTTGAGGACCTGTCCACCGGACATGGGCTTTCCAATTCTGTTTACTGACATTAGCGCACGGTGATGCCAACGTTGTCAACCACGTGTCCAAACTCACATTGTCATTTTCGTACTGATTTGGGTTAACTATGGACTCGGAGCTTTCTGCCATTTTCTGTGCGACTCGTATCCCACCCCTCTCGTCGAGCGGTTCCGGTTGTGAGGGGCCGCCGAAAAGGGTTCTAGTGTTTGTGTTAGTCGCGTGTTGACGCAGGAGACATTTAAGCAAGCTGAGTCCTCACAAATGAAGTCCAAAGAACTGCATGAGACGCAGCTTGGTCTTACTAGTCTTGTTGCTAAGGAAGGCGCAGACATTGGGCAGTTCGTAGTATACCCGAGATATCAAGGACATGGAGATGACGGTCGACCCGGAGCTGTACTCAATTATGGTGTCTGTCTTGCCGGGCACGACCGTGTTTTCTAGAAGGTTCAGGGCTGGTACAACTGTTCAGTACTACTCGACAACGGCAGCTGGCTCCGTGGGATATATACCTGGCATGCATTTAACATTATTGGCCGGGTGCATCGTCATCATCTTGGCATATATCCGAACGCCATCTTGCCGGTATGGGTTGAGGCAGGCCGGCAACTCGACGAGGGGTAGAGGTGGTGATAAATCTGGGTTGAAATAGTCGCGAACAGAATCCGGGCCTTTGTAGACGTTCCGATAATTGGTATTTGCCATGGCTGGATTTACCGAGATACACGGCGGGATGCAGCGGGAAAGCCTTGTACTTAGGTAAGGCTACAAGTGAACTTTAAGCCTGAACACAATGTCGACGTTTTGAGGAACTCATGCGGTACGTCCCATCTGCGAAACCGGGACATTATATACTAAATTCTTGAAAGGAATGTCCCGCCCAAAAAGAGCAAGTTTCGGGCATGACCTCGTGTGATGTCCACGTCGACACGATATTGTCTCAGTGATGCACATCTTATCGCGGCTCTTTATCAGTACAGCCGCGCGAATGCAGTTGGATCCTGTTTTAATTTGCAAGAGCTGAGAGAGTTCCAAGACTAGAGTACACAATGCTGATCACCCCACCGAGTTGAAGGTTTGGCTAAGGCGACTCTTACCCAAATACCGGGACTGCCGCGCCTGAAAATCAGCGGGGTTCCACCAAACCCTGCCAACGCTGCCCGAGTTGCACATGAGACTCATGACTGTTAGTCCTAGACTGTTAGTCCTAGACTGTTAGTCCTAGCCTGCTATATTCATGGAGACGTATTGTTTAGCAATGTTATTACGTCATACATGGAATGGTGGATCGTGCTCAGTCTACGTCGCAGGGATGTGAGCTAGTTTGCGGTTGTTTTCAGCCAATGAAACCCAACGCCTCGCAACCCTGAGCAGAATTTCAATGCCGACTGATTTTATATCCATTACATCTCCAGGCATGCAGATTATTCGCGGATGAGACACCCCATTATAAGCGAAGGACCAACATATACAACTCGTGTGAGAGGTCAAGTAGCATCGTTGCCCTTCCCAGCAATGAAAACAAGTGGGAGGCCAAGTATTGTAGGCGCTAATAATCAGCATGCCTGAAGAGCTGTACATGCTGTGTGAGTCTAGCGTAGACTGGAGAGACGAGGGTAAAACCGCACGTTGAAATAATTTTCTCAGAGCTGTTATAAAGAACTTTTCGCAGTCGATGGTGTGCTGTTGTACGTGTAAGTCATGGAACTAACTATGCTCGCAGTGGAAACGCGAGCGCAATTTTCCAAAACGTTGGGCTGCAGGGCCGTTTCAAGACAACCCTAAACCTGTACATTTATCTGAACATCCCCAGCTGCTATGTAACATACCATAATGTGCTCAGATATGCCGCGACTACGTTGGTCCCCCATGGCGTATTGGATCTTGCCAAGATCTAGATGTCTACGAGACGCATTATCTGATCCGCCCAGATCTACACATAGCTCTCCCCTCGGGTCAGGGTCATCCGATAACGGCTACATACCTGGGAGAATGCAAAACATGGATACGACTTCGATATCTAGACCGCCTTCGGTGGTTGGTGCTCGGATATATGCCCAAAGCTCGTGTGGAGATGAATTTTTCATGCTGCTCCAGAATTAAAAATCTGCTCAGTCTCGCTTATACCTGACGCAAGTCTGCAGGCCTCTCACGTCAGGAGGGAAACCGCATATCACCATGGAGGAAGAAGCTACCAGCAGGGGTGCCGAGCTCCTTGGTCCTGTTTTGGTTGACGGCGTCGATTCGAGTCCAGCAACATCAGCCGGAGCAGCGACGACGCCGAACACAGATGGGGTCCATGTGTTCAACGAACAGACCAATTATGTTCCTAGAAGTACAATCATAACGGTCAGATATTTTGGTCCTGGTTCGGGCTTTGGATGAATACTAACCTCAGAAAAGGTGTTCCTCGCGTGTGCCAGTGTCGATCTCCTGGCCCTCATGGACCAGACGACACTTGCAGCAAGCTTGTACATCATTGCCGATGACTTGAAAGCAAGCGATCAGGCATCTTGGATAGCTAGTGGATATTTCATGTAAGACTCCTGCAGCACCATTATCTCTCGCAGCGTTGCCTAAACTATATCTTTAGAACTTCCACCATCGGCCAGCTCCTCTACGGGAGGTTATCCGATATTTGGTCACGGAAGGTAATCCTTCTTATTGGACTGGCTATTTTCTTCTTCGGATCCCTGGCTGCATCTTTGTCTCAGACTATAGTGCAGCTCATCATATTTCGATGTTTTACTGGCATTGGCGGTGGTGGATTGATGACGGTCGCGCAGCTGATTGTGAGCGATATCGTACCGTTGCGTGAAAGGGGGAAATACCAGGGAATCCTGGGTTCTGTTGTTGCCCTTGCCAATGGCATTGGCCCTGTCGTTGGAGGCATCCTCTCGTCCAAGTCGGCCGACTCTTGGCGCTGGATCTTCCGACTGAATCTACCGCTAACCGTGCTCACAACTTCATTTGTGGTGTTCTTCATGCCATTGAAGAAGGTCGAGGGAGATTGGAAGTTGTGGGTTTCTCTATCACAGTGGTATTATGTTTTCAATGCTAACCGACAACTTCAGAAAGTTCAAGGCGATCGACTTCATTGGCGTAGTTCTTACCCTAGCCGGCGTTCCTGTTTTCATGTTGGGTTTGACATGGGGAGGTTCCGAGTACCCTTGGAACTCGAGTGCTGTCATCGCAACTTTGGTTGTCGGCTTTTTCCTTTGCGTAGTCTTCGTCTTATGGCAATGGAAAGGACCAAAATATCCTCTCGTGCCCCGTAAGTTTCCATTCCGTTGACCGTCGAAAGGGACATATCTGACAGTTGCAGTCCACATTTTCAAGTCCATGGTCGTCAACGGAGCATGCATAACCATGGCCATCAACGGCTGGAACTTCGTCGTCCAAATTTACTACATTCCCACCTTCTACCAGCTCGCTTATGGCTACTCAGCGACCAAGGCTGGTGCTATGTTGCTACCAATTACCCTCATTCAAACCCTTAGTAGCACACTGTCGGGTTTGGTGGTCCACTGGATCGGACGATACCGCGAGTGCATTCTATTCGGATGGCTTTGCTGGGCTGTTGGTCTTGGCCTGATGTCAACACTGGATGAGCACTCGGGTGTTGGGAAGCAAATTGGGTTTGCGATCATCACTGGTGTTGGGGTTGGAAATACCCTGCAACCGTAAGTTTCGAGACTCCTACGATATGTGGAAAGTGGGGACTTACTTAGGGAAATCCAGTTCTTTGATCGCCATCCAAGCTGGGGTGTCACGCTGGGACATGGCTGTGGTGACTTCATTCCGAAAGTGAGTATTAAAGCCCTAATGTCTTTGTTTTGAAGGCTGACTTCGTATTCCCAGCTTTGTGAGAAACCTCGGTGGCACTTTCGGTCTAGCTATATGTGGAACCCTTCTGTGAGTACCGCCCCAGGACTTGATCAACCCAGACAATACTGACCAGTACATCATAGCAACAACATCATTTCTCAGTCCACTTCATCACTCCAACTTGATGATGCATCATCTAAGGCACTCTTGAGTAATCCGCAATCATTCCTATCCTCTCTATCCGTGGAAGAGGCTGGGCATGTCCGATCCGTTCTCATCCCTGCGTACAGGCAAGCCTTCCGAGTTATCTTCTTGGTAGGAGCCTCTTTGGCCGCTTTTGCCTTCTTTATCGCATTTTTCATGATACCACAGGTGGAGCTGAGGAGACCTGATGACGAGAAGTTGAAAGACCAGGGTCTTCAGGCGCATCTGAAGAAAAAGGAACAACCAGAGGATGCTTAGCCTCATTGCCTCCTTCTTAACAGCTCTACTAAGGTATCTTACGGCTAGATTATGAGGGGTAAAGTTGACGGTGTCGTGTGCGAATTATGGTGGCAAAACGGTCGTATTGATGAATCAAATTGACATTGCATCGTGAACTTGTCACCATAGTCGCGTGGCCTGAGAGTGGACTTGACAATGTGGGTAGTGCAGGGTTCAGAAGGAAACGAAGGCTTGCTGAGAAATAAAATTGTACGAGTCCCAAAATACAACTACATATGCAACTTGTCTCTGTTTGGTGATGTTTCGTCGCCATGGTCTTGTGATCATCATTTGGCCGATATTTTCACCAGAGACCACCATCAGGACTAGCATTTACTGGGTTTAAGGTATCAGAGGTTGGGTGAGCAGGTGCCATTGATGTTGAGACTCCCTCAACACTATCAGTGAGCAATGTAATTATATATATATATATATATATATATGTAAGCTCTCTCGTTGCCAGACAAGGATTATTGATCTAGAGTGTCCGAGCAAGGGGTCTCGATTCCGTTTCCCAAGTGTCAAGGTATCATCAATTTCATATTGCCTCCACCAATTTAACCAACAGTAGTTGGAAATAACACGCCAAACGAAGTTCTCATAAGACACGAACAAGGTAGTTGGAACACAATAGAATATGCGTCAATTTCTGATGGATCCGCATCTTCGTTGAAAACAGCAACTCATGATGCTGTAGCAGAGGTGTTGAAGAAAGTAATGCAGGTAGCAACAATCCTTTGTCCTCCATGCCCATATCTCACTGCATGATAGCCTATGAGTGAGGTCAACCCCGGCAACGGGGTAGGTGACCACCATACTTAACTCACTGGTACATTCTCCCCACCTGAGGACCCATGACTTGTTGGATCAAAGTCAATGCCTTCCCATCCACGCTCCATGGTTGGACTCGGCAAAGAGTATATAGTTGTGCCGACCGACGGTGGCATTATGAGGGAAGTGACAGGCTTTCTATTGGGACGTTGGCGTAAGTTATGGGGTGCCGGAGGCACGGGGGAGCGGAAGAGGGTGGTGACTTGGTCCATTGGTAAGGATGATGCGTAGACATGACGTTGGATGCTGAGAGTTTCCACTCGCATCGCTATTTCAGGACACTTCATTGCACGATGAAGATGAGGTCGATTGGATCGAGCGAATATGAAAGATCATAATCTAAGAGAATACTATACTGTGTAAAGTCAGCAACTGAATCAACAATATTGCCTAGACTACGGTACCTGACCGCGCCCTCAAGCGGCAACGGAATGGTGAGATCTACCTCCTCATCCTAGGCAGGAGGATTGGGATCCCAGTATAGAAACACTTCTGAACTATTCTTGGTTATGTGAATGTGGTTAGTCGCAACCTAGGACTACATCAGCCCAATCGTAACGATTGAGTCTCAGCAAATGATATGCGACGACGCAGCATTGCATCACTTGTGACCCGGCAGAAGCATAAGGATATGGTTCATATGTCGACAGTTGAAGAGGTGACTATTGGCAATCATGTTGTATCAACTATCCCACGAATGTGATAGAAATATAATCATCAACACCTGTGGTCGTGATCCATCTATGAGATGAGACTTTTGTACCACATGGAGACATATACAAGTTTTTGTTATCCTAGGATTACCACTGACCAGCGTTGCACGATAACGTCCGCATGTAATAGCATGTGCGCACCCGTGCCAATGGGAGTTGCCTAAGTAGTTTGTTTGCTAGCTGAGTGCGAGCTTAATGACTTGTAGTTGGAGAAAGAGCTTAGTACGGTGTGGGAAAGCGTCGTTTGGAGGCCTGTAATAATTCCATGACGGTGTGTGGGACATCTTTCCCAAGTGCCCGAGAGTGACATCGTTACGCTGAGTAAGGTGAGAAGAGTCCACCTGCGTGTATACTTGCCTTGTACCGCTCTTGACCTGAGGCCATGCTTGCCCGTCCGTAGCAATCATTCCTCAAAACGTGTCTCTAGAGTCATATCCATGATATATGATCGAAATAATATCCTCAATGCTATGTTAAAGGCCTGGGAAATACCATTTTCAATATTGGGACTCACCGGACGTAAGCCCCCTTACTACAAGATCCTTCATCTGTGTCTCTCACTGATTGGGTGTTTTATCTTCACTAGAATGTATTGTCGCTGTAGTAATTTACCGTCTTTACCTTGATCCTCTAGCCAAGCACTCTGGCCAACTTCTCAGTCGCATCACAGGCTGGCCGGACTGTTACCATGCCACACGTGGTGACAGGGTTTTCTAGTTGTGTGAACTACATGAGCTTCATGATAAGAGAACCACCCGTCTCTCAACCAGGCTACATCCTGCTCGTTCATAGGCCCAGTAGTGAGCTGCACTCCTAAATTGATTTCGTACAACTCAGTAATAGCCAGCGAGTCCATCTACAAGTCGCACAAGACCAGCGTCGTCAAGCCGGATTGGTACCGCTGGGTCCCGACGTCGGCTGGAGGCTCAGAAAGCATCTTTACCGCTATTGATAAGGGCAGACATGCCGACAAGCGACGGATGCTTTCTCGCGCCTTTTCCGTTCAGGCGATGAAAACATGGAACTCAGGGTACCCTGAGTGTGGGTCTGGTGCCTTGAGAAGATGTAATTGGCAAGTCCCATGAACGAAGTCGCGATGAGCCACTGGTTTACACTTTTGACTTTTTACATGCTGGCAGACTTGTGTTTAAAAACGGCTTTGGGAGTGATGGATATGTCGGAGAGGCGCCACCTAACTGATATAGTCTCAGAAGCGACCGGAAGCTGGTACACGACAAGATGCTAATTCACCTTTGCCTCTCAAGCCAACACCTGCCTCTAAGACGAGAGTTCCTTCAACAGCTGGTGAATCACCCCCTAGTGTACCTCCTACATTATCTGCTGTATCGGACACCCTCCGAATACTACTAAAAGAGTGCAGCCATCGAGAACAAGGCAGTCCGTGACAGCCGCATCGAAGCATTCCATCAGGGTGCTAAGTACGAAACTTCCACTGATATGAAGAACAGTCTCTCAAAAAGCATCATGCCGGTCCGTGATATGTGCCACCATACATGGAACTCACTGTTTCTTTGCCTGCTGCAGCACCTCGAAATGCACAAGGTAGACGGTAATATGGAGACGCCAGAGAAGTAGTATCAAATAGAAGATGAACTTGGAGGCAAAGGAGCAAGTACATACGTGGGACCTAGACGTACGATGACGGCAACTACGCCTAAATAATGAAGGAGGCACGGGTCAAAAGTACGCACGTCGGGTGAGATATGGGCTCAATACCTTCTTCGGCCAACAACCTCCTCTCCAAAGATAACATAGGAAGATCCGTTGATTGTGGGGCATATTCGTATGATATGTGTACTAGTTGAACTTGCGTGCAATCGAGCCTTTACTTCGCCGGTGAATTGAGCGGATTCAAACGAGCCAGTAATACTAGTGCATCAGGACTTCAGGACTTTGCAGAGGCATGTACATGTAGGAGGAGCCTTTCACTTCGTACGATTGAAACAAGCGACATACGCGCAATGCCAAAACCCACTCAGCCACCAGTGACCGATGACCTCGGCACCGTTATTGTCGTCATCGCCACAGTTGGTATAGCCAGTGGCACAACCCAGGCCTAGCAATGATCCTCTGCGACTTCAAGCCACGCCCTCGGCATTTTCAAGGGAGGTATCGAAATTGGTCACAGGTGAACAATCGACTTTTGGGCCTAGCAAATCTTCTCTCCCAACTTCCCGGCACAGTTTGAGGCTGTGCTCCACAGGAGAAAATTTCGAATGCTGGTCCGCCGCAGTTGTTTCGCTCGCATGTGAAGGGGATACGCATTTTCGAGGTCAACCTCACCGCAACGCACCGCCTCATCGACAGAATGAAGCCTAGTATGGAGCATAGCGGTGTCGCCGTCCTAGTGGCTCCAATGGCAGGGCAGATGATAGTCAATCTGATGGTCGACAAGACAGGCCGGTGGTCAATGGCCATTGCGCTTATGCGTCGATGCCGGTACACTGCTTGTGCGACATCCATACGTCAACTCTATGCCTAAGCCATGGCGCCAACTTTTGGTGCGGCGGGTTTGCGGATGGCCAGTCTTTCGCCGGGAATCATGGACACCGATGAGGGTGGCATATTCGGGCCAGCCGGGATTGAACACGACAATTGAGGGGGCAACGCTGGGAAGAATGGGCACCGCAGATGAGTATAGCTGCAGCAGTTGTGTACCTCGCCTCGTCTAGCTTCGTCACTGGGATCGACCTACTTGATGAGAGCGGGAATGTTGCCTAGACATACAAGTTGCTCCAACGAACACTGGTGGATATGTTGGAGGGGAGACATGGAGGCAAGTCGTCATCCTGAATGTATTGAGCCACACCTTGGTTGTTTCTGTAAGGTTGCGCCTAACCAGTTGGCTATCGAGTTTGCTCCATCCGAACAGTTGATGACGATAAGTGTCCAAGACTCTCACGGAACCCGCCTCCGGTGCATCAGCAAATCTGACCGAACCCCACCGCGTCAGTGACCACATTATTTGATATCATTCAACGTATTTCCAGCATCGCCTCGTAGTCCTCGTATGAGCACTGCTCTTGGCAAAGTAGTAAAGAGTAAAACAGGCTCAGCGTAAAATAGTACAAACCTTGAACATGGGCCAAGAGACGGATGGAAGAATATCCAAGACGACCTCGACATACCGGATGATCCGAAGGGTAAAAGGAGTTGGAGGTTCGGTCTCTCATTCGGGAAGCTGTCTGACAGCCTTGAGGCTATGCGGTGGACTACCTGCCATAATATGGTTGCTTTCAGAAAAGGCTGCCCCCCGGTTCCCCCTAGCTGCGGCGTCGCTGCTTTTTAGGCTTCGTCATGAGCAAATTAATTGCACCACCTCGGCATCTACACATTGAGATCTACAAACCAAACCTGACAAAACAAGAGTTTGACATAGCCTAAACCCGACTAGGAAATCAAATGATATTGTTAGAAGAGTTGTCTTGGCTTGAAGCTTCTGTAGTCAGTGTAAACATCATGCTCTTTATGGAACAAGTACACCAGAAAAGCACTTTAGAGTTAGCCGATGTTTAACCTTCGTTACATGACCATCCTAGATTTGCTACAGGATAGCGCAGTTGGGGTTCGGGTTCGACGGACGACCTTGAGATGACCAGCATTCAGGTCCAGCATTTATCATTTTGGGAAAAGTCCAAGTCATCGACGTCTGGCAGCGACGTCCCGTGCCTCATGCCTAGATGCCCAACTTTCATCAATGTTCATTTCAAACCCAAGACGCAACTTAATCAACCCATAGCTTACTCGCGCAACCCCAGAATCACGTACGATGTGGCGGAGCGGCGCTTGGCAGAAATGCTTTATTTTGCCTGCGGTGTGGTGCAGTGCGACGTGGCGTGGCCGCCAAATCAGTCGATCAATGAATTCCTAACTCCTGATCGGAGTCCCCAAAGTCGGTCTAGTGCGCTTGGCTGTGTTCGTGCTGTCCGCAACCAATGCCAGCCATCGCCATCGCCGTCACATTGTTGGTCTCATCCCAAGTATCCCAACTAGGCCAACCAGTGCCATCGGCCCTTAAGGTAGCGCTTCACGATGGAGGTCTAAACACCGGCACTTACGACAGCTTCTCCGTTCCGAGTAGTTGATCAGACAACTTCACGTATGGAAAATCAACACAACCAAAACAGGTGCGTTTCATCAGCACCTCGATGTTGTTTCGCGCACGCCACCAAGAAAGGATTTCTGAATACTCTGAAGGATGTCGGCCCGCCAAAACAGGCCGCGCCCCCAGTAGTCAGCGTGTACGCATGTCAATTCTGCCATCTATATCCAGAAGCTCTACGTTCTACCGGACCAGCAAAGAATAAAATTATCCATTACAGGATGCGAAGGTGTCCGTCCGCCCACCTAAATTCGCGGATTTCGCATGCACCTCGAAACCGCCTCAACCACGGATGGATTGGATTAGTTGTCGGCCATGCGCATCTGGAAAATTTTGGGGCATATCTATATATATAACTAGAGATATTTGCTTACCTTACCTGGGTAACAAGAAACAGTAACAGCCTCGCGACTGACCCGACCCGACCCTAGATCACTATCAGGATTTGGTCCCTCAGTTGAACCCGCAGGATCCACGGATCATGGGACGTCGTATCGTACACATCGATCTATAATCGTCGTGACCAAATCGGGGACTCAACGCACCGCTTTGAATTAGGGATGCTGTGCCGTAGGGAAGAATGACTCGCCATCTCTAGGTTATCTGTGAGCAAGTAACAAATGAGCAAAAATTTTTGTCACAGTCCTCTTGGCTTCGGTCTTCGCAAGAACCCGTCTCCGAAAAGTATATTCTCGAAAAGCGGCCTGATAACCTTATATGCGACAGCGATCCCGTCCGCACAAGTACGTACTTAATGGGACTGGTCATGTCAGTCACTCGCAGCACAAGGAAGCGTTGCTTACTGGCCGTAACCCACTAAACTATATGGGGAAGAGCCGACCCCATGCCTAAGAGAAGGCACGTCTATTTCAATAGAGTTCATGCAAGTGCGACGGGAGCGATGCAATTGGGACTGTTTTTGGGAGTTATAGTGGGATCAACAAGTTGATGTTACTTGCCCATCTCGATTCAAGTTTTCGCATGGGTCTTATGTCCAATGCGATACTGCTCTTGGCTACCCTAATCATGCCGTTCCTCCGTTCGTAGTTCGTTTGAGTTCATTCTTCCCGATGCTCACCAACTCCGAAGCGAGTGCTTGCTAAATCCCATTGTACCTTTACCAGTACACCCTGATCCTATTCCATGTAGATGCAACCCAAAAGATAGTCCCCCAACACCATTGTACGCCCAAAGGTATCTAATGCCCTTCTATAAAAAAGAAGCGCTTTCTTTTTTAATAGGATACCACCGTAAACTCCGTGCTCCTGCTCGTGAAACAAAAAAAAATCATCGTACCGCAACACCACCTCCAAACATGCGTCCCCACATCCCCCTTCCTGTCCTGGGGCGCTTGGCTTTGCCACCGTCCTCGAGATCCCTCAGATCCTCCGCACTAATTTCGTAGGGTAGTAGTTGCTTGCCCTCTTTCACGTAACTCCTGCTCGCAGCCGGCTGCGGCATCTCCATGACAATTTCCACCGGTGATTCGTAAAGGTCGTTGGTGTAGACATATGGCTCCTCAGGATCTGAAACTGGTGTTGAAGACCGCGAGTGCTGTCTTGACGACAAGGAAGAGGCGTATGAGCTGCTCGAGCTTGCTGACGAGCTGTACGCGAGACCAGGAGGGGTGGATGCGTCGTGCACCAGACGGATAGTCTCGTTTGGCGGAATGGCCCGTCGAGACCTTGAGCTGCCCCTTGAGGATGGGGGGGATGGTAGCTGGCTTGCGGTTGCCCATGCTTGGGCTTCCTCTTGCTTCCGCAACGCCTCTTGCCTCTTGCGTTGCATGCGGCGAGCCTGCTGGGCATCAATATCTGCCCGGATGGGAGCCAAGAACACATCCAACTCGCGGTACAGGTCCTCTTCCGTGATCCTGAGTTCCCACTCCAACAAGAAGAGGAGTTGCTTCTCCATCAAGTTAACTTCAGTGCGGCTGAAGCCAAAGCTGTAAGACTCGGTGGTTACGTTGCTGTAAGTGGCCCAGTGCTTGTTCTTTGGTGAGCTGTCATTGAGATACTTGGCGGCGAGGATGAGTGCAGCCAGGAAGATGCGGTGAGTGGTGCAGCGCAGGCCCTTGGCCATGGGCTGGAGATGCGACTTTAATCGGTTGAGGTAGACCAAAGTGGACATCAGAGTAGGAACCTGGACATTGGATGAGACGACGAGCTGTGTGATGAACTCCTCAAGCGTAGGCAGCACAGCAGTGTCATCACATCTAACAGCCTTGGGTGCAGGTGTCCGTGGTCGTGAAGGAAGATGTGGCCGGCTTTGTGCGGGCGGAGGCATCATGGCGGGATCGCACTGGATGACATTGGAGGCAGCTTGAGCCAAGTATGCGATCATCGTCTTGCTGACTGGCTGATAGACAAACTGGTCGAGAGCGGCGGCGTTGAGCTCAGCCATGGATAACCCCGATATCGACGGCATGATGAATGCGAGTGTGTGTGAGAGAGAGAGAATGGTAAGGGGAGGGTGGTGAAGTCGGGCTGTAACAAACTTGAGTGATGTGGTGTTGTCGGTATCCAAGACGATGGACACGACAAGCTAAACAAGTGACGGAGACCAAAAGGAAGATCCGGGGAAGAAAGGTGTGGAAGGGCAGTTGATAATATAAGAGTCCAACTGACTAGTGCGGTGAGATTGATGAGACGGATTTGCTGATTTGTGTAAAAGAATCACGCGGGGATGTCAGTCCAAATAGGTGTGAGACTAATGGAGCAGGGGCAATAGCATGAGAGTTATGGGAATTATGCCAGATGGCTAGTCCCGCTGGACCACAGATGTTGCGTTGAGCGTACGTGTGTGACGTGAGTCTGGGCGAGGCTGAGCCGGACTGCTGGGCTGGTCGCTTGGACTGGGCTGGGCTGGGATGGATCCGATGTGGTGGCAGGCGCAGGGGGGGTTCGAGTGGGTCCAGGCCGACAGGGTGTAGTCTGCAGGTGGAGTCTTGGTACGCAGGGGGTCCCTGGGCGACGAGATGTGCGTCAGTCGGATTTGACCGACAGGGGGGTCTCAGTTGTTCGGGGGAGGTCGGTGCGTGACAGCGACGACTGATTGATTGATTGATTGATTGATTAATTGACACAAAACCCGCCCGTGCCGTGAGGTCGTGCTGATCGAAGCTCGTGTAATTTGGGCAAGTGGGCGTCGAGATTGGACCTCTACTAGCAGTTGTGATTGTGGCAGAGGCCGGGTGAGTGCGTAGGGAGATGCCGAGAAATACTGTGGCTAGTTTTGGTGTTCGTCGGCTTGCCGCGGTAGTCGTTGCAAAAGTTTGCAGGTCAGGCAGGTATTAGAGAATGACGTGGTCCTGAGAATATGCACTGGTCGCAAATAGAACAAACCAGCGATTGGCCGTGGAAAGGGAGCGAAGATGCGCAAAGGGCGTTGTTGTTCGAATTCTCGTCGAGAAATGAAGGTGGCTGGTTACGAAGATTCCGGAGCCTGCGGAATTCTTCTTGTTGCTAGTCGGTTGTGGGCCAAGCTTCTTGACCGATAATTGAGGCCTGAGCAGAAAGAAGGTGAAGATTATTCAATACGGGGCGTTGCGGGCCTTGCAAAGATGTCTTCGGGGTCGGCGACTCGGCGATTAGGCTGAGCGATGAATAATTATCGCCGTGAAAAGCTTGCCAATACGGGTCAAGACCGAGAAAATCGTGAGGCGAAGTTGCGGTCGGCCGGGGTGATGACTCTTTTCCTTCAAAGTTGAGGATGGGACAATGGAAGGCGGGACTACCCTGGGTAAAAAAAAGCCACGGCAGTTTTTCTTTCGCAACACCGCCGAATTGAACGGGTAATAATGAAAGCTCAAACAATATGCCACGATGCAGTCGTTGGTGTGAGGGCTGACTTGGGTTTCGCCTAGAGACCTGAACGGATAGCACAGCCTGATATATATCTGCCTTGGTTGGTGATGGTCATGCGTCTTGCGGGGCTGCAAATGGTGGAGTCTTCCTCAAGAAGAGATGGAGTATAAAGGGCGAAAAGTCGTAAGGTATGTGCAGAATTAATTGCTGAATAGTGGAAGTAATAAAACAAATTAGTGCTGAGACTGGCCAGAGTCTGGGGTAGTGGATTCAATATTGTCGTAATTTCGCGAGATTCGTTTGTGTCGTTTGTGTCACGTATCAAGTAAGAGAGGGATACTCGACGCTCCTTCTAAGATCCCTTCAGTGTCGTTTCCAGGCCGTTGGTAGAATGAATAGTCGTGTCTTGTTGTAGAGCAGGAGGGAAGGGGGAAGATCGTGGAAGGGAGTAATATATCTATCTATCTATCTATCTATCGACCTGAACAAGCTTGTTTCGATGGAGCGCCCATCTATCTGCGTATGTAATCTGTTGTCTCTTGGAGCGTCGCTGGCCCTCAGGCAATTGGGCATAGGATGCCAAATTCGTTCTGAGCGGTTGGGGCCGAATCATCCTCTTCCTGACGTACACCCACTACAGGCGCCATACGCCCCCTTCCCCCAAAAGCTCTTGTCGCCATCATCTGAATGGCTGCCGATGTGCATTCTGCCCATGCCATTCGCTATGCGCCGCATGATCCCCTTGATGAATGGCCGGCGGCGATAGTTGAGCTTGATGATTTGCACAGATCCATTGGTGGGAATGGCCTAGAAGGTGAAACAAGCGAGAAGGCCGAGCAGGGTACGTCGCCTCGCCAAGACTGCCGCCGAGCTGCAGGTTGAGTAGCGACTTGGAGCATTGGCCAGCAGGAGAATTTAGAAGCGACAGGGAGGCCCAGCGCATTCCAATTGTAGGGGCTAGTTAAGGATAATCAGCCTACGTACTGCCAATCAATTACCGACACCATCGATCTCAAGCGAGAATCAAAACAGCAACACTGAAAATCATATGGTCGACCATCCTTCCCGGCCTGCTCCCTTGTAGGGCTGTGTGCAGTCCACAAAACAAGAGGGCAAGACTCTCGCTAGATGACATTTGTAAGACGGGCTGGCGACCAAGGAAAATCTAGTTAGCAAAGTACCTCAGCAAGTAACTACCAACTCGCCGCCCCCGGATCTGCATCAAGCCGTGTATGGACAACGCAGGTCGATGCGCCGTTGAATGGTCGTATAATACAGGATTCGCGATCCAACCATACTGCCTTTTCCCTCGAGGCCAATCATCACTTTTGCATACTATGTACGGCAAAACCAGAGCATGGAATTCAAGGCCCAAGGCACCGCCGCACTATCCACACACAACGTACGTGTTCCATCGAGGCGCCCACTTGTCCACCACGGCCATGCGGTCGTGAAACGAAACGTCACTCCAGTTTTCCATTTTTCCATAGATAGAAGTCTCCATTGGCACTGGAGTCGTACTTTATTTATGCGTGTCACGCCTCGGCCGAAGCTGCTGACAACTTTCACCGGGGGCCCCACATTGCATCTGGAAGCACCATCACAATTGCTCCTGGTTCATCACCAAGAGCTCAATCTATCTGCTTCTCACGAACTGGTGGTCTCGGGACGCCATCAGTGCACAAACTTGAGAGCTTCCCCCCGCCACCCCACGCTGGCCAGCCCCTGGCACTTTCTCTCTCTTGATGGGACAATGGCCATTCCTGGAGTTTCCTGATGTTGTTGACCGATCTGGACTTTGGCGTGGACGATGGCGTGTGTCTGTTCACCGCCGTGGCTGCATGGTTGTTAGCCACTGACGGCCAGCCCCCTCATCCCTTTCCGGCTTTGAGCACTCACCCCTTAGACACGTCAATGCCTCCATGCGATTCGTCATCTGTCAGGTGATGGAGTTTTCAATGTGCTGCAATTCCTCAGCGCACCACTCTACGGATTAACGTCGTCTCAAGTTCTGCGCGTCGAGATTTCGGGAATTGTCAGTCGTCGCACAACCGACACCGTCGAATTGGCTCCTGATCTTTCAGATTTGGAGGACGATTTACCATGCATCGTTTCATCTTACAAGAAGCCTAAAAGGGGCAGCCAAGCTCCAGAGAATCTCATTGCCGCACTCCGCACGAGCATCTATCAGTCAATACCGCCTGCTCAACTCGGCAATGGGCGATCGCATTTGTTCATCCGACCATGCACTGGCATCTTCTGACAGCTCTACAATGTGCCTTCCGGTGACTTGGCCTTCGCTTTGATGGCGCTGTGTCCGCTTGTCTCCTAAATGCTACTTGCCTTTTTGGTCTGAACGCTTCTTACCGCCCCCATTCCAAGCTCCCTAGCGGTCTGCCGGGCCAAGTACTATAGTAGTTTGATGGGTCGATGCGATGTCTTACCCTGCCCTAGCAGACGATCTATCTGGTGGTATGAGTGCGGGCCGCCATGATCCCTAATCCCCTGGACCCCAACCAAGCTTTAATCATCAACGTTGCTCGAGATATTTAGTTCGAGATAGTCTTCAGGGGTCACCGGACGTGCGTCTCCACCCGGGAGCCATCATCAGGTGGTAAAATATGTTGTCAAAACACCCAACCTCTTCAGTGTGGCAAGCACTGCGCGTTGTCAACTTCTCAGCCATACATTGTCTGCCGGCTCGTGCAAAAGCATCTCTCCGGGTCTCACCGCCGGTTACTGCCCCACGATTTCACGATTTTTAGTCGGCGCACTTGCCACTTGGCCCGCTAATATCGCGATGGTTCCGCTCGACACCCGTGATCTGCCCTAATCCCGATGCGGAGTTTGCCCTGGTGTCGGAGAATCCGCCGGTCTCCCTAAAGCGAGCGCCACCATTGGTCGCATCATGTCCCCGAGACCAATTAATGCGCTCGGTAACGGGCTCTTTGTGCTCTCCCCCGCGTGGCTGTGGCCCTCTTTTCGCCACTGATACGTGTAAAGGATAGTAGGGGCATTTGCAACTGGTCACAGAGAGGCCTCGCGCAATACAACCACAAATACGCCAGCAAGCTTTGTTTACGGCGTACGGGACGCGTCGCGTGGCACGCTCAAGTAATATGATGTCTCAGGTGGCCTCCATCGACAAAACATCACAAGCCCAAGTCGGGTTGCAACTTGGTTCCTCCTGCGCTGTCAACAGGGAGTAAAGTGTCATGGAGTCGAGTCGAGGCCCCAGTGCTACGCAGCCACATACCCTCCGCATCTGACAGATCGTCTAGTCCCCTTCCGAAAAGGGGTGATGATGCAAGCTTAGTGCGGCTTGACCAGCTGTCATTCAACTCATGATCTGCGCCATATCCAGGAACACGAGCAAGGCAGCGTTCGCATAGATTGCGGGGTGGGTTAGTTCCTCCGCTGACACGAATGAGTCCTTAACATGCCTAAGCACCAAGAACGGTGTGGCCACCAAAGAAACGTTGCTGCAGTCATGAAGCGGATGCTGCTTTCGTGTCTTAGGGAAATACGACCAATGCGAAGTCGACTGGGCTTCCTCTGTCAGCTTGAAGATTCCAATATTGTGAGCGTACGTAGCTCGAACAGAGCTTCTGCCCAGCTCCAACTCCTGCGCAATGCTTTAGCATCAGCAAACTAAGCCATATCTGGATGGGCCTCACTGTGTCTTGGAATTACGATGGATAGAAGCCGCATCGAGAAATGAGCTACGGCTCATTGTCTCGAAGCCCCCGTCACCAAGGAAGCTCCAAAACACACCCTCATAGAGCCACTCCTCTCCTCGCAAGGTTCTTTGTCATTGCACAGCTCCCGACGGCAGTGGGAGGCTGGGGCGGCTACGTCAAACATCGTCAGGCGGCCTTTGGACGGCCACATCGCGACATGCTTCTGTCGGCTATTGGCAGTCCCTTGTTTTAACACGCGCAGTCATATGCTGCTTGGACTGCAAGGACGCTGACAGGCCGGGGGCCAGCACAGCACGGGCCAGGGGGTCCCGCAATCTTAACCCGACGATCTGATTTGGGAAGCGACACGCGAAGAAAGGCGGCATCTCGTCCAATCATGTTGCCATCTTCACCTGCCGTCCTCCGCGGCTATTATTTAGCCGTTCTAAAGTTAACTTGACCCTGATCTTGGCCGCACTCGGCCAGGGCTAAGACACCAAGATTGCTTGTGGGGATAAATGTATGTAGCGCCCGTGGCAGCGGCTGACAATGTTGTCAACCGCGGCATGATGCGGAGAGCCGAGATCTTGGAGAGTAATAAAATGCGGGTGGGGCTGCTTACTTGCTGTCTGAGTGACGATGGGAATACCAGCGGGACAGAACGGGAGCGCGCGGGATGTATCTCGTGTTGGCAAAGAATATAAGTGGAGGCCACTTGCATAACCTCAGCTTATGATGGTGTTGGGTCGTTGTTGACATATCGATGCCGGTTTGCTAGAAATATTCATAATCCAAGAAACCCCTGAGGAATGCTAACCTAGAGCTCAGTTAGGCTTGGAAAGCCTCAAGCAACCAAATCAGCAAGTGCCTCAGCAGTTGGTATTACTGATGGTAGCAGACGAAACCAACTGTGTGAGGCCTCCATGTACTACCGATTCAGCTCATACACTCAGCTATTGCAGCATGGGCTGCAGCCAAGCCAACTCAGTACCTAGGACATAGTGCTCTAAAGTTCATACTGTAAGTATGGTCTATTTCAATGCTCTGAAGTTTGATATAGTGCAACACTAATCAAATATTTCAAGTCTTGTCCCACATTTTACACGCGCTCTCCTTGTTCAACCTAGTTAATACTCGCTAAACTACTACCTGGGAATATCCCCACGCAGTGCAGCTGTTTCCATCTCTGTCTCCAACCATTTTAAGCAATATATGTTGATGGACGCCTCGTGTAGTGGTTGCAGCTGTCTGGTAGGCGATTAGCAATAGGCGTTGCGTAAGGGTGTTGGAGAGGACCAGAGTTGCGCATGTCATGGTGGATGTAATGTCCTATGTTTATTTAGGAGCCTGTCACACATAAAACGAACAGTGTTATTGTTGTTGTTGTCGTTAGCGTTGTCAAACAACAAATTGTACCGCAGGTTTCCTCACTAACATGACGTTGTGCGAGTCCATCGTTCAGAGCTAATACTTCTTGCCCTATTGACGGGCATGTGTTGCTTAATGGTCTTGAAATTTAATGTCGAAGAAACACTTGATGTACTTGGTAATATCACTAAAGCCATGTTTCTCTAGTGGTGATCATCAAACATTCAGGGCAATCATTCCACATTCAGTCGTACTAGAATCAAAGTTTACCCCTGACTGTATATATGCACTGGAAACAGGCCAATTTCTAATGGTTCAAGTTTGATAGGTAGTGATAACTAGTCGACGTTTGCTTTGTAGTATTACTAATTGGATCTGCCTACATGTCTGTCGCCCAACATCGCTCCTCAAATACTGTTTTAACCATCCGTTCTGAAGCCGATACGCACCGAAGTTGGAGGCATTTTTCCGCACGTATCCTCTGATTGCGCAATTCTCGGAGTCTACCCTGGGCACTGTATGCTGTAGGTATAAAGAGGATTCCGCCGCTTTCTAGATTGCCCAATCCGGACGAAATGTTTCCGGAAGGGGCCTTCTCAAACCCTCATCATTCATTCAGTGTGAAAAAGCTGATGGTGGCCGCGGTCTATATGGTGACTTGCTCTCGCCACCTTGCTGGCAGGCATCACAATATTGAAGCTTCTCAAATGGTAATGTGTAAAATAGACCAGCCAAGTGGATGACAGATACCAACGGCGCACCGAGAGAGTGCACAAGCAGAATAATGCATATGTGGGACAACCTTATAGTTCACTGTAGCACGGATGATACGGCACGTAATCCAATTATTCCACCTGCGTGCACCAATTACTACGTCCTATGCTTGCTGCCTCCGCTACGGATAAATAACGATGATGACCGGCTGTGTATATCCCTTGTTCCCTTGTACTGCTCTCTAAGGCTTGCGCAGGCCTTTGACTTCCCCCCAAGTCGACACAATTCCTGTATGTCGGCTGCCTTGCAATAGGTACTCGGCCATTCATCCTCATGGGGTGCTGTGAAGCAATCGAAACTTGAGAAGATGACTGAGTGACGGGCCAACCTTGTCGGATGGCATGGGATGTATAACACTCGTCTTCTTCAGTGCGGTCTCATGAGCAACCGCCCCTTTGGGCAATACCTCAGCTCGGTGGTGCACACAGCATGATTTAACGTTCTAGCGTAAGGCGCAATGGAGAGCGCCCGGACGCTGGTACAAGTTATTCAATCTGCCTGACGTTTAGGTTTATGCGCTTGTTCGACATCCAACCCTTCCACTCTGCATACTTGCCGTCCTCGGCCGGCCAGTCAGCTAAGAAGCCGGGGCAAGTGTTCTTGAGCACTTTCGGCACCCCATGCCATGCGTAGCGGCTCTCCTTGGTCATGTATATGGCATCGCCAGATCGGAGGCGAAGCAAAAGGTAAGGCTTTCTGGACGCTTTCTCATCCTCAACCGAGCATTCGATATGGTTGTTAGGCGCAATCATAAACAAGGCATCACAGCCAATGCTCAGACTGACTAAACCTTTGTCTGTCTTCTCGCTGACGTCTCGATGCATCATCATAGTGTCCCCCGGACTGTAGAAATTGACAATGGCTGCCTGTGCTTGCGTTTCAGGAAACAAGGTATGGAGAAAGTTGGCAATGTCAGTTGGGAAGTTGGGGGGTCGTTGCCCTGGATACTCTCGATTCGTCCAGTCGTACTGGCCCCCTAGGGTGACCCAACTCAACTTGCGTTCCATGACCTGTTTTAATGAGAACGGCTTGTGCACTGAAGGGTCCTTTGGTGTGAACCTTGCGGGTGAGTCTGGAGGCAAAGAGAAGAAAGACCGAGAAGCAATATCTTCCCCTTCCAAGTATGGCAGATTGTGATGGAGATGCAGGTTTGTCTGATGAACAGGGTTGCTCAGATCTCTGTGGATCATACGAGATAAGAGCGCCTTCTGCGTGCTGGGCGGTATCAAAGACGGCACAACGAGTAACCCTTGAAAGGCATCAGCACATGATGGCATAATTCAAAACACCTCAAATGACAGACCTGGTAGCAACGAATGGAAATATACAGGAACATCTTCGACCACTCGGTCCTCATCCCAAGCATCGCCTTCAATATGCTTGAAAGCGCTTGTCAATTTCTCTGAAGGAATGAACCCAGCTGAAGAGAATTCGCGAGCTTTTTCAGGCACAGATAAGTCGTCGATATCTGGGTGATTCAAGAACTCGGCATACTCTGTTTTGGAGTAAGCCTTCCAAGTACCCTTCAGCTCGGCCGATGGTTGCTCATGGGCATCCAAAGTGGTGAGATCAATGGTCATTTTGCCGGCTGGGAATTTATTTCCCGTCAATGGGTAGCAATTGAAGCGCGCTGTTAACCCTCACACTCGCTGTTGTCATGGGGATTTTGCCGGGGTCCACAAGTAGTCCAGGACAGAGGTTGCCCAGCTCAAAGCGAAGGCAAACTTGCTTTTACAGTCTGGTGAATGCAGGTGCAGGTTTAAGGGCACCATTACGAACCACCTTGATCGGTGATAAGATAAGTGCAGCCTTGCTAAAAACGCGCCACTACGCGCCTCAGCCACAAGTATCGCGTCGTGTTTATTATTGACATCGCATTTCATTAGAGACAAGCAGCAACCCGAGGGAATAGGGCAGTGACCACTTGGACCAAATCACCTGTCACAACAACACAATTGACACAATAATTCCTGCAGGCCAGCGACTCCAATCAGCAAACTCCAAGTCGAGACCAGCACCTCAACGATCGATGGAGTCGGACTTGTAGGCCCCTTCGCCCTTTCTATCGGTTGCCTTTTTTCGTCAAGTCCTGAATCGCTGCTTCCATCTGCATCGTCTCTTAGTGCCCCTCGTTTTTTCCCTACCAAATCACCGTCGCCCCACCATCCCATTCCGTCCGTCCACGGGTACGGTACCAACCGAGAAACCTCCACGACCTCGAGCGCCTACCTGACTTCATCTTCCTCTACACTCGTTTCACTTTTGTTCTTGACTCCAAATTCTGCAATCATGAACAACTACCAGAAGCTCGACAAGATCGGTGAAGGTAAGGTACATTTCGTGTCAGCCCCATCGCGACGCACCCTATCCCTACCGCTTTTGATGTTTTCCCACCCCGTGGCTGACCAATTGATCTTCTATAGGCACGTACGGTGTCGTGTACAAAGCGCGAGACTTGGCCAACGGGGGCCGCATAGTGGCGCTGAAGAAGATTCGCCTCGAGGTCGAGGATGAGGGCGTCCCGAGTACCGCCATTCGCGAGATCTCTCTGCTGAAGGAGATGAACGATCCCAATATCGTCCGCTTGCTCAACATTGTCCACGCCGACGGCCACAATCTCTACCTGGTCTTCGAGTTCCTCGACCTTGATCTCAAGAAGTACATGGAAGCACTCCCGGTCAGCGACGGCGGACGAGGCAAGGCACTGCCGGAAGGATCAAGCGTTCAATTGGGTCGCTTGGGTCTCGGAGACGCAATGGTCAAGAAGTTCATGAGCCAGCTCTGCGACGGAGTCCGATTCTGCCACAGTCACCGCGTTTTGCACCGCGATTTGAAGCCCCAGAACTTGCTGATTGACCGCGAGGGAAACCTCAAGCTGGCCGATTTCGGTCTTGCTCGCGCCTTTGGCGTACCTCTCCGAACCTACACTCACGAGGTTGTCACCTTGTGGTACCGTGCACCTGAGATTTTGTTGGGTGGCCGCCAATACTCGACTGGTGTGGACATGTGGTCTGTAGGATGCATCTTCGCTGAGATGTGCACACGGAAGCCGCTATTCCCCGGAGACTCGGAAATCGACCAGATCTTCAAGACTTTCCGTCTCCTCGGAACACCCACGGAGGAAGTCTGGCCCGGCGTCACCTCATATCCAGACTTCAAATCGTCGTTCCCGAAGTGGCAGCGCGACTACAGCAACGTTCTCTGCACCAACCTCGACGAGCATGGCCTTGACCTTTTGGAGATGATGCTGGTTTATGACCCTGCAGGACGCATCTCGGCCAAGCAAGCGTGCAACCACCCTTACTTTGAGGACTTCACGCGGCAGCCGTACGACTCGAACGGCTACCACTGAACACGAGTCGCAACCACCCCATCCGAAAAGGCGAAACATGCTTATACTTGCATTGAGCATTCTTCTGGCTTTCAGGATACAATAGGAGCATTGAGCTTTGGCCACTGAACGGAAATATTATGCATCGCTATCATATACGCTTTGCGCGCCGCTCAATCCCCAAAATCTTTAGGCCCCCGTGCCGAACTACAACGAAGCCCCCACGTACTATTTGTGTAATGTCTCTGGTTTTAGAAGGCGTTGGAAGGGGATCATGGCATATTGAGAGGCATCAACCAGGAGGCTTACCGGACCCAATTGCATGGAGATCGGAGGAGAAAAGAACCTGTCCATGCGGCTGAATGGTCGATAAGTAGCTCGCATCCTGGGCTGGCTGTAGCCTCATCACCTGACTTTGTCACTGTCACACCTGGCTGCTTATGGACAAGCTGGGCCTACATTTCCTTTGTTGTGCACAGATGCAGATGTAGAGACGCTGAGCTTTATGCAGATTTGTGATGACGAAGAGGTTAAGTAATGAAGCTCTGTGTTTTACTCCTGCAACTTTCGACATGCTGAAATTTTCTTCTTGACGTTACTGTAAGGATAACAATGAAGCTGGTCGCTAATATAGCACTGTAAGCAACGTGAGGACTCTTTCCCACCCAGATCCCGATCGTTTCAGCAATGTAAGACCACGCAAGCCTTCGTAGAAGAGTACCAAATACAATACGGCAAATCTATGGCGACTTTTTGGTAATACCTTGGCTGAGGTGCACTTCCATTTACAGCCAAAAGACAGCTTCGCTCCTGCCGTAATTCCGGTCAAGCTTAGGGAAATGGCATAAGGCTCCTAATTATCCCCAGTCCATGATGGAGCAATCGCAATGAGCCCTCAAAGCGCGTTGAAGACCAGCCGACGCAAATGTCTCGTAGCGTGTATTCGCGAGTTTTGATCTCCTTCTCATGGCAAGCTAGTCGTCGAGAGCGATCGGGCCCGGTACAGCAAACTTGATTGAACCAGAGACCCTGGCTACATGTGCCAAGCTAGGTGCGTATGCAACCAAAACTTGCCCCTTTGGCCAAAAGAGTTGTCGACAAGGTCTAACGCGGCACGTCTGAACCCATAGTTCTTTGGACGAGTTCACGATGACATGTAGCATGGCTTACTTGGATGGAGCACATCCGAAATCTGAAGGGGTTTGTTACGGGACTGAGCTAACCGGCAGGCATCCACAATGTGGTAGATTGCATCGTGATCGGTTGTCAAGTTTGTCGTCTGAAAGGGGGCTTGAATTGCTGTGGTGTTTTCATGGTCAACATATGATAAATAGACAGCCGGGATATTGGTAAGATTGCTCAGAATTGCCATCTTGATTATCTACCCCCTGGGACGGCACGCAACTCGAAATACCAGCCCTTCAATCCAGCAGACGAAGCAAATGGCCGTGTCCTATGAGATCTCGGGGTTGACAGCGACTTCTAGTTCTCGTCTCCGTGGTCTCACCAGCATGGCATACGTGAACGTTTCGTCGTCTTTGATTCCTCTAGTCTCCTCCCCCACTCACACATTAACCTATAGCATGATTGGTAAGACCCAGTAACCTCCTTATCGATTTAGCAGACTGCCCGTTCTCATAGATGCTTGTTTCCCAAACGCCAGCCAGATGTGACCAGATGTCCAAACCCGTCATGAGATTGTGCAGATTCAGGCCAATACCCCAGACACCAAATATGCGAGAAATGGGAGACGTATACAAAACATGAAAAGAGATCCGTCAGTCGTTAGAGCCACATTCGCGATCGCGATCCCGACCCTTGTCTGTGGTGCTTGCGGACGATAGACATGCGAATCCCTTGTAGAAGCAGATGCGCTGAGGGTATCTATGCTCGCTCGCTCGCTCGCTCGCTCCGAAATACCAAGTTTTCCAATCCATCCACCTCGAAGCCACCCGTCGTGATGAACCATCAGCCGAGATCACAACGAGCCAATATTTTGAGCCTGCGCATTCTGCGGGGCCTGCACTTCCGTCGCCGGCGCCACCTGTTCAGCCGGGTCCTTCTCCAACGGTACCTCAAACGTCTTCAGCGTCTCCAGCTCTGCATCACTCATTCTCATAATCTCATTCTTTCTCGCCACGGCCGGCCACTTCCTGTTATTGTTCTTGGCCGCCTTCTCCGCCTCGGCCAGCCAAGCCCTCCACTGGGGGCTCGACGGCGCGGCGCCGTTCTTTTCCACCCACGACGTACGCTGCGTCTCACGAATGGCGAACCACAAGGTGCGGGTGAAGCTCTTAATGTTCTCGAGCGGATCTTCGGCGGCATTGCTCTCTGTGTCCTTAGCATCATCTGGTGTGACCTCTTTCCACTCGTACCGGCTCAGGTCCCAAAACAAACGTTTGGGCAGTAGGCCCATGGCCCAATACAGGCCGTTGAGAACCACATATGACGCGCCGACAAAGAGCTGGCTATTCCAGGTGCAGTTGCCAAGTAGGATGACGCTGACCATGAGCAGGAACGTACCCAAGCCCATGAGAGCGCGGTACATGCGTGCGCCGATGCGGTACTCGCACTCCTCGGTACCGGCGTAGAGTTCGCGGGCAACCTCCTCTGTGCATATGACGAGGAGGAAGGCCCCCTCCCGGGTGCGAATGATCACATCGCCTTTAGGCACTTGGTTGGTGTTCCTCCGGTGCATGAGAATGGGGCACCACCATGAAGCGGCACCCACCACGGAACTCGCAAGGGCAACGAGTGACACGGCGAGAATAGCCGTTCCGTCCTGCCAGTAACCGGCGGCGCCAATGATGCCAAATGTCAGCAGAACAGAAAACACCGAGAGAATATGGACCGGTGACCACAAGTTGGCGGGAACGGCAGGCCGTTTCTGATCAGTTATGACGGTAGGGTTCGCAATGATGTTTGTCATGCGCTCTTTCATGGTGGCTCGTCTGTGAATTCCCGGCTGAGGCTCCGCAGCCTCGACATCGGAATGAAACCTGACGCTCGTGGTCCGTCCCTCGCCATCGTGAGGCGGCGGGGCAGGGATCTTGGACCCGTTACGCTCATAATTGGCCTTCGCCTTGCTGCCCTTGACCATGTTGCTTAATCTGGTGATCCAACCATCATCCGCGTCGTGGGCTCCATCCATCTCGATCTTGTGCTTGTGGGTTATATGCAGGACCTTGAACGCGAAGGGCGTGAACTCATCGAGGGGATGGATAATATTGGCGAAGAAGCCGACTGTGTCAAGGTGGACACCACTGTGCACGCCCGACATCTTGGCCGTGGTCTCGGGCATGCGAAGGGGACGGGTGCCCTTCAGAAGGGCTTGCGGCGCGGGAATAATACGCGGCAAGAGGCACATCATGCTCGCAGTGATGGCCTGCGAGTGTTCGGCAATCGACGACTCGCCGATGACGGCGAGCAGCGTAACGACATCGAGACGCCAGCCCGACGGGCCCTCCTTGCCTGGTCCATCGGACGAGAACCAAGCAAGGGGACCGGTTCTGGTCCCGTCGTCGGCCATTGAGGATCGGGGGGACCCAGCGTTCCGGTAAGTTGGACAAAGAGCGGAATACGGGTGGAATTGGGTTTGGTCCTCGAACCGGGTGATCCCAGGTAACTAAGAACTTCGGTCTAATGAAGTCGGTCGTAGTAAGAAGGTGCAGGCAAGCAAAAGCTTAAAGCTAGCAATTGAACGCACAGATGGGGGAGGTATCGTAGGAAAGTGGTGCGTGAGACTGAGCAACGAGCTAGAAAAAAGGGAAGACGAGGCTTTCGGCGGGAGATTTCAGAAGGAAAGTGAGGTCACAATGCATCCTGCCCAACGAACAAGGGCTCAACTCGAGGCGTACAGCCTGTCTTGCCCATTGCATTGTATTTTGTTCCCATGGAATCCGAGCTCGAAAGTCAGCGCCCAACATTCTTTAGCACCAGAGTGGGACGTTTTAATATGCCGAGCGGCCACCCACCGAAGGAGCCAAATGGAAAAAAGAAGACAGCCAAAGTGGAAACAAGCCACAAAGCGCGAGCGGGCCAAGAATGGCAAGGCTCCATTGCGGAAACTATTTGAACCAAGCAATTTTGCACAGTTGCCGCGAGGCTTTCTTTCTGCGGTTAGCTTCTCTACATCTCGTCTTCTCACCTGTTGTACCCAAGGCTGAGTTCGACTTTGAAACACTTGCTGCAATCGAACCGCTCAGTAAGTAAGTGCAAGGTATGAGTACCCCCGCCCAACCCACCTCCCCATCCCGCAAGGCTGAACTTGTGGGGCGTGTCTGTGCCGTTCTGACACCCTTTGTTGTCACCTGGGAATCTACTGCCCTGCAACTGTGCCGACAAATGATGATGGCCAAAATCAAAGAAAAATATCACCCGTCTACTTAGTTATTGATTCGCCTTCACAGTAGAAGAGAACAGAAGTGTTGCATCTGAGGATGGTTAGAAAACCTGGCCCCTTCATCTGCCAAGCAAGCACTCTAAACCGTACTCATAAGGCCCCAGGAACGTGGGAGGCTCTCACATCTACTCTTCCCAACCATACGAAATCCATGAGTACACTGAATCTCCGTTCTCAACGCCCACAAGCAGATAATCTCATCCTGCCCTCGCAATTAACCTGTCAAAGAAGTGACGATTTCGGCTTCCCTGCTACTTTGCTGCACGTTGACGCTGTTTCTCCTCGTAACGCTGAAGCTCAAGTTGAAGCCGCTCCCCTAACATTCTCCCCTCGGCCTTTTGTTTTTTCGTTATTTCCCCTCGCCTCTTCTCCGCTCGTTTCTGCGCAAACTCCCGCAGGCTCTCCCGCAGTTTCTCGTCTTTGGCAGCTTTGTCGATGCGAGCGGATTCTTCGTGGACCCAGGCAAATTCTTTATTGATCCAAGCCACGAACCTCGCCCATTCCGACTCCCACATCGTCCTTAGCCTCTTTCCTTCCCGTTCATCTTGCATGACCGAGTGATCTATGCTCCATTCGATCAGTTGTCGCCAGCCAAAAATGGTCATGTCTTTGCGTCCCACTATGGCCTGATAGAAATCATGGGATAGTGTGGACCTGCAATCCTCGGGTCAGTAAACGGGAAAGCTTGTGAAAGTAGTCATCGTACCTGAATAATGTTCCGTTGTCGCTGTTGAGACAACAGTGGACATTGTTGGCAAGCAACGGATACATGCTGTGTGCCCCAATTCGTTGCGTGAGTCCAAGGACCTCATTAGATATGGGGCATAGTTCAAGACATATTCCCTGAGCCTTGTATGCCTCAATGAGTCCAGGGTGGCTGATCAAAGCGTACCCGTGGCCGATACGCTTTGCGCCCAGTGTTAGCGCTTCCACCAAATTTTTATCTGCATCATCGAGCGTCTCGCCGCAATGGAAGAGGAAGGGGATGTCGAGTTTTTCTGCTTTGCATTGAACCTGGAATTCTTGGAACACTCGGCGGAAATCCTTCAGGGGCTTTCCTTTAGATTCCTCCCCCACTAAGTCGAAGCCAGCAATATATTCCCGATATTGCTTCTTGAATTTGAGACACTCTGCCAAGGCAGTCTCGATTTGTTCTTCCTTGAAAGAACGGGGCGTGCAGTATATAAGTTTTAAGCCGAGGAACCTCTTCTGATTTTCGGCCTCGCTCTGGAATTCCTTGAATTTATCGATGATAATGTCTATGGTGCCCTCGTTATCAATTTTGGTGGCACCGTCATCTTCGAATATCTGGTTGGTCTCCATGAAGTTGGGCCGAATCTCAGCGTATTGGATATGATCGTTTACAAAGCTTTCTAAGCAGAGTCTCGTGTATGCACTGAATGCTTTCCGATAGTTGAACAAGCCCTTCATCATCCTCGTACGCCCATTGAACTTCTCCCAGGCCCTGGTCATCGTTAGCCAACAAGCGTCACAAGCATACCAAATACAGCACGCACCCTAATTGTGTCTGATATGGGCCATGTGCCTCTTCAACGTTAAACACAAGTTTGTCCTTGAGCCATGATTTATACGAATTGTTCCCTGACTTGCCGCCGTAACTGTTCCATGCGATTCGAAACTCCCCATAATTCATCCATTTCATCCATTTTTCATGTTTTTCCTTACCTTCTGTTACTGTCCAGTTGCTGGGCTCAAATAAACTGCCTTGGTCCTCCTCCTCGAGCAGATTCTGGAAACCTTTAGCGTTTTCCCTTCGCTGCTGCCAATGCTCCTCTCCACCCACAAGTTGCGTGGGTCGTTTCTCAGGGAATTTGATCATGAATTGAATCTCGCAAAGCCAGAAGTCCTCTTGAGTTTTCAGGGGCCTGTTGCTGCGGATGAACATGTTTTCCATGGACTCGGCGATAGTGAGGAGAACATCAGGAACGAGACAAGCGTTGAAATGTATGTGCAGATGTGCGCCTTTGGGCATTTTTTGGGCAACTTCGAAGAGATGCGTTTGTTCGATGACATCCACAGTGGAAAGGAAACCGTCTCCTGGTACCAGGCTGTGCTCCTGACCTCCATAGCCTTTTTTGCGGGAAGCGGTGTCGTAGAAATAGCAGCCATCGATGGTCTTCAGCTTTTGAAGAATCTCATTCGCCTCTTGCTCCCCTGGCCGCGGATTGCAAGCTAACTTGGAGTCAAAGGCATCGTCCTTTTCTTGCTGCATGAGCCGTTGGCGCTCGTTATCTTTGCTCGTCATGTTGGAGCTCTTGGCCGCCGTCTTGTTGTGAGGCAGACAGCGGTGGAACAGCTGGTGAAGGAGTTTATATAAGGGACTCTCAGATCGCTTCTCATGCTGATCCGTACAATCCTCTTTATCTACGATGCTGGAGGTTACCCCCATGGCGCATCCGGAAAGGCACGCGGCACCCAGCACAAAGGTCTGAGTGGATCCGCGGTTGGTTTGGGAAGCTATTGATGAGAACCCTGCACGCGGCCTCGTTATGTGTATTTCTGTTTGAGAGCACTTGGTCGCCAGGTCACAAAGCCCCAACGCAGGGCTTTGGCATGAGACTTTGAGTGAAGCTGCCCAGACTGAGTGAGATTTGGATGTGTCGCATGGCAGAAACGTCAGGCTGAGTCCTTCGTAGCGCCGCCCTTTAGAGGCTCATGACCCCACTGAAATCAAGCGTCAACTACCTTATTGTACCTTTACCCCACTTCAGTGCTGTCGAGGCTGATTCCCAGCCACTCCACCTGCACGCAGACCGAAGAGCTGCATTCGGCAGCTCGCCTTCCTCCGCTCCGAAACTGGGTTGTTGATTGGATGGGGGGGGGAGTTCAATGGGGATGTTTTTCAACTTCCATTTCTTACCATAGAAAGCATCTGCAAATGTCTGAAGTTCTCAGGTACCTGGCTGCTGGAAAGATGATTCAAGTTTTGCATGTCGAACCAACACTCAAATCTGTTTTCAGTGGGAATATCTGCAATTAGCATCGATTTCTAGCACATTTCTGGCACATTTCTAACACATTCGTCCTATTACCAAGCACTGCAGCATAGATGCAACGGAGTTCTCCAAGGATGAGTTACTCTGACCGATCTCATCTACGTTCATCAAAATGAACCAATGGAAGCTGAATGGTGCTCTGACTAGGCAGTTGAAAAGTCGAACTGCTCATTCGCTTTGTCCGCTGCACCAATGGTCTACGTCTAAAAGTACGCTGCCAAACATCCAACCACCGATTGCCCTACATGTTTCAGGCTTTATCAATCTAGCTCTCGATCGAATAATATTTGAAATGCCAGGTTACTACGTTTTACAGTTGGCCAACACCGCCGCAGGACTCGACTAGCTGGGATCCAGCCAAAAGAGCTCATTCGCTTTACGGTACGACTGCTGAAGCTTCGTGCGTCTTCGGCATGTTATCGCCAGCTGGAACACCAACGAAGGCGGCCAGACTTTCAAGTTCGAATACTACCAACAGTTCTGCACATGTTGTATCATATAACTCAATGATGACACCAGTTGGGTTGCCAGTTGGACAGACCATGATGTCCAAATGCGGCGCATACCAGACACGTCGGTTTCAGTTGATTCTTTCAATGTTGGATATGTACTTATTTGGACATGGACAGTTGAGTACAGTCCCCTGGTACACATCTCGTGTGAGGTGAACGTCGAGAATTCAACTGGAGTTGCAGCGCCGTAGCTGTAACAAGCGGCTGGTATGGCTTGTGCTTATCTCGAAATTCCCCTTGCGCTTGTCAGCTTCCAACATTCCTTCTCGCATCATCGCCCATGATCCCTCGTAGTTCTGGCAAGGCACTCCAGATGTTGAAGACAGTCTCCACTGCCAATCTGGCTCGGGTCCTGTTGGCTAAACTTTGTGTAAACCCGCGAACGTCCTTATATCTATGGAGACGGGCATAACACCAGGTGGCCGGCCACACAATTGATATCACGCAAGAAAGATTAAATATAAAAGCTTGGGCCAACGAGCTTCATCTCACAGCGAGTCGTCTCCATAGTGGCCATGTGGCATTCGTATTTATTCTGCTTGCCAGCCATGGTTGGGATCCCCGGGATAATTCTTGGCCCTCTATAGCACTTTGCCAATAAAATATTTTAAGAGACTAATGAACACCTAGGAACGCTCTTCGTAATGAGGAATGACCACGTATGAACAGTTTCGACCCAACAGCCAAATGTCACGTGTTCTCCAGCGAACACTGTTAACCGAAAAAAATGAAAAAATAAACTAAAAAGTCACTTTGCACAGCCACCTTCAGACCACGTAGATACTAACACTTCATGCACAACAGTTTCTGTTCCCACGAGTGTTAGCGGGAGAAGATGCAAGGCTATGTGAAATCAACTTAAAAAAGAGCACAGCTCCAAGTGTAGCATTGTGTCCGCACTATCCAACATGAATCCAGACCCTTTTTGGTCCTTCGTACAAGGCAGCAGTACCAAAACTATAGACCAAAGATCAGTATCCGTGATTCCAGTATTCCATCCCGCGCAGCTTCCTCGCTTGGTCTCGGATGGTCGAAACCTAAAGTGATTACTTCTTGCCGGCTAAAGCGACTTAGTCCAGCTAATCTCACCTGTATTTTGATTCCCGTATTGCTGCGGCAGCCGAGATAGAGACACGAACGATGATCACGACATGTCCTGCCACTCTACCCTCCCTCATCACCGAACGCTTCGATACTAGTATTGATCCATCAGGCAATTTGGCGAAAAGAGTAATAAATAGAACTAGGCGCCCCCGTCTTCGTCAATCGGTCTTACGCCAAGTTTTACTCAACTGCTCTCAAACCCGCGTAACACCCCCATACTCGTCGACGGCCCTTAGCCCCCTTTGCAACTCACCGCCAATTTCTGAAAGATGCCGTACAACGTAAAGTATTACTTGCTGTGCTTCTCAGCGCGTGACCGATCTCTGCTCACAGGGTCTAGGCAACCTTCCATAGCAAGTAGCCATGAATGAGCAAGATCTGATCCATGTGTAAAACAGGAATGCCAAATTTGACGCATAAAATTGGTATCATCCTGAAGAAAGCAAGTATCCAAGTAACTGATGCTCGGAGATGATATTGGTTTGTTTGAGATCCAACGTACTTCGCATTGTCGCCATAGTATACAGAAAAGGTTGACGAGAACAAAAGGGCGCTGCCAACACATACATCACTGCTCCAACACACGAATTGCACTTGAAAGGCAAAGTTGAGGTCTGGTCCTCTGGAAGTGTATCTATGTATCAATCAGCTGACGTATTGGCTGTGGGCTACGCCGAACTGCTATGTCGAGGAATCTATGAAAAGAAATGCTTGTCCTGACCTCGAGAGGTCTATCACCAAGAAGAAAGATGCAACCAGTTGGTCACACCACCATTGACTCCTACTTGGGCGGCTCTAAGCTCATCTTCTACCCCCATGCTTTTGGTTTGGTATCAAGAAATACTCGTGTCCCTGAACGCCTCTCAGTATAGGTCGATAAAGCAGTGCGATGTTTACTCAGAAACAACGCGCAGCGACGCCAAGTTACTCTTCACAAAGCCAGTGAACTGTATTTTTTTTCGTACGCATCTTCCCGGTGCCTCCTTGGTCTCCGGGGAATGCCGTATGCGAATTCAAGTCTCCTCGGGTGGCTTAGCCAAAGAGGCATTCTACTTTTACTTCTAGTCCTCGAACTTGACGCTTCGGCTCATGTGGACATCAAGAGGACCTCCCTTGTAGGCTCCGCGCTTCTTCTTGTTCTTCTCCTTGGTGAAGCCTTTTCCTTTTGTGACAATAAGATCCTCGTGAGCCCTCTGTCCGTACCCGTGCTCGATGAAGGCGTTGGAAGACAGCCTCGGGTCGACGTTCACATCTGCCTTGATGCGCGAGAAAGGAACATTCTGTGGTCTGCCATTCTTGCCCCCGCGGTTGTTCTTCTTCTGGTCCGAAGTCGGGTCGGGCGGAAGGGGCGGGGCAACGAACTTGGCGACTGGCTGGAATTCAGGCGAAGTCTTCTCGAGGGTGGCCGAGGTGTCAGAACCTGTGCCGTTCAACCCCTTGATCTTCTTAACCTTGGACTTCTTAGGTTTCCCGTCTTCTGACTCGGAATCAGATTCACTGCTCGAAGAGTCGGAGCTTGAGTCAGAATCAGGCAAGGCCACTTTAGCAGCTTCCTCTGCCTCAGAATCCGAGTCAGAGTCGGAATTGGACGAAGAGGACGATGAAGAATCGGAATCGGAATCGGAACTCGAGGTAGCAACGGCGACCTTCGGGGCCTTGGTTTTCTTGGTGGCGCCTTCGCCTTCAGAACAAGATGAGTCGGAATCGGAAGAAGAATCGCTTTCGCTGGCAGCCGCGGCTACAGTCTTAGCCTTCTTAGTTTTGGGCTTCTCGTCTTCAGAGCTTGAATCGGAGCTGGAGTCTGACATATCTTCGTCGGAAGAGGAAGAGGAAGAGGAGTTGTCACTGGATTCTGCCTTTCGCTTCAATGGATTTATGGCTGCGGGCGCAGAGGCCTTAGGGGCGAGTGTTGTCTCCTCCTCCTCCTCCTCCTCCTCCTCGTCGCTATCGCTGTCGCTGTCGCTGTCGCTGTCGCTGTCGCTGTCGCTGTCGCTGTCGCTCGAGCTGGATGAGGACTCGGAGCTGCTATCATCGGCAGCAGGTGCATCTGCCATATCGACGTCTTCGGAATCGCCGTCGCTGTCGGAGCTCGAGTCGCTTGAATCGCTCGAGGAGTCGCTCTCACTGCTGCTGCTGACTGTGGTGACTTGCACCTTCTCCTTGACGACGGGAGTGCTATCCTTGGTGGAGAATGTTTCCCAAGTCTGGAACACGCTGACAAGAGAGTGGTGCGCCTTCTTCTGCTTCTTCTTTCCAGCGGCGTCGTCATTGCCCTTCCAGCCCTTCTTGGCCCGGTGCTTCTGAAATTCGCGATGGGCGTTGTCGAAACCCTGGTCAGACAGGAAAGTCTCGACGAGGTCCATCAATTGGGCTGGAGGGACATCGTCGGTGGAGGTCGTGGCGATGGTAGCCTTCGCTACGGGTACGGTCGTCGGTTTAGAACTCTTCTTGTCCTTCTTCGCCATGGTTGATGTGCCCGCTGTGGGTTGTTTGGTGGAGGAGCTGGTAGAGTTGTTGCTAAAAAGCCAAGCTGGAGCTGCTTGGGTAGAAGTAGAACTGGAAGCTGACTTTGTCGAAGCTCTCGGCATGAAAGATAGCTTGTCAAGGGTATTCTTGGGCCATGCAAATAATGATACCTAAAATCGGAATACTGTCGTCTGAAGATCAGGCGATGGGCGTTCTGTTTCTATGAGCAAGAAAAACTTTAAATGTGGACCTCTAGACTGATAGCAATTCTGCCAATGCGCTTGCTCTCACCACTTGCCAGATATGGGAAGATACGCAGACACTTCACTAGGCAAACACGACAAGCAAAGAGAGATTAGTGAAATCTACCTCGGAACGCGACCGCAGACAGGTAGGTGCCCTCCAAATGACACTTAAATCATCACTTGACCTGACAACTAGAGAAACGGTATTCCCAGAGCCTATCGATATTTCTTCTCCTAAATGATTGAATCCCTTTGAAGGGAGTAAGAGCATGTCGCTCGGAAATACAACTCAAGGCTTTTACCATGTCATGCCACAGTTGGCCCGCTACATTGTCGAACAAGTCAAATCGTCTGGCATGTTGGAACGACCCAACCGGACAACACTAACGATACGGAACGAGTACCTTACCCATGATTGACTCCCCTCGACAACGTTCCACTTGGTAGTCGAAGCCCGATTCCAATTTGACATGACTAAATATGTACCTATTTGGCATTATGCTGGCAAGTTCTCAAGGCATCGGCGAATCAATATCAAATTCGACCATCACCTTCCCATATATGACTCCTTGCTTCACTCAACTACCCTTGAAATATCCCCTGATTTTGGCAACAGTCTGGAAGGTCACACAAACTCGTTGAAGCCATCATTATATAGATGCATGGACTCGGATTTGCTTGTCATGTCAGACATGCAAATGGTTTCCCCGTGGCGCTTGCGTGCGGCTTAGGAGCCTCGACATCTATACCTTTTGGGAGGGACACGGAAACCAAAACATGAAGCGCCTTGCAAGGCGCAATTGTCATGTGTTCTTCTCCAATCAGCAGCCAACGTCCCTGTCGCGATGTCTGGGCAAGTGCTGCTGTCCTATTAGGCAACGAGATTTGACCCCTGCCTCGGGTATAATCTGTCCTCAAGCTACCTAATGGCTTATGTTAAATCATACAAGCGTATTTGTTCCATCTATTTGCTCATACCGTATTGTTGTCCGACTCCTTCCAACAAGCCTCGATGAATATATATGAGGGAACCCAAACATTCAATATCCAGTTCATAATCACCCATGCCATAGCACTTTTCAATCACGATGAGCCAATCGACTGTTTCGATACAATCATCTCTTAAAGATGGCCCATCTCGTCTTCTCATCACTCCAACAAATGAATCCGCGAACCTGGAGCGATTACTCAATTCCAGCATGGTCTGTCGCCCCTTGAGCCCGGCTGCCAGAGCCTACCGAAATGAGGGCGACGAACGAACAGTGACATATCGAAGTCGAATTCATCAAGATATCGAGGCTTCCCAACATGGCAAGCTGCGTGTTTCTGTTTCTGCTTGAGGTCATCAATTGACATGATCTCACGCTTCGTCCTATAGCCAAAAGGCGTGTGAACCGCCACTTTGGTCACACGGGCCAGAAATGGCAGTTGATGAGCTCACGGCGGTACAGTAGTCGAAGGATGCTTCGGTGTCAGGTACGAGTACTAATATCTACGCCGTGCACAGTCATCCTGGTGGCCGCCTCCGTCCAGAACCAGGGGCTCAATGGGGTCGAGTGCATGAAGTTGAAGTAGCCCTGTTGTGCTACCGTAGTTGCAGTCCTGTATTTTATCAACGAGACACGCTCAAGCGTTTGTATATGTAATGTTTAGGAAGATCATCCCAATATTTCAGTGTCTGTTCTCCTTATGCTTCTCGCGTTCCAGTAAATCTTGGTCTCAGTATTAAAACTCCCAATTGAGACGACTAGCTCTTCCCTCACAGTCTTCTTTTACGAGTCGTGAATGTTTACAATAATCTCCTCCATATCACTCGCCGCGGATGTCATCCAACCAAATTCTTTAGCGCTAACTCCTCGTCGCCCTGGTCCTCAACCTTACCCTTCAACATGGAATTAGCAGCAGTATCATCCCTAAACTATTGATGAGGCCTAATATAAGCCCATATACGCACACAGTTGCAGTCAATCAATACAGCTTTCTTGCCTGTATTGCCCACATTTATATACCTACAGCGTTGAATGTAGTAATATATAAAGAACTACTATACCTGCTAGTTTGATCCAACTATGCTAACCCCCTTTAGCGGTAAAATACTACTTAACTACGGTTGGCGTGTATCCGTTATGGTGTTCGGACTCTCTTATAAGGCCTATTTTAGTCTGAACTACAGGATTTTAACGTATAAAGCTCTCATCCACTCCTGGGTGACTCGTATAAGTCACGGAGAGATTTTAGTAGCTTACTGATCCATTGTGGATTTCTAGGAAAGGTATAACTTCTACAGGCTACTCATATATATAGATTCTGGTATTTGGAGTTTATTCTGGAATTCAGTATATCGGCCCTTGATAAGCAATATTATCAGGTGCTCTGGAGATTCAGCACGTTATCTTTTTCTTCACATGAGTGGTCTTAACAGCCAGGGTCTCAACATCATAATTATGAATGAAACGTCCGTACTAATGCTTTTGTGGAAGTGGGAGATAGTACGAGGGTGAGTTCATCTGAGAGTAGCCGGATGCTGCGACCTCGTTTTCAGGACCCTGAACCCCAGCGCATGAAATTGAAGTTTACTGGTGTCATCTCATCAAAAATAGCAATTCCTTTTGGGAAGTATTTTAGAAAGTCTTCAGCCCGTTACTAATCATCCTCGTCCAAGTCAATGCAGTTACTAAACGTCTCGGTGCTGTGCGCTGCTTCTATGACGCTTTGCAGCTTATTCGGAGAAGTCGTCCAATCCATTCAATCTATATTAGAGGGACTCCACAGGAACACTACACATGCATTTATATCATAGCCGCACCCTGGTCGACGAGTTTAAGTAAGGACTCGGTGTTTGTGTGCCGGTGGAAAGACGGCCCCAGCCAATACTGGCAGGTTTACTTTATGAGCATGTCATATGTCCAGCTTGCCTATCAAAATGATAATTTTGAAGCTACGAAGATGTTAATACGGAGCCAGGCCTTTGTGTTATGTCGCTAACATAAGCCTTATCTTACACACGTCGGTCGTTTGCAGCAAACAGTGACCAGAAATGAGATGAATTAAGGTATTTTCAAGTGACTTAAGTAGGCCGAGAATTAATGAAGCCAGTGTTTTGAGTAAGCGACGTTGAAGAGGAGGAATCACTAGAAGCATCATAAAGAAGCGACGCCGAGTGAAAGGCCGCCTGATGGAATGATGAAATAAAGCATTCATCAATGAACAACAATTAGAATCATGGTCTGAGGCAATTAATCACCAGGAAATTATGCATGTCAAGGAAGTGACACTTAGCAAAGCCCAACGGACGGCAGTCACGGCACAGATGCCTGCCGCCTACATTTTCCCACAACCGAAAAAAAAACTCAGCGCCGCACTTGCAAACAACTCCACAACCAGATCTGCACAACATGAAGCACCCAAACCAATAAAATGAAGTGAGTTCCTTCTGAACTCATCTGTTGATCTCGTCTCTGTACATTGTGCGCTCGGCCAGAAACACTGAACAATGCTTAAACTGCAGTCTCCGACTTCAACCACCTTTAATTGTCGTCACCAAGTGCAACTTGTCGAAATACGCAAAACAAATCCATTTGGCGGACTCAACAGTTATCAACAGTTATCCTGTATTGTCTCGTCTCGGTATCGCACGCACCCGGCCAGAAACACTGAGCACCGCTTAAACCGCAATCTCCAACTTTCACAATCTTCTCCCAGCACAAACGGTCAAAATTACGCAAATGGAACCACTTGACGGACTCAACAGTCGTTACCATCGGTTATCCCGTCCTTTTTGCGGCTGTAAAGCTCTCATGCCCAGCTAGATCCTTCAACCCGGCGAGGTTTCAGTGTCTCGCCTTCAACCACCCTAAACGGGCCCGACCGAGTGGTGTCTTAACTTCCACTTACCGCGTCGGCTCTTTAATCGTTATCATGGGCGAGTTAAGTTTTTCTAGCCTCACATCTCCTGTTACCGGCGAAACTTCACTAGAGTCCAAGGAGCAGACCAGAGCCGCCCTCTCACATGCTGACCACCGGCATACGCAACCGCGACCATGATGGTGTCAACTAGTGGCGATCGCGACTTTTCATAAACCTGCTATCCCTTGAGTGGCTAGACAAAACCTGTCTCCCATGATTCTCTACCCTATCACCCCAAGCTTGGAGATAGTTCAGACTGTCACATCGATTCATCGTATGTCGCTATCAGCTGTAGCATCATCCATCTCTATCGCCGATCGCATATCTGCAATTATCATGGACGGAAATGAAGGTCTTGCACTTCACAGAGCTAGAGTATCCTCCATTAGCTGTGGTGATGGGATTATAGGCCAGGGTCGAGCTCAATCATCCCTGCCTTATCATTGACAGAGAACGAGCCCTCCTTTTACCTTTCTATCGTTCCTGAGGTATTCGCCAATAGAACACTGCTCTTCTACTCACCTGTCTGCTATTCCTACCCAGTCGCCGACAGGTTATCCTTTCGCCTCGCTTATGTACGTCTGTTTCCGTCCCTCGGCACAAATGGATATTTGACAGCCAACGGATTCTTGACGAAGGTTCTGTCATTGCTGCCTTGCTCACAAATGGAGGACGGCGTCTCATGTCCGGCCTGCTGCATCGACTGTTTCCAGCAGCTACTCGGCCTGAGTGGCTTCGCGTGTACATTACTCGCCGTTTTGCCATCACGTTGGCAACTTCGGGGTAAGGACGGTCAATCGTCGATATGCCAGTGGCTTAGGTGACCTGAAGGTACCAAGGATGGAGCTCAAATCCATCGCCCCAAGGACTTCTCTGACGAGCTTTGTCACTGGCTGAAGATACACAGATGAAGCTGGCTGCCAACACATCATGACGACTAGGCAAGCGGGAGCAACAGTCATCGCCATAGATCCTAAGAAGCGGTGCCATCCTTTTGTACGCGCCCGGGAAAAGGCGAGAATATCCATGGACACATGGTCTGTCAGCTGTTAGCCTTTATGTGACATTATTGGCTTCATATTGTTTTGCGAAAGCCAATATATTCACCAGAAGGGGAGCACGTTGTGGTCAAGAGGGATGCCTTCATGGCTGCATCTGATGGGTACCAAACCAGTCATTTTCAAGGGAGCCTCGCGAGGGTTTAAGAGAAGCCGAACTATATTGACCTATTCAGCTGCTCTTGGGTATCGGTCAAATCAATACGAGCAGGAGAATCCGCAATTTCGGGGCTCTTCTATTTGAAGACGCCACCGGGGTATACCGTGGAAAACAGAAACGGCCCATAACCAGCAGCCACCAACTAGCCCATCATCCGTCCTATCTCCACCAAATTGAATCCATCCCGGAATCTGCGGCAGCGGCAACGTCAATGTCCAGTTGTTTAAGAAGTAGCGGCGGGCTTCGCCTCCTCGGTCTTAGGGGCCTCGGTGGCAGCTGCGGCAGGGGCTGCGGCGGGAGCCTCGGTGGTCACAGCAGCTAGAACGAGTGTCAGCCAGTGAGTCCTATGAGAAATCTCGATCGAGGCTTACGAGCAGCTGCCTCAGCCGGCTTAGCTTCCTCCGTCTTGACCTCAGCGGGAGCTCCGGCTTTGTTGATATATTAGTATCGTTCCCCAGAGTCATTTGACGCGCGTGGGTTGAGAACTCACCAGCAGGAGCGGCAGCGGGAGCGGCAGCGGGCGCGGTGTCAGCCGGCTTGGACTCGTCGGGCTTGGCGCCCTTCTTGTCCTTCTTGTCCTTCTTACTGAAGATGGCCTTGAGCTTGCCCTTGATGTTGTCAAGGGCGCCGAGAGCTAGAAGCCAGCACGTTAGCAAGATGGCCAAATGGAATGCTCGATGACGAGAGCAAGGTCAGTCTCGCTCAAGGGTGCTCTGACGCGACATCCTCCCGTGCAAAAGTGATGCACAGGATATCGTTTGTTGAGAGCACACCCCAAGATGACCGAAGCAGTAGGTGCGTACAGCGAGATCATTCTTTTCGGTCACGTCAATCGCAGCCACCCATCCGCGCGATATGCACGCCGTCGATCCTCATGAGCGTGGACAACCAGAGCAATGACGCGTGTAGCACGAAGGTTGGTGCGCGAGGTGTCACAAGAAAGATCGCGCTTTACACCAAACTGTCTACTGGGTGCATGTCTCATCACACCTGAGGAAAGAAACCACGGCCAGTGTGTGCGACAGCTCCATGCTCCTGATTTACAGGACCAGAGCGCGAAGGGCGCATGCGAAGAAGGGGTAGTAGTGAAAGTGGGAACCCACGGATACCTGGCATGATGGCGGTTGTTGCTCTTGGAGGTGATGAGTAGTGCTTTGGTATTGATGTGTTGGACTTCCGGTGAACGACAGAAAGAAGTGAATGAAGATGACACTTGTACAAGTTGGAGTTCGGCAGGGTGAAATTATCTTGAGATTGGAGTCGGGTGCGTTTGGATTGATTAAGGACGGAAATTGGATAAGCGATATCAGGAAGCCGCGCTAACGCACAGACCAAATATTACCCCAGTAGCTCCTGCAGCAGCGCACCTGTTGCAGCGTCCGCAGAAAGATCAGACGACATGCTATCGGTTGGAAGAATTTCAATCAAGAGCCAGGACGTCTCAATGGGACCGGGTTACCTAAAGGTTAACGAGTTTCAAGGTGTATCCGTGATCAGACATTTTTGTCAAACACGAAGCTCATGAACACAGCTCCTTTCAACAGGCCCTGCCACTGGTAGGTAACTCGTAAACCGTGGGCAGTCTGGACCTTCAGGAGAATTTCCCGAACCGAGAGGCTGCGCTATCGAGTCGACGGCATTTCTGTTAGCGCCGATCAAAGATGGAGCTGGCGTAAAGGGTCTACGCTGTTGGCTGGTACTGATATGACCAAGTCAAAACAATAGTCACTCCATGCTTCAGTTTGAGTGTACATTGGGGCTTGGTTGATGGCTTCAGTTAATAGGCACTAACTACGGTGGCTCTGAACCAAAAGCACCCACTGTGTCTTTAGGTACGAAGCAGATCCCCTGCATCCACGACTACTTTGGAGTCGCGGAACGAGGCCGTTTTAGCTACGGTGCCAGACCCTCTACTCGCTGTTCTATCCTCAACACCCCAGACAAGTCGACGCGCCAATAGATAATCGAGCCATCACGCAAGACTCGCATTGAACAAATCATGACCATGTTTCAGGTATCTGCGAGAAAGTTGCTTGGCAACTCTGATTGTAGACACCTCAATGCCTTCCATATCGTACTTGAGTATCGTTGATACTACGGCCGATATAGGTCAAGGTTATCCGCGGGGTGTAAAGTACACCAAATTTAGTTGCAGATGCGTAAGATGTTGGGAAAAGCGAACCAGCGCAAATTGTCACGGTGGAGCCTGCCCCGAGACCACCTTGAAGCCCACGCTCGCAACATTGGCACGGCGAAATGCACAATGTAAGTAGCCGCCAGACGAAATTTGGAGCAGACGGGGCTGTCGACCTTGGCCTGAAGTATTAGGCCTCTGTTTTTCATGTTAGTCACCATCAGTTGTTGATGTTTTCTCTTACCACCTGACAGCATCGGACGACAGTCCTCCGACTTCGCAGCTCGTCTTGGCTTGACCTTATCCACAAGGGTCCGGTGCCGTGGCAAATTCACTCCACTCCGGCACCGCTCATCCAATTGGCGTTACAACTGCGCCCCGTGTCGTTCTTTCGAACTGGAGAACTGAGTAGCCAGTCATCGTAGATTGAAAAAGTCAGAATGAGGAATGTGAGATGTCTGTTCTCGGAGAAGCCGCCGACGATGAGTCTCTTTCGGCTGTCTGTGGGGCGGAAGGCTTTGTTCAAAGCCAGACAGAGTTGTCACCCTACGTGATGTCCCTCGCCAAGTTTTGGGAAGTTTTGGTTCATCGTGAAGATTACGAACCGCGACACATTCAAAACTAGAAGTACTTAAGGCAATCTATCCGCGCCTTTTCTTCGGTCCGCATCACCTAGATTAGTCTCCGGTTTCGCCAGTATCACCACATTTTGCCTCAGCTGTGCAAGAACGACAGTCCCTTTCAACTCAGCTGCAGACAACGAAGATGGCGCCCATAATCCACCTTGTCCGTCACGCACAAGGCTATCACAACCTCAGCGAAGCCAATCAGCAGATCCGGGACCCAGACCTGACACCCCTGGGCAAGCAGCAATGCGAGGCGCTCTGCAAAAAGTTTCCGTCGCATGAAAAGATCACCCACCTAGTCGCTTCGCCCATGCGCCGCACCATCTATACCTGTCTGCTGTCATTCGCTCCCGTCGCCAAGCGGGGCAGGAAAGTCATTGCCCTGCCCGATGCGCAAGAAGTCTCCTTCCTCCCCTGTGATGTCGGCCTAGAGCGCGAAAAGCTCAAGGAAGAATTTGGTGACGAGGTCGACTTGTCACTGGTCCACGAGGGCTGGAACGACAAGTCCATCGACAGCAAGTACTACCCAGATGCCATAAAGCTGGAATCTCGCGCGCGCGAAGTGAGGCTGTGGCTGCGCAATCTCGTGCAGAGCGCTAGCGACGACTCGCAGGTCGTTCTGGTCACCCACGGGGGGATCCTGCACTTCCTGACGCAGGATTGGGACGGCTTGCGCCCTGGCTCTGGCACAGGGTGGGAAAACACGGAGTGTCGCTCGTACGAATTTAAGGACCCCTCGGGCCAGGACCCGGACGCATCGCTGGTGGAGACGAGGACGAGTTGGCGTCAGAGACGGGGGAGCGCGAAGCCCTTGACTCCTACGGAGCAGACGCAGCTACGGGAGGCTTTTGCGGAGCAGATGGAGGAGGCAAATCGGAAAAATGGCGCGTGAGCCACGAAGCAGGGATCAAGAAGATTCGAGGTTTTATCGAGCGTCACGGAGACCTCAAGGACGGTCAATCCTCTGCATACGCAATACGGTACAGCGACAGACTTGATTTCACAATGTACGAAATTTCACCGGCACAGAGCTTTGGGATGGGTGAGCCTAGAGCACGCTTCTGTGGGTGTGCTGGCGAATGATGGTCACGCAGGGGGGGTCCTAGCACGCGGCATCCCCCGTCGCCGGATGCACTGCTATGCAAGCTGTCGAGATAGCTAGACAAGTATAGATGCGGCGGTTCGATCAGGAGTAATAGACAGCACAAGACACAAGTAGATACAATAGAATACTGATACGCCGATGAGTGCAACGGAAGACCTAAATTTCTTCTCTTGGGGTCCTGTATGTCACAACTCTGGTTACACGCGTCTTCCCAAACAAGTCACCCTGGGCAACCTAGGTTGATCAATCTCCAGACGATGAGTGGCGATTCCGAAGGGAATAGCACCCACGCACCAGAAGAATTTTGCTGCATGTGACGCTGAAGCGTTGGGCTTTTTGGCATGGCACTTGCTCATCCATCATGTAGTTGACATCTTCCCCGTCGATGCTCTTGATCTCATAATTTGCAAAACTCTTTATCCTCATCATGTGGACAACTTTGATCTCGATTCCCCTATGAAACGGCTGGCAAACTCATAAAAGGCCGGGCGATATATTAAGACTGTTCAGAAAAGCCCAAAGTCTCTGTCCCAAACGGTGTCCTCCAAGATGAGGTCCCCAGTATGCGCAAGCAAGTCCCACATCCAGAGTATGACACATCCATCCTATTGCGTTGTCATAAGTCCTCTTGTATAACATCCCATGACCCCGCGCTTATATACCAGGCCAGACCTTCGGACCTTGAAGTCCTGCCCCTGCCATCTATATAAATATCCCTGCCAAATAAAGGAACCCAGTTTATCGCGCGTTTGTGGCCGTTCTTCCATTGTCAACTGTCATGACCACTAGAGGTGGTATCGCTTGCTGCCAAAAGTATCCCAATCTTCTTCATCAGATCAGGTACTCGGAAAGGCTTCGAGACGACATCGTCCATCCCGCTTGCTTTGGCGGCCGTAATCTGCTCCTGTCTCACGTTGGCAGTTACGGCGATGACGGGCACATGCTTGTTGAAGGCACCCTCCTTTTCCATCTTCCGAATTGTTCGCACGCATGTAAGCCCGTCCATGACAGGCATTTCTGTTTGAGCTTAGGTCAGTGGTTGCAAGGAGTGAAACGAGAAAAGGGGTAATTCAGGAAGGGCTCAACAGCGGACATTTTCTCTCAGAAATGATATGGCAAAGGAGTAAAAACATCTGGAACAACATACCAAGATCCATTAGAATGACAGACAGCCGCTGACCCCCTGGCTTTTGATACTCTGTCTCACGAAGGAAATTAAGGGCTTCGAGTCCATTATTAGCAACGCTGACTCCGCTGCCCACCTTCTTCAGCTGCTTGACCAAAACATTCTGGTTCACAAGGTTGTCCTCCACGACAAGGATATCGATATTCCGTGGATCGAAAACGGATTTCGGAACCACTTTCGCTGCGGCGAGTCCTGACGTCGCGCTGTTAACCGAAGCGAAGTCTTGCCGCTGGGGGACGGCAGGCTGGGAGAGAGCAGTTTCTCCGACCACATCGCACTCTATCGGTAGGGTATCTTCCGACATGATGGAGACTGGGTTGTTGTCAGGCGGACCGGCTCTTCCTACTTTGATAAAAAAACCGAAGGTGCTACCAGACGCAGCTTTGGAAGCGACGCCGATTTGGCCCCCGTGAAGCTCTGCCAACTGACGCGAGATGAACAGTCCCACTACGGAAAGTGCGTTAGTGATTGTCACTTTCGAGATACTTAATCGGCTGTATAGAACGTAATTCGTAACGAAATGCCTCCGGGTGAACTTTCCAATCGGAGTACAGGAAAGTGGTAGTCTGAGATGCAAAGAGAGATAAATTTACGTACGACCACTGCCACCGTAGTGTGCGTGTGTGCGAGGCGAAGCCTGCGAGAAACGCTCAAACAAAACTCGTTTTTCGTCGGGTGTGAGACCGATCCCGGTATCCGCGACGTCGAATGCCAGGTACAGCACCTCACCCGGCCCCCAGTCATAGTCGTCAGCAGCGACGGTGACGTTGGGAGATCTGGGTGGAATATATTGGAAGTCCGACAGTCGAGGTTTAACAGTTAAGGGCGGGTCGTTAGACACTCCAACAGATATCACAATTCGTTTTGGCGTGGTGGCAGCAGGCGCAGTGAACTTGATTGCATTCGTGACGAGGTTTATGAGTACCTGGAGGACGATATAAGCACTGATCAAGGGCGCTTGCTTCAATAATGATGAAGGGGGAAAATACCATCGTACCTGGAGGACACGACTTGGATCTAAAGTGACGTAGTTGACGTCCAGTTCTCCAAATGAAGAGTCAATGTTGATTTCCATTTGGATATCTTTACTTTGCAGCTCGGGAACGAACATTCGGCGAACGCGGCGGATAATTTCGATCGGCTGCGCTACTATAGGTGTGATGACTAGCAGATTTGAGTCGAGTTTTGAAACGGTCAGAATGTCGTCCACAATGCTGAAGTGTTATTAGTGAATACTGCCTTGGTGTACCTCGGGAGGTTTGTTATATGTCTTCATGATGGATGCTAATATTTGCAGACCTGATTTATATATTTTTGAAAAGACGTTGCAAGAAAAACAAAGTCGAATACAGAAAAACCCACGATTTTTGGTGTTGGACGCATAACGAAATGGTTTGTGCCGCGTCGAGGCAGCTCTCCACGTCCACAGTACTCATTGGCGCATCCCTCGAGCAATGCGATATCAACGTGGATACAATATCGTCAGCGCATTGCAAGATTGCACTCTGCCAAGATTTCGGTGTTAGTAATTGGGCTTACAAGCATACATCAGGCGAGGCTGCTCTTTGTAAAGTTCACCTGCCCCCCGAGAAAAACCAGCACAACAAACTACGCGGTAGGGGCCCAGATAACTCACCAACGGGTTTCTCATCTCATGGGAAGTAATATCGATGAATTCGTTTTGCTGGCGCCTTGTTTCTTCGGCTTCCTGAAGTCGTCGGTCTTGCAAACCTCGTGCCCAGCGAACATGGGACACGTCTATCAAAGACCCCATGACGGATCGCACCGAGCCATCAGAAGCGATCTCGGGTTGGGCGGTTACCAAAACCCAATATTCGATGGCCTCGTCATTCAAGTCGACCGGATGGACGTTGAACTTTTTGAGTTGGACCTCGCCGGACCACGACTTGCGGCCTTCCACCATCTGGCGCCATGCCTCTTCCATCGTCTTCCTGCTACTTTCTTCGAGTTGTTCCATCCATGACATTTCGTAGAGATTGTCCCTTGGGTGTCCCGTCATTGTGAAATAGCAATCATTCCCCTCTTGGAGGACGCCTTCCGGGCTTACGAGAAACATGCCTAATGGCGAGAGCTCGGTCATGCGCCGCAGACGACTGGTCTGCATGGCCAATTGTTGTGATAGTTGCGCTTGTTCAAGAGCTGCTGCTTCGGCCGCGTCTCTGTTACGGCGTACCTCCTCCTCATAAAGCATAAAGGAAGCAAGCGATGTGGCCAGTTGACGATGTAGTATAATTGCGAAAGCCTTATATCCGTTGTCATAAGGTCGACGAGGGTTGACCCCAATCAAGAGAAATGCCAAGACCATATCACCGTTTGTAGGTCTGACGGGGAAGATAATGGCCTCCGTACACGGATCTCCAAAGCCCCGCCAATTGATCCCGTCGAGCAGTTCCTCTGGAAGTGTTCCGTCTCTGGTGTGTAACAAAGTAGGATCCCGGAGCCGCATTGCTAGCCTGAAGGCCGGGACAAACCCGGACTGAGAACGTTTCAAATCAAGTTGCTGCGGGGCAGCGACGTGACCCTCGGGGATTCCTATAGATCCTTCATAATAACAAGACTTCAAGGATAAAGTACTTCCGGAACTGATAGAAGTGTCATCTGCCCCTTCTTCGCTCTCCCCAACGGAGTAAAGGAGTGCAAATGGAACGTCAAAAATATTGTCTTGAAGGCCGTCCAGGGTCAATTTCCAGAACTGTTTAATAGTTTTGGCGCGCGAGACGTTTTCGCCGACCTTGTTGACAGTCTTCATCCTCCGATGGCTCAATACACTCTGTGTCGTCTCAAAAGGAGCATTGTAGAAACCCAAGATTCGATTGGTTCCGCCGTAAAGAGGCGTCCATGACTGAGATTTTGTCAGTGACGGACAGAGTCAGGATCTAGTCATGCGTCGAGAACTAACCCAACTGAAAAATGTTTCCTCGAGAAAACCAAAGCGTTCGATGGGCAGATAATCATCTTCTTTCCGTATGCTTATTCCTGTACGAGCGCATTCGGCGAAGATTGGACTGACGGAATCCCATAGTTCCGAGAAAGGACCCGAAAACCCCGTCCCCATGAGAGAGGGGTGCCTAACCGAGAGGTGTCAATATCTCAGCGTTCAGACCCGTCACTTGCCTTTGTTGATCTTACTTATTCCCTGAGACCTCAACAGCGTATGCCTCATTGTAAAGCATCGTCAAGTCGCTTCCCCAAAACAGCGCACACGGATGGGGGTTTTGCATGACGAGGTTCGCTGTCTGGCGAAACTCTGGCGACCACTTCTCCATGGCGCCCAATGGCGTATCAGCCCACCGAACCGTTCTGGCAAATGCAATATGAGGAGTCAAGGTTCCTTTGAGTTGGTTCTCCGCTACTGTCCAGTCAGTGCAGGTATCGGGAGCGGCAAGAAACAAAGTGCTTTTCTGCCAAAGCGCCGAAGAATCGCTCGAACTTGGGCCTGACAGCTTGGATGGAAACGAAGTCCGTGGCTTTGATGAGATGAGCGTTCCACTTGCGTCTGTTTGCATTGAGAGCTTCCGCTTGGCAGGCTGCTCTACCCGCGGGAAGTCTTTGGGTGCTGCCAGGGATAAGTCACGCGCCGGGATACTGGCCATCAACAAGTTGCCACTGATCAGCCTCCATCGTTTCCGCACCGTCGAACCGGTCCAAAGCATATCGCGAAACTGAAATTGGAGCGGGAAAACATCTTTCGAGTCGTCAAATTTGGTCACGCCGGTAGCCCAGATGCTGAAGTCCTCATACGATGACGCTGTAGTGCCTGCTTGGTCCTCGGTGCTCTTCCCAAGAACGACATCTAGTAATCGCTCATGCGAGCGGAGCGCCGAATTACAAAAGATGGGCCATATTCTCTCGGTGTTGATAGTGGTACCTTCGTCGGGGTCCAGATCGACGGCAAAGGTTGGGCGGGAGTCCTGGTCTAAAACCTCGGTGATGTTGACCAAATTAAACTCGTTCAGGGAGTTGAGTATGTCTTGGTCAAGGTCGAGGTCGAGGTCGATGCCATCTTGGTCGACGTAATCTTCGAGAGGCCGATCTACGTTCGTCCCAGCTTCCAAGGCCTGGCCCTGCAGAAGGTTAGGGTCGGTCATCGTGGAGGATGCGGCCAGCGAGGCATTGGGCGGCTTGTTTGCTGACGAAGGCGATTAAGGTTCTTGCCAGATATTCAAGCCTTCGTCTGGCTGGAGATGCATATGCTGTGGGTTTGACAAGGTCGAGGTACAGAAACGGTGGTTACCCGCCAAATTGTCGAAGAAGGTGCGCATGGATCAGGGTGGCACAGGAGGTTAATGACGCCTAGGTCTGGACCTTACCGATTTGGTCTGGGTCGCGAGCTTAATGTAAAAGTATTCAATTAACCCAGGGTGAGAATTGGACGCCTTGCGGTGACGACCTTCTTTCTTCGATGAGGAGGAAGGAACGGTCTAGCAGACATTTCCAAGGGTATGCGTTATGAGTCTGAAGTGCAAGTTCAAGGGCGATTCGATATGTAAGTCATTGTCGCCATTCTGAAGGTTGTCGTTGAACAGAGGCGAGTCCTTGATTGTGACTGAGGATAGCTTAAAGTGCTGGAGTACTTGCAGCTGGACCAGGTAGTTTTCAAACACTTGAGCCTTGAATCAGTGTGACGAGCTAGATCGTATGGTCAACAGTGGTAGTCACAATAATGACCTCATCCATTTGGATCGCGCCTATTCCATTGTGTTTTGGTTGAGACTGTCTAGTCTTATTGCATAATTCTGGCACTTCTTCAGTCATAATTTATGATGCCGTTGATCTAGACAGCTCTGGTTGTACAACATATAGTTAGTACGCTGTGGTTTGACAACGACAGATCCCGCCGTCTATTCGGAGAAGTCGACAGGTTGCGAGTGATGGATGGTGGGTGCTAAGCTGCATGACCGGACGTTTCCCTTTTCGCCGCCCCAATTCCACTCGTTCATTATGTCGCTCGCGTGGTTGTAAGCAATTTTGCCAAGGAGAATTCGAATACTTGCGATTCGCCGGCGCAATGTTTCGACAACACCGGCCCGGCCTCTAAACCCATTGCGTTGAAAACCCAACCCGAGCTTGGAGCGAACAAACCAACGATGTGGATGCATTAGTGTCCCCCTTTGCAAGCCTTGAACTCCAACCGCATCGCGACAATATTGATCGCCGAAAACTCCGCCTGGCGTTCCAAAGGATCGGAAGCAGTCCACTTACTAAGCGCTGGTCGCCACGATGTGGGAGGACGAGACGTTGAAAAACATGAAACGAAGCCTGTCCTTGGCTCTGATAATCTGCAGCTGCACCCCTAACAGCTTGTCGTCTTTACAACCAACCAATTCTTAAACCAATCGATCTACCACGGTGCCTGAATCCATCATGCATATCGCCCAAGTCCAATCCTGGCCTGAAGGACCCCGCTACGTCTCGGTCGCCGATCCCCCCGCGCCGACTGCAGGTCAGACCCAACTCCGCGTCTTGGCAGCCGGGCTACATCAAGTCGTCCGATCTCGAGCTTCAGGAAACCACTATTCCGCCAAAACACTGCCTCACATCCTCGGAGTCGATGCCGTCGCCAAAGATGAAGCTACAGGCCAACTATACTATGTCATGGACTTTGGGGACGGCAACGGCACATTCCGTGACTACATCAATGTCGACAAGGAGAACAACGTCGTGATCCCCCTCCCCGAGGGCGTGGACCCCATCAACTTCGCCGCCAGCGTCAACCCCGCGATGAGCAGCTGGATGGCCATTACGCAGCGCACAGATAAACTGCCCAAGGACTTCACGGTACTCATCCTGGGTGCGACGAGTGCCAGTGGTCGGCTGGCTGTCTATGCTGCCAAGGCTCTCGGCGCGGGCAAGGTCGTTGGCGCAGCTCGCAGTGCCGAGACTCTGAAGGGCGTGGAGGGCTTGGATGACTCCATCACCTTCAAGGATCCCATCACTGATACTGACTTCTCGCAAGCAGACGCCGATGTCATCTTGGACTATGTGTTTGGAGATGTTGCCCAGCACGTCCTTTCGACTATCAAGACGAAGAAGCCTGTCCAGTACGTCCAGATTGGCACGCTATCCCAGGAAGCGGAGATAGATCTCTCGGGACCACTGCTCAGGTCGACCAATTTGACGATTAGGGGAGCTGGGCCTGGAAGTTGGAGGTTGTCAGCACTGGTCGTCGAACTGAAGACCCTGGTGCCAGTGATGGCGAAGTGGCCGCAATTGGGTGCAACTGTGGTTCCGTTGAGAGATATCGAGACGGCGTGGAGTGATAGGTCGATCAAGGGGCGCATTGTTTATGTTCCGTAAATTAGATTCCAGAATCAATGTAACTCTGATCATAGCTTAGATGTGTCCTTAGGGTGATACGTATTCATAAGGCACAAGAAAAGTCTACGTTCAAAATGAAAATGTAGCTCGAAATTTCCAAGGTCTCATTATGAAGGCCGCCTTTCCATATTTCAGAGACCACACTCCTCATCTTGGACTTCCGATAATCTTGCAAATAATCAATGATACCTAGGTAACTAAATACCTACGTATCTAGTTAACAAGTAGATGTTTACTTCGCCTTACCCAATTGAACCAACTGCTTGTATTCAATATCTACTTACCCAAAAGAGTATAAAAATAAAAATTAACTTGGAGAAGCAAGATAAGGGGCAGGAGAAGGGGCGAAATTAACGACGGAGACAGGACTCGAACCTGCGCGGGCGAACCCAAATGATTTCTAGTCATTCCCTTTAACCACTCAGGCACTCCGCCAGTTGTTTTGATTGAGCCTCTGTTTACAATGCGACGCTTAAGCATTCATATTGTTTTGGGATGCGACTGGCTTAGTGACAGCATCTTGGTTGGGGCGAACTTTGGTTGTCTCCGAGCAAGCAGTCATCACTTACAGGGACTAATGTTGCAACACCATAAATTGGCACCTTCCTCACCTCATCTGACTTCTGAAGTGCTGCCACTTCGACTTGAAATGCGTTTATAGCTACATGATCTATGATCTGTCCCGGACACATTCTTCCACATTTAGGGAGTTTGAGTTGCAATATGCTTCCGTCAGAGGCAGTCGAATCAAGTACTACAGCAGCTTTCCCGATTCTTCAGAACATCCACTCATACCGCACAAGCACCCTCATAGCAACGCCTCTGCTCGAAATGATCCTTCATCTTTGGTGGTTGTATCTGCTTCCATTAACCGAAGTAAACTTGGTCACTTCCCTTACCTGCACAGCCTGGATGCAATGGACCTTGACCTTGGACTTGAACAACGGTGTTACGGGGCGTTCGGCGCCTCTAGGACTACAGAGATGGTTGATGTCGACGTGGAACAGCTTCTTATACAGCTTGTTGACCTTGAAGGTCCAGAGGCCCTGCCACCAGGTAAGGTATCAATAATAAACGGTGCATCCACCTTCGCACGAGCCAACTTCTCAAGGTCGTTCACGAACCTCAAGCCTGCCAAATAACAACACCTTCGGGGTCGATGCCGACGGTGAAGGTGTGAGCAAAGCTGAAATACCCCTCGGCATTGCCTCGCTCCGCCATACCGAAGATGTACATGTTTTAGAGGTTGACTGGCATGATCGTAGTCTTGTTCTCGTTAAATGCGTCCGTTCGGGCACTCTGGAACTTCTCGCGGAATGAGTCACATGGCATTGCCTGAGCTTCGAGCCGTGAGGTTTTAGTCTGTGTCGACAAAATATCAAGAAACGAGTCCGCATTGGCCGGAAAGGCGAGAGGCAAGATCAGAACAGCGGCCATCTTGCACGAAGTGTTGATGTTGATGTCGCCACCACATGAGATGTCCAGCAGCACAATGACAACAGTCATTTGTCCATCTGTTGCGGCCCAGGTCCTGTGGGGATAAGAGAGTTGTCCTCTTCACATTCCCAATTCGGGCTCTTCATGCAATGATGTTAACCATAAAACGACGTATATCTTGATTCTCATGTGACCTATCGACCCAGGTTGTCCTGGTCTAGTCTATCAATGTTTTAAGTACGACAAAATAGCCTGATGCACACTTTCGTCTATATTATTCTGACTCAAATATTCATTCATGAACACGTGCAACCATAAGACTCAAACACCGACATAATGAAACCTTCCGTGTGCCGGGGGGCAACAATTCTTCCGTTCCTGAGAGCGAAACCAAAAATATCTCGGGGGTTTGATTAAGAAAAGAGCGAGTGGCTGAATGACCACAGTCAACTCTTCATTCGGTGACGCGAGAGCGCGTCGATGCCTTTACGCCTTCATCTTCTTCTCAACCTTCTTCTCCTTGCTTGCCTTGGGGACGCGAGTAATCCAGTACATGGCGAGGGCACCGAAGATGTTGAAGATGATGAAGACACAGAAGATACCGAAGTTGCGCCAACGATCAGCTGTTACACACGAGAGTTAGCAACAGATAGTACTAACGGGGGAAAGGGGGAATGAGGAACTATGAAACCTACAATAATCAGCTCTGACGTTCTGCAAATACACATTTGTGTCGGATATAGTGCAATAAGTGCAATTCGCCGTGTCACCCGCATTCTCGAGATAACCCCCCGCAAACTGGAGGTAGACCTCCATATACTGCCCACAAGTCTGGCCATCAGGCGGGTTGAACCGGAGTAACTCGTTGGCAGCGCACTGTACGTTTGTGTTGGCGACCGCCGTCGACAGCATGGCCGATATGAGATACGTAAAGGGACTGACGCGATACATGAATATCCAGAAACGGGGGAAGCTATCCGGGCTGGCGAGTACACCACAGAAGATCAGACACAGCATGAAGAGCAAGTTGGCAATATTGCCACCCGCCTCGGCCGTCTCGAAGCCGGCGATGATCATGTCTGTGAACGTTGACGTAAAAAGCAAAAAGGCTAGCAGCAGCAAGAACATGAGCGCGCCGCGCTCGGTAGTCTGTCCTGCGTCCGCGGCGTTGTTGTACAGGCCGACGGGATAGTACCAGCAGGCGAACATGAGGACGGCCATTAATGTGTTCCAGGGGAGTTCAACGAGAATTTGAGAGAGCATAAAGACCTTCCAGCCGTAGACCTTTGACGGCCTCTCGCGGACCTCGTACAGCGACCGTTGCACCACAAAGTGCGGCATCGTTTGCTGCACCAGTTGGCCGAAGACGGTGAGCAGATTGAAGATGGCGAACATCTGGTTCTGCAGCCCCTGGATCGTATTGGGAGCCTTGAAGAAAACGAAACCGATGAAGAGGGCGACGAGGACGCAGAGGGCGGCTTTGGAGTAGATGTACGAAGGCGTACGCCAATACTGCTGGAACACACGGTGACTGACTTCGTACATCTGGGTAAAGAAGCCGGCGGCAAACTCGCGGTATGACGTTTTGTCGTCCGTGTGGGTGGAGGTCGACACAGCTTCGTCTTTGAGTCGTTGCAGCTCGCCTTGCACCTGATTGTACTCGGGGCTTTCGCGCCACGTCTGGAACCAGTCGACATCGGTGTAGCTTCCAGGCGCGGCGCCAATGGCGTCTAACATCCATTCCGCGGGATTGGCGTCGTGGGGACAGGCAGGTGCACCGTTGCGTTCGAAGTACGATGTCATTGTCTTACAATTTTCGCCGATGTCACCAAAGTAGACGGTTCTACCACCCTTGGCCAGGAACAGCAGTCGATCGAAGCGCTGGAAGAGCATAGCGGACGGTTGATGTATGGTGCATAGAATGGCTTGGCCGGCTTTAGTGAGTTTCTCAAGCAGATCCAGGATGGCCCACGAAGTTTGCGAGTCCAGACCAGAGGTAGGCTCGTCGACGAAGAGCAACAGAGGCGGCTTGGCAGCTAGTTCAACACCAATGGTGAGACGCTTTCGCTGTTCGACATTGAGACCTTCTCCTAAGACACCAACAACGGCATCGGCATACTCAGCCATGTCGAGCAGCTTGATAACTTCGTCCACATATGCGAGTTTCTCCGCGCGGGGAACATGAGCTGGCTGACGTAGGAGGGCAGAGAAGTTCAAAGCCTCACGGACAGTAGTGGTAGACAAGTGTAGGTCTTGTTGTTGAACATAACCCGTCTTGCGCTGGAACGAATTGTCCCGGAGGTGACCATCAACAAGCATCTCTCCGGTGATGACACCCATCGTGATACGACTGGCCAACGCATCGAGAAGTGTGGTCTTGCCGGCACCAGAGACACCCATTAGCGCCGTAAGTGTACCCGGTTTCACCCAGCCGTCCACGTTATCCAGGATTCGCCTTGGTTCGCCCTTGATCTTGATGTCGTAGCAAACGTTACTCCAGTGGAAAACACTCGACTGCTCCATAAGCATGCCGGCTTCCTTACCCTTAGGTCCGCCCTTGGCATTACTGGCATTGGTAGCAACGGGGCCAACACGCGTCATGCCGCCCTCTTCGACGTCGCCCTTCTTCTCCTTGAACTGGGCGGGCTTGTAGCCGCGACGGAACACCAAGACCTCACCCTTGGACTTCTTCTCGGAGACAAGTTCCGCGGAGACCATGTAGGTAAACAGGAAGAAGATGATGAAAACGAAGAGAATACCCAGGTTGCGCCATTTGTTTCCATGGTAATACCGGAACGCCTGGTTGATGTACCTATCGCCGTCGACAAAGCCACTGCCAGCTACGGAACCGACCGTACCGCACACGTGGTTGTTTGGGCCAACGTCGGCGTAGCCTGGGACAAGAGCGTTGGGGACGTATGCAGTACATTCGAATTGGCGATTATGAAATTCATTGACCATGAGCGACTCGAAGGCATACGCAAGGGGATCCAGATAGTTGATCCAGCGACACCAATCCAACATATAGTCGATTGGGATGACGAAACCGGTGAAAATGACAAGAGCCAAGATGAGAACGGCCGCCGGTACCATGGCTTGAGAGAGCGTTCGAGATGCGGATGCGATGGTTCGGAAGATCATACTCATGGCTAACGTCACGAGGAACGACATAAGCAAGAAGAAGAAGAAGTTTCCGGGTTCGCGGCGCAAATTCGTCATAAAGTACAGGACCAAGTTGTAAACGATCGTGTTCATGAACTTGTAGGGCAAATCACAAAGCATAGAGGCGACGGCTTCGGCGGAGGGATGGTACATGGCATAACGACTCTGCTTTTCGACGATGGGGCGTTGAGCATAGAGGGTGAGGATCTGAAAGCCCTGGTCAGCACATTGTTTCAAGAAAAGGTGAAGTGGTGTCAACTCACTTCTAGGGCACTGGCAAAAGCGTTTGTGAGACAAGCAAAGAACAAAAGAGCCCCTCTCTGGTAGAAGCTCGACGTGGTTGGCTGCAGATTGTAAAAGACACTGCCAATGATCAGACCCATGGCAGTGTTGCCGATGAGCATACCGACGGTTATACTGGGATCCCCGATAAGACGACGCCATCCACGCCACAAGGTTAATCTGACTTGTTGAGTGTAAGAGAGGGTGTAAGGAGATTTGACACGCTGTGCCTTGGCTTGCGCCTGGCGCTTGTTGGCACGGAAGGCCTCGGCATCAGGTCCGTTGAGTGGGTGCTCATTCTTGTACTCCTCAATTTCCTTTTGCAGAGCTTGATACTCGGCGCTGTTCTTCCAGGCGGCGGCAAAATCATCAGGGGTTCGAGGGGCTTTATCTTTGAAACCAGAGCGAATAACACGTTCCACCGGACTCGTCATCGACGTCATGAAATCCGGAGTCGTCTGACGGGCAGGGCACTCGAAGCCGAGATTGATGAAGTATTGGCGAGCCTGATCAGCACGGCCGAAGAAAATTTGGCGGCCCTCGTAGAGCACCAGCGCCTTATCAAAGAGATTGTAGGCACTCTGGGGTGACTGGTAGATGGACACGCAGGCCGTGTTGCCAAAAAGCTCAGTCTGCATGCGAAGAGTCTTGCAAAATTCAACGGCGTTGGCACTGTCGAGACCTCTGGTACTGTTGTCCCAGCACTGAAGCGGCGCCCGACTAAGGGCCGCCTCAGAGATGGTGACACGCTTGCGTTCACCTCCGGATACACCACGAACGTATTCGTTTCCGACGCGGGTGTTGACAGTGTGCGAGATACCAAACATGGCCATGATGACATCGCGCAAGTGGTTGGCGTACGTCATTTTATCGACGCCTTCGGGAAGCTTCCGGGGTGCGCGTGCTTGGGCAGCAAAGGTCAACGTGTCGCCCACCGTCAGCATGGGAAAGTGGACATCGGTTTCGGCCGTGTAAATTGCTTCGCCCCGGTGGTGACTGTGCATTTCCTGAGCCGTCACACCTGATTATCGGTCAGATCGAGTTACACTTACACACGCCTCACGCGTCCGAGCATCGGAACATGGCTTACCTTGATAGTTGAAGTACGACTTCTCGTCGACGTAGATTCCATTCGTCTCACCAGCGATTGTTTTCAGGAACGTGGAGCATCCGGAACCGGGGGGGCCCAACACCACGAGCATCTCACCCCTTCGCACCAAACCATCGAAGTTGCGCAGGATATCGATCTTGCGCGGCTTGGAGGCGCCCACTGCCGCACGAACCAAGCCGACCATGTCGACCCATACATTGCCCACATCCTTCTGGTAGTCCGTCGCCGCGCCAAAGCCGTGAACGTTCAAATTCTGGAAGCAGACACCCGATGTACGGAAGCCCGTCGAATCCATCTCAACGATCTTCTTGGCCCATGTTCGCGCGCGGAAATTAGGTGAGCGGGGGTTGAGGGGCGAGTCTTCGTCCGCATCGAGGAACGGATTGCCATGAATATGGCCTGTGGCATTCGATGTATCTGTGTAGTGGCGGGCCAACTGGTGCACCAGCTCCTCGCGTCTTTCCAGTTCGGAATCCTCACTGTCCTGGACCGTACCCGACTCTGGCGTCGTTTCCTTTTCCACCCTCCGGTTGGAGGTGGATCGCTTCCTGGATACCTTCATTGAGTCTGAGTTTTCCTGTGTGAAGCCACTGCGTGAAGTCATGGGTGGTGCGCCTGTATTCTGGGCTGTGCGGTCATAATTGGAGAATGCGAGGTTGCTGCCTACGATGGACATTGTGACCGAGGGAGGACGAGAGGGTAGGCCAGTGCCTGTCCCTCAAATGCCAGTCTTGACACGATGCGCGAGGTCTGGTTCTACACACGTCGATTGCGTGGCCAATCTTGGGATGCTTTGGAGTTTCGGTGTAAGTCGCGTGCACGGGGATTCGTCTCGGCCCGTCGACTCAGTGGAAGCTTCACCGGGAAAGTTTATATTCTAATGTAGTAGTAGCAGCAGTAGTTGGTTGAGAATAGGTTCAAGTGTTTAGAAAGCGCGCCACCGCGAATTGTTGACAAGAAGAAAGAGAGCACACGTCAGTGACCCTTTCTCCGAAGGCTCTGAGGGAAAAGGAGAATCCCGAGGTGACGAATGTCAGTAACAGGTCATCGGATGGCGGGCGCATTGTTTTATGAGAAAAGATTTGTTCCCTTCGTTTTCGTATTGAGACGGAGACATTTTGGCCCAGGCTCTGTGAACCGACCTGACTCCGGGGTCAGCCTGTCCACCCACGGCTTGCATGCGAGTGCCTCACTGTGGAATAATATTGAGCTCGACCCACTCTCTTCCAATTGCATGGAAGCTGCAAGTGGGAGCAATAAACGCGCCTACCTACTCCAAAATCTAACGCCTCAGGAGTCTGGTTTACGAATCTGTCGTAATCGTGATCGTAAACGCATCTGCTCTATATTGCACCAACTCCTGCCTAACACATTTCGTTGCATATGACTTTTGCCGTCGTCAAAATATGGACGCCTCTGATGGATGCTTGGCAGCGCAGTTGCTTCAAGCGGTGCTGAGCTTGTTGTTTGATAGCGTCAAATTTGAGACGGGGTCTTGTTGGCGGCCGAGTACCCGTCAGCCCATCCACAAGGCTCCAAATTAGGCGTGAATCTCAGCACCTAAAATTGCGACAGGCAAGACAGGAACAAGGGCCACATGGGGTTGGCGCATGCTAAGGGGCTAGCACAGAATGTGCCCAAGATTACACGACTCCCTGTCACCTCCAGAACGAACCCCTTTGCCCTTCTTGCGTAGCTTCTAAAATTAACGACAGCGAACATGTACGACCTGTACTCTAGCTGTAGAAATATTATCAAAATTCTCATCCCGTTTCTCAGAGTTGTGATGCATTGCGTCCATTGAAACTGCAAGCCACAGCTCACTAGAAACTTGTGCAGAAAGATAGTTGCTGTTAACTCCGTGCTAAGCAATTCTGAAGATCTGATCCATATCGTGGAGATCCCTCAAACAAAACACGCCCCACATGCAAGCGGGGCAGAAGTTCGAACAGCTTGCCAAACGAGGACAATACTCCACTCTCTTCACGAGATAGATTTTATTTATCGTCTTCATCGGCCATGTCTGCCTGCGCGCTTCTGGATCAACTGGTCCTGCTGTAATCAGGCGTCGCGAGTACAAATAGTCAGTTCAAGATGACAGAATGAGCTATGTTAGCGGGTAACATACCATCATCATCAAGCAGCTGAAGCCGAAATATGGGTGTCATCAAAGTTGCGCACTAGCGTAACGCACGACTCTTCGGTGCTGCTTCCATTTGGAATCGACGGCCAATAGGAGTCGATACCCTTGAGAAGCTTATGTCCGCTAGCATCGGGTCGTGCACCCTACCGAGAGCTTTGGCCAGTTACACGGAATAATTGTGTGAAAAGAGTTAGACGACCCCACTTCCGGGGACATGAACAGGTTCGGAGTTGTGATATAGCCCGACAATCCGGGAACTGGGAAAACTCAACGTGACAAGTCATGTTCTTTATTTATTTTATTGGACCTTGCACGCCACGCGTCTCTGACAATATTACCAGGTTGTCATCAATTCACTGCGGATTAAAGTGGAACTGATCTGTCCTTTCACCTTCTTATCACTCACCTGGATGCCTGGATGATTGTTCACCGATATCGAAGGGCCAAGACGTATGGGCTTTCATCACGGCTGCAGCCTTGTTAGCACTGACTTCTGTGGAACTATAAACCAGAACTACCTGGTCAGTGTCGACAATCATGATACGGATGTGTGGTCATGATGAGGCTCAGAGTCTGAGGCCTGCATGCGGTTGCACTGCCGTCGCCGTAATTGATATTTGTAGTCTTGAGTAATTGCATACAATGCACAACCTCGAGGTGGTCTAATTACGAGCAAGAAGCCATTCACGATACGGAGCTCCAACAGTAGGTCTTACACACAATTACTATCTATTCGAGTAAGAAATTCTACCACTTATACACTAGTTCGCGGAACCAAGAAACTCATCACCGAAGCTGATGGACGACGCCATCCTCATCCAATTTCCATGCCACTTCGACCGCCAACACATCAGCCAAACTCTCAACCCCGATCCCGTCCAACATTATCCCGGGAAGTATGTGAACCCCGATACCCGAGCATCGACGTAGGGCTTTTCTACTGAACGAATGATCAACAGCGGTAACATAACAAAACAACATTGCATGGTTCCCCCTTGGTCGACAGCTACCATCTATTTAGTGTAGTGTGGGCATCTCGCTATCTGCATTCTACGTCGGACGAACTCTAGACACCGGTCAGGTTCCTGTTTTTATTTCTGACATCCGTCCTCCGGCAACCGTCTCACATGGATGCTAAGCAGTCCGGGTATCCATCCCTTGGCTGGCAGCCGTATTCTTTTCTGACCGCCCAGTGCAAAGATGCCGCCGAGAGGAACTCTGGAGAACTTGCATCCTTGTGTGCGCCCACTTCGTGCTATTGATAGTGATCTCAGCCCGTGGCACTGAGACCGGTTGACTCCTTGCTGGGCTTTTACGAGGCAGTTTCCTTCTCCGGGTGACCTCCGGGTGAGTTGTGGGGCTTACGGCCACTTGTTGTCATCTCATAAGTTGACTTTTGAGGCGCAGGCCGGTAAGCTCTGCTTGCCCGACGAATCAGATTAGATTGTGAGATAATCCAGTTGGGTGTGCTGAAGTCGTTCCACTACATCCTGTCAATCACCCCTAACCGCAAAAGGTGAAATCAAACAGACTGATAAGCAGCAACACTAGGGACAATCTGGGGGATGCTTCCCTTTCAGACAAACCGCAAGCCCGGTGCTTACTTAAGCACTCACAACTACATATTAGTAGCATTGGTCGAACAAATTATATATATATGCAGGTACCACCAGATAACTCGGTGTCCGAGACCGTCCAATCAACCCAGCTGTTGGACCAAATAACCGTCAAAAGACGAGGGACCCACTCGTATTAGAATGAGGTATTTTTGGTAGTTATAAGATCTGATAACAGCTTCCTCGGGGTTACCCTTTTCATTTGAAGCCTAAAGAAAATTCATGTTGCATATCCTGTGAAAGGATAATATGGTACATCATCCCTGTCGAAACCTGCGGAATGGTATCGCTTACAGGATAAGCCCAGGGGCCAGAGGTTCACACGCCCCGGTAAGTCGCCGAGAAATATCAGACTAAGGCGTTCTGGGAAACTTGTGCATCTCTGGGAAGCTGGTGGGAGAAGAGGTGCCCCGGTCCAACGTTCAAAGGTTTTCACGTCTCGGCAGGCGGCCGAGAAATGGGGATGTAGTGGCTCTGGCAAATATGTTGAGAATCTTGGGAGAGAACAGAGTCACAATGCTCTATGAACTTTGATAAGCATTACGGCAAGAATATGGTCAAAGATGCATCTGAGATCAAGGGACTCGTCGGGTAAGATCTCCAGTAGTCCTGCAGGAACGCGACACCACGGTACTCACGCTGGTAACGCCGCTTAGTAATGGGCCGGACATGGCGAACACATGTATTACGTTACAATATACTCTTCGGGCGTATTGGGGTTCCTGCTGATCGAATTGGTCTTCAGTACAACTGGGTAAGGTATCATCTAGGAAGGTTCTTCGAGCCATGAAATCATATTCTCGGTTAATACCGGGACTCTCTGGCAAGTAAATGCAATGGCAAAAGGTTTCAAATATGAGTTGTGAGTGACAAGCGCGCCCGCTTTCACATTGGTTACCATGATTCCGCTGTTGCTTCAACATCTCAATTACGCACCTAACAATATCGGAAATCTAATAACAGATACATTTCATAGCGTACCATTCCTCTTGGTAGTATTATAATAATCACGGACGCGGCGTGGTTCCTGTACATAATTTGGCACCGAATCAATCAGCCGATTAATAATGTAAGGGTCAAGGGTGTAAGATATGGCCGCCCGTAACCAACTACCCGACATAGACCAAAAGATCTAGCAGTTCGAGCACTTCATGCTCCACAATCCCTTACACTATACCCGACTAAATATCGGATATCGTATTTATAGCAAGGCCTAATCAACTAGAAGTTATCTTTAGTAAGCAAGTTAGCTAAGTAGGAGTTCCACTGACTATTCTTTATTAAGTGAAGTCAGAGTCTTAACGTTAGACTCCGGAATAAGTCTTCCCGTTACGACTGCGTTGTGCCTTCCATCTTGACCACAGCAACAACCTCCCACCGCAGCTGTTAACTCCGGAAGTCATCGCTGTGTTTCCCATCATCGTTCCTATGTACTAGTATAACATCGTTAACATAGAAGAATATCAATACCTCTTATCTACCGTAGTAGTAGTAGGGTGATGCGAGTGTATACATATGCACTCGCATCATAGGGCTCGTGCAGCATAAGAAGCTAAGCCTAGTAAGTGTAGGCCGTACAGGGTTTTCTTAAGATGATGATGCCGTAGAGTAATTTCACGTTGACGAATATATTAGTTACATCGTATTAAATGAGATTAAGGTCAAGCCTTACAGTAATAGCTACGAGCACTTTAAAGGGCCAACCGGCTAGATTAGATGCATAAGTATTCTCGTATACAGACTTAGCCTGTTAGTCGTCCCGTACGAAGAGACAGGCTTTATAATTTAGGGACGATCTATTCT